CTGATGGAGCTCCCGGTGCTGATGGAGCTCAAGGCCCTGCTGGTCCTGCTGGTGCTGATGGAGCTCCCGGTGCTGATGGTGCTCAAGGCCCTGCTGGTCCTGCCGGAGCTGACGGGGCTCAAGGCCCTGCCGGTCCTGCTGGTGCTGATGGAGCTCCCGGTGCTAATGGTGCTGATGGAGCTCCTGGTGCTGATGGTGCTCAAGGTCCTGCTGGTCCTGCTGGTCCTGCTGGTCCTGCTGGTGCTGATGGAGCTCCTGGTGCTGACGGTGCTCAAGGCCCTGCCGGTGCTCAAGGCCCTGCCGGTGCTCAAGGCCCTGCCGGTGCTCAAGGCCCTGCCGGTGCTCAAGGTGCTCCGGGACCTCAAGGCCCTCAGGGACCTCAAGGCCCGGCTTCGTATGCGTCGTCCTGGGACTATGCTGGTTGCTATAACGCCGCCGAGGGGAACTACGGATTCGCCAACCCCACCGTGTTTGCTACACCCGAGAATACCTCTATTGACGACTGTGCGAATATTTGTGCAACCATTCAGGGCCCTGTCGGCCCTACCTTCTACTTTGCGCTTGCGACAGATCTATTTGATGGCTCCATCTGCGCATGCGGGAATCAACTTGCTGGCACAACCACAGTCGCGGGTAATAACAATTGTAATAGCCCCTGCCAATTCGGCGTTACCCCCCGTCCTTATTGCGGCTCAGCCAATGGTCAATACGTGTCAGTCTTTGCCAGTGTATAGGATATGTCCTCGTTGAGTTATATAGGTATTTTTGAAATACCTTGCGGAGAAGGACGAGTGCAAGCAAGAAGTAGGCCAACAGCGAATCTATATGTAACTAAAGGTAGCTATATATTTCGTTACAAAAACAAGCCTCATTCTATTCTTTCAGTGTCTGAAATTCGCACTAAGAAACTTGATACCGTAGCCTGGTTTCTCCCCCATAACGATCTTATCAACGAAGGTTCCTTAGGATAATTTGAGGTCTGGATTTACATGCTAGATCTAAATCATCTAGCTCTATAATACAGAAATGTTTAGGGGTTAGCCATTCACCGATGAAGAGAGCGTGCCAATAGAGCGAGGTGCAGTTGAGGTTCCCAGCGAAGGCTGCGTTTGCCATCATAATCTTTCTGTTGGTGCTACTCATTTGATATACTATATTTCTCCTGTTGTTACTTTCAAGTCTGTTGTCCCTAGTTTGATCTGATTCGTTCACACAGCATAAGAATATTTTCAGAATGATCCTTGATTTGTATTCTCGATAGAAGCTATCTAAGCTTAACATTCTCTCAAAATTATATGATTTTCCCCTGTTCTGGCTCCCTCGATAAATTTTAATCCCTCTTTCGTAGGGGATAGTCACGCTTTCGTAATAAGGTACTGTACACATTAGCAATGGTGATGTCTTTGATCCATGTCAACGTGTGGATAGACAATGGTGACTTTGCGGCTGTTAAACACTGAAACAAGACGTCAATAGCTATTCTCAGCATGATTGATGATGTCATGCAACAAATAGATTTTGCCGAGAAAACATCTGCCGTTGGTAAATGGTACAGTCGGGAGTAGTTAGGATGGCTGGACAGTCCCTGTCCCATAAAGTCGGATGAAGATTGATAACATTGCGATGTCGGATCGGTCCGGGAATACCGGTCGGTTAGGCGATAAGAGTAAAAGATAAGATCTTCGAGCCGATCGATGGGTGGACCACGCCAGCCGATGGTGAATTTTTGTTGCTTGGCTCTGCCTGTGAATGGGTGAGGCGAATTCTTGATGACCAACTTACGTCTAGAAGTATTCGCCGACTGACTGGGAGAGGAGACATATTCCAATCTGGTCGATTTTCGAATTAGGTCGTCAGGCTTCTGATTTCACCAATCACCAATCGTCTCATAGCTACATCCAGGGTCAACATGGCCCCTAAACCTGATATATTATTTATCGACTCGATCGTTCAGAAGATAGACTTTGCCCGTCGAAAAGCGCTTGCCGAGAAATTCAATATTATACAATATGACTGCGAGTCCACCGAGGAGTTCAAAGAGCGCTTGAAGCCCGGGGGACCTTACTCAAACATCGTTGCTATTTCACGAAATGGCTGGCTCAAAGCTGGACCGCTCGCGAAGCAACTCCCCTTTGGAACAGATGTCATTCCATACTATCCGCCCAGTCTCAGAATCATATGCTGCAACGGCCATGGGCATGATGCCTCTGATGTGGAGGCAATAACTGCTAGGGGTATCTGGTACTGCAACACACCAAACGCATGCACGGAAGCCGTGGCGAATACCGGGCTGTTCCTTGTACTTGATTCATTCCGATATCTTTCTTTTGCTCAGTGGTGCGCTCGAAATGACTGGCTGCAGAGTCAGGACCTGGGTCAAAAGGCGGTTGATACTGGGAAAACTCTGGGTATTGTCGGGCTTGGGGATATTGGACTGGGCATTGCTCAGAAGTGCGAAGCCGCATTTCAAATGAAAATACGTTACCAAGGGCCTCGACAGAAGCCACAGGCTGAAGAAACATTGAAGGGGGGAGCAATCTACCATTCAACAGTGGATGAGATGATTACCCATGTCGACTGCATCGTCCTCGCGGCCCCCTATACAAGTGATACGCATCATCTTCTGTCTAAGAGGCAGTTTGAACTCGCCAAAAAAGATGGGATAAGGGTTGTGAACGTGGCACGAGGCAAGATGATCGACGACGATGCACTACTCGAGGCCTTGGAGACTGGGCGTGTTGTTGGGGCTGGATTGGATGTGCATACAAATGAACCAGGTATCAATCCCAAAGTGAGGGATAACTGGCGGGTTACGGTTTTGCCACACATTGGAGTGTGCTCAGCGACAAGCTGGGAGAATTTCGAGAAGATCAATCTGGACAACATTGAGGCTTTTTTTACGACCGGCGAGCCAATAACGCCAGTGAACTATATCAAGTATTAGATGATTCTTTCACATTTAGGCTTAGGAAAATCAGATATGTTTAGAAAGGCAATGAGACATACGCAAATATCCTACATTTGATCTTAACGTCTAACGGATTCTGTCCTGTGTTTCATGCGATGACCATCCGAATGAGAATCTATTGTAGTGGCCGATTTGCACGAGACTAAGCCAAAGAAATGGCCAGGTTATTATAAATGGGACCCACGAGTAAGTGCACGTGTACATAGGGATAGGATTAAATAGGTCGGCCGTTGAGTCGGCAACGACAACCCTGAACCGGCCATTCGATGCGATATAATGCCGACGTCTAGTCCGAGTCCCCGGCATGCCTTTTGTTCTCAACTTCAGTTTTAATGTAACTGACCTCAGCCCCCTTGTCCTTATACCTAACAAATTACTTGAGAGACAGTTAGGCTCATCGACAGTTATCCCCGCCTACTCCGAGCCACTTGAGAATGCGTAAGTCTCAAAGAGAAGTATTGGCTCATATTCGATTACTGACAGAAATATCTTCACATAGCTTCGTTCCTTGTTATTGATGCTGGTATGATCGGCTTATCCACCGCGCTCGAGCTCCGAACCCGGTATCCTGGGTCAGATATTGTGATCGCGGCCAAATACCTCCCTGGCGATTCTGCCCCTGACTACACATCGGCCTGGGGAGGTGCAAACTGGTTTCCAGCAGCACGGGACAATGGGCCACAGGAAGCCTAGGAGGCTATTGGCTACCGGAAACTAAGGGAGCTTGCCTCAACGCGACCAGAGTCAAGGGTTCAGCCCATGAACATTCGATGGAATTACGAGCGCCCGATCGATGAAGTTGGTATCAAAACTCCGGAAACGGGGAAGGTTTGGTTTGAAGAGTTCGTCGGGGGCCTGACCAAGATTGATGAGAAGGACCTTCCCGAGGGCACAAGCTTTGGATTTGAAATGGCTAGTTTTGTCATCAATGTACAGAGATATCTCCCGTGGTATGTTACATAGAAACTATTAGGGAAAATTGTCGCTTATGTTTCTAGGTTACAAACTGAGGCGGAGAGGAGAGAGATCTACATCCATAGACGTATCTTTGGGCATATTCAAGAGGCCCTGGACCTATACCCTCAAGTCAATGCGGTCTTCAATTGTACAGGCATTGGAGCTCTAACCTTAGGTGGAGTTGAAGACAAGGAGATCTTTTCCGCGAGGGTAACTCATGAACTATCTTGGAAAATGCTAGAATCTGCATCTGCTTACCGAGAGATTTCTGTAGGGACGAATCATGCTGGTCCAAGGACCCGAGAAGCCGATCGAAAAAATGTACTTTCGCGCTCCTCACCGTGATGGTGAAGCAACCCACATATTTCCACGTGGGGAACGTGGAGGAGTTATCTTAGGAGGCTGCCGACAGAAAGATAATTGGGATGCGGAAATCGATATGGAGTTCGCAGAGGTTATTAAGAGACGATGCTGTGCTCTTGTTCCTCAACCGGGCAAGCCTGAAGACCTTAAATTAATCAAACACGGTGTTGGATTCCGACGTAAGATAGAACGCTTCATTCCTCCCATCGGTATCTCCCACTTTGCTTCGAAACAAATCTAACGTTATGGCAGCGGGTCGAGATGGCGGCGCTCGTATCGCACCTGAGACGATCAACGGCAGGCTTGTTATCCATAACTACGGCGCAGGAGGAACTGGGTTTCAGGCAGGCTGGTTCGTTTGTTACGGATCAAGATGTTTGAGGTTTCTGCTAATATTGAATTTAGGGGAATGGCACAATATGCCGTGGATTTGCTATCGGACCGCGCAAGAATATAATTTAAGTGAAGCTTGACAGGCGTAGGAGAAAGGAGTTTCATTTAATAAGCAGGGACGAGATATCACAGTCAGGACAATCATAATCGTTTTCCTTTGTTGGAAAAGGAGAGTAGACGAGAGATAGATAATTTTGATGTCTCGAGAGAATGGCCCTCCGAAAACCTCCTGCTTTCGGACTTTAATGAACTGATTCAACGATATCGTTTAATGCACGGTCCATACTGTTCTTCGGGCGATTTCATCGTCGTTCCATTGCCGCACATCCCAGTACCCTGCATCCACAGGTAGTGGCCATGTGGCTTTTGGGGAATAGGAATTACGGTGTCAGTGATAGAAGGACTTGTATGGATAATTCTCTCAGCAAGTGTCCATATCGTTTACAGGTGTCGTTGACTGGCACACCACTCTGGCTATCTACATCGGGCGACGGCTAACTCTTGCCGTGCCGATACGAAGTCACATGCCGACTGCATGAAGGCGGGCGAATCTGTGCCGATCAGTGATACCAGCACAGACGTAGAGATTATTTCATACCCAGAGGCCCTCATGCTGGAAATACCACCTAGGTAATACGGAATACGTGCAATCTAGAACTAGAAGAACATACTGCACAGGGACTTACCACAACATGGGCTCAAAACCGAGAGTAATCACCGTGGCAGCTGCACAGCTGGGGCCCGCCAGGAGTCTCGACACCCCCAGGCAAGAGACACTCGGTCGCATGGTCGCCCTGCTTGACGAAGCTGCTAAAGCGGGCGTCCGGCTGGTTGTGTACCCCGAGCTTGCATTCACCAAATTCTTCCCCTCGCACATCATTGAAGATCCGGACAAGCTCGCCGGATATTTCGAGCCCACTTCACAGGCAAAACCCATGCAGTCATCAACTCGCCCAACGTCAACCCCTTGATTGATAGGGCTAATGAACTTGGCGTCGATGTCAGCTTTGGATTTGGAGAGCGTTTCACCTCTGAAGCCGGCAAAGTGACTGATTTCAATTCCGCAATCTACTACTCTGCGACCCAAAGGAGGGGAATTGCGAAGTATAGAAAAGTTCATCTGCCAGGTCGCGTCGACATCGATACTCGACGCAATGTTATTCAACAACTCGAGAAGCGCTATTTCACACCAAGCGACCTTGGCTTTCAGGCATTCCGGGTACCTGATCTAGTTGACGGCGCGCTGAAGGCAGCAGATGCTGTTTCAGAACAAAACCCGGAAGGAAAGGGAGACCCGATTGTAGGCATGCTCATCTGCAATGACCGTCGTTGGGCTGAGGGATGGAGATGCTATGGGCTTCAAGGAATAGAGATTTTGCTGGTAAGCTCCGAGTCCTAAACCGTGTCGACTTGCCCTGAGCCTTAAAGAAGAAATTAACGTGATTCATCCTCTCATAGGAGGGCTATAATACGACGGCTTATGCGCCTCAATGTGGTGGGGACGAAGCAGAGCAAGAAGCTGAGGCTCTCTTTCACCATCGTCTATCATGCCAGAGCGGCAGCTACACCAACGCGTGCTATAGTATCAACGTCGCTAAGGCTGGCTGGGAGGACCATGGAAAGATGATTGCCGGGTCCAGCATTATCGACCCAAACGGGCACATCATCGCAGAGTCAAATTCATATGAAGATGAGCTGGTCATTGCTACCATCGATCTGGCCAAGTGCAGGAAGGGAAAAGAGAGAGTATTTGCTTTTGGGAGGGATAGGAGGATTGAGCATTATTCACTCCTTTCGGAGCAAGCTGGCGTGGAAGAGCCACCTCTGCTTAGCTAGCAAGCTTCAGATGCACCGTTCTGGTAGAGAATACGAGGCCGATATTTGATCAAATAAGAATTACAAAGTAGCTTCACAGTGTTGCGTCGCATTCAGTATTGTCGGCGGAAAATCGCCGCATCCAACCCGCATAAACATGACGCGCCGGCGATTTCGCTCCGAGATGAGCTGCGGTTCTTTCCAACCCTGAATCGGCGCGAGATAAAGTCAGCCGGCTTAAATACTTATATAAACACACTCATCCTTTGTAAAATCTCAATTCCAGTCAGGCCCGGATCACATCTACTAAATCATTCATCAAATTTGCGGTTGAGCTCACTAGTATCAATCCAAGATGGGACCAACAGACGGATTAGAGGCCAACTTCCTCACAACCCAAGCCCAAGAGCTTCGTCTCTCTGCTACTCTCGAAATCAATGAGATCGTTAAGAGGCAGCTTGACTTGGACAAGCCGGTAGTTCACCTGGGATTCGGAGAAGCTACTTTTCCCATTCCCATGAGTGTGCGAGCTGCGCATGAAGAGGCCAGCGGAAACACTAGCTACCTGCCTGTGGCTGGTCTTTGGAAGCTTCGAGAGGTATGTAGCACGCCACGGATGATTTGAGTGGTTTTTTCCTCTTAATCCATGAGGCTAAGGAACTGTCTACGTCTTATAGTGCGTTGCTCGATTTCAGACTCGCCGACTGGGCTTTACTGTTGGTCCAGAGCAGGTTGTTATCGCACCCGGCTCAAAGCCATTACTTTTCGCTCTTTTCGACATCCTCAGTGGAGATGTATTGCTTCCTCGCCCGTCCTGGGTCAGTTATGAGCCTCAAGTGAAGCACGCTGGGAAGCAACTATACTGGGTTGAGACAGACGAAGAAGACCGCCATACCATCACAGGTGAGTTGAACCATAAGCCCCAAGGACGCATGTAAATACTGACTTGATACTTGGCATACGAAGGCTCGTCTCTAAATTCCGCGTATGACCTGGCTGTTTCGGATGGCAGTGACCCCCGAATCATGCTCATTAATTCGCCTTCAAATCCAACCGGGCAAGCTTTTTCAAGGGAAACTCTGGAAACAATTACATCTTTCTGTAAAGAGAAGAAGATCACATTGATCAGCGATGAAATATACTCCGATATTTGCTATGCTGAAAATTATTCGACGACCTCGTGTACTGAGGACACATTCAACGCGGGCCAAATGGTCCTCACTGGTGGCCTGTCCAAGGTAAGCCATGGCCTTAGCACAGTTCAAGTTTCCCCGTGGGATTTTTCTAACATCTTGATGCAGACTTACTCCGCTGGTGGTTGGCGGGTCGGATTCGCAATCTTCCCTCCTAACGCGTTTGGCACGACTTTGCAGAAAGCAATATTGGCCTACGCTTCTGAGTGTTGGTCTGCCGCCTCGGCTCCCGCTCAAGAAGCTGCGGCCGTAGCCTTTGACACCACTCCGGAGATGGACACTTATCGCTCCCAGCTAAGTAGCCTCCACAAGCATTGCACAATCAGACTATATGAAGCACTGAAGAACTGCGGACTTGCCGTAGCAGCACCAAAGGGTGCCTTTTACCTGTACCCATCCTTCTATCCATATAGTAAGCAGCTGGAGTCACTGGGTATTCATACGAGCCGTCAACTGTCCCGTTGGCTCATTAAAGAGTGTGGTGTGGCAGCGTTGCCAGGGTCGGTATTCGGAGAAGATGACAAAGGTGTACGAGGTGGCCGCTATCGCTTGAGAATGGCAACTAGCTATCTCTATTTCAAGGATCAAGAGGAGCGATACACTCGTGGATATGAGCTATTGTCCCAAGCATTGGATGGAGAAGCCAATGCCGCGATTGAGCTGCCATTACTTGAAAAGGCGATAGTGGCAATAGAGAATGCTGTGGCAAAGCTTAGGAATGTGTAAGATTTTCTCAGCCTCTTCCAATCGAGGAATTCACATTTTGAAATAGAAGGAATTATATTGATGCAAAAAACATTAACCATTGAAAGACCCAGTATCTGGATCTATGGGATATATAGTATGCTCAAGTCTTTCCTAGATCTTAGTCCCAAGTTGGAACGCTTTCATCATTCCGTGAGTCTTGCGGGAAGATATCCCAAAAAGACTGAGGCCCGGAAATCCCTAGAATCTGCCCAAAAGGGTCCACAGTTTCCCAAGGATCGGCCATTCCGAGGTCGAAGAAGGACGAAGAGAAAGGTAACGAGCCAGATGGTTGTGAGTCATCATTCCTATCTCTCTCTCCTAAGGAATGCGTGGCCTCAGATCTGCCTGCGGTAGGAAAGGCGAGCCCGGTAGAAATCGTTCTCTGGATACTGTCGGCAAGAATCTCGAATTGAGCATCTAGCTTGAATAGAAGATCGTCGTTCCAGCGTTCGTTCATTATTGCCAGGCATACGGAGCACTTTCGAGTCCATGCGGGAAAGTCGACCAAAAGAAGAGAGTGGCCTGAAGTTGAAGATATTTGGGAATAGCTTGTTCGGGCGGTCACCGCCATAGTGAGACCTGCGAATAGCACACCCTGTACAAGCATCCACGAGAGGGGAACATTGCTCGCTCGTAAAATCTCAAGAACATTGTCTATGTAAGCACCCGAGGATCGAATACAGCGTTCCAGTGATGTGGCTGAGGGGTTCGGGCAAAGTGGGCTTCTTCTATGAAGCACAAAGGAAGTACCATTGTAAAGCCTGTCCCAATAGCTATTGAGCAGATGATTAGAAAGCAGCCAAGAAAATCAAAATCTTGTAGAGCTTCAAATACCTAAATGGATACAGGGACTGTGGATTTTCCGAGCACAGGATTGTCATTGAAACTCTCCAATTGTCGAGGTCCGACTGCAGGTTTGCTATTTGCTCTTGTTGTAGCTGAAGAGATTGGCCTCGTATGCCAGAGACACTTGAATAAACCTTGCACATGATCTGGCTTTGTATTTGGCGATGAGTGATATATTGGATCGCGAATGCTGTTTGTGTTGAATACAAAGGCAAGTCCGCCGTGATGTGTTCTTCGCTGATAGAAGGAGGTCGTCCAAGATTGTAACACAGGTTTATCTCGATTGAATAGGCTGTCCAAAATATCCGATTCTTCCAATCCAACTCTTCCTCAGATGCATTGCAGTCTTTGGGTTTATTGTGTAGCCCTATCTCAATGGCCGTCTGTTAAGTGAGCTTTGATTCCATAGTTGTGATGCGTAGGAGAAGGCATGCCACTCACTCGCATAGCTAGGCCAGCCATTTGCCACTGGCTGGACTCGATGGGACCATATGAGCTATATATGCAAACAAGGAGAAGTATTTGAATGAATGTGGGACTAGAGTGAAAGTCTTTTCCTAGAGTACTAAAGTATTGTAATGCCACGGAGTAGAGATGAGCCGAGGAGGGCACTGATAAGGAAGCCTCCTGCAAGCTTCTTCTACCTTGATTCGACCCAAGCTGTTTACAGGTGCTTCCATGGTTGGCCGCTCCTAGAGCCATGGCCAAATAGAACACGGCCATCTCGCTACAGCTCTCTGGGCTCTGCACCAACTCCGAGAAGGGTGCATTTTGCAGCGTACCGCATCGTTTTGCAAGAATATCTAGGGCTTCATGGCTCAGTAAAGGATATAGGGGCTGAACCCACATCTCGTAGGACTTTTGAAGCAAGGTGATGACATCCGGCTGAAGAGGTAGCTGGCCATCCGCGAAACGTGCTTGGGCCTGATTTGCGCCTCCTATCTTACCAGGGCGGAGGACAGATGCCATTGCAGGCTCACATGACTGGAAAAGTGCCGTTGCATAACTCGCGAAGAAGGCTCCGCTAGATGGTCCCAGGTATCTCTGCTCGCCAGTAGCATTCAGGGCCAGCAGGCTGATATCCGGTGCGTCGCTTCTTGCTGGAGAATTAACGTCCACGCCACTTAGGTGCTGGAAATCCGTTGGTGAAACAGTATGGCCCTCGAGGTTCCAATTTACCGAGCCAACGGGAGCGTTAAGGGTAGATGGCTCTGGTAGAGAGTCCGGCAGTGCACCATTCATTTGCCGAGGATGCCTTTTTGTGGATGTCCCCGTAGGGAGAATCTTACAATCCATACCGACCTCCCGAGAGAGTTCTTTCTCGAGCCATTCTACTCTCCTTTCGGCTTCCCTAAGAGCTCTAACATGAATGAGGGAGTGGATGAAATATGCGCAGGAGTAGAATCACAGCTCACCGTATGGTGTCCGCTTTTCTAAGTCTGTTATAAAGCTCGCATTGGACAGATGCTTCGTTGCATTTCAGGCAGTTTGGAAAACCAGTGCACTGAAGAGTGTAAGCAATCGGCTTCAAATCGCCGAACCACGGCCAGCGGCGAGAATGGCATGCTTCTGACCTTGACCTTCTTCCTGTGGCATCGCACACACGCTCGGACTGCGGCTTCAGCCATGATTTCAGGTAATCCTCGAGTAACCAACACTTATGATGCAGATGTGTGGCGGTGGGCGGCACTTCGACCCAACTCATTCAGCAGGAGATAATCTGAGAGCGCCTTGGCAAGAATGAAGATGCAGAGGCAAACTCGATTTCGCCCGACTTCGGAATATTGTGGGGAGGAATCTGTCTCGGCGAAAAATCGCCGAGCCACTTGCCATCAGTTCCAGCCTTCGTTCATCCCCATACTACCTATATTACATCCAGAGATGCACATCTTATGATAGGTATACTCAAATCTTGATTCAAGCCATAGATAGCAGATGAATCTTTCAGAGTACCATGACGTTTGCGCTGCATCTACCAGGCATATTGCTCGCCAAACGTCTCACGGTAGTCCATGCCAGTATTGCAAAGAACTAACGCCTGTGAAACCGGGGATCGATCTCAAGTTGTTAAGGCAGCGTATGAAATGCCAAGCATTTCTTTAATTTATTTCAAATGCCAATTTTCCAACAGCCCGGACTGTACATACTGTCTTGCCAGGTTTAGGATTGTGTCTTCCCTCACATCAATTCGCCAATAAGAAGCCATTAAGTGGATGCAGAAGCTAGGCTATGAGTAGAATAGTTTTCCGAACGAGCCAATTACGATGATCATAGCTATTTTACCCATGTCCTTGTTACCCCAGTGCTCCATTGTTTGGGTGGGCTTCCTGGGCTGGTTCGATATCCAGCCAGTTGGGCCAAACAACTTTCTGAATTAAGAAAATGAACCAGTCAAGTCAAGATGATGATTTCAAATCAAAGGGGAACGTAGATATGATTTATCAGCAATTTGGACTGTCTTTCGTCTTGGGGCCGTTTTATCAATATCGGTTCTATAAATACGGTGTTGCCCAAGCTTTCTGTGGGAGAATATCAACGAATTCTCCTCTTTATATAAAATTTGACATCAACCTTTGAAAAACCGATACTATCAACATGTATACATCAAACGGCCTTCAAGTCATTTTCGGGGCGGCCGGCATTGGCCCCGAGGCCTTTCGTGATGTTGCGAGAGAACAGCTGGATGTTCTTTTGGCCGAAAACATCACGGCCCTGGATACTTCCGAGATGTACCCAGGGTGCGAGGATGAGCTTGCATACCTAAAAGCTACGAGCACATTCGAGATTCATGCCAAGGTCGCTGGAGGTGCTAGCCCTGGAAGGCAGTATGATGCAATCATCGAAGCCGGCCGAGAACGTCTTCGAAAGCTAAACGTGGGCCAGGTTGGTGCTATATCCTCCTCTTTTACTCACCCATAACTATTACTGACGCGAAATGCGTACAAGGTCGAAATCTTTTATCTTCATGCGCCTGACAATTCGGTGCCTGTATCCGACCAAGTCAAAGCATACGATGCCTTGTACCAACAGGGTGCATTCAAGTATCTCGGTCTCTGTAATTTCACACCCGAGGAGTTGGAAGGATTCTACAACGCTGCCAAGTCGAACAATTGTGTTCTTCCAACCGTCTACCAAGGCTCGTACAGCGCCGTTAGTCGTGTTGCCGAGACGGAGCTCATTCCCCTACTTCGCAAGCTGGGAATCCGCTATGTTGCATATGGGCCGATCAGTGGCGGCCTGCTGGCAAAGTCTAGAGAGGAACTCCTGAGGGGGACCGGGCGGTTTGACCCCAACAATTTCGTTGGGACGGTCTACAATGCCCTGTTCAACAAGCCTCCCTACCTCAAGGCGCTGGATGCGTGGGGCGAAATTGCTGGGCAGGGGGGAATTTCGAGGGCCGAACTGGCATATCGATGGATCATCTTCCACTCCGCACTCAGTGGTGATCATGGCGACGGAATCATCTTCAGCGCAAGCAGTGTTGCCCAATTGGAGAATACCATCAAGTTCTTCAAGGCAGGGCCACTTGAAAGTGATATCGTTAAGCGGGCTGATGCCGTGTGGAAGATCGTAGAGCCGGAGGCCCCTCTGGACAACTGGCACGGATACTTAAAAGGGTTATTCTAAATGATCTGATTTTGAGTAGAAATGTACTCTTCTACCAATTCACATTCCACACAAGTTGAATTCAATATATGGACTAGAATGGCTCTGCGTTGAGGTGCGGCTTTCTGGTGGCTGACCTTATTGCATCTGTCTGGCCCCATAACAGAAGCATTTGGAGAGAATGATTGATGTAAGGTGCATATGTTGAATTCAAGGTAGAGGATAACTTTCATATCGGCCACTGACGACTTGTTCGCAAGTTTAATGATATTTGTTTTGTTCAATTGATATTATACGGCAAAGATATACACAGATAAGAAGATAACCTCAGGCATGTTCTCAACTTCCGACCTTCATGAATTGGTCAAAGAAGAATGATCAGCTTGGTTTGTAATTCCTCATTCCACCCACGGTAGCCTTAAACAACACAGAAACTATATCCATTAGGCAATTCTCAAATTGCGGAGACGCTTCGCATAAAATCTCTAAAATATGGAACGAACATAGGCCGTAACGCGACTGGCCAGTGTCTGATCCGAGTCATTCGAATCAAACGTCCTGCCAGACTCGCTCGAGCGTCGGCTCTGGTTTCTGATGTCGTCGACAAATTTTGGCCACGTGTTTGTCAGAACCAGGTACTTGATTTGACTGCATGTGCTATCGAAAACAAGATCATCGAATCCTGGTGGAATGTCTCCAGTGTACTTGGCTCGTAGGCGCGTAGTGCTAGAGTTGCTTCCCGAAGAGCATCCATCGCTTGTTCCAGTAGGTGGAGGTTGCTCAACGTCAAAAGGAGTCGCGGTGTTGACCACTGGCTCACCGCACAGAATGCGAGTGGGTGCCTCGAATATGTCTTCAAGCCGCCTGAGCTCTGGCCCTGACAGATTGAGGGGAAATTCGGCGTCTCGAGGGCTAATGAAATCGGTGTAAAGTTGGAGCGCAGCATTGTAAGCGTCCAGCTCTTTCTCTCCCCGGAAATCACCAGAGAAGGTACTCTTCCACGCAGCAGCCCGGGTTAGAAAGGCGATATTCTCCCCGGAAAAGTCGCTAAGAGCCGAGAAATTCTGGAGCGGAGTGGGATTCTCCCTGAGGACGTAGTCGAGAGCACCGATCGTGTAGAGGTGGTCACTCATCTCGTTATTAAGGAGGTTGTCCATGATATCGCTCTTGCCCCTACTTGACGTCGACCCCTTGCGCTCTTGATCAGATAACTGGACAGAGCCGAACACTGTTATCTGGGAAGATGATTCCCATTTCTCGTTAGAGGCCGCCACCTTTCGGCGTTGGATGTTCAACTTGATCACCTGGAATACTGGGACAAAAACAGTGAAGATCTCGAACATCATAACTGATAGATGGATCCTACACAATGTCAGTACAACTATTCTGGCCATGCTTCTTCGGTATTTGGGTTGAGAAATTCTTACCATTGACTAGGAGGGTAGTACATATTGACCGACGCAAAGGCGGGGACATATTGTGCGATGAGAAACATAGGCGTGGCGTGAAGGCTGTTCAATGGTCGGTCAGTGTCTTTAGATCCTGACACGAGGTAGGTCAGTAACTTACTTAGAGATACAGCAACCAATGGTCTGAGCCCTCCATCCCATGGTATCACGAATGCCCCAAGCGCGCCAGAGCAGATAAGGTGCCACCTGGGGAGGTAATCAGTATGAATGAATCGAAAAGGGACACGACGGGCCACCTACCATCCATGTCCAGATGACCTGCCAAAGGACTGAAGGCCACCATTCCCAACCTCTACCCAAGTCGACCATTTGTTCTGGAAGCGTTGCGCCTCGGATCTCGGTCCCTGGGATGCCGAATGTAGGATGATACTTGCGGCAGGCAAGCCACATGCCGATGGTTAGAAGTACCTGGAACACCATCAGCATGACGAGTCGTCGTAAGATTATTCATGGGAGCAACATACCTGCGCGATCATACCGAGGCCAATGAGAGTCATGATTCTGACTGAATAGCTCATGTTTCTGAAACGGCAAATCCACGATGACCGTCCGCCGTCGCATTGTACTTGGACCCGGTGGTCGTTAGTGAACTGCTTTTGTAGCTTGGCTACGTAAAGAAATCGGCTATTAGAGGCGTGAAATAAGGCAATGCCCAAAGGGAACCAGATGCCCATGAAGAAGTACTGAATATCGTAGGCAAGAACAACAGGCATGGTGCCCCCGATGGGGTAGACAAGTTGGGCGAGGACCCAATACAAATGTAGAAAAAGGATTGCTGTAAATGAGAGTGGGAGGCCACGGATTTTGAGAATCGGGTTATTGCGGTTATACCAGCAGAATGCCATGCCGGCAAAGACGAAGGTGGTCCATATGCAACAGAAGCATATAAAGAAGATCCCGATGTTGTCCCATTTTGGCGGGCTGGGCGGGAGGTTGTAGATAGTGAAGTTTGGAACTCCGTCCATGCTGAACAGATCGATTTTGGGCCGTCAATGAGTGTGAGGAGTTAGAAAGAATGACGAAGTGAACAGAAAGGGAGCGGCGATTATAAAAAAGAGTGTCTGGATGTCTCAACTTTGTTGCCTTGACGGGAAGAGAGGCTCGTTCTCCATGTGGTGAGAATCTGAAGGGGGACCTGGCGGTTAGATAGAAACCGGATTGACCAAGCGGCGGCCTCACTCGGTGCTTTAGGATCGTCTATCGCCGCCTCCTTTTTTCTTTTTCTTGATCGCGGCTGGGGTTAGACCAAGACATGCAAGAGATTTTAGGCTCGCGTCCCAGCTTTTGAGACCCTTGTCTTTCCCCTCATGAGGCCCCGTCATTCTGCTTCCCCGGTTCTCCTCGGCCACTTGGCATTTGCTTTATTTGCTTGCCGCAAGAACAACTGGATGCTGGCACTAGATCTCGCCTAGGTAGACTGAAGCTGGGAGGGCACAGGCACAGTTGGGTTGGCTGAGTGTGAGGCTAATGGCAGAGCCAAGAAGCCCCAGCTGAAGATCAACATAGTCCGTCAAGTCTAGACCGGCAAATACAAGGTAGATCTCAGATTCAGAGACATTCGGTCATCGCGTGGCGCCTCCATTTCCTTGCCGGGAGTAGCCCTGCTCTTTGACCACAATCCTGGGTGGATTTGGGCTTGCCTGCCGCTCGTCCTAGTTTCCTGGATTCTGCGGCCGGCAAATGAGCGGTACTGTTGCCTTCTTGGCAAATGTTACTGAGCGAGTTGGTGACCAAATGGTGGGTGCAAGGACCAAGACTTGGCTTCGAGGAACCCCACGCGGTAAGGGCCAGCTCCGAGATTCAGGAGTATGATGCAAGATTGAGCGTAATTAGTACGCGGTTGGCGATTGATAGGCAGACTTGCACCGTAGTTGGTGCCTTGTCGATCATGTCGTCAGTAACCACAGTAACCAAACACATGGGCCGACCATGATTTATCCATGTTGTTAATCTCTTTCTTCTTTGCATACGCGTAGTTAACCCCAGTTACATTGCTAGCAATAGCCGTATTACCTCCCTTCCGGATGTCGATGTGAGTGATGTCCAGTCGTATGCCTCGTGATCGACGTTATCCCTGCAGCAATGCCACGATCGAGGCAGGCAAGGTGTTGATTCGATCCCACATTGCGCACCGTCGCTGTGGGATGTACGCTAAGGGAAAAAGTAAAGAAAAATTGCACTTGGCTAAAGCAGTAGAAGAAAAAGAAACGACCACAATTTGCACAAATCAATGCGTGATTTCGGCAACTAGCGTAAAAAGCAAGGTTTGGGATCGACACGCTCGGACAAGACTCCTGTTCTTAGCATTATTTGGATCCCACGTCTATCCTTTGGGTGGTTACGTATAAGATCGATGGGGCGGGCAGCCCTTTCTAGTGGACGAAACTTGCTTTTCATGACAATCTAGCTGACAAGAACTTGCCTTGAGGTAGGTAGTTAAAGTTTCCTTCGAGCTTCAGGGCAAAGATGTTTGGCTGGCCTCCCACTTCTACCAACTTGGCCACCACTGCTTTACCGCTTGGTTTGGTATATTAGGCCGATATTGCAAAGTAGGATCTGCTACTACCCACCACTAGTCTACAAACCATATCTTCCTAATAGGCTAATCGAAGCTCTTCGTGATACAGCCCACGTGGTAAGTAAGATGGTTATTTCGTGGGGATCTGCCCTAACCGTCTCTCGCCGTGGCAGGCAGTAGCGGCAGGCCTGACTTAGGTGTCATCCATACCCATAGTGAACTTGTAGAAAGCGGACCTGGTTGTCTCTTATGATCATATCATATCATGATACAGGCTGCGACTACGGATGGTAATTCATGCATATACATGTAACTTCGTCATTTCAAACACAAATTAAAGAATAAAGTACCAACGCACCTATATCCTTCATAGTTAAGTTACTCTTTGCAATGAAATAATTTGGAAATTGAAAATGCAATGACTTATAATTAAAATGAATATTCGTGAGAATAAACGTTTCCAAATTCTGGCATACCACCCTCAGCTGATACTGCACGGAATTATCTGACGCCACAGCTGATATTCAGCCGCGCCCCCAAGCAGTCGGCCCAGGACATCGCCATTCTCGTCGAGAGAGCCCTGCTGGATCAGACTGTCGACTGGCCTTCCAGCAGCGTTTCGCTTGGCAACATCAGCTTCCAAATCCAGGTCGACAACCTCGGCAGCAACCGCTTCAAGATCACTTGGTGGAACTCGGATGCCGCCAACTCACGGCGCAAGATCAAGCTCACCTTTAACGCGGGCGATGGCACCCGCCTCTACGGCGTTGTAACCTCGCCCCAGACAAGGGGCAACGCCGAAGTCACCAAGCGCGGCACCCAGTTCCGTGCTATATTTGACCAAGAGTTTACAATAGCCTCGGTGGGTGATTGCTTTGGGGAGAAGTGAGGAAGCAAAGTGGGCTCGTTAGGTGTGGGGAGGTTCAGCAGATTCAGTCTCCAATTAGGTTTGCTTGTTGAACTTAGGATGAGTTGGATGTTTTTTGGTTTCTTTGCTTTCCTTCTATAGCTTACCATGCCGGTAGCCCCAAAAGCATGTAGATCCAAGCTCACCGGTATCCTAGACATGGAATGGAGATATATTCTTTGCACAGGTTAGAAGAAAAAATACCCATCACGGGATACTTTATTGATTCGGCAGAGCCTGTGAAATGGAAGGCAACATCGCACTCACCTCGATTCGGCTCGTTGGGTCCGAGCTGAGGCTCCGGTCATATATCAGTGGGCGACCCGAGTGGGAAAACAATTACGATAATAATGGGCTCAATTACAAGCCAGATAATAGCCACGAGCCGATACTTCTTATCTAGGCAGTCTTATGCACCTGTCTTCCACCAGATACAATCAATTTTTTATGGATGATTCCCTCCTAAGTCATATCATCTTTTGAATCATTTCTTGCGATTCTATTAGGGTCTTTGACTCTTTGGAGCTCTTGGGGCTTTCTTGATTTTTGAGAAAATCAATCCTTTTCTCAATGCTGTCCTCCAATATCTTGTGATGGGTGCTCTTCTAGAAATTCTCTTGGAGTATTTAATCCAAGATCATTCGATAGGCCTCAACATCACCCCCGTGCTCACTTACAACATGCGCCAAGTACCTCCTATATCTTTATACTTAATTCTCGTCCACATGAAGCACGGCTTCCCCCGCAGCGCTGTGGATGCTGTTCATTACGTTTGCATATTGGCGTCTTCTCTTACAAAACGGACTCAGATTATACTAGGCATCTACCTAAGGATAGGGTTTGTCCTCCTCCTAAGCTAAGAGATACAGTCTCTGCTTGGTAGGATCGCTTCTGTGGCTTACCTACATATCTGTGTGCTGCGTGTCTTGCGCTGTCCAAATACAGTTTCTTGTTCGTGTTCGCTTTAACGCCAGCGAAAGAGGTCATTAAATGCCATCCACCATCCACACTACCCCAAGGCCGTCGTCAACACTCGACAAGCCTAGGAAAAAATCACAGAGTGAATCAATCGTTGGAGAGAATGGATTCAGGGCAAATCCTTTTTCACTGAGTCCTAGGGATCACTGCTTTGGCGCCATTGCTTCGAGGCTCTTTCCAGAGCAGTAGATACGCGTATTCTCTTGATCAGGATCTGAATGCTGGGCGGGACGGAGTTGCGGCAAACCCATGATCCTTCGTGCATATTGCGACGCATTTCTCGGGGATTCAGCCAATGGATCAAGGCAGCGCGGTGATGACAATAACACCATCCGATTTGGAGCTAGCTGAATGTTTGCTGGTCCTGTGTCACAGGCTCGGGGAATTGGTTAGCGGACATCGGCTTTGGCGGCGGATTTATCACTCGTTGACCTCATAAGGACGCCCTCCCTGTCGCTGTCTCAGAACTCTCTCAATCACAACAATTGATCCTTCGTCCACTCCTCGCATCATGTCACAGCTAGTAGGACTGTTGCGCCGAAACTATCGCGCGACGGTGAGCCCGCCCGTTGCGACAAAGAGCGACCAAGCACTGCACTTTGGCATCCTGGGCGCTGCCAACGTCGCGTACGCAAACACTCCCCGGGACCAAGGCTGGATGAATCGTGTCCGGCATTCAAGCAGCTAACATTCCTCTCCAGGCCGTATGCGTTCATCTCCCCCGCCAAGTCGCACCCCGAGGTCGTCATCCAAGCTGTCGCAGCACGCGACCGCGCCAAGGCCACAGCCTACGCAGCCAAGCACGGCATCCACGAGGTCAAGGACAGCTACCAGGCCATCCTCGACGACCCCAAGATCGATTGTGTCTACATCCCTCTTCCCAACGGGCTGCACTATGAGTGGGCGATCAAGGCCCTGGAGGCAGGCAAGCATGTGCTCGTGGAGAAGCCGTCAGTCTCCAATTCCAAGGAGGCCGAGCTGCTGTTCAACTCGCCGCTCCTGAAGGAGCCCAACAGCCCGGTCATCCTCGAGGCATTCCACTACCGCTTCCAGCCCCACTGGCAGTTCTTCCTGACGCTTCTCGATCAACCGAACATTGAGTTGGCACACACCTCTGGGTTCGTGCCCTCCATCATCTTCGGCAAGGACGACATCCGGTTCCAATTCAGCCTGGCGGGCGGCGCGCTAATGGACCTCGGCGCTTACGGCGTCAGTGCGCTGCGGCAGACGTTTGGCGTCGAGCCGGAGGAGTGCCTCGAGGCTAACTTCAACATCATGCCAGGCACAGAAGGCAAGATCGAGCACGGCTGGAACGTGAAATGGCGCATGGCAAATGGGGGGACGGCCATTTCCGAGGGCAGTCTCCAGGCCAAGCTGACACAGTTCGGGGCCCCTCGCGTGGCCGTCACACACCGACAGAGCAAGGTAGAGGAAGAGGGCCTGCCGTCGGGCCAGGAGAAGTGGGTGATTCGGAAAGTGGTGCTCTTCAACTTCATGGTTGGGACTTTCTGGCATCGGATCGACGTTGAGGACAACTTCGAGCTCCGCGAGTCGGAGACCGGCAAGGTGGTCAAGAAGTGGACGGAAAAGACGTCGCGCAAGGCGTATACTTTCAAAGAGGCTGGTCTGGAGGGCCCTGGGGAGGACTGGTGGATGAGCTACAGGCATCAGCTAGAGCAGTTTGTCAATCGCGTCAAGGGGAGAGAGACGAGGACGTGGGTGGCGAGTGAGGACAGCATTGCGCAGATGAGGATGATTGACATGGCCTACGAGAAGGGCGGCTTGCCCATCCGCCCATCGAAGCAGGATGTTGATGGGAAATGATGCGAGCCAACGAGCGATACCATTAATACTTCTGTTGGATTGCAGCAGCGAGCAAACAAAGGCCTTGAATGTGATGTGCTGTTGATATGCCAGTGCGGTGCAGGGTAGATAACAATTTAATCAGTAATGAGGCAGCAAGTGGGTGACACTGGAAATGAATGGCACACCCAAATGAAGACCCAAATAATCACCTAAATAAACACCCGAATAACATCTAAATATCTAAACAAATAGCTCATTCTAGATAGAGATTAGATAATATCGATATTTAGGTTTGGATATTCTGTTCCTTTACATTTTATAGCGAGTATTGAAAGATAATAGATCAAGCTGATTAATAGAGTGCTTCAGTGTGCCATTTCCACTTGGCAGGTGCCGAGAATCGTCGCGCCTCCTTGAAAGACGCTAAAATTATGGCGCTTTAGCTGCTGCGCCACACGCATCAAATAAGATGACGTTGTTTGAATCCTTCAACTTCATGATATGATCAGCTTTCAACCTGGCAGCCTTGTTGCCTTTTCATGTCATTGTAGCATTGCTCATCAGCTCCGCTCAAGATGCCGTCAACATATGCAAAATCGAACCACGACCTGGGCGTCCAGGTCGAACGCTCCAACTACCTCCCCGGAGACACCGTCATTGGGACCATCCATCGGAGGAATGCCATGGTCTGCCCTGAAGCCACCGTCGATGTCGTGCTCCGTGGACGGACCAAATCCAAAATGGTCGTGAGAAGGAACAACAATAGCCACACCTATCGCGGGCGCTTCACCCTTCTCAATTCAGGCCAGAAGGTGTTCCAGGGGCCGGTGCACATCCCCGAAGGCGCTGGTGAGCCACAGCAATGGGGGTTCGCCATCACCATTCCCACAAACATCGATTCGCGTCTGTTTCCGCAGCAGTACGACGCAGCCGAGTCATATATCCCCATTGACCCTGCATCAGTCGGCCAGATGCCCCTCCCTGCTTCTTTCAGCTCTGGATATGGCCGAAGAGAGGCTTTCATCGAGTACTACATCGAAGCTACCATCCGATACCAGCGAAAAGGCTCGTGGCACACGGAGACGGCCGTGGTGCCAATTCATGTCACGCCCCTCAACCCCAACCCTCCAATCGCTGATTTCAACCTACTCGGTCGTAGGATTCAGCAGTCCGTCTCCACTCAGCGTCTGGTCCCGGGCATGGAGAATGTGGAACTATCTAAGAAGGAGAAGATGAAGAAGTTTTTTGGAAGCTCGTCGGTACCGAGATTCGCGTTTAGTCTAGAGCTCGCTGCGCCAAGGTTACTCCAGATCAGCAATTCTCCCATACCCTTCTCCATGCGTATCGTGCCTATGTGGTCGGCTACAACCGAACTTATCCGGGATGTGCCCCAAAAGGCGACGCTCGTAACCTTCAGAGCCACGTTGGAGACACACTGCAACATCAGATGCGAAGGTGTGTTCCGCCCCCACGAAGCATACTGGAGCGACACATTGGATCTACAGAGCGAAGGGTTTGGAGACCGCCCGCTCTCAGTTGAGATCCCCTGCGCGATAGGTAATACTCCGCCGGTAGATGTTGGCAGTGTGATTCGACTTCGGCTTCCGGCCAGAGTATCACCAGGATTCACCACATTCAACGTCCGAGTTAGCCATACATTGTCTTGGAAGGCCAAAATTGACATAGCCGGAGAGAGCTTCACCGTCCGCGCAGCTCAAGAGGTGGTCGTGATCCCAGCCAGCAGCGACGGAGCCAACGGGCAGGCAGGACTGGATGACGAGACGGCACAGTCATGGATTGTACCGCCGGATGAGATGGCGCCTCCCCCAAGCTTCGCCGAGGCACAGAGGGAAGATAGCAAGCAGGAAGCATCTGATAAAGGAGCCTCTGAAATCGTGGGATCGAGTAAGGCTGATATTGCCGCCATTGAAAAGCGAGTAAACATGAATAACGCAGCACCCTCGAACGATAAGTTGTAGTAGGGGCTGTTTTATTGCAAACTGCGAGCGAGATAGTTTGGTTATTGTGACATTAAATGTACAATATTAAATTAAAGCGATTGTTGAGGGAGAATAGCCTCTGATACCCTGCCCACATAGCGGCTCCTACTCTGAGGGTCGTTGGAACTTGGAACAGGGTGTGGAAACAAAAGGGCGGTAATTAAGACACTATTGCCTTCATTTCCATAAGAAAACGCGGTTCTTTATACTCTTTCTAGGTATATTTATCTATCACTCTTTCATTCATATCGATCCAGAACTAGCATACATCAGCTTTGATGCACAGTGTTAAGCTAAAATTGCCTTCCTAATAATCCGTGCTGGCCGTGATCTTTTCAAACTTCTCAACGGTATCACTGAGCATAGCCACCTTCTTCTTCAACATGCCGTAACAGTCCGACCCCATCGGCATCCTCAACTGGTCCTGCAAGCCGGCAGCCATCCCCGTGCCCGTCACCAACTCGTAAATCCTCTCGACCCCAAGCTGTGGATTGCCAGGCTGGCTCCCGTGTATGGCACCCATGGCGCTGCCAATGTCAACATACCCTTCCTTCTTCTGTCCCATGTTCCTCCCCTCCGCCACCGGTTTTAGGAAGTCAGTCCTGAAGATGCCCGGCTCCACCAGATGGACTCTGATGCCAAACGGCTGCAGCTCCGAGGCCATGCTCTCCGTGAGCCCCTCGACGGCAAACTTGGACGCACAGTAGACTGCCCCGCCCGGACTGCCGAGGAGACCAGCCCCGCTGGAGAGTTGGACAATCACTCCGGACCCTTGCTTCCTCATGTGGGGGATCGTGGCTCTCGTGAAGTTGTACAGGCCGAAAAAGTTGACGTCGAACTGGTACCGGACCTCCTGGGAAGAGATCTCCTCGACGGCGCCCACGTGGGCGAACCCGGCGTTGTTTACGAGAACGTCGATGCGGCCGTGTTTTTCGACGATCTGATCGATGATGCCGGAAATCTCGGCCTCGGGCGCTGTCATTTCGATCTGCATGAGGACTGCGGAAGAGGTTTGGAGGGCCTTGGGGAATTTGGCGACGCTCCTTGCCGTGGCGATGACAGTGTCACCCTTAGCTAGAGCGTGCTGTGCAAGTAGGAGGCCGAAACCCGAATTAGCGCCAGTGATGAACCAAACTAAAGGGGCCATGGTGGTGTTTTTCGATTGGTGGTGGTAGATGAATGTCAAGTTGTTTGTAGTGAATATAGAGCTTGAGACAGGAATTTTTATAATGGGTGATTCTATAGTAGAGATTACAAGCTGAGGTATTGAGACAGAGTCCTTTATATATCTTGTTTTGGCTCTGGAATTTTGATTATCAATTATTGTCCTTTTCCCGACGATTCATCTATTTCCCGCCACTGGTCGGGTTTGGCATCTCGAGTGTCATTGCTGACGCATATGTCCACCACTAATCATATCCAACCAATTCGATCTCTTGTCACCCAGGTATCAGTGGGGAGCACACGGGTGAGTCAAAGTGAACAGCAGCTAATTAGATATTACTATCTATCGCCTGTGTTCAATGTTTTTATTTCTTGGTTACAAGTTAGAAGCTTGGCAACGTAAGATCAAAGGTCCAACTATCAGACATAGCGCCAATACATTACTGATTCGAGGCTTTATCAATTAGATTGACTCGAATTTTGAGGAATGTACCCATTGCCTCCCAAAATATCCGTTCTCGCCTTACCGCCACTCATTCATAGGCAAACTATTCCCAACCCCCCCTTGGAGTTGAGTGCCTGACTTCCTGTCTAAACATTGAGCATGAACTTCTTCTCGGGCGGGATGCAAGCAGGCTTGTGGTTGGCCCATTGCGCTTTCTGGCATTTCTAAACGGTGAAAATGGTTAGTCTGAATCCGTCAGATAATGGGAGAGAGGACATACCTGGGAGCAATACCAGGCGCCACGGCAGCGAGAGCACCTCTTGGGAGCGAATCCAAGATCAACCTCGCTCCGGCCACACGTGAAGCAGCTGGGCTCCTGAAAGTCCCGCGGGGCACCGGCGGTATAGTTGTCCAGGGCGTTGAGGAACTGAACCCGACCTGGTTCACGGAATCCATGGTCAAACAGGGGCAGGGCATAGCGATGGTTGCAATGGATTTTGGGAACCAGCCCACGAAGGTACTGGATGTGATTGGGCTTGATCTTGGCACCTGCACGCATCATGAGGGCCCCGGCGATGATGATTCGGTATGGGCCGTCAAAGGTGTTCTGCTTGGCTTGGGCGAGGACCTTTTCGAAGAAGCAGTCTCCGAGACCCGAATCGAGCTGGGCGCGGACTTCGGCGACATCTTGTTCGAGGATGGGCTTGTACTCGTCGGTTTGGTAGAACATCAGGGCTTCTTGGGGGGCTAGCATGTCGGTTTGGTGGACCATTCTGCTCAGTCTGAGGGGTGTGCCCTTGAGAGTCTCGCCTAGATCGCAGGCAATGTCAATGTCATGGTCACCTTCGAAAAGACCTGGGAGGGAATGTGATTAGCAATGATGGCGGCTGAGAAACGGTATGCAGATTCTCGGCGAGCTTACGATGCCCCCAGCGACCCATGATGGAGGAGTTCAGGAGGGGACGGTGGAGGGGAGATCTGCAGTGGTGTCTCTGCAGCTGGGCAGATGATGGCAGATTATTCAAGGACGGTGAACGATGGTCTGTGCAGAATTTGGATCTTTGGGCGGAAGAATGTAGGAGAAAAGAGAGAAAAGAAAAATGAAAAGATGGAAGGAGAGATGCAGGTGAGTTTGGGCAGCAGCCTCAGGCAGACATTCACTTTGGTGGTCGCACAGGTATTTGCAGGTACCTACAGGCAAAACACTCACGTTGTTTGGCGGTAATATGCGCAGTTGAGATACATCAAAGTACTCCAAAGACACTGAGGGTAACACAATCAAAATTCAGCATGTTTGATCGTCTGGTGACCTTCCCTCAAAGTTTCAGCCGCGGATGTCCGTCATCGATCGTTCCCAGAGTTTAGGGGTTCCAAACGCGATTTCAAGGTACAATATCTCTATCTCCTGGTCGATTAACCGCCTACATCTTGCAGTGGTCTCCATAAGTGTTCCTCTAAATTCTCTATAGATGGGACTTGAGAAACGGCCATTTATATAGGAGGGAGGGAAGTACTCTCCCTACCAATAGCGCTGGAATATCGATACGAAAATGAGACTTGGATTACTAACCATAGAACCGGATATCGCGTTCTTAAGAGAACTTGGCTTAAAGGTCACTTAGATCACGAATGGTGGGTTCGAACTGAGCCATGCTAGCAATCTTCTTGTTGAAGCAGAATAATAAAGGATTTTTCGACTCTTTTCCTGTTTTCTGCCTCTTTTTTCCCCTTGTCCTTGTTAGATGATGAGAGTCTGGCCGCGACATAGTCATACTCGGGCATGTGCAGCTTCCTAGTTTTTGTTTCCCATAGTACATATTATCAAGGATGCTGCAGGTACTTCTATTCAATTAGGTCTAGGTTGGTATATTAGTAGAACACTATTTAATCAGAATCAAGGAGTTTGTTTCTTTATTGACCATCAATGGTGTTGTCCTTGCACATATCCAACAGTTGGGAATGTATGTGAGAAGCAAGCCTGTTTTCCTCAACCTGGCCAACCAGTACTGCAAGCTCCCGCCTAGATTCCGCGTCGATGCTTACCGGTTGAGTAGCTCTCGATACACTGCTCGCAAGAAGGTCCATGCAGTCACGGTACACGTCTGCATTCTGCGACCGATCAGCGAATATAGAGAGTATGGCCGCGCAGTCTCTAATGGCACGGTCAACAGCCTTTGATAACGTAATTTCCCGCCGCCAGACGATGTATATCATCGTGACACCTATTTGGAATATAAATAGCATCTTAAGAAGATCAGCACACCGTTGCGTTTTTCCTTGTTGATTAACGTACATCAAACCAGTGCCTGGGCAGATGTTTTCTCTTTTGGAGAGCCCTAAAGGTTGCACAAGCGTCACAGCAGGCTTGAAGAAGCTCATCAACGATTTCTGATGAGGCTTCGATGGAGATGGAGCTGTACAGCAGGACTCGGGTCATGTGTCCGACGTAAACCACGCCAAGAGGGCTCGCATGCCCCTCCCTATTCGGATGACTGCTTCTGTTGTCAGCCCAGTAAAGTTATAGGTTTCAAAGACATACTCATTCGCAAACACCTCATCACTCTTAGCCCATTTGTCGATCTCGGCCCGCAACTCACGCAGACGCAAAATCTTGGAATCTGGAGGTAGTCGTCGCGTTGTGGTAAGAATCTCCGAATGAAGCCGTCTGATGCGGCACATATGGGCAAAATAACGTAGATCAAAATTGTAGAGCACTCCATCTGAGAGACCCGGTGAATCAGCAGCCCAGGGCATGAAGAATTGAGGGTCGGGCTTGGCTTCGTATGATGGTGTCTCAATCCATTCGTCCGGTGGATAAGGGGGGATGCGTAGTGTTATCGCCACAACTTTATCCAGGCTTTAATTTAAACATTGTTAGATAGATACTACCCAGGAACGAGGTATTAATCCCACCAGTATATGGACCACCAAGCTTTGATCTTCATATCTGCTTCGTCAGTCCCATCGTTGGTTAGGCGATGAAAGCCATGCAGGACGGCAAAACGCATCGCCACCCCGACGATATGGACGATCCGCTCAGTGTTTTCGCCATGGAGTGCGAGGAAGGCATGGAGAAGCAAAAACTGGATTCTCCGAGACGGGTTCAAAGAGTCATCCGATAGAATGCTTTGTTCTTGAACATCAAATCCCTGGCGCTGTCGGCGGGCTGTGTGATCGAGCCATGCGTTTTGTAGGATGGCACCATTGGCGATGATCTGCACGCGTCAGTGAATTTGAGCCATGAAAGCAGGCTGAGTACATACAAGCTTGAGAAGACACATGGGCCAGTCTCTGTTGCTACAGGTTTTAATCTCGCCCGTTTTCCATTTGAAGTATGCTGTGCTGCACTCCTCCACGTCGAGAAAGGGATAGCGAGGTGAATGGTCTCAAAGTACGTCTGGAAGAACGAAGCGCATTCACGAACCGAAACATCAGCCATTGCAGCGTCCGCTGATGGGTCTACTGTGCAGTAGCTTCTTGGTTCTACCGTGTTGATTACTTGTGTAGTTGGTTCCTGGACGATAGAGAACAGGTTCTCATCTGGGTATGAGAAGTCAAAGGGAAAGGCTGTGTTTTCGTGGGAGTGTATTGGGGGCAGACAGAATGCGTTTATGGGATCATTGAAGCCCTGGATCTCTGCGTAGATGTTTCCTTGTGTGTTTCGAGCCAGAAGGGTACTAGGACCAGTGTGTACTTGGGCCGTTGTCTCAGAAGGCTGTTGAGGGAGGCGAGAATGGAAATTCGCGACTTGTTGCTCAAGATCCTTGACATACGAGACCGAGTAGGTGTCAGTAGGCTCATAAGTAGCGGGTACACATTCTAAGAATTTCATTCAGCAGCTACAACACATCAGTGAGAAAATGAAGATGACTGACCAGCTTTGGCCGACCTGCAGTTCCGGCAAGTTCCCCCCTGGTCATGAGCATCGCACCTTTGCTTTCTCGCTCTGCATCTTTGACAAGCCGTCGCCTTCTTCCGCCGAAGTCGTGGCGTCCTTGGCTGGTCTGACCGCATGTCGTTTTGGTACTCCCAAGACACCTGGCTCCCGATGACTTGTGGCAGCTGGTGATGCTAGAAAGTCTGGCGCAGAGGCTTTTTGCTCCGATGACTCGGAATCAGCCCCGCTCTTCTCGCGGCCTTTGGCCTCTCAGCATTCCTTTCGGCTTCCTTTCGGCTTTTTAGCCCGATGACTCAAAGGTCCTTAGCAGCTACTAACATGCTCCGAAAAGCCGACAAGTCATAATGTCGATGGAAAAGGGTTGCAGTAGTATCTATAAAAGACCCCCTCGCTCCAATAGCAAGCAATATATTACGAATTCTTCCCATCGCTTCTTCTATTTACCACGTCAAGTTGTCTCTGTTTCTTGCTTACCTACTTGACCATCGCATCAGCCATAACGATGAGAAATCAGCTAAGCTACCCAGCCGGCGAGCAAAACAAAGTGAACCGGCTGGCCGAAAAGCGAGCGGCGTACGACCTTGAGACAGTCCATGGCATTATGAACCAATCCCTTGTCTTCCACGTCTCGTTCCAGCCTGACGCCGAAAATGCATTTCCTAGTACCATCCCCATGCTTGGCGCCCTAGGCAACTTTGACTATCCCAGCGCTGGCTTGAACGAGCCTCAAGACGCCTACATCCATGGGTACATCTCGGCCCGGATGACAAACTTGGCTAGGAAGGCAATGGACGATGGACTCCCCGGCTTGCCTGTCTGCCTCTCCGTCGCCAAGGTTGATGGCCTCATCCTATCTCTGAGCGCATTCACACACTCGTGCAACTACCGCTCCGCAATCCTATTCGGACACGCAAGTCTCGTCACAGACGAGTCGGAGAAGCTGTGGGCGCTGGAGATGCTTACCAACAAGATCATCCCCGGCCGGTGGGACCAGGTCCGCCAACCCCCCAACAAGACCGAACTCGTGCAGACGCAGATTCTGCGGGTTCGAGTCACTAGCGGCAGCGCAAAGGTGCGTGCAGGACCGCCGGCGGATGACAAGGATGATGTTCAGAATGCTGAGGTCATGGCCAAGGTGTGGTCCGGCTACATTCCGTTGGTGGAACGCATGGGAGAGCCGATTCCTAGTGCGTACAACAAACTTGTGGAGGTCCCAGAGAATGTCCGAGACCTCCAGGAGGAGTTTAATAAAGAGGCAGATGCGTACAACGAGAAGTTGGTCAAGCAGGTGGAGGAGGATGTGATCTCTTGGGGGACGATATGATAGATGCACTGCCATCGCCGTGGGTCTCTTAGTTATAAAGGGAAGACGACTCTCTGTAGCGAGCCTTTCTTTGAGATTCCTGAATTGGATAAAGGAAAAAATATCTAAGCTCTATATTTGCTTTTCTCTTGCTAGTTCTTTTGCTGTAAATATATCCCAAGATCAGGCAAGATATAATTTTGGTCTAGTTATACAGTTTTCTTTCTTAAATACAGATGGCAGTCTATACCGAAACCTTCCGTACCAGAAAAAGTAAAATCCAGGCCATCGGTCTGGTATAGGTATCAATGCGTTAAAAGCTCCAATAATAAGGGCTTTTTTAAAATTTCCAAAGTAGAACCAGACGCTATGGTGAGACTGTTCAGCTGGAGACGTGTCTTCGGGTAGCATTCATGAGAAAACATGGTTGTCACCGGCAGATGCTCAGTTCAGTGACGAGAGGTACATTTATGGTTTGAATGCATCTAACTTATATAACCTGCGAGACAAGAGGCTAAGATTACAACACAATACCTAGTCTCTCGACACCCTTTTGGCCTTGTCGAATATTTCCTCGCCTGGATATTACAGAATGCTGATATTCATTCAAAGGGTCACAAGCACTCATTCATTGAATTTCGTGCAAAATAGCAGTTCTCCAACGGAAAGGTTTAGTCGCTGGTGTCGAGCATTGCATCCAAGGTAAGCCTTAGGTAGTTCAGGCGGTTCAAGTTGATCTAAGAACCAATAAATTACAATTTTACAAATCAAAATTAGTTGGGGTTATTGCTCCAATGCAACCTAGGTCAGTTAAGGGAGATGTCTGCTGGGGAGAGCTGGATAGCATGGGGTAGATTGTTTCTGAGTGGTTGTTGCGGAGTAGAAAAGCCCAGACAACAACTGGGTCGCGTTCGTAAGCATTATTTATTATTGCCTTGGGTATGCAGCGAGGCCCGGAGTTCGACTCACCTAGACCACACCGTTACCTCTGTTGACATAACTTTGACAAAAATGTCTTCTTCGAACAGCGAACTTTTTCAAAAAGGCCTTCAAAACCGTCGCCAAGTGGTGGGCAATCTCTACGTGGACCGATCACTCGAAAACGGATCCAGTGAATTTGCGTTCCCTAACCAGCAGCTGGTGACAGAGTGAGCAACACCAATATCTACACTTGATCAAGTTTGTAAATCTGACCTTTTCTATAGATGGTGTTGGGGCAACATTTGGTCAAGGCCAGGCCTTGAACGCAAGCAGCGAAGCTTGCTAAGTAAGTGAAACTAGCCTCTGGACTCTTGATAGAATTTGGGTTACTAATAGAGCACAAGACATCGGTATGCTCATCGCTTTGAAAAGCTGGCCAGAGCTCGGGGTGCACGTCCGAGGAGCAATCAACAATGGTCTCACAGAGCAGGAAATAAGAGAAGCAATCCTCCAAGCTTCTATCTACTGCGGCGTACCTGCAGGAATAGAAGCAACGAAAGTTGCTGAGGCAACTCTCAACGATATGCAGCAAAAGGGGGAATATGTGCGCCAATTGGCTGCTAAGGCTCATGATGCTTGAGAAGTGACCATCCACAGATTGTCGAATCTAATCTAAATCACGTCTGCTGGATCTTGGCACTTTGCATTAGATACGGCCTAGTGTTTGGCATTTGATAACTTTGATTTCTCTTCTGCTTCGACCATTCCACCATCGTAGTATACGGAAATGTGCCATAATACCTAATCCAAAGTGATTTTCCACTAGAGATACTGAGGATATCCCATACTGTATCGTTTGCCGCACGCGAGAAGCAGCCATGATGCACAGGAAGCGCGGAGAAGACTGGACCCGTGGAGAGATCGGGCAGAATTCTGTTGAGAGCAAGCGTTCTCCCCATAATCCCCAAAAGTCTAGAATCAGTCAAATCGGACAGTGGTCTGGTCTCCGCGTTTTAGCTCCACACATCAGAGTTACTCCAGGCATGTCACATATGTATCTTCTCCGAATTTAGCTTCGCTGCCCGCTCCAATCGGCCATGGTACCGTGCCTCCGGTTTTGCCCCCTCTATCGCCTCTGCCTCCTCCCGGCCTCGGCCAGAGAGACGAGAAAGCTATTCGGCTTGAGCTGGATGAGTGCATATATATCGTTGCTAGATCACCCGTTGGTCAGTGTCCATCCAAGCACGGACAAGGCTCTTCGCTCCTAGAACGTTTTCTCTTACTTCATACATCACCAATCCTTCTCGATCACCATGGTCTCCTCAAATGCAAACGAACTGTTGCCCCAAACAGTTGAGGGGTGGCTCGAACTGGACAAGAAATACCGTATCAAAGGCCGCTACCCGATTTCGCAAGTCCTCGTCCGGGGCGAGGGCGTCCGAGTATGGGATGCCGATGGCAAAGGTTACATTGACTTTGAGTCTGGCCAAGTTTGCGCCTCGACTGGTCATTGCCACCCAGCATACACCAAGGCAATCACTGATCAGGCTGGCATACTTGTCCAGACAGGCTCAGGGTACACCGACCCGCCTCGGATCCTGCTTGCCCAAAAGCTCGCTAGTATCATGCCTGGCAACCTGAGCCGGTCATATTTTGCTTGTACCGGCTCGGAAGCGACCGAGGCTGCGATTCGTCTCGCAAAAATTTACACCGGACGCACAGAGGTCGTGGCCCTGACCCGTGGCTATCACGGTATGACGCACGCCAGTCTGGCAGCCACTGGCTTGGGAGGCAAGTTCAAGAGCGTCCCCGGCAGTGGTTTAGCTGGTTTTGTTCACATACCAGCCCCATACACCTATCGCAGCCCTTACAAGGACGACGAAAATAATATGGCGGCCTTTCGCCAGGGTCTGGAGGCAATCAACTGGACTACGACTGGTCGACCTGCCGCCATTATTCTCGAGGTTGTGATGAGTGTCGCGGGCATGATCATCCCCTCCAAGGAATATGTGCAAGCTGTCAGGGAATGGTGTACCCGGACCGGTACACTGATGATTATCGACGAGGCTCAATCGGGTGTCGGCCGAACGGGCAAGTGGTTTGCTATTGAGCACTTTGACGTGATTCCCGACATCATCACCACTTCCAAGAGTCTGGGTGGTGGTGTACCGTTGTGTGGTGTCACAACTACGCCTGAAATTGCCGATGTTGTGGCGGAAAAGGGCTACCACCAGTCCTCATCTCACACCGATGACCCTTTCCTGGCCGCTGTTGGTCTCGCCAATATCGAGATCCTGGAGAAAGAGAATCTCGTTGAGAATGCGGCGGTTATCGGTCAGTACCTCAAGGATAGCTTCGAGAGGTTCCAACAAGAGCATGAAATTCTTGGCGATGTTCGGGGTCTAGGCCTGATGATTGGTTTGGAAATCGTGATTGACAAGGCAAGCAAGGCTGCATCTCCTTTGCATGCCTGCGCCATCAGCGAGTATTGTCGTGCCCATGGGCTGCTTCTGGGCCATCGACCAAGCGGAGCTGTCAGCGGAAACAACATTCGAATCCTACCGCCGCTCACACTGACCCGCGAGGAGGCTGACGAGGCACTTGCCATCATGAAAAAGGCTTTTGTCCATGCCGAGAAGACTGTCAGGGCTGAAGCCCAGAATGGTACCGCTTGGATATAGTCAAGCTCAAAGGGCGTTGTTTAATTCGCAATCAAATTATCAGGATCAGAAGACATTCATTTTAACTAGATGAGAAGAATACCATATCAAGTTTTTGTTGCGATTGAGTGGCCCCAGTACACTTGTGTAAGCGTCTGGTCTCTACCGCGGAAGATGTATCCCAAAGAGCTTTTCTCCTTGCTAAATGGCGAACGTACTAAGCTTATAACCGAGTAGTTTTGATCTGATGAGCACAGGACAGCACGGTGATCTTTTTGTTGCTTGTCTAGATACTATGTAGCTTCCCATGCTCTACTACGGCCAACTATATTCCGGGTTATGGCCTAATAGTTCTCGACGTACGGGCGTGAGAGATAACCGTACCGCTCGTAAGACGCCTCTGTGTAATCCTGGGCAACATGGCTTCGAGGCCAATCTTTACTACAGTTAGACGTAGGTGAAGCGAGCTGAAAGTAGGTCAATATAAAGACTAGCTGCGACTTCATACTACGACAAGACAAGAATGATATGGGGTGGAGGGATTGGCAATACTATAAGCTAGAAATAACTAGGCCTACCGTCTAAGTTACGTAGAAGGGATGGTATGCCCCCAAATTCATGCCCTGGGGGGGACAGTGAGTCCCTTGGTGGTGTATGAGAATATTATTGTGAACGAACCTCTAGCCCTAGAGACCCCCGTGTTACCGAAGATTGCTAAAGCTATTTTTGCCACCGCCAGCGGAAACCCTTGCGCAAATGTCCAAATGTCCTGCTGCTCCTCGGGTCCCTCGGTCATACGTGGCAGGCAGACTAGGCGGTGAATGGGCTTGGGAAATGGGGAGGGGAATGGTGGAGAAGAAACAACCACCAGCCATCCTGTATATCGCAAGCATGTCCTACAGGCCCTAGAAGCCGACCGGCGATTCAGCGGACAATCAACAGCTTCTAATGTTCATCCGGGTTACCCCCCCAAGCCTAGCAATTGCGGAGAGACAAGAGTAATAATGCGTACGGGTCTTCGTCCATGTTTCTCCCCCGCAGCGGGGAAGATACCATGGCTTCTATCAAGTTGTCGAATGGAGTGAAAACTCCACACATCATACCATTAGAAATTTATGCAATTATTGTGCTATTGGTTCTAGACCCTGCCATTGGCTTGAGATTGGCCAAACTGGAAAACCCTTGACCCTACCCCAATGAAGACCCGGTACCTGACTCTCGTTGGCGGTTTCCCATCGGCTGAGGGTAGAATGGACAGTGACATTTTTGTTACGTAGGTCTCAAAAAAGCCCCAACTCACTCCATTCATAAGTTACCATGTCTCGCCGTTGAAGACAATTTGGTTTTCTCAAGTTGGCCATACTGTTGAAGATTGACTCATTGTACTCGCATGCACATCCATCGTCAACATGGGAAACGCGGCCGCCACGAATTCGACAGGGACTTACAAAGTCTCTGAAACCCGTCTCGGCGTAGCTCGCAGCCTGCGGGTCATCACCGTTGGCGCTGGTGCAGCAGGTCTGAATCTTGCCCACCAGATCGACAAGCACATGCAAAATATCGAGCATGTCATTTATGAAAAGAATCCCGAGGTCGGAGGCACTTGGTATGAAAACCGCTATCCGGGGTGCGCATGCGACATTCCGTCGCATTCCTACCAATTTACCTGGGAACCCAATCCTCGATGGAAGAACTTGTGAGTGATGTTACCAAGTGAAACCTGCATTGGGTTGTGGTTGACACTTGTACTCCTGGCAGTTATTCTTCTGCTCCAGAGATCCTGCAGTACTTTCTTGCAATTGCCAAGAAGTATGACCTATACCGGTTTGTGAAGCTGAGCCATCAAGTTGTCAACGCCCAGTGGGTCGAAGACGATGGTATCTGGAGGGTCACCGTCAAGGATTTGAATAGTGGTGCGGAGATTGAGGATTGGTGTCACTTCATGATTAGCGGGTCGGGAATTTTGAAGTACGTACGCCGACTTCCAACTCCTCGTCATGGCTGACTGACGCCGTGGCAGCAATTGGAAGTGGCCCGATATCCCCGGTTTACATTCTTTCAATGGCCAGCTTCTCCACAGCGCTGCTTGGGATCCTGACGTAGATTGGAGTGGCAAAACAGTTGCTGTACTTGGAAGCGGCTCTTCAGGGGTGCAAATCGTTCCGACTATCCAGCCTGGTTGGTGGCCGTCTCCAGTGATGCCCATGCCTTTTCATGATGACTAAATTAAGACGCAGATGCGAAGCAGCTTATCACGTTCCTCCGATCGCCAACCTGGATCACAGCTGGTTTCGCCCAGAACAAGGCTGGGCCCAATGGCGCTAATTTCGCATGTATGGTAATCTCGATGATTCTGACAGTAGTAACAGGAGCTAACTTTGGAGATAGTTTCCGAGGAGAGAAAAAGGGAATTTGAGACGAACCCGGAAGCGTACATGCACTATCGCAAAGACGTTGAGGCAGAGATCAACAATCGATTCAGTTTTGTACGTTGGAACCTTTTAGCAGAGTGAGACAAGTCGCTGACAATCTCGCGGCAGATCATCAAGGACAGTGTAGAGCAAGCAGACGCCGTCAAGTTCTCCTCGGAGGAAGTAAAGAGCAAGCTTGGTGCTGGCCATCCACTGCTGAAGTATTTCTTGCCCGACTTCAGCGTCGGTTGCCGGCGCACAACTCCCGGAAACGGGTATCTTGAGGCTCTAACCAAGGACAATGTCCGTGTGGTAACTGATCCGATTGTCGAGGTCGTTCCGGAGGGTATTATACTTGCAACAGGAGAAGTAGTCAAGGTTGACATGTTTATCTGTGCCACTGGCTTCGACATTTCCTTCTGTCCAAGATACCCACTGATTGGCAAAGACGGGATTCAGCTTGGAAAGCAGTGGGAGAAGAAGCCTGAGGCGTACATGTCCATGGCTGTGCCTAACTTCCCCAATCACTTTAGTAAGTACAGATGGCAATGCCTTCCCAAGGGGGAACATGGACGTTGTTTTTAACGTGGCAACCTCGCAGTGTTCTTGGGGCCCAACGCTCCGATTGGCCACGGATCAGTGCTTCCAATCCTAGAACATTCGGCCAAGTATATTTTGAAAATGATCTACAAGTGCCAGACCCAGGATATCAAGTCTATAGAGGTGAGAAAAGAGGCGGTCAGCGACTTTGTTGAGCATGTTGATACTTTCATGGAGCGAACGGCGTGGAGCACTCACTGTCGATCATGGTTCAAGAATGGAAAGATTGACGGGCCGGTGGTGGCATTGCACCCAGGCAGCAGAATCCACTGGTTTCATATGCTGGACCAGCCCCGGCATGAGGACTACGAGTGGACAACCACTGGACCCAACCGTTTCGCGTATCTGGGCAATGGATTTTCTGTCCGCGAGACTAAAGGTCGGGATCTATCCGCCTACTTTGATGACCCAGATGAAGGATTTGAGGGTATTGCATACTAGAGCGGTTGGGAAACGCGGAGGTTGAACCAGCCATGTCTGAGCACACTCACCATGTGAAATAAACTGAATGCTTTTGAATTTCAGATACAGAAGTTATGAATTTGGCGAAGGATCTTGATTGCTGCCAGGCATTGAGTATATAAAAGCCTGAACGTATGAAGACCTTGCAATTGACCAGTAGGGAGCACTTTTGATAGCAACGTCTGCTGTTGTCGCTGCTGCCACTATTCATTGTGTTGAGATGTCGGGTCTGGCATCTTTCAATGCTGTCTTTACTGTGTTCTCGATCTCTCATCCGCCACTCCCGTCACGGCCTACCACAGTGGAAGGGCTCATCTCCCCAACTTATAACGACCTGCCTTTTTGTATGTGGTGGGAAATGTCCTCAGAACAACGCACTGTGATGATATTTCGATGTGCCTGCATCAATTTAGATATCTCTTGGAAGTAGATGAATCTAGCCTCAGCAACTTTCACAAGAGGACAGCAGAGCAGATGCGGACAGAATCTGGGGGAACCGTGAAACAAATGACCAACCCGATTATGGTTTCAACCACCGTCGTGTGGACTTCTCTCCAATCGACCATCCCATTTCGGATCGACAAGCTACCCGCGAGTGGGTTATTCGGCAGCGCCTCTGGTAGCCGAAGTATTAGTTGGATGTCTGATAAGCTTTCTTCGGCTGCACACACAGCCTCCGGGTGTGCTTGGGATGTAGACACGAGACTCCACAGACCCTTGCCCAGGATTTCTTCCCTACCCCAGGTTTATCCAATCTTTCTTCCGGCTAACAGACTAAATTCAAAAACATGCGTCCCAAGGTCTATGTCCCACCTTGCAGGTTCTGCCACAAGCGATTCCGGCGTAATGAGCATTTGCAACGCCACGAACGCACACGTATGCCCTGCCATTTCTTTTCTCTGACCATCTTCCCTTTATTCGTGGCTGACTCTTGGACGAGACTGTAGACACCAACGAGAAGCCGTTTAGCTGCCATTGTGGAAGGTCATTCTCCCGAAGGTCTGAGCAATCCCGACTCCTTCCCGCTTGTGTAGCAACGGCCAGACAGTTAACTCTCCGCAGTGATTTGCTCGCTCGTCATACTCGCTTTGTACATGCCTCAAAAGACGTGCCGCGGCATCAAAAGGGCCAAAATGCAATACTGGAAGAGCCAAGGACAGCAGCTCCGTTTGTCTCCAGGGATAGTTTGGGCGACGACACAGTGATCGCAACTACTACTGAGAACTCTCGGAATTTCCCCTCGATAGACACCGCCAGCGAGACTTCGCCAACTTCCACCCATGGGCATCACTCCCTTTCGAATAGCATATCTCGTTATGGACCGGGACCAGATGGAGCCGATTCCACCACTGCCGAAAGTCGATCTCTTGGATCAACAACAGGAGCACCGACTGCTAATGCAGGCATATTCCAAAGCCAGCCGAACACAAACTTCAACGTATCCGAAACGGCACAGGGACAAGCCTATACTTATGCTGGTCCCGGTCCTATCATCAACGAGCCCATGCAACCGAGTTGGGACATGTCACTTTGGGACGACTTTGACCTGCTACGGGATGATGTCGAACCCTGGTCATCAGGTTCCATGCTCCCCTCGCTCATCACCGACTACCGGCTATACTATGCGCCGCCGTTTCGAATGGACTTGCCCGAGTTGAATACCGCCTATCCAAGTAATGTAGAGGGGACTGACCTCGACTACGCCCATCAGAATGACAATAACAATAAGAACATGGGGTATAATGCCCCAGCTCACTTGTTGACGCAGCACGAGGACGGGGTTATTTCGAGGTATGAGTCCCGTTTGCCATCCATGCAGCCAGGAGAAGGGGACGCCTCACCTCCGAGGGAAGACGCCGCACACATTGGGCTTCAAGAGAAGACTGGGCAGTCTCCCTTTACTGACGCCCAGTTTAATCCCTGTGGAAAGCCATGGCGCATCTCTAAAGAGGGCTATCGCTTCATTCAGACACTTATCCAGAGCTATACCAAGGTTCTACCGGACGACTTTGTTTTTCCAACTCGACATTCCCTCTGGAGGTATGTCGAGGGATTTTTCTCTGGCTTCCACGAGCACCTGCCCTTTATACACCTGCCGACGTTCTCAATGGTGACTAGCGCTCCAGAATTGATCTTGGCAATTGCTTCTATGGGGGCGCGGTATCGATTCCAGCGAAAGCCGGCCTACGACCTCTACCTCGCCGCACGAGCTCTGCTTGAACACCAACTGTCCGATCAAGAGGCGGATTCATCGCTTACCGAAAGCGCATCAGACTTCCTCACAGACGGCAACTTCCCATCCAGTTCCTATTCCTCGATTCGTGGAGACGATGTAGGCTCTGAACATGGCTCTGCCCGCACTGCCCGGGAAACATTCCACGACAAGCTAGCCAACCGCGATCGAAATGTGCAAACAATGGAAGCAATGATAATCCTCATAGCGATGGGGACTTGGAACCACAAGCATCTGATACGGGACGCATTGTCCACTGCTAGTCAACTTGCCCTGATGGTCCGTGAAGATTATCAGCTACTTGCCGAGCCCGAGGCGCGAGCTGAGGAGTGGTTAGAATGGGTGGCGGGCGAAGGCCGACGACGTACTATACTAGTCGCCATGTCATTTCTCAATCTTCATTCCATCGCCTACGATATCCCACCAAAACTACCCCAATCCGAGCTGGGCAAGATGTACCTCCCCGCCCCAGAGACATGGTGGAGGGCTGAAGACGCGTCTGCCTGGGAGTTTGCACGCAGGAAAGATGCCTATGAAGAGGTGACATTACACGCGAGCTATGCTAGCCTGATTGCACCAGAAGGGCCACTCTTGAAATGTGCCCCATCATCATTCGGCAACTACATCCTGATCCACTGCATAATGCAACAAATCTTCTTCAGCAGGCAGCTTGCTCTTCAGTCGTTGGTGACCGGCGGTCAAGCTCTGTCACCCGAGGTAGTTTCCCAAATTGACCTGGCTTTGAGAAGATGGCAACGGAGCTGGGAGGCTACCAAGGATTCGTCTCTTGATCCGTCAAGCAAGGGCGGGCCTCTGAGCTTCAACTCCACAGCACTTTTCCGCCTGGCATACATACGGCTCAGTGCTAATATGGGACCGTGCAGACGACTTGATTCCGGTGACCCTGTGAGTATAGCTGTAGGATTTCGAGACGCCCCCTTTCCAGAACGCTCCTCGTGTGTTGGACAAGCAGTCCTTCAAAGCGCCCATTCATTGAGCATTCCCGTCCGTATCGGCATCGAATTCGTAGCCCGAACTCAGGCACTTACTTGGAGTATAGTCCATAGCCTCTGTGGCCTGGAGTGCGGATTATTTTTGGCAAAATGGCTAGAAAAGATGGCTCTGGTTTCGGAATGTGGAGAGGCATTGAGAGACGACGAGAGACGCCTCCTGGGCATTGTAGATAGCATCATTAGTGAGTCAGACTTGGGGCCAGGGCTTCAAAGGGAGCACTGTGAGACAAGAAGGATCAGACTCATGGCCGTTTCAGTATTGCGACTTTGGGGACACATGCTTCAGGGTGCTCATGTCTTTGATATCATGAGCACCATTGGGGCTGGCCTCACTCTAAGCGCCAGCATGATGCACAAGGACATGGAGAATTCTGGCAGTAAAAATTAAAGTAATTTGCCCTCTCGGGCTTTGCGGCTGAGCCAGTGTTCGCAACATGCTCTATGTTCCAGCCTCCAGGAACACGTAAATTACGCTTTGGCGATGAAGCTAAAGATTGGATTGGAGTAAAAACAATCAATTCACTCCGCAGCCCCCCACCTACGAGACGTATCCTTGTTTGGTTTGGCCGTCGGAAAGACTCGAGTTGGGGGAATTTGAAGCTCGGGGTGGAGCAATATGAGATCAGCTCTACTCTGACGCTCCCGCGTGTCTACAAGAGCCAGCAGGGCACATATAAATATAACACGATCATTCTCCTCAATCGGAACAAGAGAAGATATCGGCACCTCCGGTGGTACCGAGTTCCAAAATCGTGCAGTAGACTATTTTGATCAATTCCTCTTACGTTGTCCCCTCTTCAAAGAAATGCCACAAACACATGGGCATGTCACCATCCATGCCATGGAGGCGGGATGGTTCGCTATGCCAGAGCGCTTCTTTGTTACTCCTCTGGAAAATCAAGATGCCAAGAAAATGGTGCCGTCACTCTCTTTCCTGATCCAGCACTCTAATCCTTCGTCTCAACGAATAACCAGAATTGTCTTTGACCTGGGCATTCGCCGGCAAATCGACCAGTATAATGAGCACATTCTGAATCATGTTGCTACTCGACGCCCCCTATTCACCACTCCAGATGTTATCGAGTCCCTCGCTCAGGGCGGCTTGTCGACAGATGATATAGACGCTGTGATACTTAGTCATCTCCATTGGGACCACGTTGGCACCCCAAAGGAATTTCAGACCTCCCAGTTCATTATTGGGTCTGGAGGTCATGCTTTGTCCCAGGGAAAGCCAGGTGGTGGGAGTCACAATCACTTTGAGCCTGATCTCTTGCCCCTACAGCGAACAATCGAGCTGCATCACCCCCGTGACAGGCAACGGGATAAATCCCATCACCCCACTACTGCTACACCCTGGATAGACACTCTACGCAGTATTCCGTGGAAGCCCGTTGGTCCATTCCCTTTCGCACTGGACATCTTCGGGGACAGCAGCTTCTTCATCGTTTGGGCCCCAGGACACCTACCGGGGCACCTCAACGCCTTATGCCGAAAGAAGGGTGGCGAGTATGTCTACCTTGGTGGGGATGCCGCGCACGATGTAAGGCTTATCACAGGAGAAAAAGACATTGCTACATGGGCAGACAATGCCGGTCAAGTTTGTTGCATACACCAAGATCCAGACGCGGCGCGGGAGACCATAGACCATATCCGAAAAGCCCAGAGTGGAGAGTCGGCTTTGGGACCTGTTCAGGTGATCTTGGCCCACGACAGTAGGTGGGCTGATGAAGCGAAAAGGGAGAGAAAGTTCTTTCCAGGTCACATATAATTCAAAGATAGTGTAGCTAGAAGTATCAAATGCTGGTATATTAGGCTTTTTTCTAATGTAATCCCAGGGTAAGATGAAAACTCGTAAATTCGCAAATACCCAACTACGGATTGCTCTCCGAGTTGCACCATCTTGAGATGACATAACCACCAATAATAGGTATCATACGCACATTTTTGATCACGATCTGCTTGACTGCTTTTGTTTTCCTACTTCTAGCGGACAGTCATTACTACACCAAAGTTAGTGTGGCCGAGATGGGAAGCCAGTTGTACGTCGTATTAAGAGCGTTCTTGATCATATATTCGCTCGAGAAGTGCAAATTCTTTAGCCTTGAAGGATGCGTAGTAAAGGACTTGCTGAGGTGGCTCGGCTGTGACGCCACTATGGTATCTTTCTTGGCCCCTTAGTCCAAGGCTACATCATTATCTGCGAAGAGGCGATAGACGCTTCTGGAATCTCGCCCTCTGGTGCGTTCGTCATGGACCGCCTTCTCATAAAGAGCCAATACGCGGTCGTTCAGAATAGACTGAGCACCAACGTTCTTTGCCAAGCCAACAGCCATCTCCAGGACTCCCTTACACAAATCGACACTGAACCCACCGACAAAATCAGTCTCGCTCGCCGCTCCCGCCGTTACCCCCTTGACCGGGTTTTGTTCTAGACTATTGTAACACCGTCCACTGCTGACGTTAATCACACCGGCAAGGGTCTTCGGATCTAGGCCATACTTGATCCCCATGTTCATAGCTTCGCACACACCAACAGTACAGACCGAGCTCAGGTAGTTGTTGATCTGTTTCGTAGCAAGACCAGCTCCGGCCGGACCACAATGGAAGATGTTTTTACCCATGAACTGGAGAATGGGTTCAGCAAACTTGAACGCCTCCTCAGAGCCACCGACCATAATGGTAAGAGACCCTGCATTCGCACCATTGGGCCCGCCACTGACGGGGGCGTCGATGAAAGTACCCATTTCCAAATTAGAAACTGCTTTGCTAACTTCCACGCTAGTTGCAACTTCGATAGTAGAGCACTCGAAGAAATGGATAGGCGCGGGCTGTTTTCCTGCTCCAAGAAAACCGGATGAGCTGTTCGTGTAGACCTCACGCACGTGCGCGGCTTTAGGAAGCATGGTAATAATGATTGTCTGTCCGGCCACTGTCAGTGCCAAGGCAGCTTTTTCGGCTGGAGCGTCTAGTTCAGACTCACTGCTTTCTCGGCTAACTCCTTGGGGGAGCCTGCAATCCCAATCTTGCCCTTTAACCGCGCGCCCTGGACAAACTGGTCAAGGCGGCTCTGAGACATCTCGCAGATGAGCAAATTGGAGCTTTGTGGAATCTTTCGCCTCAAGTTCATGGCCATTCCCCAGCCCATTTGACCAATGCCAACAAAGCCGTAGGTAACATCTGGGAGATCCATGTTGAGCTGCAAGGGACTCGTTGCCTGAGACAATTGCTAATATTGACACTCGCTAGAGAGGGGCTACGGATATCCCCTATGAAAGGGCAATATTCCGGCGATATATAGATAAAAGCCATGGGCATTTTATCCCTGATGTGTTGAGTTTGTGCGTCCCGCCCAGCCACGACGCCATTGGTGACCCAGATAAGAAACTAGGAACAACCCCCTCAAGTGCGGAGCAAAAACCAAAAGCCTCGTGGGGCTGGCAAGTTGGCTTTTCTTGATGCGGAGATTATCGACGATGATACGGAAGTTTCTACCCCGCGTGTGGGGAGAGAAATATAACATAATCCATCCCTCGCGTAAGGGTTGCCGGTGATCGCCGTTGTACATGTCATTGCGTATGAGTAACCTATACCAGAGTCATAAGGACGTGATACACTATTAGTGAGAAGATTCTATTAATATATGTTAATTCTGAACATACTATGTATAAACAAAAAAAAACTGTTAATCTTACATGTATTCGTCTTGTAAGCCTACACAAGACGGTAAGTAGATCGCCCATCTTGCCCTTTGCTGAAAAGAAATGATTACACCCGACTGCTCTAAGCAAAGCCATGGGTCTTCAAGCCCGCAACAAGTAATCAAATGATCCCGAAAATAACAAGAATCGTAACGTTTACATTTCACTCTTCTAATGAAGGTATTCCGTGCGCCGGGAGCCAAAATCAAGGTACAGCTTTGTTTTAGATGGTCGTAATACTAACTGTTTACATACTTTAAGGTTCAATCAGCAGTGAAATCACAATATCAGGGGCCAAGACGTATATAACACAGGTACGTCCGTCTCCTAGCATCATCTATAATAGCGTGTCTGACGCACTATATGCCCTTATTTTCAGGATATCTTTGGCCACAACCGGTGTCTCCTGAACCATCTTGCTTAGTCCACAAGGCTTCATCAAGATATCAGAGTGTGTCCCATGCTAGTTGTACTACTTAGGACCAAAATATGATTACCCAGTTCAAACGGCGTTCCTAGGACCCCTTCACGAGCCGTAGTCCGGTTTCGCCAGCGTGCCATGACCCAATCACAAAGGCAGCGCAAACAGACGAAACTCCTGTCAAAATGACCATTCCTTCAAACCTTCCTATCCCAAAGCGTTCGACAGCGGTAGGTGAAGTATTTAGAGCTTCACTGAGTGGGCCAACAAGAATATTACCAATTCCTTGCATAAATACATAGATGGCATACGTGGCAAACACGGTGGAATGGTCGTCGCTGACGGCTCGCCCCATCGCCACACGCATGGTCCCAAAACCGAAGCCAAAGAATCCGTACAAAAGACTGAAGAGGATAAGCATTGCCAGCGACTTGCCCAGACCCCAGAGTGTTAGGGATGATGCTGCGGCGGCTATGCAGCAGACGATGGCAAGTAGGCTCACAGAGAGCTGTTGGTCTGATAGGTAACCAAAAGCAAACTGGCCAAGCACTTGAGCTATGGACATGGTAGACAAGAGCAACGCGCCTTTGGTGGATGAAATGTTGAGCGAAGCTGCGTAGGTTGGGAGGAAGACTGATGGGAAGAAGAAGCCGATGCCTTGAAACAGTATAGAGGCCGAGTAAACCCAAAATAATGGCCGGGAAATGAAGGCCCAGTTTGTCCTTCCTAGCGTCGTGTGATGAGATGGCGGCAGCCGAGACTTGAAGAGGAACAAAAGAGGGAATGTCAAAACTGCCATAGCTACAGCACTGGCCCTCAATGTTGTGTGTTGCCCATACTTGGCGAGCAGGGCCTCGACGATGAATGGCATAACGGCTCCAGTCAAGCCTGATGACGCCGAGATGAGACCAAAAGCCATGCCCTTGCGTGAAACCCACCACTCATTGATCATACTGATAATAGGATAGGACAAGATCACGAAGCCTAGTCCGTACAGGAAGCCTTGGGTCCCAATCAGACCGTTGACAGATGTCGTGAAGGATGCAGAGACAAGGCCAAAGATGCACATCAGCCAGCCAATCCATATTTGATGACTTCGATATTTGGGGAATTTCATTGTCGCCAGGGCTGCGAGAGGAGCCCCTAGATAGTAGAGGGACTGGGCCACGGTGCCAATTAGTGGAATCTTGGCTGTATCCGCTACAAACTGAGGTATCTCGGAGTAGTACTTTTGAAACACACCAAAACACATCGGGTAGCCTGACGAGCATCGTGAGCGAATATCCTAATGCAGTGCAGTTGGCAGTTTAGGACCCACCCCAGAAGATTGCTTCAAAGAAAAAGCCTGCGACCAAAACCTTCCAGGCATCCCACCCTCCGTCAACTCGTCCCAAAGAGTGTGGGGCTGAGCCTGCGTATTCGGGGAGTTCATATTCCTCTTGCGCCGGTGCGGGATATACCTCGATCACCGTCGTTTGTTGGTGTTTGGCCGGCGCCATGTCGAAGATCTTGCAGTTGCAACTTAGATGCCTACGGAATGGCAAAAAGACACGGGGGAAGGCAAAGGTTTTGAGGACCTGCGGAACAAAAGAGTGCAAGAATAATTCCTACCCTAAGGGTCAAAGCCGTCAAAAGCCGAAGGGGCCCCTCTCACTTGCGAACTCGGAGCACGGGTCGACCTGCTAGGATCCGAAAACCCTCTTGTATTTGACTAAGCAGAACCCTTGGTCACGGACACTGCTGATACCTTGATTTCGTACAAGGAGCTCGGATAGAATAGACTGCATAGGCCTTAATGGGAAGCCCCTTCACCGAAGAAATTTTGAAGATATTGAGCCAATATGTTTCGGGCCCTCCACAACAAGCCGAGATAGAGCATACCGGATAAACCAAATACGCCCCCTGCTAAGTTGGACTTTTGTTAAAGCTAAATAGCTTAATACGGTTATACTCCTAATCACAAACTCTGAGGGTTTTCAGCGAGAACGTCGAAGCTATGTTAAAAACTTTGATTATATCAGAAAGAGTGAAGAATCACAGTTTTGAACACAAATTGAAAGATGGTGACTACTCAAGGTCGACTGATTTAACCAAACTGGGAAATAGGCTCATATTATCGATGTTAAGTTGCTGTATAAACGGATCCAGGTATTTCCAAATCAACAGAGGTCTCGTACAGTCTGTGAATTTAGTGATAGCATGCCATCTAATATGAAAAATACTGTCGAAGGTTAGCAGCCTAACATGCATATTTGACAAGTGAAACTACGAACGAAATGCCTTCATTCTCGCTACTATCCTATGTACCTTAATCCAGATGTCGTTCATCTTATCTGCTGGGCCAACTGTCTTCAAGAAAAAACAATGACTGGAAGTCATCATCCACAAAAGCTGAGTCAAGAAACTGAAAGTCCGCGTCACGCTGTGAGAGAAAGCCGTGTAATGGGGACTCGGCAAATGAGGAACCAGAGAATCCCGCCAAGGCATTGTTGGGAGAGCTTGACAGTGAAGAAGATGTGGCATTAGCTACAGTAGCAATGAGTTGAGAATGCTGGTCATCGGGGACTTGGCTTCTTTCAATGCGATACTTCTCAAGAACCGATTCGGTCGCTCGAATGTGCCTGCAGAATTCTTTTGCTGAATAGTTCCCATTGTCGCTCAGTTGTTTCAATATCTGGCCGGCTGACTCAAAGTCATCGCCGTCAGTCTGTGACTGGCTGCCTTGCAAAAGGCTAGACATGGCGAGAATGGTGGAAGCGGAGAACAAGTACTGCGTAAACGTAAAGTCGAATGTCGGAAAGGCTCCATTTATCCAAGATTCGGTGAGGATGCGATAGGATCTCCGCGCACATTTAATGCATGTTTCCGAGAGAGAAAGGGCGGTCTCGCTTGGTGGCAGGATAGTAGTAGTAGCGGCCGTGGTTTGCTCGCGCGAGTTGCGATACTGTCGAAGCGTATGGAGTAGAACAGGCCTAGATGCTATAATAAGACACTGGGACAGTCAGCTTCCAGATCAAGAAATGGGCTTGTAATAAATGTGGACTTACCTGGTTGAAGTAGACAAACAGCGTGATCATTGGCATTGCACTGTTTGGCAGTACTTGGTCCAGGGCTACGTGAAGAGGACCGGGAAGTTGTTCTAACCAAGTACTCAGGTCCTGCAGCGCCTGCTGAACTCGACGAGATATGGGACTATCGTGGGTTCTTCGACCATATATGGATGCTGTTATATGAGCCCCCAAGTTGGCTATACGAAGACTTGCCGTAAGATAATCAGCATCGGCAACGTCTTCTTCGAAGCTCTCAGCAAATAAGTCTGATTTCGAAGGGAGATTGACATCAATATCCTCGTTTTGAATAGACACTGGCTTGCCAAGCATACATGCCCAAAGTCTGTCCAGGCTGTACACGGTCCACCATATTCGGATTCGATGCTCATGTAATTCGCAACTCGGAAGTTGGGTTCGTGGAACGTTCAGATGAAGGCCCATGAGAATGCTGAACCGGACAGCGTAGCCGACCAAGCAGTAACCAGAGTGTCGACGATTCATGGCGAGAGAGTAGATAGACTTTTCAAGTTAGAACCAGTTAGCAAGAGTGTTTTGCATTGGAAGGATGGAACTCACAAGCATCATCATGATCTCGACACAATCAATCCGGGGTTGCTCGCTTAAGACACTAAGCATTCGGGAAGCACTTAGGTAGTATAGAATCCCTGGAAAAGTGTCCCCGGATATGCAAGTCCTTGTGGAGTATATTTCTCCCAATGCGAAGAGTGCGAACAGCTTGCATACCGATAGCTTGTCACAGGCTGCGGGGTTACGAATCGCCTCCTCTAAGAGTTGCGCTGTTGAGCTCTTACGTACAAGATAGTGTCGCCGACACACGGTGTTGAAACAGACTTTGAGTAGGAAACGGGCCCTCGAGGGGGTGGGCCAGCTGAGCTTTGATTCCCCCAAGGAAGAGATTATGTCGTCCTGCACATAGTCGACTCGAGGAAGATGGTTTTGCGAAGCTCCCGACAGCTCTTGGCGGAATCTAGTTGCGAAAGCCACGTCTGTGGCCTCCCCTATTAGAAGTGGCATTTCAGGGGTCAAGTTCAGAAACCAAGGCTGGTTTCCCAGGACTGGGTTTTGCAGGCAATCACCACTTTCTGTGCCCGGCGTCGCTAAGACGGCATCACTAGCCGCCGGCGGAACTCGCCCTACAGCCGAGGCTGAGTCAGGCAGAGATGTCTCTTCGTTGCCATTGTTGTTGCTGTCAATGTCGTCGTGGTCTTTGGCTATCTGGGATGACGTGGGCGGTGTGGTGTCGCTGATCACGAAAGGGCGGCCGGCTTGTCGAAGGAGTGCAATCTCGTCCAGAAGCTCGTCAATGTAACTGGACAGCCAAGTCAGCAGCACGAGCACGTAGGAGAAGAGGGCTATCCGACCTTTGATCGACCCTGACACGCCGTACGCGGTTGGGGTATACACACTCAATGCTGCTGTTGTTCTGGGCACAGTTGGAGCAAGGGACACCCCCGGAACATTTGATCTTGCGCGCATGACACTTTCGACACCTGTCTCCCAGGTAAGCACACGAGATAGGGAGTCGGGCAATTGTGGCGTGGACAGCTTGCTTACGCTATGCGTGCGTTTCTCGGTTTCTCTCGGGACAAGCCGATGGCACTCATGGCTGGTTGAGTACGATGATGGATGGATGAAGGCCACCCGCATTGCTCGGTTGTGATGCTCGGCGTCCGAGAAGTACCAGGCGCAGTCGGAGCCGGGGGTGATCCAAGACAGAAACTCAAGCAGAACCACGTTGTCCTCCATAGCACGAGGAACGCCCTTGTGTGATGATTGTGGGACTGAAGACACTCTCGGCGACGGTGCGAGCAACCGAGTGAGTGGGACATGTCTCGGCTGCCACCTACAATGCCCGATCCAACCAAATCTTTGTCTGCCCGAACCGGCGGTAGCCGACCAACCTTAAGTACCTACCTACATGCAAGGTAGTTGACTAGTTGGACTTGGCTAGGTGAACCTTGACGCAATACATCGAATCAAGTTCAGGCCTCCTTTCTATCTATGTACCACAGCGGCAGCCTCAGATACTCGCACGCCCCATTGCCTCCAATCTTTATTTCTACTCGCTGACGAGGAACTTTGTACGCTAAGCCCAGGTGCATTAGCAGCCTACGACATGAATGTTGCAGTCGTCGGAGCGACTGGAGAGACTGGCCAGTCAATAATTAATGGTCTTAAGGAATCAAGCACTTCTTTTGTAGGGCCAGTTTTTCCCTGTAGTATTAGTGTTTATGTGCTGATGCAGCTAGAATATCACGGCGCTTGTTCGCACCGTAGATACACCTGAAATCCACCAGCTCAACTCTCGTGGCATAGCTACTGTCGCAGTCGATCTGGAGGGTCCTTATGAGGATGTCGTAAAGAGCTTGAGCGGTCAAGAGGTCGTCATATGCGCAATCAACCCATTCTGTGTTTCACAGCAAATTACCTTGGCAAATGCTGCGAGCGAAGCAAAGGTGAAGAGATTTGTGCCCAGCGCTTTTGGTCCTGTTTGCCCGCCACGCGGCGTCATGGCATTGCGAGAATTGGTGAGTTTTCAATGCCAGACTGTGAGCATCAACGCTGACTGAAAATAGAAAGAGGAGGTTATCAGCCACGTGAAGAAAATTCACCTTCCTTATACCGTAATCGATGTGGGATGGTGGTATCAATCATCTATCCCCAAACTGCCTTCGGGAAAGATTGATTATGCTGTGACATTCGGTATGTCAAGGATTGTGGAAGATGGCCGCCAAGCTACCTGTATCACCGACCTTAGAGACATCGGTCGATATGTGGCTCTCGTTATTGTAGACGAGAGGACTATCAATAAGTATGTTTTTGCCTACAACGAACTAGAATCCCAGGAGAGTATTTTTCGACAGCTCGAAGCTGCAAGTGGAGAAAAGATTCCAAGAATCCATGTAGGCATCTCTTTTCAATCATCGCAAGCTTCGACAAATATTTCTAACGGTTTCGTTAGACGACGAACGAAGAGGTTCTATCAGCAATTACGACCACAAGAAAGCCGTATGATGAAGGAAACAAGTCGTTCCTCAAGATAATACCTCTAGTGCTTGCTCAGTATCCCTACTCCTTATGGGTTCGTGGTGATAATGTTCCCGAAAAGGCTCAGTATCTTGGCTATTTATCCAGCAAACAACTCTACCCTGAATTCAACTACGTCCCTTTCGCCTCATACATTCAGGAGGTCTATCAGGGCAAAGGAAGGGCAGTATATAGCAACCGTAGGTTTGGTTTCACAAAGCCCTAAATATCAATAGACAAATGACTTAGTCAACTCTGAAGAACTTGTATACCGGCAGTCTATCTCAGAAGCTAGAATATAACAGATATTCACATATACCCAGTCTAGATATGGTCTCTAAAGCCTTTACCTGAGTTGACATCTACCTAGACTGTACCTTTCTCAGTTCAGTAATATCATCAAACAGGGTTTTTTTTTGCCATGAGGAATGGCCAATTTTCAGGGCCGACGTCTGCCGTCGGTGTGTATCCGGCTTCGGAAGGAGCACGCCCTTTGGTCATCTTGTCCCCGGCAGCCAGGTGAATGGCCGCCGCCACTCCGGTCTCGGAAATTGTACAAGGTGGGGATAGATACTCGGCGATGTGCTCAGCTTCCGGATACCCTAGCTCCCCGGACGTAAAGAGAATACGTGGCCGGTTGTGCATGGTATAGTGGTAGTATATTTAGTTTTGCGGATAATGAGCTAAGATGTAGGTATAACGAAACTACTCAAACATGACACGAAGGGGAACGACGACCTCGACGGCTCCCGATGGTGCCTCACTAGAGGCGCCAGAGCAACCTTCATATCCCCCCGTCGACGGTGGCCGAGATGCATGGTTGGTTTTAACTGCCGCCACTATGATGGAAAGCCTGATTTGGGGTATGCCCTGAATTCAATATCACGACTACTAAGCATTTATTGATGGTGTGCAACAGGGTTTCCTTTTGCATTCGGCGTCTTCCAAGAATACTATTCGCGTCAGGAACTATTCGCCGACTCCATCCACCAACTCGCCACTATCGGAACTTGCGCGACAGTTAGTTCAATTCTAGTAGAGCTGAAAGCAGCTAGGACTGACTTGTTTTCGTCACAGGGTTTGATGTATCTCAGCGCCCCTATAGTTTACAGCACGGTTCGGAAAGTTCCTCGTTATCGCAAAGCGGTCTGCATTGTGGGTTTCGTAGTTACGATAGCAAGTCTCATCGGTGCATCATTCGCGAGCACCTTTTCACAACTATTGGTGCTCCAAGGCATTCTGTACGCTCTTGGCGGCTCACTGCTCTACTTTCCAACTATTATTTATATTGATGAATGGTTTTCCAAACGAAAAGGATTTGCGTGGGGCATCATCATTGCAGGTGGCGGTGCCTCTGGGATTGTGATTCCATTCCTGATGGAATGGATACTAGATACTTGGGGCTTCCCTACCGCATTCCGAGTTTGGTCCGTTATCTTTACAATTTTGACCATCCCAGCACTGTTTTACTTGAAGCCTCGGCTTTACAATAACCAGTTCGACGCAGATTCAAATGAAAATGCTTGGGCATTCTTCAAAAGCCCTGCATTCTGGATATTCTCAGCTGGGAACCTCGTTCAAAGCATGGGTTACTTCATGCCTCTTTTGTATCTGCCATGTGAGTCCTCTCAGCTACTACACTGTTTCCCTTTCTTCGCTAACAAAAGACCATTGCCCAGCCTTTGCCGTAGCACAAGGCTGGCCCCGGATGACGGGCACAATTGCTCTTGCGTTGTGCAACGCGGCCAATGTGGTTGGCGCCATCACTGTTGGCTGGCTTGCCGACCACTACCACATTACGACTGCAATCAACTTTTGTGCTCTGGGAACAATGTGCGCTGTGTTTCTATTCTGGAGCTTTGCCGTGTACCAGCCTGTCGTTTACGTCTTCGCTTTCACATATGGGCTTTTCGCCGGAGGAGTCCCTGCAACCTGGTCTGGATGCAGTAACCCGATACGGCGGCACTATCAAGTCGAAGCAGGCATGATTATATCACTATTCACCGCTGTAAAGGGTGTAGGTTCTCTTATTTCGGGTCCACTTAGCGGTGTTCTCGTGGCATCGGACAGCTGGAAAGGACGGGCTGAGTTTGCCTATGGAAGCGGATATGGATATTTGATCATCTTTTCGGGTATCACGGCTTCCTTTGCAGCCACTGGATGGGTTGGAAAGAGACTAGGATTAGTTTAGGCGGGCGAGAATAGTCGGCAATAGCTATTATTCACTAGGATAGCAACTCACATAGCCGTGAACTGTCCAAAGGCACATAGTCAGTGAAACAGAAATAGACCCTCAGTATATACAGTTGGCTGAAAATATGGAGGAAATTAGTATTAGAATACAATGGATGGTCCTTTCAAGAAGATATAATAGCCCTTGGAGAAGTACTCCAATTATCCTTACTGTGGTCAAAGGGTCTTGGCTAACGAAAGAAATGACGCAGAGATGTTCCAGTCAGCTCAAGGATTAGGTCCACATTCGGGCGACATTTTGACGATAAGTTCACGAGGCCGCTCGTTGTCTCATTGTAGTACCACGATTACCCTTGTTTGCCTAAACTCCAGGAGAGGTCCGGTCCAGGGACCTGGGTTTCTACCCCATTATCACTCCGCAGTATCTTTGCTGGTGGTGATAAAGCGACCTTTCCCAATGCGACTCGATTGTCGCCCATCACACAGTCTACGAGATAAAGAAGCCAAAGGTCTTAGCGGGAAGAAGCAATATTCTCCAAAATTATCATGAGGTGCGATCGGCACCCCCTTCATCCGTCACTTTCCTTAGAGTACTTACCCCGCGGTGCCAACACGATGCACAGGGTCTAGGACTAGAGAAGATTGTGGCGTTGGATTACTGCGTTAGATCATATATTAGCATAATTGGCTGTGTTATCTTTGGTGTCATTAATAGTTATAAAAGGGAACGTCGTTCGACGAACACTCTTCGTTGGAAGCGTGAACACGACTGTCTACATTGTCTGCAATTTGACGACTCCTTGTTTGTTCCACCTCGATTCTGTGCTAAGACCCGTGGCTTGACTTATACGGCACGAGAGCTACCATGACGGCCCAATACCACCCAGACCATCACGAGCTACACAATGGGGGTGATCTAGAAGCTATGGACGTGAAGAAGGCGAAGAGCAACCCGGCATCTATCCGCGGACTAGAGACTAGTCCTGAGACGTCTCTCAAGAAAGGACTCCAAGCCCGCCATGTGAATATGATCGCTATTGGTGGTGCCATAGGAACCGGCCTGATCATTGGCACAGGGAAAGCCCTTGCGCAGGCCGGACCTGGCTCGTTACTCATTTCATACACCTTTGTCGGTGGCATCGTTTTCTTGGTCATGGCAGCCATGGGTGAGATGACTGCGTGGCTGCCGCTCTCTGCTGGCTTCACGGGCTATGCTTCGCGTTATTGCCATCCCTCCCTGGGGTTCGCGTTGGGCTGGACGTGAGCTTTCCACTCTGCCTGTGTTCTGTTTCCGAGTTTTACTGATGCCATTTAGGTACCTTTTCAAATATCTCATCATGACTCCGAACCAACTCACAGCTGCAGCCCTTGTGCTGCAATTTTGGGTGCCGCGCGAGAAGGTCAACCCGGGTGTTTTCATCGTTGTTTTCCTGATTGTCATCTTGTTCATCAATTTCTGGAGAATCGGCGTCTTTGGTGAGGTCGAGTTTTGGCTTTCCACTTTCAAAGTGCTTGTCATTGTTGGCATTATGATATTCGCCTTAGTGTTGATTGTTGGCGGCGGACCTGATCACGAGGTCCGCGGGTTTCGTTATTGGAGCAACCCTGGGTGAGTGTCGAACACGATAGTAACAACGCATCCCGCTGTGTCTTTCTCTTCTTGACCTGGAATGGTTGTATCGACTGACTGCTTGGGCAATACAGAGCATTCAAAGAATACATCGCCTCCGGGGCCTGGGGTAAAGCCCTGGGTTTCTGGTCAACCATGATCAACGCGACCTTTGCGTATCAGGGAACCGAACTCGTTGGTGTCACAGTGGCAGAAGCACAAAACCCCCGCAAGACAATTCCAAAGGCTATCAAGATGACCTTTTACCGGATCCTGCTCTTCTACTGTATCTCTGTTTTCTTGCTCGGTATGCTCGTTCCATACGACTCACCAGAGCTCAGCTTCGCCGTCAAGCAGAAGGCGAGCGCTTCGGCATCGCCGTTCGTAGCGGCGGCTACTGTCGCGGGCGTCCAGGTCATGCCACACATCATCAACGGCTGCATCTGTCTCACCATCTTGTCCGCAGCCAACACGGATCTCTACATTGCCAGCAGAACTCTCTATGGCCTGGCATCTGACGGGAAAGCGCCAGCGATTTTCAAGCGAACCAACAACGGCGGCACGCCAATCTACGCGTTGGCAGTTGCAGCTGTGTTTGCTCTACTTGCATTCATGAACGTCTCTGATGATTCGACCAAGATCTTTGGCTACTTTGTTAACATCACAACTATTTTTGGCCTGCTCACCTGGATCTCCATCCTCGTTACCCATATCTTCTGGTGCAGGGCCCGAAAAGCTCAAAGCCTTGACTCTGCTACTCTCCCATATGCGGCCCCATTCGGCATCTGGGGCTCGTACTGCGCGCTTGTTGTTTGTATATTTATTGCCTTGACGAAGAACTTTGATGTTTTCACACGGTGGGACCAGGCGCCTTTCCACGTTGAAAAGTACAAGACATTCATCACTGGATACATCGGCATACCAGTGTACTTGGTTCTGATTTTCGGCCACAAGTTCGTCACCAAATCCGGGCCTGTTCGTCCAGAGGAGACGGACTTTTTCACTGGCAAGGACATTGTTGACAACGAGGAGCGGCTCTTTCTTGAGCATCAGGCCTTGCGACAAGAATCGACGCAAATGGCTCGAGGATGGAATCTGGTTTATAAACGCTTCGTGGCGTGGTTGTTCTAGGATGATGGATCCCTCAAACTATATCGCAACATTACTGCCATAAAGTCAAGTGGGGATAAGACATTTATCGAACCTTGAGTTTGCCTACATGTAGCAAGATCTATCCTAGAATTCACTAGAGTCTGTAGCATATACACTTGGATATCACCAGAAGTTTGGGGGATGATAGATTGTTCATCGGCGGCAGGAAAATTCTACTCCAGGCATGTCACGCCCGTATCTTCTCCCAATTTAGCTTCGCTGCCCCCTCTAATCGGCTATAGGTACTGTATATCCGATTTTTCCCCATCCATTGTCTCTGTCTCCTCCCGGCCTTGGCCAGAGAGTTGAGAAAGCTATTTGACTTGGGCTGGATGAGTGTATATATATCGTTGCCAAATTACCCCTTGGTCAGTGCCTGTCCAAGCACATACCCGATGCTGCTCGCATCTTGTGCTCTATCTGAATCTGTTGTAGTGAAATAGGCCGAAGAATCTCATTTATAAGCTGCAATTGAATGATTGCATCTCCATGTGATTGGATATCCTTGCCGCAGCCAATAACCTCCTTAGTAATAGTCCATTCAGAAGAAGAGCGACGCATCTGCCAAACAGACTTCCACGACTTTTTTACATTAGACTCGAAGTCCATGTCCCATGTCGCCCTCCAAGTAATACCATGATCTCTTTGGTATCGAAAGACTGCTGCTACTCCCTTTCTTCCATTCCATATTTCCATAACTCGCAGCTTTGGCATCCTCTTCGCCGCACTTGCGGCTAATTCAAGCATACTGCTTAGCTCGGTTGTACTTGCATCTGGCATAAGCAGGTTTGAAGTCAAGCTAAGGGAGGTAAGAAAGGGCCAATTTGTATGCCCGGTAGTAATGGTGAAGAAGTCAGCGGCATCGAGTATAAAGGATGCGGATAAAATGTCGAGCTTCAGGCTGGCAAGGCCAATTGCTCGACCCACAGCAGAGGATGGGATGCGAAGAGCTTCAGCATAGTAAATCCTCGCTGGATATTCTTGGTTGAAGTTCTCGAAAAGTACAAGTCGTTTGACATTTGGCAGCGACTTGAACATTCGCTCATACGCTATTGATTATTTCAGAACTTTCTCCTTTCTCTCACGTAGTATAGTAGAAAGAATAACTTACCACTATCTGTAAATCGCTCAATAGCTCTATCCCATTCTCTCCAAGGTTCATGATGAATCTTTTCAAGTCTGGGAAACCGAGAGAACAGCCTCTCAAGGGCAGCTGGTTTCCATCGCCGTCTGGTCTGTTGACGTAAACGGATCCCTGTTACTGCTGGAATAAAAGGGAGTTTGCTCCACCACTCAAATTCTTCTTCTTCTGAATCAAATGGACCCTCTCCCATGATTTCTTCAAAAACTGTTTCAATGGCGTACAACTCCGGGAGAGATTCCTGACAAGCAGCATTCCAACCATGCTGTCTATCACTAGACTCATGTAGAGCTCTTTGCTTTTCTTTGAGGTATTGCTCAAAGTTTTGAGTAGAAACATCAGGTTCGAAAGTCAGATATTTAAACCAGTGTTCTGAGTCGCTCGGCGAATAGATGCTAATATCAAGCATTAGATTGGACGTGTCTTGCTTCCACGTACTAAGAGATGAGAATAAATTTTCGATGCATGTTGTAACAAGACGATTGTCTTTATATGACAATCCATCTATTTGGCCCTTGCACTTCATGCAATCATATGTTTCAAGCTCTATAGCAAGGTATAGAGACTTGACAAGGTGTCGATTGCGGTGCGTTATTTGGTTCAGGTCTGCAAGACGAGAAACTGTCAATGTGATCCAAGAAAATATGTGCGGTTCGATGACACTCTGCCATTCTCGTGATACTGTGACAAGATGGGCTAAGCGGCAGCCATCCGATACCAAGGCATCCAGGACCATGAGGCGGATTTCTGGGGCTAGGGAGCTCCAAGTGGCCATATTGGCTGGGAAACCCTCACTGTGTTGTCTTTCATTGTGTTTCAAGGTTAAAAAGCTTTTTTTTGTTAATATTATGCTCTTTCGAACACTGATTTCTTCCACGCCTTTCCCTCCCTTCTTGCAGTTAATCTTATTGCCTTTGAGAAAAGGCACTGAGTATCGTTATCTGCCATGATCCTGATCGTCGGGATAAACAGCGAAGGCTGCGGGTGTGTCAGTGTCAGTGCTCTAGCCAAGGGGCTACTGGTACATACTGGATTGGTAGGTATATTAGCGCTTGGTGTGTTGAAGTGTTTGGATTGGCGTAAGGCAAACGAAATAAGCTAGGTGAAGAGGGCAGCTTTAATAGTTTTTCGACGAGCAGTTCGTCCTGACGGCAAGTAAGTTATCAGCATGAAGGTTTATCAAATTTTCTGCCGTATGGCTGCAGCCTTGGGCTAGCGAAGCTTTTATCATTAACCTTTCATATTCATTGTGTTGAGTTGTTGGGTCTGGCATCTTCTATTTGTTTTAACTTTATACCAAACTCTCTACGGTGGAGGAAACGACGAGCTAATGAAAAGAGCAATTGGGGAACAAGGGCGGCGTAGAATCAGCAGCATTGTGGGCTTTATATACTTCATGTCTGAGACAGGGTTAGGGCTGGGCCATGACTCTACAATGCCGGTGACTCCAGGGAACCCGCATGCAGCATTGCACGGAGAGTACGCAAGTGGGTGAAATAAAACATAGCACATCGAGATAGTTCAGCATTGAATTTCAACACAGTATCAGAACAAATAACCTAGCACTAAGTATAATGTCAAGCGAAATATTGTAAAATAGTTTATTATTCTCTGTTTATTCTATTATTATTCTATTTAGTTGAAATTGGAGGTCCCTGCCTTACGCGGAAAGAGCTTTGGTATGCCATTTTTATTTCACCCACTTGATACGATACAGCTCCGCCAGTGTCTCATCGTCCCAACACACGTGTACAAGTACTTGGTGATGTATAGCCCTTTTTTATACGCTCGTCCCAACCTATTTGCCTATGTATTCTTGGCTGAAGGCTTTGGGCTGGTCTGGTAATCAAAGGGGTTTAGATTGTACTTATCTCCATGTGCTGACATCAAATTGAATAAGCGGATCTGCTGACAAACGTTACATTAGAAACTTCATCATAACGAATTTTCGCCCTGGGCTGGTCTTTTCTCGCCCGACGGCGGCAAAACTCACAATTTTCCTCTGCAACGTTGAGTGATAGGGACGGTCACTAAAAGGCACTGTGATGATGGATTCCAAGTCTCCAATTCGTCGACGACCACTTCGGGGCAGGACTGCCACAGCTTGCTTGGAATGTCAACGGAGGAAGAAGAAATGTAACCGTCAATGGCCGTGTGATCATTGTCAAGATCGAAAAATCTCTCACCTATGCGAGTTTGGACCACCCAAGGGGGCAAGGTACGCCGTTTACTAATAGCAGTGAGAAATTGACGTGTGTTTCAGTTCAGATCCTGATGAAAATAGGCATCTAGTGGAGTCAGAAGCAAGCTCAATGAACGATTCTCGACGAACAATCGAGCCTCCGGTGTCTGAGATCCAGAATCCTTTGTCTCTGGAAGATTGCTGCTTGGCTGTAAATGAGTTGTCATATGTGGATAGTGATATTTTCAGAGTGCTTCAGGCAAGTGCTTCGTTTTTTTCTCTTTTTTTTTTTTTTTTTTTTTTTTTTGGTGAATATGTCCCATCAACGAGCTGAAATTAACACGGAGAGCCAGATCCAACCCACTACCGAACCGACGAAAGCGCTATCAGTTCCAAACCATGTTTTGCAAGCTATAAGAACTGTTCCCCCACGCCCGTATACTGACGCTTTGGTGAAGAACTTCTTCAATCTTGTTAATTACCACTATTGCATTCTCCATCAACCGCATTTCATGACCCAGTACACGAAGTGGTGGTCAACAAGACCTGAGCTTAGAGGCTCGCCTAGCTGTTCTGACATTTCTTTCACTTGCCTGGTTCTTCGAATATGCAGCAATTCGACCCAGTTTCTTACGCCTTCAGATCTCCATCGGTTTGAATCTGAACTTGGAGAGTCTTTGTCGGTTTTGGGGGCGAATTACAATACCGCGGCCCAAACTCTGAGCGATTACCTGCCTTCTGGGAGTGGGGGTTTGTCAAATGCTCAACAACTCTTCCTAGCAGCTACTTGGTCTAAAGCAGAAGGTGACTTTGTCTCTTCGTGGCATCAATTGGCTGCTGCGGTAAGACATGCTCAAGAAATAGGTTCGTGACGGCTTATCGTTGCACATTCCAGTCAAGAAACCTCACTCACAAATTTTTGGACAGGCATTCATAATGATTCATCGTCAGCCGACATGACAGACTTGGAGAGAGAACTTCGCAGACGACTTTGGTGTTCTGTGTGGACCTGGGATAGGTGAGTAGGGACTCGCAGAATTCTTAATCGATGGGGATTTTGCAGGATTAATCCACATTTCGCAGATTCATGGTCGGTATTTTCAACCGGGCCTCAATTATCCAATCAAACGAGCCTGTTCCCTTGCCCAACCCGAAGTTGGATCAGACACGGGACGATCCGGAGATACCGTCAATTGTGTTGACCAAGGTTCTTGAGAATCAACTAACTAGACAATTGTATGATGATAGCCATAAGGATGCTGACTTGGATACCAAACTGGCCTTGGTTGAGAACTTTATGGATAGACTTCCTAGTGTTTTCCGGCTTAACGGCGCCGATGTACGATGGGATACAAAACATCCCAGACTCGTCGCCCAACGCCTACAACTACATACAACTTGCTATATGGCTCAGATGATACTGCTCAGGCCAACAGTTCTGGATCTCGAAAGATGTGACCCGAACAGGCTCTCTCATACAATCGACCTCAGCCTGAAGTGTATGGAAGTCAGCCGAAAGTTATTCGATGCTTGCGTCCCACAGCACGCAAAGTACTTTATGGTTACATTCGCCCCTTTTGATAATGCATCCTTTCTTGCTTCCATTGTCATCAAAGCCGGTGGAAAACGTCAAGTGCCCAAACGTTCAAAGGTTCTAGCAGCAATTGGGCAAGCAATCTACATGTGCAATAAGCTACGCGAATTCACAAAGCTAGGGGCAACAACATGGACAATTCTAATGGCCCTGGCTTCGAAATTCATACTCGATGCGTCTGAGAGAACCATCTTTGAGCAGATAAGACGAATAGGAGACGAATCGGGTCCAACAGAAAGACCGTTTCTTGAGCCTGGGATGGGACATGATGAGCCTCTCATCCGCCAGCCTGATAGTATCTCCAATTTGGTTGATATATCTGAGACTGATTGGGGAATGTGGGGAGCATCAGAACCGTCGGCGCAGGTTGACCTCGGTATCCTTGACGGGATGTGGGATTGGAACGGTCTTGGTTTAGGGGACATGGGTTCCGGCTAGATTCACATCCATTACTCAGGTCTCTTATCAACGCCAGGCTTAAAATCATGAGGACCGGCATGGTCATGTCTAGTCACGGCGATGCAAAGCTCCTCTTAGGCGCTTCAAGAGAGCTAGCGGAAGACGGATGGGAGATTATCACGAATTAGCAGTACTTAAAAGAGTTCACGCCCAATTCGAATTGGACAAGCACTTGCTGAATGACATTCTATCCTTGCTTGAGTCTATTTTGTTCTTCATGTCTTGTTTCATTTCGATAACAGAAACCCAACGAAACATATTCAATTCCAGTTCAATCGTTATTCATCATTAACCTCAAGTTCCAAGTCGCACTCAGTCTCACAAAATCAAGGCTCCTCGTGATGCACGGCTTGTTCCATCTTCTTTGCTTCGACGGGAATCACGGGCACTGGAGGCTGCTTGGCAAGCTTGACAGTGGCCATGGCGGAAGGAGCCTCAGTGAAGAGAGTCTCAATCTCCTCAAGGGAACGTCCCATAGTCTCTGGGAAGAAGAAGTAGACTGAAAGAGGGATGCAGGCTCCAACCGCGGCGAAGACAATGAAGTACCTCCAGGAGATGGTATCGATCGCAACGGGTGTGATCATAACCACAACGAAATTCCTGTTGTAACGCGTGTTAGTGTATCGAACATGAGTTAAATTTTTATTATTAAGAACAGGAAGTACATACCAAAGCCAATGGTTCGCCGTGGAAATGGAAGACATGGCCATACGCAAGCGCAGGGGTGCAACCTCAGTGCAGTAAAGGAAGTTGGCACCAAGGAATCCGATCTATGTGAACGTTAGAAGATGGGTCAACCCGGCGAAGAATAATCGATGATGAAGACTTACGGGAACGAATGTGTTGAAAAGGTAGATGAAGCACCCAGCTATGATCATCGCAGGCTTGTTTTCTTTATCCATCGAAGTGGTGATTGCCAGGGCAGTCATGCAACAGCACATGCCAACACCACTGATCATGAAGACAGCCCGTCGTCCGAATCGGTCGATAGCGACAAAAGCGATGAAAGAAGACAAAAACTTCCAGGTCATGGCGCCAGCAGCGAGTATCTTGGACAGCTCGGCTGACAGACCAATATTCTTCTTGAAAAGAATGGGGACGTAGACTGAGATGAGGTTGGAACCAGACATTTGCTGATAGAATTGCAACAGGATGCACAGAGCAAATCTGTACAGCAGCTTGTCCTTGCCCATGGTCATCATATCCGTAAGCTTGGATCCGCTGACCTTGGTCTCCTCCAGCGAGTGTTCAATACCGGAAACCTCAGCGACGACTTCGACGGCATCCTCTTCATGGCCTCGGAACGAAGCTACGATAGATCGAGCCTGTTCGGATCGCCCCTTCATCACGAGCCAGCGAGGGCTCTCGGGGAAGAAGTAGACGGAGAAGCAGAGCATCAGGGAGAAGATGATGGCCAAGCAGATAGGAGGTCTCCATGTAATCATGCCGTCAACGAATTCGAAAAATCCGAGGTTGATCCAAGACTCCAAAGTGTAGCCAACGCAGATGAAGAGGCCGTCGAGGACAACATGCTTTCCTCTGTTCTTGGCGCCGGAGGTTTCACTCTGCCACACAGGGACAATTGAACTGAGACATCCAACACCGAAGCCGATAAGAACTCTGCCGACGATGAATTGGGCGAGCGAGAAAGCCGAACCCTGAAGAACTTCGCCAATCAGAGTGGCCAGACCGCCAGCGAAGATGACATTTCGACGTCCGAACTTGTCACCTGTGTAGGAGCAGGACAGGGAGCCGACGAGAGCACCGATGGTGAATGTAGCAACGACGAATCCCTGAAGGGTAGATTTCCTGCTCTTCTCAGAGCCGGTCGAGTTCACAGTATCGATCTCTGGGAAAGTCTTCACCCAGTCCGATTCTTCCAAATATCCACCGATGTTGGCTTGGTTGTAGCCAAACAGGATGAAGGCCGGAGCGACGATGAGAAAGAGCTGAAGAATGCTCAGGGCGTTGCCCGAGACTCCCAGATATGTCCGCGGCATGCTTTCTCAGTGTTGGGTTTAGCGTATACAACAAACAACCGGATGTGAGACAAGGAGAGATGGAAGAAACTCGCCACAGTCCAGACGAAAGAGAGCACCCAGGCCGGCCTTCTTGTACTTCAACTCCAGAAGGGGAAACAAACTCCTCATGGAGCCCCATGGGAACTCTACGTTGCCTCCACAGTGGTCAACATTTCAAACCATTTCCCCTCTTTCCTCCAAATTCCTCCAATTTTCCTCCAATTTTGCCTCCCTGCCCTTAAAACCCACCCAAATCTACCTCCCGGATCTCAATCAGGAGTACCTGTTCCGCCCAACCCGGGGGAGCCGACCGTGCGCGTTGCGACTTTCACCACTGTCCGATCACCGCGACTCGAGGGATTTTCGTAACCTCGCAAGCGGAGCCAATCCACCGTGGCATGGTGCCCGCCAGGGGCACAGCATGAAGCTATCAGTGAAAGGTTTGCGACACGAGCCGCGGGCGGCTATGACGGCACGGAGATGTTCGGTGAGAAGGCTTCTAGCGCAGCGGGATTTTTTCTAAACTGCCGGGCTGCCGTCATAGTCGGCATCAGATGTGGACCTCGAGGCCTGCAGGATACCGCTTGTCAGCTCCTAGTGGCTCGGAAAGTGGCCGTCTGGCAGAATCAGGCACGTCCGGGCCCGGTTATCTCGAAGGGTTCTGGGTCCCTCATCAATGCCGGTGCGCTCGTTGGCCTGTCATCCCTTGGCCTCAACGCCGCAAGCGGCCTTCTCTGCTGGCCACGCGGCGGTGTCGGAAGCTTGTCGATGTCCACAATCCACGACGTCAGGCCAGTTTCCACTGGAAAAGTGAACACCGGAAAGTGGGTGACATTCCATGTAAGACATGTCACCAGAACGCTTCGAGCGGCGTCTGAAGACATGAGTCTTGCATTCTTGGATTAGCGATAATAATCACGTCATCTACTGGCCGAGGAGTCTCTGCAGTGCTCTACTACTTTCATAAACCAGTCTCTGTTGTTTTGTTGTTTCATTGTCCGGATTTATGTCGGACTCCAACTCCATCGGGGCCACATTTTGAGCCGTCCGCTTAACTGACAGGGTGGCCTGTCATCTGGTGCATTTCTTTAACCCAATCAGCACAAGTGAGGCTCAGTGGGCTTCTTTGAAGTAGGATCCGCCCCAAAATAAACAAAATGATGACAGTTTGAATCCTCTTACTCAACCTTAAGCGTAATAATCTCGAGATTCTGCCCCATCAACCCAAGTGAGAGAGCACATCATCATGTCCTCCAATGGCATAGAACTGATTACTGAATCATTAATGTCCATAGTATGTAAGAATAATCCGATGCTATTAGTCACTCATCGCATTTGTGCCATTGCAGAGATCCCCCCGTCAGGGTTTTTCACCCTTAATGAGGATGCTAAATTCAAGTCTTTTCAGCAATGGGGGCCTAATCGGAAAAATTAAACCTGTGCACCTGACTTGTAGATGGCTACCGGTCCCAATTGCATATGTGCATTCAAATGAACGTGAGCCGGCCCGTCGTCGCCTTTCAAGGCGTATTCAACACTACTCTCACCCCTCTCTGCATCCTTGTCTATAACCACTGCACACTTATCAACCAGGGGCAGTTCATGATCAACCTACCCTGGGCTGAAAGGAGTAGGCCGCACTTTTGACCGATACTAAATTGTTCAGTGCACTACTGCTACCTAGATTCCCATACATTAAATGATGGGTATTGACATGAACTCCACTGACCCAGCGGAAAGGTAGCACAGAAACTTTTATTAAGTCAGGAGTCGTTTCACGTATTGAATAAGAATATCATCAAGAAGAATGAAGAAGAATCGCATAATGCCACAAGAGAAGATATTTGTCTTCAGGATACGTCTAAGTCTGGGCATCAGGCGACCAAAAGCAGTCCACATGATCATAGAGTGGCGAACGTAGCTGGCTGCAATTCGCTATCTCATTTGAACACTCTGGAGTTATGCACCCTTTATTAATTGTCTTCCAATATCATTCGGCGGTAAGCCGTTCGCGAGGCGAGCCCTCTTCACGAACGGCTTTGACGTGGATCAGTGGGAGGTTCCATATAGGGTAGGCCGGGCCGGATGAACAAGGTCGGCCCAAACAGCCTTTTCAGGGTGCGTGAGCAAATGACAAGGATCCCATCCACCCCATAGCACGATGTCATCAGCATGGGGAAATTGTTGATGGGTGGATTTTGCCACTTGTTTTTCGTGTTGATAGATGGTGGCTAATCAGGTTTTATTCTGACTGACAAGGAAAACATTTGCGCTTTCTGACATAGCTTCCGGCAAAGACTTGTGAATCACTGGGTTCCATGTTTTTAATCTAGAGATGAAAAGCCTTTAATTAGATATTGGTTGATCACTGCGATTTGCTTCCATGAAATCAGTTTAGAACGGTCAGATAGCTATGTAACTGAGTACATTGCAGTAGGGTGCAAGAGACCCCGACAGCCCAAGCCAATGCCAACCATCCGAGTGCAAGTTAGTAATTGAGAGACAGTATTTATCCGACAAGGGTTTCCGGTATGCCATTCCTTTACAGCTTGGACGGAGGGTTAGCGGCATCCAGAACTGCCTGGTAAGCCACATTGACTCTCTGGTGTAGAGTTGTAAATTGATCGGCGTAGGAGGGGTCGACTTAGCCACGAATTAGAAAAGAAATTTCAACAATGATGAATTGATAAGTTCACTTACCAACATTGGCGAGAGCAGCGAAGAGCGCATCAACATCCTCCTAAACATGTGTTAGCAAGTAATATGTCAGGGTATCTGGAACAAGCAGTACCTTGACGCCAGCGAGGAGATCGAAGAACAGATCGAAGTAACCACTATTTCTAATCACGTCAATCTGCAGTATAATATTAATAAAGAGTACATTTCTGCGCGCCAGTGGCTCTTGATTATGAATGGATACCTTGAGAATGACATTTGCGAGAACGGTTTCAAGAATGGAGACAGTGCTCTCGCCCGCCGTGTTGAGAGTGGCCGATTGATCGGCAGTCAAGGCACCATTATCGATAACATCTTGAGTAGTACCCTTGATGAGGGTTTGAAGGTTCGTAATATCAGAGTAAAGCGAAAGGCTCTCGCCCAAGCTGCCAGTATAAGCGACAACCTTGGTGTTGATTGAGGTCAGTGTAGCGTCGATCTGCGTGAAACCATCCTGGATGTCGGCGAAGTCTCGCTTAACGGGAACAGGAATTGCCGAAGCCAAAGCAACAAGCCCAAGAGTGAAGATCTTTGCAAAGAGCATTGTGATGATGGTAATGAACAGAGTAGTGTTTTTAACAAAGTTTGAAGTTGCAAGATGTGATCGATGTCTGCTTATTGGAAGGTGCGAGTGGAATTGATGATCGCTTGGGAAGATGAGGTCTATTTATCTTTGGCTGGAAAGCCTAGAAGCTGATTAATTTGTCCTCATACCCTATTTGAACTCTTGATCACTCCACGTCGCAATCAATAAGCTTGTGATTCGCCGCGCTTCCTCGGAAGAACTTCATGTGATTCCTGATGGTTTTCTTTTCGATGTTCTTACTTCTCACTGCGGGGGCGACATTGCGGGAAGCCGAGTCACTTTCCTATTATGCTTGACGAATGATACAGGCATGCCGCGATATTCGTTGATGTGTTCTCATCGCGGAGTTATGGCCTACTTAGGAGATGACTTACCTCAGAGAATGGAAAATGAGCTTGCAGCATGAACTAGGGTAGTCAGCCAACAGAAACATTGCAACACACATGGTTCCCCGTGGGGAAACCTAGTCCTCGCATGGTAGTACTAAGATAGAGATCTACATGGTCCTTTTTGTTTGAAACAGTAGCATCAAATCGCTTAAGAGCACTTTAGTACTGCCTTCGACGGTGGTCTCAGCCGAGGGAACCCGATTTGGTCACCATCGTCTCCGCATAAGACGAATCACAATGTCCGAACTCTCGTGAATACGGCCCCGCCCTGCATGGAAAATGTCAATTTCTCAAGGCAGGTAAGCTTGTTAATAGAGTTAGAATGATTGTTGCAATACCGAGGAACTCGGTATTGCAATTTGATGTCGACTGCTGGATTGACTCGGCGTAAAAGTAATTTCGTTCGATAGGGTTTGCTTCTGAGATTGTACAATCAATCCAGCCTTTGAGTCTCACGCGAAAAAGCAAGTTATGCGTATTGTTGACGAATCTTATCGTTGGACAGGATTTATATTGACTTGGAATCATATCGAGCTGGATTTACTCATGCCTATTTGGGGTTTCTGGTAATTTACATGTGCTCGCCTTTTTGTTAATGTCACAAGCTGGCCGCTGCAATGCCGACAATTTGAGTTGAGATTGACAAACCGTGTCGGACAAATGGAATGAGAACTTGACTTGATTGGAAAATCCGACAAATGACTGACACCAGTTGGGTAGCACTGAGCCGAATTCCACCAATCTGGGGATGAATTGGTGCCTTTAACAACGCTTAGGGACATCTTCTAATCAGGCTATAATACCTTCAGTCGGCTGGCGACTGCTACCTTGCTAGGGTGACAAGGACTAGAAGCAGACGAGCCCAACACGTCCCATTCTAATGTGGCACTCTGCGGCGGGGGAGGCGGGGTGTAGCTCGTCCGCTTAGAATTTACCTATTCATCATTAGATAAACCTATAGACTATTAGGAGCATAGGAATCTCTCAAACAATTACGTGGGTGGTTAAACGAAAGGTGTTTCATTTCACAAAGCTCCCCTCTGATATACTTCCAAGTGCGTGCACCCTATGGTTGTTATGTCACTGAACATGAGAATATGACTGCGGTAGGCGGGGAATATGAATGGTAGGGGTTTACATTGGGTTGAATTGTCTAGACGAAGAGGGAATGTTGCATCTCGGCGTTGACACCCGCCATGGAAGGTGGCCATCTACCAGCAGGATTTAGTTTTCCATTAGCTAACAATATTATCAATTTTAATACGGGGTATACAATTCTCTCCGGCTGTAACTGGACTTGCATGTGAGCCTTATTGCTCCTTTTTCTCCAAGATGATCAACTGCAAGTGTCTCCCGTTAAGACTGCCCACATATATTGAGAAATAGCAGCCGTCACAAGGCAAGACTGAACTAGGGATTGCCAAGAAGATACCAAGATGAATCAAATAAGCTTCCGGCCACTGAAGCTTTGGCATTAATCTGAACCATGTATCAATACCCCACCATCATGTACCTAGCTTTAGCATCTTCCATCCGCCCACACAGATGGAGACGGCTCACAACACTGACAAGCATTGGAATAATATATTCCATTTTATGTTATGGCTGAGTCATCAAATCTCATCCCCTGTGGCCCAGCTGGCTAAGGCGTCCGACTGTTATTCACTAGCGAAATCGGGAGATCGACAGTTCGATCCTGTCCGGGGGAGATCCTTTCCTTTTGCCTTTATTTTTGGCCAGCTTTTCTAATCTTTCGGCTGAGGGGATAATAATTTAATGAGAAAGTCATTGTGCTCTGAAATCTGGGTTAGTTGCTCATGGTTGGGTGTCTCATTCTACGTGCCTCATTACCATCATGATGGATAAGGCATAGGACGGTAATAATTACTTATCACTATGTATGCTACACCATAGACCTATAACATATATCTGAAGATTGGGCTCAGCTACACGAAGCATTGTTGTGATATCTCAATGTGAGCCACCCTTTTCCTCATCGCTCGTTGTACCCTCCTGGTTAAGAGTGGCAGCCACATGATCCGTCATATACTTCTCCGTGTTCGGTGCGAAGAATGTCAAGATAATAGCCAGGCCGGAAAATGCAATCGTGCTGAGGTACACCGTCCGATACGCGTCCGAGTTGGCCACCTTGTAGGCTCTCACGCCAACAGCCACTATGTAGTCTGTGATACCACTGATAGAGGCGTAGACACTGCTGGGAGCGCTTGTACCAGAGGTGGAGATGATGGTCAGGAAATCAGACACAGAGTCGGCTGGTAAGCCTGCACCTACGAGGGCAGGTGGAACTAGGCTCGCGGTTGTTTGAGTCAACCTGTTGCTGAGGATGGTTGTGTAGATGGCGACAAGGACGGCACAGATAGCAGCGCGGATCGATGCTCCTAGCCCGCCAGCAATTCCAATTTCTCTCTGGTCCTCAACGCAGATTGTCGTGTTGGCCAGGGTGATTGTCTCGTTCCAGCCAATGAAGAAACACCCGAGAAACATTAGAGCAATAGCTGTCGATTTATTATCAGGATTACTCACGGCGACGGCTGTATTAAAAACCAGTCAGTAATCATGAAAGCATTGTCATGTCATGTCAGAGTTAACACTTACCGGCAAGAAAGATACCACCAATCGTAAACACGGTCATGCATTGATACTTAGCCTTGCCAATCTTTGCTGTGAGAACTCCGCCGATAATTTGTCCAGAAATGATTCCTACGCCCACAAGCGACGAGATGCCTCCCAAATAATTCAAATCTCGATCATTGTAAAGGGTTGCGCACTGCATGGGCCAGATGATAGCAAAGGCGTAGTACACACCAGCGCCCAGCCCCAGCAGCACGCATGAGACCACCCACTGCGTGTTCTTGAACAGATGCATGGGAATGAGGGGCTCCTTGAGTGGTGCATGAATCTCCCACAGGACAAAAGCTACCAAGACCACGAAACCGATGACAATCGATGAGATAGTAGCCGCTGACTTCCATGGGTAGACGGCACCGCCCCAGCTAAGACCGAGAAGAAAGACGCAAAATCCGCTGGCGAGCAAGAAGAAACCAATCCAGTCGAAATTCTTGAGCCAGTATAGGACCGACGAGTTTTCTTCGTTGCGGTGCTTCTTCTCAAAGGAGGGAGGGAAGTAGAACAGCACCCAGCAGATGAGTGCTGCGCCGTTCAACGCCAAGATCTGCCAATATAAACCTCGCCATCCGACATTTGGGTAAGACTGGATGAATCCGTAGTCGATCGACGGAGCGAGGCCAGACGGAATGGTGAAAAGATATAGGAATGCGTTGCCGACGTATCGCCACTTGAGGGGAATAAGTTCGCTGCGTTGATCGAAAAGTTAGTACGGGATTTCTCGGACTTGTTCACGATCAAGGTAGATTCTTACCCAAGCACGAAATGGAACCCCATCTGGGTAGCGGAACAGATTCCCAATAGCACGTTACCACCAATCAACATGGGAATTGAAGTTGAGGTCGCACACACGATACTCCCAGCAACTCCGATCAAGCCTCCTCCAATAAAGAAGTACCGACGGCCAAAAATATCCGTCAACCGCCCCAAGGGAGCAAGGAAAATGGCCAGAGCCGCATTATAGACAAGAGAAATCCATGTATATCTCGCATCCGGGCCTAGATCAGCGTTGATTTGGGTAAGAATGGGCGCAGCATATCCCTAAACTCACGTTAGTTTCTGCCCTTGAACGGTAGTTTGCTTATTAGGGAGCGTACGTACAAAAGATGCCACCGCGGCCCAAAGTCCTAGACCTGTTGCCAGAAGCGATCCAAGGAAGAACCGGCTGTAGTAGTAGCCTTTTGGAAGGTGTTGAAAATCAGTTTCGCACCCTAAAGGTTCATGTTCCTGGATAGAAATGGAACGGGATGATGGGATTTCCGCGTGTTGATGCGATGTCACCTCTTCTTTGGAAGAGTTAGCCATCGTGCTGGGTCGAGGTTTGGAACTTTGGGAAAAAGTTTGTTATGATTTGAAACGGCTGCAACCAAGATCGATGAAACGAAGAGGTCAGAGGATGCAGCTGGATGCCAGCCTTTATGGGCACTTTATCTCCAGTCAAGATTTAGGTCTCGACACAGTGCACAATGACTAGGTTCCAACAACTGTAGCTGATACCGCGCCAACAGGGAGCAGCTGAGGCGGACTCTTCTTCAGGGAAACAACATCCGCACCAGCCGGAAATTTCGGCCCCGCAGTGTATTATACTAATAAACTGCATCTTTTATGATTCAAGCCATATCCTAGACGTATTTACTTGTTTCTTGCACCGCCTTTCCCCAAGTTCTTTATCCTTCACCCGAACCCCCTTCGCTGACGACAGCGATGCATGCTCGTTGTTACAACTTGCAAGACAAACATAACTATGTAACCATTTCCCGTAGGCAACTGAAATACTCCAAATGAATCAAATTTCCACTAGCTAGTAGCAATGGCGACTGGGGGCTAGGCTGCTGTGTCCCCTGAAAATCCAAGAATCCGGGGTAGGAACTGTCCATCGACTCGTTTATCTTGTTCAAACGGCACAGCTCCTTGTGGAGAGATTAGTCTCTAGGCACGTTATGCGGGGAAATGAACAAAAACAATCAATGGAACGAGGCCTAGACTGCCCAAGGTGTCCGCCTGAGCCTCGGTCAACGTTTTCCGCTGGAAGTTCAGCTTCCTCCGGAAGTAAACAGCCCCCATACCCAACCGCGAGGCCATTGGTCAAAATGGGCTGGCTTCAGAGTTGATTGACCGCCAACAGTTAAGTTCTCATTTACAGCACAGCCTTGTGCCAGAGTATCTCAAACCGCACTGCTTTGTCTGATGCAGCCATCGCCAAGCAATTCTAGCCCGCCGGATACAATTCTAAAGTAATATTGAAAGGAGTGAAGATGTGCCACTTTAAATTGTGGCAATCGCAGTTCCGCTGGTCGCGTATCGAGGTTGAGTGTCTTATCTTTTTGGCTGTTGAGTTACTTGGAAGTGCCGCACTGGCAGAAGACTTTCGCGTACACATGAAGACGTATATTGAGTCAAAAAGCTAATTAAGGCCCATCTCCCCGTATGCATCAACCAACGGGCCCCATGAGATACTAGGGCCATAAATTAATGCTGCTACCTACCGGGCATCAAAGATTGCGCTATGTGGGAAGCTGCATGTACAGCGGTGGTTGAGGAAACATAGAAAGGTTGCTAATGTATGCAGACGATGACCTGATCTTCAGAAATGAGGAAGAGGAATCTGGTGGAGAAACTTCACGCATTCGTCAGCTCTTGCCCCATGCGATGGCCTTAGGAGAACCAACGGCATAATTAGTGTGTAGCGCCTTGCAACAGTTACGCTTGTTGTTATAGTGATGGAAGAGACATTCTCCAACCTTCTTGCCTGGGCCTTGCAACTGTATCGGGAAGAAGTACGTTTCTCATTCCTATCTGGTTCATGAACTTTCGCTTTTTGATAATGTTGTCTGAGCTGACTATGAATTTAGCATCAGTCTTGACTATTCAGAGATGCCATTTCAGATGACGAAGTTGCTATGGAAGTTGATCTTGAAATGATGCCAAAGAGCGACGGTCGGTTCAATTAGAGTGTCTACGTTCTACGGGAAAAACAAGTCTATTAACGTCAAACTGACGGAACTTGCATGGTCGGCAAGTATGAGTGATATAAAAAAGGGTATTGTTCTCTCAACCCAATTGCTAAAGGACAACTTGGTGTAGCAAACGTGTGAAGTTCTTCCAGGGCTTCTTTAGCCTTAGAATTATGTTGCCAAGTTGGATCAAGTTAAAGTTTTAGGTAGCCGGTGGGATCAACCCCCCTGTCAAGGACAATTCAATGGGTATACGAAGACATCTATAGATAGGCTTATGTTAGCCGTGTGATGAAATCCTCAGACTTAACTCTTCTCTTTAAGTGGAACCTTCTCATTCTCCCTCACTCTCCGATATCTCCGGAGCTGTCTCTTCACTAACAATTATAGATCATGCCTGTCGATGAGGATCGTTTATTGCAGCGAATTCCTCCGGGATTGACTTTGATGCGGCAACCCGACACTATTCCATGTTTGGGTGTAAGCCGAGACCCTGCAGGTCTTAACCACCGAGGGGGCTCGGATCCAAAGGTGCTGGTCCAATCATCCGCGTTATATCCAAACAATTCAGGCAGGAGAATTGAAACATTGCCGCCTGTCTTGAACACATATAAATATCACTGCAGTGATGAAGAGGAGTATAAATACCAGAGATATTCAGTCTTGCTCTAGCTCCTGACCATCATCTACATCATCTATTCAATCATCTTCTACAACCCGCTCAATCCATCCTCACCATGGCCAGCACCGCCCAAAAACTCCGAATCGGCGTCATGATGGACACAGTTCAGCTGTCCGACGTCATGGGCGCCGACATCCTCGCCGGCTTCCGACTCGAGACAATGAAGCAAGCCGCCGCGTTTGCCCCAGAGCTCGTCGGTGACGTTGTGCAGTACGCTCCTGACATGGAACTCTTCTATCTCTCTTCTACTCTTGATCCAACCGAGACGACGATGGGGCTCAAATATGTGCCCAACATGACATACGACGACTGTCCCCGCGACCTGGACATTGTCCTCATCGGAGGGCCCTGGCCGACCCACCGCCCTGCCGCAGCGGACAAATTCATGAAGGAGGCCTGGGAGAAGACCCCTGTCTGGCTGACTACTTGCACTGGAAGCCTGTGGCTGGCCAGCTCCGGCGTCCTCAAGGGTTACAAGGCAACGACAAACCGCTCATTCATCCCAACGGCCCAACAGCTCAGCCCTGACGTGGAATGGGTTACCCAGCGCTGGGTGACGGGGCCAAAGCCGTATACAGGCGAGTCCAGCCTGAAGCCCGCATTGTGGACAGCAGGCGCTGCATACTGCGGTATGTGATTCCCTTTTTCTTGCCTTTGGTTCGCTGTGCTAACATCTATTCATGTGAAGGCATTGACATGATTGTCAAGTTCTGCTACGAGACCTTCAACACTAAGCTTATAGATCTTGTTGGAGAAGGAATGGGGTTTGATGCAGATTCCAAGCGCGGACAGGACTATTGAGCAGATTCTGCATAATTCATCGGCTGATAACGCAGCCACAATGGAGGCTCACTAGATAACTGTGGAACAATATTCCCTAGCATAACGTAACAAATACGTAGCTGAACCGTGTCTCACAAATAGCGTTATGCCAAGGCGTTAGGGTTGGTGAGCTGAAGCTGTGCTTGAGACTAGTATAAACTATGAAGGCATCCCCCCAGTCTATAGAACAAACCATCAACAAGTATCGACTTCTCCAGTTGCATGATATTTCAATCTTCATTAGACGTACGACTCGCTCTCCCTTTGCTCACTCTAAGCAAATTAACATGGCACCCCATCCCACCGAATCGTCCCCCCTCGTCAGCGACCGCAACGATGTCAGCACTGCCCCAACCACTAAGCTTACGTCGTCGAGCTTTACCTTGATCTCAGCTCTCGCCGCCAGTCGCGTTGTCCTGGGCGCAGCCGCTTTCCTCGCGCCCGGGATCACATCCCAACTCTTCAAAGTAGACACTCTCCCGGGCGCCAGCCTGATAACCCGCATTTTCGGTGTTCGCGAAAGTGTACTGGGCGGCCTGACCGTTGCTACATTACGCGATCACGAGTCCAAGAAGGAGCTGCGGCGCATGCTATGGGCTGGCGTCGCCGTTGACAGCATGGATGTCGTTGCTTGTTTGGTCATACTGGCCTCCTCCGATACGACGGAGGCAGCGGCTGCAAAGACCACGGCTATTGTTGGGCTCGGGGCCGCGTTGTTCGGGTTGTTCACCATTCGGTCTGTCGATTGGGCCTAAGCGCATGGGGTCGATGCTGTGTGGAAGTTGTCAAATCACGTATACGAATAATATTTAATCGATTAACCAATCTCTCTGCTCACACTATGAAATCACAGTAGCTAAAGGAGAAAACCAATAATACAAGCTGCATCATCATTGCACTCATCAACGTCAATCATCAGCCCAGCAAGCCATGAACACCTGACGCCGTCAAGATAGAACCCAAATAGAATTTTCCCCAAGCCGTACGTAATGAAAAAGCATATCCTCCTCAGCTACATTTAATGCCCAATATCGATCGTGACGCTTGACAAAGGTCATCAACAATATTTTGGCCACTAACCAGTACCAAAGCCCATAACGAAGGAAAGCCAATCAGCATCATCCGACTCCATTGAGCTTGCCACAGCCATGATCTGCTGCGCGTTCCATTCATCAGGTTGTGTTTTATCCTTGCTGTCCTCCCCGTACATGGACGCTTCGTCCAGGGGCGCAAATGATAGACCAGGAGCAATAGGGTCTGGCACTGTGGTTCGTCCCAGAGGTTGAGGTAGGATCATGGAGGGATGCGTGCCGAACTGCGCCGCGTGCTGCGTGTCGATGAAATCGCCAAGGAGTTCGTCGAGCTTTTGCATCTCTGCCTTTCGATACATGGCGATGCGGTTGCCACTGCCCACGATGTCTTCGAGAATCGCGTTGGCTTTATCTACCCACGGCGGGTGATTCTCAAGCAGCCTGATATCCACCGCGCGGGCCATGAGAATCACAATCGTCGACACAGAAAGAGAATCCAGATCCAAGGGAATGAAGGTTTCTGAGCACCACGACAGGGGTTAGTCTGCTGCCTACGAAAGATAGGAAGGTAACATACCAAGTAAACCCTGCTCTCGGAGGCTCTCAAGGATATTCAGAATCTGCTGTGCAGACTCAACACACATCTGCAGTGGATTGCGGACTTTGGCGGAGGCCATGAGAGCGTCAGCTTCCAGCGGTGCCTCGAACCTTTTGAGGAGGCAACAATAGAGCAATGGCCGCGTCGCGAGGACGATACACTACACACAGATATTAGCCCTTGCGAAATGGTAGTTCGGGTCGGAAGTCTTGTTTACTTGGTAATATTGTAGATGGAGATGGGCGGCAATTCGTGAGATGCCAACAAAACTAACGTCGGCGTGTAACGGGAAGGATGACTGCAAATCATCCGCCACAGCTGCAATGCTCTCCAGTACGTTCTTCGTGCTGATCACAAATTTCTTATTGATGCTTCCGTTTGTTCCATAAACAGCTAAGGGGGTGTTAGCAAGCTGTTGTTGAAATTATGGCTAGTGACTTTGCCCATTTTCGTTGTTATGATGCGTTTACATACCTCGACTAACATCGGCGATGATACGTGCGAACCGTATGTGCATTCCCAGCGCAGCGGTCCGCCGTGATGCCCCAGAGTATGACGGGAGTTGGCAGTGTACGCCCTCATCTCGGGTTGACTGAGGAAGACCCATGAGCGAAGTCATCTGCCGATCCAGGATGTACACAGTCCACCAGATCTTCCGGCACCGTTCGACGAGCTGCTTTCCCAACTCATTGACAGGCATGTCCGTATGCATGCCGTGGTTCATGGCCGTGCTTTTTGCCTGACCAATCTATTTGGAAAGATTAGAGCTGAGCATATTACTGCAAGGTCAAGGAACATACAAAGTTATGAGCCGCGTGGCGAAAGTCCAGGGCCTGGTAATACCATGCCATGCAGCATAAAATCTCCGTAGAGATCACAGGCTCTCTGCCAAGCGCGGTAGCGTCTGGCAATAACTGCAATGCTCTGACGAAGAAATGGACGCCAGGCGGGCGAGTTCCCGCACCCTTTTGCTGAACGAGACTCTTACCGAACGCAAGGATGACCAAGAAGTGGATATACCACAGGCTGGACTCATTGGCACGGGCTTCCGATGGAAGAGAATAGAACCTGTGCAAGTTGGACATGAACTCCTCCTCATCGAACATGTGAAAGAGTTGATCGCAGTGAAACTTGACGGCATTTATAAGATATATGGCATGGTCCACGGCGGGGACAACGAGGCCTTGCATATTCTGCGAGCTCCTCGAGCCGTCCCAGCCGAGGTCATACGCACAGCCGTCAAAGAGAAGGGCATCCGTAGGCAAGGCAGCTTGGCAAACATGCTCATGTGCCACGTTCAACACGCGTCTGGAGAAGCCCCAGTTGGAAGAAGTGCCCAGATAGACTAGAACACCGTCATTCTCTAGTCAGCATTTTTGATACTCCCTTGTATAGAGGCACAAACTCACAAGCTGTCCCATTTGAGGCCGCCATGTATTGTGACGGCGTATTCGTCAACGGATTGGTGAGTTCCGGAGGCTCAGCAGTAGTGTGAGTATGCGCAATAGAAGCACGCCTCCGGGGCTCCTCCGAACCTCGTTCTGAGGGTCGCGGAGAGGATTCCGATTGTGGGACGTCTCCTGAGGCTCTTGCAGTAATGACTTGAACCAATCGCCAAGTTAGATTTAGCACGTATATGGAGCTACAAGAGATATCTAGAACTCACCGTCGCCATCTGGAGGCCGACAGGTCACCTCTGCACTCTCGTTTTGCGTAGGAGCATGCCTTGCTACCAATGCCTCGAGGCTTTCCAGCCGTGCAATTTTGTGCTGTAAATCAGCCAGATACCTACACCGATGGCGAGGTCAGCCTTGCGTGCCTCTTGATGATGCAAAAAGCATGACTGTCGAAAAGCTGGCCAAAGAGGAATTCATAAAAAGGGACACTAACCCTTGCGTAACCATGACCTTGTTGTCTCGCTTGTCAAATGTGCAGGTCAATCGACGTTGCGCGCAATTGTCGCAGGGCTGCAGCCCTGAGCATTTGATCTTCTGTCTCCGGCATCGTGAGCATCTGCGACGCTGTAAGCCAGTGCTACGTTTTGGTTGCCACGGCGCAGGTAAACTGGGCAACTCAGGAATGCAACGACTTACGCATACGTCGAGCGCTTGGCCGCTCGACGCGGCGGCGTGGTGGAAGAGTCCATTGTCAAGAAGAGCAAAGTGCCCGCCAGCCACGCGGTTTACATCCAGAATATTTCACCACCATTCGATAGATGCACTGTCCGTGGCCCTGGCGAGAGTCAGAGATCCGGGCAGCTGGTAACAGGTAACTTCGGCACTATTAGAGTAGAGTTTGTGTGTGGCTCAGTCCCAGAGCCGCCGGACACGCAGGAAACTCAGCGTCATAGGTGGACCACGCCCCCTGCCGACCTCTCTATCTGTATGCCTGCCCTTCTTTGATTGCGGAGGTCCTCGCCCAGAGCCAGGCATGGAGATGATACGACACAGCGGAAGGGGACAGGGCTGGCCCTGGAAGAGGGGGCACGACCCACTGGCGACCTGGTGACATGAGCTTCTTTTCGTGGATTAACTTCCAGGGGGACCCGGAGAAACAAAGCTACAGACGAGGGATGATTGGCTCGCTTCTCCTGGGCAACTGATAGGTAAATCGATACAGTCGTGCCGTATACGACTCGACGCCCTGCCTTATCATTCTGCCCCTTTTCTATTTATCTCACGCTATTCCCCAGCTTCCGTAGATATAAGGCATACTCAGGTAGAGACAAGCGACGAAAAAGGGAGGAAGAACGAACAAAGCGAGGTCGGCTCAGCCAGCTGATAAGGAGCGGAGACCGGGAGGCCTTGCCGACTGATGACAAGCACTTATTGGACGCCCTTTCATTAGTAGACCGAGATCGCTCTCTGCTAGCTCGCTGGTGGGGAAATTCCTGGGGTATTCCCACACCCCGAACTCCATGTGTCGATAAATTGCCTGTTTCCGTCGCCCGTCGTATTGCCATCCTTCTATCTTTGCTTCAGTTGCTTTCCATTTCGGGGGCCTTTGAGTAAAAGCAACGACCTGGAGATCCGAAAAGAGTTATAGATAGATACGGCGGCACCGGCATTAAGTGGCAGGAGAAATGCTAGAGGATGTTGATAAGCAACTAGTTTTCCCCTTCTCGATTAACATTACCGTGTTTGCTGCATGAATCCCGGACGTCCCATTCCTTCCAGCCCCAATCGAGCAGGCGAGGGACAACAGGCGCCAAGTGACTATCGTGAGATGCAGCTCCCACAGCCCCCCAGCACACCACTTCCATTGCCCAGTGAAAATACGCGGATTTAGGCCTCGTGATGCTTCAAAGGTACCGGTCCCACCATCTGACAATGCAATCCCTCGCAATAGATTTGATGAGTCCGCGTGGGATACTCCTCGCCCACATACCAGCTAGGCAATGGCTTCGAGAAGGAGAAGTTCTAAACAGAATAGCGAACAAAATAGCGTCTGGGCCACAGGAATTCGTACCACTCACATAGGCTAAATCATTCACGTACCTGCGAAATTGATCCTCCGTCCCCAGCCGGGCTTTCCCCTCCATCGCTCGTTTTGGAAAGGTTATACGAGCATGATAAACCGCGCCCTTCTCAGCAACTTATTATCTGCGAGTGCTGCGATGGCAAGTCACGATTTTACAACAGGCGCAAGGTGGGGGCGCATAATATCTTGTTTCTTTTTCTGCCCAGATCAGCGTCGCCGACAGCTTCTAGTCATTGACTCCTCGCAAATCGCATGTTTTCGCTAGCGCTCGGTTTCACCAAGGTTCCATCAATCTAAGTCTTGTGTCTCGGAACAGTGTGCTACCTCATGATGTGGTAGATACAGTACCTGCAAGCCAGCACGCTTCTCAATGAGGAGTGTCACCAGCGAGTTGGTGGAGACTTGGATGAAAGATAAAGGTAATGGTATTGCCGAAAGTCACCAAAGGGATCAACATCATGCCGTGATACAATGGGGTTATGGCATTTCAGAGTGAAGTGAGCATAGTTGTCGGGAAGCAAGAGAAGAGAGCGGCGTTGCTTTGATATTAGGCATCCAGCTAGGTTGACCCCCACCCCCGGACGACACATAGCGGCTTGCGCAAGAGATCTAAGCATAGGACCAGATTGCCTAGTTCAGTCGAGGTCGATTACTTCACATCAATCGGGGGGCACTCCGGTTTTCCCACTCGTCTGAACGCTAAATCGGGAAGCGCTTCCGGTCGAGGTCACTAGTAACCAAAGCCAAACGATTCCCCCGCATAAAGCCAGAACGATATTGGGAAGATACCTTATCATGTTGTTTGGGCCCATCTTGTTGTCTTGTGCAGGGGTCGTCTCATCTCATGCACGGCTTGTCAATCCCCGGTCGAATCCCATGCGGATCGGATCTGAAGGCGAGCCCGTTGGAAGGTCACAGCCAACAGCCGTGTTCAGGTATCGAAACTGTATTCACGCCCAACCTTGCCACACGAAAAGCAAGTGACGAGGCCAATCTTCCAGCGTCCCGTGATCAGACTTTCGTTGCTACCCCGCTATCGGCCTCGGGTGACTATCAGGCCTAGCAGTATCGTGAAACTCAGAAAGGGGTGATAACCATCCTTATTGGCAGGCCACTTTGAAAAAGGCCGTGTTGTTTTTGCGGGCTCCCAGTACCGGACCTGCTCCCCTAGAGTCAATCGACGGGATCTACGGGAAGAGTTGCATCATGTAGCTGATTGCCGCATGATTCAAGGAAAATAAGGCCGGGCTCGACAATGGTCCGGGAGGCTGACGACGATAGACACTTTAGATTTCCATCAATAGATAAATAGATAAGAAGGTTTTACACCACTCAAATCGACCCCTACCTTTCCATCACCTTGACCATCACCAAAACATCCATCTGTTGAGCCCCCACTAATGCTTCACCCAATCCCAAACATGGGCCTGGCCCTACTCTCTAGGCCATTTGGCATTACCCGTCAAGTCCGTGCGGGTAGTTCAGTTCACCTTGTCCTTAGAAGAAGCTACATGAGGGCCTCGGACCCCAAAATTGGAATACGGTCTAGCTCTACACAAGTCACCGTTGCGGACGCGATCGAGAGCAAACCAATACAGCCCATAGTGGCGCCCAAGAGACACCCAATTCCGGGTTTCCCTCTCTCCTCCCTCGATAATACATCACTACTCCGCTCGCTGCTTATTGCGGTTGTTTCTTCAAAAAAGTTTCTACTTCTGCCTGCTCTCCATACCCTCTCTTTTCTATCAAAACCTACGGGTGGCTTCCTGCTCGATGTCGACAGAAACCCACTTCTACACGGAATACTCAAGAAAACCTTTTACGATCAATTCTGTGCTGGTGAAACGGCAGAGCAGACAAAAGCTTGCGTAAATCACCTGAAGAGTCTGGGGTTCCGTGGTGTAATCCTCACTTACGCCAAAGAAACGGTTTTTGACCATGAATCACAGAGTGCACACGAACATGGCAAGAAGAACGAACTAGATGCCTTTAGCAATGCCAAAGGTGTGAGGCTGGACCCAGATATTGATGCCTGGAGACTGGGTACACTAGAAACCGCAGATCAGATTGGCGAGGGCGATATCTTGGCTGTGAAGTATGTTTGACCTGGATCCAACCCACCACATATGATCTCAGACAAACGTGAAGCTGACCTGGATATCTCTAGACTGACTGGTGCTGGTACGGCAGTCACTTCAGCATTTGCTGCCGACGAAACCCTCCCTCCGCAGATGATCGAGGCCCTAGACGAGATAGCTGCCTCGTGTAAGAGACGCAGAATCAGGCTGATCGTCGACGCCGAGTCCCAAAAATACCAAAAGGCTATCGATCGTGTCACCGTTGACCTCATGCGCAAATTCAACCGTGACGGATACGCCGCGATATACAATACATACCAAGCCTACCTCAAGGCTACTGGCGCCAATATCACCAACCATCTCGCGGAAGCCAGCAAGGACGGATTCACGCTCGGGCTAAAGCTGGTCAGAGGAGCGTACATCCTCTCGGACAACAGAGCGTTGATCCACGACACGAAGCAGGACACTGACGATGCCTACAACAGCATCTCGCAGGGCGCGCTCAAGCAGCACATCGGGGAGTTCGGCGGCACCCGGCCGTTCCCGTCCCTCGAGCTCTTCTTGGCAAGTCACAACAGAGAGAGCCTGCTGGCTGCACTGAGGCTGCACCAGGAGCGGGTGCGGGAGCACAAGCCAACCGTGAACGTCTCATTCGGCCAACTCCACGGCATGTCGGATGAGGTGAGCTTCTCGCTTCTGCAGGAGACGAAGCAAGGGGCGGTGGGACCCGGCGTCTTTAAATGCTCCACATGGGGGAGCATGAGCGAGTGTCTGGCTTATCTGGTGCGGAGGGCGGTGGAGAACAGGGATGCGGTTCTGCGAACTACGGAAGAGTATGCCGCTCTGAAGAGGGAAACTTGGAGGAGGATCAAGTCGATCTTTGGTGGTGTAGCAGCCTAAGTACGGATCAAACAAAAGGCATCTGGATTACCGAACCAGCCGCCACTATTGCGAGGGTAGATGATAGCGTCAATGTCATTGATTGTAGTCAAGCCAGAACAGGGAGTCACAACTCCCACGACAGTTGATAGTGCCAATCACGAATCAGATGAATGATATCGAGCCCATGTTTGTGCATGGCATGGTTCGTACGAAGAAGGATATCCCTACCATACCCCAGCTCCATCCTTGACTACGCGGCGAATAAAGCGGACGACTAATGATACCAACGCCCGCTGAATACAGCACATGCCTTTCTAGTGAGAAAAAGGAAGTCGTCACGCATAACGAGCATTAGACTATCGAGAGGATGGCAAAGATACCGGATCCAGTCGCCGGGCCGGTATCAACACTCCACATTGGCCGGATCACGTATCCGGTCGGATCCAGATGTCCGGTCTACTCAATATACGGCCAGTGATTCCTAGATTATGAGATTCTCCTTTAAAGCCCCCAACTTTGAGGATCAGATACTTGACACCAGAGGTTGATTGAAATAGCGCGATCATCTACAAGAATGCCGTGGTCCGTCTCTCCAAAGCTCATGTTGGATATAAGAGCCGATTCTTTTCAAGTGCTTGCAGAACTTCATCGATTGCATTCTTGTTTCTGCTGAACTTTCTTCGCGAGAGTTCGCCAAGGGCTGGCGAATAGTAGTAGGCTTTCCAAAAAATGCAGAGGAATAGATTCAACGACTAGGCAACTTATTGGTAGCACGGTTGACCTCCATAGCCCCATTCTGCTATTATCCTATCCCGATAATACTTTATTCATAATATATGAATAACAGTACATCATAGGGGCATATTCCCGCCTCTCTTAAACTGTAACAAAAATCACAATGATGTTATTCTCTCTTTATAAGTCTCTTGGGTACACAAAACTGAATTAGTTCATGAGGTCGTGTCCTTTCTCAGGTTGTCAGTACCTCCGATATCCACCCTCAAGACCGCTGACTGTGTTCTTTCTGACCTTCCGCACCGTGTATCATCAAACCAGTAGTCATGGTTCAGAACAAACTGTGCCTTTTCGTACGTCCGTCGAGCCCCAATGTTGTCAAAATCAACCACCAGCACGACCCTCGTCTTTTTCCCACCAACCATCTCTAACGCTTTTTCCTTGGCATATTCAACTAGACTCACTCCCAGCCCTGCGCCTCTAGCAGCCGGAGCCACATACATTCCATACAGGCCGAAATAAAACTCAATTTCGTCATCCATTATTATCGAAGGCGATTCTATCCACATGTGGCTTTTGAACATTGTGACCGCAGCCTCCTTGTCGAAGGGACCTTGAAGGGTGAGGCAAGCAAGCCATTCTTCTTTGAGGAGCGAGTCTCTTTCCTGGTCTTTGTTCCCTTCGCTCTCTGGGGGTCCGGCAACAGCAACTATGTTGGTCGAGAGCGGGCCACATACTCGCTTGATCCAGGTCTCGTCGGGGAAAGCGATCTCCCGCGCATAGGATGAGCCAAATGACTCGGGGGACTGCTTCAAAGACAACAAGCGAAACGCTTTATATCGCTCGATAATTGGGTCCAGTTTCTCGCCTGAAGCGAAGGTCTTCGGAAGAGAATAAACCGCCATTGTGTTGTCAACGTTTGCTTTTAGCTTCTAGTCCGTAAATGTCTTGAGAGAAGTTTATTTATGCTGGTGATGCTGAGATTTGAAGTGAGTCATCTTCCCCTCCCCGCTTCTGATATTAGGTCAGCAGTGAGAGCGCGCGATACGAAGCATGGCGTGATGCTACGTTAGATCATTCATTGACTCACCTTGAGCCATTTGGGGAGAAAATGGGGCTTAGAATTTAAGTTATCCATGTCGAGCATGATGACTCTTTCAACTTTTTGCCTATCAATTGCGTTGATGTTAGGCATCCTGCAATCGACCAGCTACACTTCACCTTGAATCGACGTCGTAAGCAAAAGACTCAAGCAATAAAACAACAATTTATCAGGCAAATACTAGATTAGCTCATAGGACGGATCTACCAACCACCAAGCTACTTGAAGCCTAGAGAAGATCCCTGGGCAGCATGGCCCCAAACGCCGTGGAAACCATATCCCATCACAATCGGCATCCTTGCCCGGCCCAGCTCTTTCATAGTCTTGGCATCAATGTCAACTAATGAGCTGCGCTTAGATTTCGAATCCATAGTCACTATCAACAGGACCCCATCATCCTCAGAGGTAGGATTGGGACTTGAGACGAATATTGGCTCTGAAGGTAAATGCCTTGTCCCTGGTGTCCACACCTTCCACCGTCTTTTTTTAGCATCAATTTTAATAATCGAGTCCGCAAAGTTCCCGGCCTTCTGAACGTGAATCCCGTACGAGAATCGGTAGGGCTTACCATCCCTTGCGGGATTGATGCGGGGAAGCTCAATATTGGCCTCTGCATATGGGAGCGAGAACTCGATTCTGGCTGGAGTGGTTTCCAACGTGCCGTTACCAATTTGCGAAGACTTGCACTGTCGTGGCAACCAGTAACGCGTGAAAGATCCAGCCAAGTCATTTTTCGATGTCGCGTTTGGTGTTCCGAGATTAACCCTCAGATTCGGAATACGAGCAGCACTCAAGAAGCTCTTGTCATTCATCCGAGGTAAATCAACAAAGATGTTTCCTGCCTTGTCTTCAAATGAGTTGATCTGATGAAACTAAAAAAGGCATCAGGAGCTTCGTATTTACCAACGATGCCCCCATGAGCGCGGTTGATAACGTAGAAGAGGGCCTTTCGCTCCGGGTCCCAAGGCCCAATGCTATCAACGATGTTGTTTGCCTCTTGAGTGAAATCGGCTTGCCAGATGATCAGTACAATGTGTTGCTCGGTGCCGAAAAGAGAGTGAATATAAGCCGGGGGTGCATCAGTGATGTTTGCGAGGATTTGAGTTTCTCCTGAGGGAGGGTGGATCCCAAACACACGGTAAGCCGGGGGACTTGAGCTTAGGTCATGCACATAATTGTACAAAGATCCGTCTGAACTATGGACTGGATGGGCTGCTAATTGGCCTCCATTAACCAGTAAGGCATGTGACGCCTGGTAGGTTAATATTTCAATAGGCTCCAATGTATCAGGGTCGATTTGTTGAAGGCCGTTAGCATCTGTCGTAATAACAAGTGTCTTGAAAGGAACATTTCCATCAGTGGAATTGCCAATGATTCCAGGAAAGTTTGGAGCGTAAGAAACAGCAATGTTCATGGAGCTCTTGTTCCCGTGTGGAGAGATTCCGTCTCTGAAGGTAGTTTCGAAGGCGCCAAAAATCATCTTGCAAGGGTCGCTTCCAAAACTCTTCTCCGGATAGCGGCCCGTTTCGTGGACAAAGTCCATAATCTCGTCAGAGCCGTTACGGCTTGGGTATGAGACCATCCCGTTGGCAATTTCAAATCGATGATTACGGCTGAAGCCATCAAACCAGTGCTCAGCAGTGTAATTGCCCACATCCCAGGTTCCTGCGCCACCACGATATAGTGAACCAGTCAACCAATGTGGAAAGTGGCCTTCAACTTTCAGCTGCGTTGGATCACGCATGTCATGCGTTCCATAGAACCCCCAGGTGATAGGGTCCGATCCCGGGGGAGGTCCAAACGAAGCTGGAAGATCATATTCCGCCCGAGTGAGATGAGAAAAACCAAGAACGAAAGGTAGAAGCCGTCGTGGCGTTATCATCATGCAGAGTTCAAATTCTGGGCGTGCTAAGTATATACCGGAAAAGGTGTATGATAACCCAAAGTATTTGAATAGAAATATCCTACAGTCGAAGAAATAACCAGAGCTTACAAAACGGTTTATATCTGCTTGGTTTCACTGCCTTCCATGCTTGAGGATCCACCTGGTCCGGAGAGCATAGTCTCCTTGACAATGAGTATGACTGAAAACCGAGTGCGAGTTCAGGTCCTCAGGTTGGATTTATGTCAGCTCCTTCGAATTGCGAGTTGTAACCTCGTGCCGGCACTATTCACAAACCCATTCAGACCAGCTCTCCACAAGAGAGCCACATTCCGGGCTTGCAAACATGAAAGCCGCGTTTTCTCGTCAATTTTCCCCACGCTGGGATTCCGGACTCCGTGGGTTTTGCATCAGGAGGCCCCTGCACAACCGCGGAGGATTAATGGGGGGCCGCGCTACTACGACAAGTTGGGGAGGTAGTCAAGCACAACAACAAATTGTGCGCGAATTTCAAATACCTAGATGCAATTGGCTATTCATCCTCCAAATGTCCTTACTAGGCCGATGATCCTAATACAAAATTGGACGAGGGATGTTTCTCCCGACTGGGTGATACCACTGGCTACGTAATTATCCTAGGCGCTACTGACATTGCGCCCAAAACCTTTTACTTTATAATGGTCGTATTATGAGGTTTCACAAATCCTGCAATTGTAGCTCCTTCGTATGTTTTGATTAAATACCGCAGGCCTCTGTATCAACCTATTTGTAGGTGGTCCATGATCTAACCAGGCCAAGGACAGTAACTCTACAACGAAGGAATTCTTCAAATGACTGCTTTTTTATGTAAATTGATTATCAAGTTCAGCTTGCTTCATTACCTGCACCATAAAAGTCTCCATTAAGTGTCAAATTTCATCCTAAACCTTTCATTTCACTTCATACATAGCCATTCGAACCCAAGTCCAGTTTCAGTACCAATGCCACACAGGTGTAACTGGCGGCCATCTTTGATCTGCCCCATAATGCTTTGCATGTAGATAACTGTAAACAACATAGGAAAAGAGGCCAAGAATCCAAGATTTGTCCCACAATCCGGTCATTCTTCCGAAGACTGCCGTCTGAACCATTCCGGACTACCGTACTTTGCCATCGTCTGCATTCGTCGCTCGGCGTCCGTCATTTCAGTTCCCAGTCTCCCCTCTGCACGGTGACGTTCTACCCGGTCGAGAATCTCATTACAGTCCTTCCAGATTCGTTCGCGATTTCTTAGACCATTAATTCGTCGTCGGTTCTTGGTTATATCGCAAAAGAGACGGTACCAATCCGTCTTGGAAACGGAAAGGTTGGTTGCTGGTTGGGACTGGAAGATATTTTCATACTCGACTTCTTCTTGCTTCAGGATTTCTCTTATCGCCGTGATCGCATCCTCATTGCTCGAATCTGGCAGTGCCTCCGCTTTCAAGATTTGGATCTTTGTCTCCAGCAATTCCCGCTGGTCCTGCCAGTCATCATCTATTTTCCTCACATCCCGGGCCTCCTTGGTGACCCAAAATGAGTATGGATGTGCACACCAGGCTTCATAAACCCAGGGATAGTTCTTTTGCAGCAGGTTTCGGAACAAATACTGAGGCAGAGTTCTGAAAGCTTTGGATGCAAGTCGAAGATTAGCAATATCGCCAGGCCCCAAGTGAGCCAAGAGCTCAAGACGGATCTCGAATGGAAGCTTGGAGAAGCAGTCCTTTCCGACCGAGGTACTGTCGCAATTTCCAATAGGAACAGCAACCTCGTGGGGATCGGTGATGGCCGATCCCCTTGCCATCGCTTTGTCCAAATATGATTCCAAGGCGGGGATGAAACACGGATTGGCGGCCAAGAATTCATCACCTGGCCAATGATCCCAGTACTGCAAGCTACCCTTGCGTACTGCCTCGTCTCTTGGAAACCCGTGAAGCACCACATCAAGGGTTGCTTCAAGGGAGAACCAGTCGGTCAACGCCTGAATTTGGACCTCCCCATACCGATGAAGACAGGCTCGCTTAAAAATTTCCAAGCAGGTTGGATGAAAAGGTATCGCTATATTCGGGACCACCTCCTCATGAAGTAGGAAGTTAGCAGCCAGTGGTCTCTCGGTGTTATGTCGTGGAGGGTACGCTGCGGGCAGTTGGTCATCCACGCTGGGTACCCTATCACAAAGCCCACTCAGGAAGAAACCGCTCGATTTCTCAAACTCGTCGTCAATCCTCTCCGCTGTGAAAGGATTCGAGGAAGACTTTGGTACAAGACATTGAAGCGTAGAGCATCCACGGGCTTCTTCAGCAGATAGCAAGCAGCCGTTATATGCACCTGTGTTGCGGCAGCCAGGGCCGCTGACATGCTGGTAGTCCATCCACAGCCTATCGTCTTCCGAGGAGGCATTTTCATAGATGTGTCTTATGTGCTTGGCCCAAAAGTAGGAACGACCCGGTGTTCTGAGGGGCAAAGAGTCGAGAAATGCCGAGTACAGTAAGTCATCGGCTGGTTCAGGATCAGCAGCACCCAGCGTGTCAGTTGTGGTCTCGGATGCGCCGATCGGGACTTCTTCCTCACTCTCGTTTGGCGTATTGTACTCATACGTCTCCTCAACAGGGTCGGTCTCGGACTGATAACAACCATCATCGCCGTCATGGAGTCGGTCACTGCCCCGATCGGGATGGTCATCATCGTCTTGTCTGTCGTCATCAGAAAAGTCCAATTCTGCCTGCCAGGTATTGATCACTTGGCATCCTCCACGTTTGCACTCGTACTTGTGCCTGTAATCATGTGTGGCCCCTTCCAGCCACGGTCGCCAGGGGACGCCAGCGAAAACCTCCTCCTTCGTGGGATAGCGGCTGACATTGAAGCTCACGCCACATATTTGGCATTTCCTCTCCAAGTATCCCATCGATACAGGCGGTTATGGATAGAAAGACTCGATGTCTGCTATGTAGCGATGGAAGATGAGAGAGACTTGGTCATTCAGACCGGCTAGTAGAGAGCAGCTGAGGTGGAAGCCTGGAACAAAGCGGGGTTTTACTCGTCAAATAAGAGAAGCGTCCGCCTCACATTTTCGCAACTGATGTGAAACATGCAATTTTCCAATTTAAATTGGGCCCAATGACGAATCAGAGAATTCGGGTTGCCAATACGCAAACACGCATTATCACCCTTCCATCTTGCACTTGTCGCTGTTGCAGCCAGCAAGTCTCTCTAGGGTAGTCAAAAGAAGTTATGATCGCATCTTGGGATGATTAGTCATCTATATCCGCCTCGTAGCAAGACTCGCACAATTGAACTTGAACCTTGAATCTCTCCTACTCAACGAAACGTCACGGTACGCGACCTCCAAATGATATCCGCCAATACCCGATGGCATGAGTCCTCCAAGCTCTGATGGCGATGTTGGCGACACAGCAGCCACAGCGGCCCAAAATCGCCGAACCGCAATGCCGAGGACACGGGGGGTGCGACGATACGGCTTCGCCTGTTTGAGTTGCAAGTCTCGCAAGGTCAAATGCAGCGGAGACCAGCCAACCTGCCGGGGTTGTAGGCGCTCTGGGGAGTTGTGTGCCTGGCCGCCCCGGGCCTCGAGTCTCCAATCTGCTGATGCCCGCGCTCCAGATCCAGATCAGACAGAGTCGGGCAGTGGAAGCCGAGGAGAGCAGCTCGCCGAGGTGGCCTCGATAAACACTCCCACACAGCAGAATGCCGACGCAAGCCCCCATGAGAGTAGAGGTGTTGGTACGGCCTGTTCTTCCACAAATCGCGACATGGCAACGCCGTCGCTTTGGTTCCAGGTGGGTGTCGGAGACGATGGAACTATTATATACAACGGGCCGACCAGTCGCTTTCATGCTGGTTCCCTGGATGAAGGGCCTGGGATTTTACATGGGGGTGAGACTTCACCTCAAGTTGATGCCCTCATGTCCCAGTATACCCTCATGGACTCTGTCTGGATGCCTCTCATCTCGACCAAGCAGTATCTCGGAGGGACCAGTGTGCCTACAGAACCTGGGCTAGCACTGCTCGATATATACTGGACTTGGCTGCACCCTCTACACAACTGTGTCTACCGACCGGCCTTGATAATGGACCTGGCTCTTGGGGGTCCCAATTGCTCCCAGTTCTTGCTCATGTGTATCTTTGGGCTTGTTGCTCGGCATCTCCCCGAGGACCACCCTGGCTTTAGCGGCGTCGGCAAGGGGGAGATTTATATATCGGAAGCTAAACAGTTACTTCTCGAAGAAATGGCCGCCGCAAAACCCTCGATCCCAACCATCCAAGGTCTCTTGATTTTAGGAGGACGGCAGTGCGCCATGGGGAAGAGTTCTGAGGGTTGGCTCTACACGGGAATGGCTCTGCGCATGATGACCGATATTGGACTTCACCTTGACACAACGAAACTTGCCCAGTTGGAACGATGGACTCCCTCTGAGACGGAGATGAGGAAGCGCCTCTATAACTCAGCGTATATTTGGGATAAGACATTGAGCCTCGCGCTAGGCCGCCCGCCGTCCCTTATACGGCGGCCCTACGAAGCCCATGAAATCTTGGATAAGTTTGATGATGAGAGGCCGTGGGCACCCATCCTCACATTTCAGATCCCTGAAGTGTATTTACCCTGCCCGTCGATGAATACCAGTACCTTCTGTGCCTTTTGCAGGATACACGAAATCACCGCAGATATGATGCTTCTATTCTCAAATCTTCCAATCCCTGAACGGTTTTCAACGCAGATTAATGACCTAGATAAAAGGCTACAATCTTGGTACAATGACCTGCCACAAATTCTCAAGATCACAGAGCCAGAGGGTCTTAGTCAAAGTCCACCACCTCATGTCGTTTCTATCAAGTGAGAGTCATCCCCCTCAATCTCCCTGAATATAGGTACTTACATTCTCTAGTCTTCTGTATCATGCGCTTCGAATCCTCCTCCGTCGACCATATCTCAGCTCATCGGATTCCGAGCAACGGGATCAGCATATGAATGACTGCATCACCTACTCCGTGCAGATCAATGCAATACATGGATTATATGCAAGAACATTCCCTGATCGCCTCATGACATACCAAGTCAGCTACTGCATTTTCATTGCAGCTAGTATAGAGGTTCAAGAGCTCCAAACCGCGCCAACATCCGAGAGACGGGACGCTGCCGCCAAAAGGCTCACGGCGGCCGTGAGAGTTCTCCAAGACGAAGCTGCGCATACTCCTGGCGTCGGCCGGAGCCTGGACACAATTCGACGGCTGTTGCGCGCAGATCAGCATAAAGCCCTGAGGAAAGACAGTACAAATGAACGCTCCATTTCTTCTATTCCCACGAGAAGGACTCAGGCGGCTCGAATGTTGAGTAACGCTGGAAATGTGCAAGCGGCCAGCCCTGGAGCTCCTGATCTAGCTTCTGTTCGTGAAGTGGCAGATCCCTACCCCATGTTTGCTTCAACAAACTTGTTTGGTGACTTTGACGATATTGGATCAGCGTGGACCGACACTGGAGCTGGTTTCCATCCTGAAGTCATATCTTGGTCTGGCACTGATAATCTGCAAAGGCCGTCGAATATGTCTTCATTTGGTGATCAACCTTGGGGTAGTTTTTGATCAATAAATGTATTATTTAGGGCGGGATACCCCCCAAGAGCAAAAAGTGCATGTCTAGCTATTAATCGAAATTTAAAGACGCTTAAATGAAATAAAGTAATTATGGTTTTAAATAGGAAAAGACCCAGGTAGACTTTCTGTTGAATATTCCTTAAGCGGACTACTCAGCAATCAAATTCATTGTGTTGCGGTGTCGGGTTCTGGCATCTTCTATCGTTGTTTTACTTATACTCGAACTCTCTCACCCGTACTTAGCAATCAAACACATCATGATTAGAGCAATTTAAACACGAGGCTTTGTCTCAACATTTTCTTTGTGTATCACTCTCCTTGGGCTCTTTGAAGAGAAAGCTTTCGAAGGAGTGAAATTCCTACGGCGACCTAGCTGTCCAAACACAAACATTTATGTAGATCAAGGCACATAGCGGTACATGGGGTGCGCATCACCAATATCGGCAATGTCCTCCGGAACATGGTCGATATCACTCTTTCCATGCCTGCTGTCGCGCTGCTTATTCTGCCAGCGTAAACTCAGACTAAGAACCAAGGCAACCAGTGCGGCGAACAGCAGCACACCGCAGCATATCCACATGCCTTTCTCATAGTACGGTCCCTCGTTCTTAGGGAACAGCCGGGCGCCCAGGATGGGGCCGCACTGGCCGACCATACCGAAGATTGCGAGGCCGGCACCGCGCTTAGAAGCGGATCCTTGGTTGTCCGTGACCCAAGTGAACGTCAGTGCAACGGCAGGGAAGACTCCAGCACAGACAAGGAAGGTAGCGAAGTAGCGGACGCCAGTGGTCTCGACTGTGGCGAGGATGACATAGCCAGCTGCTCCAGCGCAGCTAAATAGGATGACGAAGATGCCTCGGGTGCGGACGCGGTCGGAGATGAAGCTACTGAGGATACAGATGAAGAAGGCAGAAAGGTAAGGGCAGGCGGACAGACCCTGGGCACGCAGCGACGTGAACCCCATGGACGTCAGGATAGTGGGTAGGTAGGCAGGCAGAGAGCCGAACGCGGTGTTTAGGCAGAAGATGATGATGGCTTGGAGGTAGTTCTTGTAGTCGTAGAAGGCGGCGAATACTTGGCTGAAGTTGAGCTTCCCCTGCTGGTCTTGTCCACGACCCTTGATGGCGCGCGCAGCAATGATAGCATTCTGACGCTCATCAAGATAGACGCATTGGCTTGGTGAAGCTGGAAGGTAAAAGTAGGCGGCCACAGCCAGGAAAAGTGTGGGGATTCCCTCTGTTCATCATCACCTTAGTTAGCTACTTCGCTCTCGCCGTAGGTTTTAACAGGTTTACATACCAACAATGAACAAAAGCTGCCATTCAGCGATGCTAGTCTTAGCATGCACGATCCCATAGGCCAGGGCAGAGGCAAAGCAGTTTGCCAGGGGTGAGAACGAGATGAAGAGTCCATATCTCAGACCCATCTCCCGACGGTGATAAAAGAAGGTCATGTAAAGGGCAACGGCAGGTACAAAGCCTGCCTCGAAGGCCCCGATGAGGAACCTTGTTGTCATGAGGCCGCCGAAACTGGTGGCACCTGCTTGGATCATGCTTATCACGCCCCATCCGAATGCCATGCATGCAGTCCAGAGTCTGATAGGGACAAACTTCCATACAAGGATAAGCTGAAGAGATCATCGAAATTATGTTAATGGCTGCTCTATGACCTTTGTATATCCATATATGGGAGGTTCACTTACCCAATGGAAGACAATATAGCCAATATAATAGCTAGTGACAAGCCAGGAGTATTGATCGGAGGTAATGCCCCATTCCGAACCCATTCCGGCAGTGTATGCATTCCCAATATTTCCTCGGTCAATGTATGACACCATGTAAAGGAAGCCGAGCCTATGCATTGGTTAATTCGTCCCTTGCTGATATTGTTATGTGAAGCCTAGCATGGGGTCTTACAAGGGAATCAAACACCAGTCCAGTTTCCGGACAGCCTTGGCTTCCTCTTCGGGGGTCCAAGTAGTCAAACCAGATTGACCTTGCTTCATGCTGTTCTTTTCGGCATCACCCACTCCAAAGGAGGGGGCATTGTCTTCGACATGAGAAGTCTGGTCGGGCGACATCTTGCTGGTCTGATCTGAAACCTGCTGATCAAAGTTGGCGTTGGTCATCGTTGAACTGGATAAAAGGCCTCCTCTAAGAGAACATTAAATTATTTGAACTTTGGATGATAATGGCCGAATCATGCTTCATAGTCGATGGACATTGCTTCTCTTTAAGCAACCCATCTCGATTCCCAGTGTTGTTGCTGAAGTCAAAAGTTGCGGGGGGCCCCGCCTCAATGGACCTTTTCACCCGTGGGGAATACTAAATTGGCTTCAATTTCGGCATGTCCCGTGGGGTAACGTCCTGGTAAGTTCGGTATTCCAAGTCGTGAAGACGTCGCAATCTTCGGCATCTCTGGCACACAATCCGAGCTCATCTATGGCGAGTTATGATGGGTGGAGGAAATGCCGAAGGGTACCAGAAGGACTTACCGAGTGACAGTGATGATGCACAAGGAAGTCAGACCTGCTGATCTTGCCACAAATTACACCCATGCTACACAAATACCGAGGTACACTGAGGGCATTGATTGGAGCCGAGATCGCTCTTGGAATGAGTTACTTGGGCTAATTCCAGGGCGATGATTTAGTCCCTCACCATATAATACTAGACCCTGGCAGCCTAACCATCTACCTAGCTGCACGTAAACAGATCCAGGTGCAACTTGTTACCCTCATTAGCAAAATGGACGACCCCAGAAATATGCAGGATTTTTCCATCCTGACTCCAAATGCCATGCTGGGCTATGGATACAACTTGGAGCACTTCTGGTATGGAATCGCCAAACATAAACCTGCGGCCATCATTGTCGACAGTGGCTCGACTGATGGTGGTCCATACAAACTGGGCATGGGGAAAATGACATGCGGCCGCGGATCTTATGTGAGAGACCTCGAACCAATTCTCTCTGCCTGTTTCCACCACAAAATCAAGGTCCTGATTGGATCTGTCGGCGGAGATGGAAGCAACAAACATGTTCAAGAGATGTCGGACATTGTTTCTGAGATCTCTGAGAGAAATGGCTATTCCTTCAAGATTGCTACTATCAAGGCTGGATTCAACAAAGATCTCATCAAATCAAGGATAGAAAAGGGCCGAGTTGGGCCATGTGGTCCAGTTGAACCTCTCGATGCCGACACAGTGGATGGAGCTGTGGATGTTGTCGCCCAGATGGGAGCCGAGCCGTAAGCGTTCTCGGAAACCCTTTTGTCCTTGATTTTCAGACTAACTCGCCTCTGCAGTTTCTTGGAAGCGTTGAAAAGCGACCCTGACATCATCCTAGGAGGTCGTTGCTATGATCCAGCGCCCTTTGCTGCCTTTTCTATTTCCCGCGGGGTTCTTCCTGATGTGGCTTGGCATATGGGTAAAATCATGGAGTGTGGCGGAATCTGCGCTGTTCCCAAGGGCCGGTCTATGATCGCTACTATGAGAAAAGATTCATTCGACCTGACCCCTTTATCTCCCGAGGAGCGGTGCACGCCCCTCTCCGTCGCCGCCCACACTCTCTATGAAAAGACACGACCAGACCGCCTCCCAGGTCCCGGAGGTATCTTAAACCTTGAACATGCCAAGTACCAGCAGATAACCGAAAAGACTTGCCGGGTTTCGGGAGCCAAGTTCGTCCAAACACCGTACCAGGTGAAGCTCGAGGGCGTCACACACCTTGGCTACCGCACTATCTTTATTGGGGGCATTAGAGACCCCATCCTGATCAACCAGATTGATGATTTCCTGGAGAGGGTCCGCAAATACTCAAAAAATTTGTTTCCGGAGCTTGACAAGTCGGAACAATGTCGCCTCCTGTACCATATTTACGGGAAGAACGGCGTGATGGGCCCGCTGGAACCCCTTCAGTCTGCTCCCCACGAGATTGCCGTTCTCGGAGAAGTTGTTGCGCCCACCTCTGAGCTTTCACACACCATCGCAAATAATGTGAGGGCGTCTATTCTTCACTTCGCCTACCCAGGCCAAATGGCCACAACTGGGAACTTTGCAAGTCCTCTTTCTCCCCACGAGCAAGACGCGGGTGCAGTTTTCAAATTCAGCCTGTATCATCTTGTTGATCTCGAGGAGGGTGAAGAGGCTTCCCTGTTTCCCATCTCTATTCAGTCCATCGGCAAACAAGATTCCGCCGTCACGCCCCCGTTTGTTCTTTCAGAGACGAAGTTGAAAGAGATCGATAATGGAGCTCTTGCCCCCGTCTCCACCAAGGTCGTTCCTGATGGCGATGCCAAGCTAAGCGAGCTCGCACGTATAATTCGCTCGAAGAATTCGGGTCCTTTTGAGATGACGTTCGATGTGATGTTCGACCAGCCAGCGGTCTACCAAAGAGTCAAGGCCGCAAATGTGCTGACCAACGAGACCATCAAGACCCTATATCAAGTCAGCGACGAAGATATTCTTACGAACATGTACTTCGACCCAGCTCTAGCATGGAAATGTACACTCCGACGGCCGTGGGCTCAGGGAAGTGTGGGCGAGCGCGATACGCTTGGTACCCAGCAGCACGCTCCCCTGCTGGATGTATTCGTTCCAAAAGCGGCTGCTGTCAACCGGACCACGTTTGGAGCCCAAGATGTTTTGAAAGATCTCTGGGCTGGGCTCGGCCTTCCCTCCGAAGCCCTCGATTCTGTTTCTCTGCCGGGAGCTGATGCTCTGGTCATTCCATCTTCATACAAACTGGGTATTCTTGCTCAAAGTGCGATCGCCTTGACCGCACTTGGAGCAGCCCAAATATACTCTCTGCGCAGTAACAAGCCTGTTCCCAGAATCCAAGTACCTTTAGAGCACGCGGCTGTCGAGTTCAAGTCGGAGAGGCTGTATATTCTGGACGGCAAACCAGCCCCTTCACCATGGGGTCCCATTGGAGGGCTGCACAAGACGTCTGATGGTTACGTTCGAGTCCACGACTCGTTTCCCAACCATGCGAATGGGATTCTGGAGCTGATGGGACTTCCTTTAGATTCCTCCAGGGAACGTCTCGCCGAGAAAATCGCCGAATGGGCCAGTATTGACCTAGAGCATGTAGCTACAGTGGAAGGCAAGCTGACGACTTATGCTCTTCGGTCATATCGGCAATGGGATTCATTGCCTCAATCAAAGGCAATCGCAACATTCCCCATAAAAGTCACCCAGATTTCGTCTGCTGAACCAAAGTCCTTCCCCGAACTAGCGCAATTGAGTGGTGCAAAATGCCTACGTGGGCTGCGAGTTCTGGAAATGAGTCGAGTCATTGCTGCCCCTTTATCTGGGAAGACCCTTGCAGCTCATGGAGCCGATGTCATCTGGGTAACGTCGCCTCGGCTCCCCGACCTACCGACTATGGATCGAGATTTTGGCCGGGGCAAGCGTACTGTCCAACTCGATATAAATAACGCGGCCGACAAGGAACAGCTGATCGAATTGATCAGGACATGTGATGTGTTCATCCAGGGATTTCGGCCTGGCAGCCTGGCTGCAAAGGGGTTTTCACCCGAGGAATTGATCAAGCTTAATCCAAGTATAATCATTGCCAATATGTCAGCGTTCGGGCCTGATGGCCCGTGGTCTGGTCGACGAGGCTATGACTCGCTTGTGCAGACTTGTTCTGGCATGAACATTTCCGAGGCCGAGCATGCAGGCCAAGGCGAAGTCGCGCGCCCAACACCTTGCCAAGCCCTCGACCACGCTGGAGGTTACTACCTTACCTCTGGAATAATGACAGCCTTGTATCGAAGGGCCACCCAAGGTGGCTCTTGGAGAGTGGATGTATCGTTGGCCGGTGTCATGAAATATCTCCGCAGCTTGGGGCAATATCCTGGCTCAACAGGATTCCAGTGCAAAGACTTTGAGAAGCCGTCAGATGTTCCCGTTGAATATATCGAAAAGAGGCCAACCGGGTTCGGTATGATGGAGGCCATCCGTCATAGTGCCTCGGTTGAAAGTTGTGAAGTTGGCTGGGAAGTCATGCCCAAGCCTCTGGGTTCCGACACGCCCCAATGGATGTGATTTGTACAATTAATCAATTCAATATGAAGTGAGTGTAGTTATTTTGCTGATAAATGGAAATTTCACCAATACACAAGTGTCTCTTTTCATACCAAAAGTACAAATAAAATATCCGAGGCGTATGGGTGGCCCCTTCACCACCGATGAATAGATGAAATAGCTTTGCATGATTCTAGTTTATTATGACCACCCATCTTACCTCTCAAACGCAAACGACTGGCTATGTGATCTTAGCTCTAAAATTTAATTATAACATCTCGAAAAGTCTACATCAGTTATGCTAGAGGTGTTTACTTAACGGATCTAGCTAAACTAAGACACCATCATCTCAATTGGGTTTGTCTATTGATTCCAAGGCCTAAATTGCCTACAATATAATAGCCGTATCGGGCGGGTTCTCCACTTGTCCAAACGCTTCGGCATCTTGTTCGGCTTCTGTTTCGGTATGTTCGTCCACCCTTCCACGCAATCCCAGATAACACTTTTCCTCGGTAATAAAGATTTAAATAACAATCTCGGCACGGTAGGTAGTACTAGAATAACTAACCTAAGTTTCAAGCAGCGGATGAATGGGCACACTGTGATTAGCGCATATATCAGAATCCCCTCGGTTTTGACTTGCTCGTATTTCCAACCAGGGGTACACCAACACTGCGAGACATACACATGAGTCATTTTTACTACTTCAGCATTCTTAGATCAGTGTGCGTCGAAGGTAGTCTAGAAGATAGCGACCGCACCGGGAGGACTTGCAACGCCTCCTGGAATATTCAATGGTACACTGACTAACATGAACGTCCACCTGCCTTCCTGCTGGCATTTGGTAGCCAACTTCTCCAAATCAAAGCTCTCTCCAATTGGCATCCCCCATCCGCTTAAGAATACTTCGTGCATAGAGACACCATATGGCTTTGTACTCGGCCATGCTTCATACGCGACAGTATCACTAGCCACCGCTGCAAATGCGTTGTCCCAATGCCATCGAATGGCAGCTTCGCTGGCCTGGATCCCGCAAGACGCACGTATCGCTCTGCTGGACAATGCGACCTGGGCGGCAGGTGACAGAGCACGGTATGCTGGAATCCAACCAGTGCGAATGAGGAGGATATCGCCCGGAAGGAACTCAACCTTCTGTTCCTTGACCACTTCAAGAATTTGCTCGAGGGGAATCTCGTGCCTGGAGAAATGATCAATCTCGATTTCTTGTTTCAGTGCCCATGAGAACCAATCCAGCAAGACGCCACGACCAGTGATCGTCTTTTCTGCAAGATCTACAACACGGCTCATTAATCAATAGATGATAAGGGAGCTTTCAGATGAAGCTGAGACGCACTTTGAATACCGGCTTTGTAGTTTAGCTCCTCTCCCGAAATATCTTCTTGCGTTACCCCGTTGTAGTACTTCAAGCTCTCTTGGTAAGGGTAATGTCTAAGGCCGTCCCAATGACTAGATCCTTGGGTATTGATGTCGAGCTAGAATTTTCAGTTTTCAACATTTTGAAAACCTGAATTGGAATAATTGATACGAACCTCGTCATCATTGGCATGTCCCTTCACGATAATGTGGTGAGAACAAGGCTTGCGTAGCGGATTCATCGGTTGAATGAATTCATCCAGGGGCAGACTGATACGACTCGTTAGATAGAGTGTATCTCGCAACGTCGTATACTTTCCAAGCTACACATACTTGAGGGGGATGGTCTCTCCATTGACAACCTCTTTTGCGGCCCTTCTGACAACATCTGGGGTCAGCAGGTTGAGGGTACCTAGTTCGTCCTGGTCTCCCCATAAGCCCCAAGCAGAGACCGGGGGTTCCGTAGGTGCTAGTGGTAGCTCGCTAAACTTAGGGCGAGGCTTTTCTAGAGGTTTGATGACAGCCATAATAATGACGACGGGAGGTGGCAGTGAGCTGTTCTGATGTTCCACACGTGTCAATTAAGATAGGGCGGAATTCTTTATGTCTGCTGCACGTCTAGCAAGGAACAGTTTGATTATTTAAGTACTGTAATCGTAACATCACACACAAGCTATTCTACCTTCGGCGTGGACATGAATAGTCATCCTTCTTGGCGGGGGCTGACGGAGTTCGCTCCATCGGCATTTCGGTATCTTCGTCTTAACCTTCGGATTGTGTTGAGATGCGAGTTTTCCAGCCTAGATTCGTTTTAGCGCATTGCTAGCTCAGTTTACCCTCAGAGAAGCTACCCGCTTATGGTGACTATCCCCAGCGATGCTACTGACCAACAGCTCTGCTCGCCCGGCGTCTACGACAGCCATCAAGATGCACCTAACTTATGGGAGCGAGAGAATGCTCAATAACCACTGGTTTCTCCTAATGTCACGCATCAACCCTATGTCTAAAAAGCGATCACGGACATGGTGGTTATTTTATTCATCGACTCAATAGACATCTAGCCATAAATCTTAGTTATCAAAGCCTTGGCCTCGTCGCTGAAATTGTAGGTCTGCCCTCCCATCGCCATCTTCACCATGAAATCAGTCCCATTTTCAAGAACGATCTTCTTAATCATGAAGCCCCTTGACACAAGATTCTCCAAATTGTCCTTCACCTCGGCTTAGGGAAGTGTTGGAAAAGTTGCAGCCTTGCTTGTACTGGCCAGAAGGGGAAGAGCCAGCTGTCTCAATTGCCTTCAATGGTCGTGATGATGCGATCTCAAAAGGGCTGCTCAATCTGTAGCGGACCCATCAAAAGTATAGCGACGCGTCGCGTCAGATTCGCGTCAAGTTTACGAACACACCTACCCTACATCGAAAAGTACCTAGAGCACGTAGTCACTTGCATTATACCATTAGTAAATGGTTATACTCACAGGTATCTTCAATTGGTTGATATATTGGACTAGCCGAATGATTAATTGGAAAAATCAGGCTCATCAACGGGATAAGAGACACATACTCATCAGACTGAAAGTTTTACGATGCTTGCTAGAGGACTTAGTGGTTGACTCACTTCATTCCATTAAGAACATAAAACTGCATAGAAAGATATGTCAGAGGCTGAAAACCATAGCTTGGCAGTTTTAATAACTATGTATGCTTCATCTCAATGGAAGTTCAGCAAAACAAAAATTATTATCGTGACTTAGAGACAAACGAACGAGCAAAAACATGGACGAACAGGGAATCGAACCCTGGACCACTCCCAAACAACTTCAGCACGAAAACATGCTAAGGGAGTATTATACCACTAAACCATTCGCCCAGAAGGTGAGACCACTAATGGTGCTGCTGGTCGGTGGGTCAATGTTGTTAAACATGAACTCAGCGAGCTTCAGTTGGTGCATCCAGCTGAATTTCCCAAATCGATAGCTTCGTATCTGCATCAGCCTGGGGGTACCTGGGCAAGCAAGTCTGCCTCTTTTTTTGCGCGACTTCTTGTTTCGAGCCGACGATTCTTGCGGTAGAAATGTTGATTATGCTCCTTGTGGAATTTGGTAAAAATTATTAATCATTGCATATGAAGCTCGGTCCTGATGGATGAGGATAATGCTCTTAAAACAGATTATGTGCGGGACCAAAACAAATCCGCCTTACCAATAATGTATACCAGCTGAGCCACGGCTGAAAAGTGCCGTTCGTCACTCACTGCTTATGACTGGTTCTTCCGAAACCCCCTCTTTGCCTGAAGCCCGCCACGCCTCCATGAAACCGATACAGGTCATCAGAAGTACTCATTCCAAGCCCGCCAGCGAGCTCAACTTTGGTGCAAAGGATCTAGACCCCAGGCTTGTGATCTCAGATTGGACACCCAGCCTCTATGCCTACCCCTCCTCAGTTCTGCCGCGATGGATGGCCGGGCTGCAGGGAGAGGGATTGATGGCGTTGCGCGTCACGCTCAAGGGAGAAGCAGGCCAACTCCAACTGCAACCAGAGAAGGAGGTCGTCCAAGCAGCCAAAGACCCTCGCCCAACCCGTCACAGGACGTCGCGAATCAGTTTCGGGACAGACAAAGCCCAGCCTCACTTTCGGCAGGTCGCCGGGTGATTGCTACTGTCCGTGCCAAATTTACGTATCAAGTCACTTATACAACGGATTGCACGTTTGAGAAAGGCGACACTATCAATGTCTTTAAAATAGAAGACCACAACTGGTGGTTTGGTGAGAATGTACGGACGGGTCGGATTGGGCAGTTCCCTTGCAACCATGTGACCATAATAAAAGGCAGCACCGGTATGGGCGTTCTGGCTAGGCTTCGCCCTGTACATGATTTCAAAGCTCAGGAAAAAGGCGACCTGGACCTACTGGCAGGCCAGACGGTCCTAGTCACTGAACTGATGGACGACGACTGGTGGAAGGGGAGGGTCGCCGACTCCAACGGCCCCGAGGGGGTGTTTCCGCGGAGCTATGGTGTAGTCATCTCCCCATCATCTGGCCAACAGTTTCGGAAGAGCCCCAAGGGTGAATTCGAGGCGTACAGCCAAGTTGACTATAATGGCGATCTCCATCTGGGCTTGTCGTTCGAGGTTGGGGACAGAATGCTCGTCTACGTCCGGCTTACCAGTTTGCTTTCATGGGGCGTGAACCTGGAATCAAATTTTCAAGGAGTCTTCCATCATACATACGTTCAGCCCTATGGCAATCCTGATAGCGCAGGCATCATCAAGGCTAATGCCACAGCCAGCTACGACGGCACCGTCCGTGCAAACTTGGCTCTCGCTAAGGGTGATGTCCTTCTGGTCAAACATATCTTGGATTATGAAGTCGCATGGGCAAGAAACAACAGGACATGCTTAGAGGGTCTTTGCCCGGCGGCTCTTATTGCGCCCGCTGTCCCGGCAGACAAGAATGACTCGAAACCCCGCACTGTTCCATTGTTTTCACCGAACAAAGTGACTGCATTGTACACGTGGCCTGGAGAGTCAATAGAGGATATGCAAATTGTCAAGAATGACCAGATCTTGGTCATTCAGACTTTGGATGATGAAAATTGGTTAAAGGGCGTTAATTTGCGCACTGGCAAGACAGGCGTATTTCCTAGAACATACGTTCGCTTCCAAGAGCTCACAAACTCTCAAGTTGAGCCAAAATCCTCGTGCAATGTCGACACGTTAGCTGTCTCTCAACCTCGACCTGTGGTTGCGATTTCCCAGACGCAACATACTCAGATACAACCTTCTCTCCTACCTGCTAAGCCTGTATCCCAAAGCGGGCCTGCGAGGCAACCTGATCCGGCGCCGGCGGAGACCACTCGAATTCCGGATTTGGAGCCACCCACCAGACCTGTTTTGGGGAGCAGATTGGACACTGACCTTGTCCGTGACTCGAAGCTCGATACGTCGTTTACTGGCGAAGACGTAGTCTGCCATACTTCCTATACATTCCACCCTAGAAACCGCCACAACCGTATCGTCGTGGAAGAGAAATGGAAAGTGGAAAGATATCTTGGCCGCGGAGGCTTTGGCCAAGTTGACCTACAGAAGTGCGTGCAAGGACCGAAAGAGGGCGAACTCCGTGCTGTCAAGATGATTATCAAGAACCCATATAATGATGAAACCAAGAAGATCAATTATGACCAGGAGCTTGAGGCGATTGCCAAATTTTCTCATGAGAAGGCAACTGATACTCAATTCATATTCTGGTATTCAAAAGCTAACCTGTTGTGTTCTTTGCAGTACGTCCACTGTTTCGCACGCTCGTTTGGATGGTATGAGAATGAAAATGCCATCTTCATAACTATGGAGTTTTTTGAACATGGAGACTTGCAAAAACACATGCGAAGCCGCTTCCCGGAATTTGAGGTTGGACAAATCACCTCTCAAATCTTGGAAGGTCTCAGTTATATGCATGATAACGGATTTGCTCATAGGGATTTGAAGCCTGCTGTATGTCTGCTGATCTCGAAAACCATGAACTAAGACTCTCATTTTAACACACGTCTTAGAACATCCTCGTCAAAGAACGGTCGCCGAATTGGTGGATCAAAATCAGCGATTTTGGAATCTCCAAGCGTGCTAGCGGTGACCACACAGCGCTACACACCCTTGTTGGAACACCGCGATACCTTGCCCCAGAGGTGATGAGAATCTTCTCCCCAGAGGACACGGAAGATATGGACAGCGACACCTTGGATTACACTGTGGCAATCGACCAGTGGGCGCTAGGGGCCATTGCCTTTCAACTCCTCGCCAGCAGAGATCCGTTCCCGCAACCGCGCTCTCTTCAAAACTACGTACATGGCAAGGAGCCATTCCCCTCTAGTGTTTTGACAGCTTTCCGAATAAGTGAGCCGTGTATTGAGTTTCTGAAGTCCCTTCTCACACCAATACCTTCGCGCAGACCAAATGCAAACTCAGCTTTGAAACATCCATGGCTAGAAGAGATCAGCCAATCCCCCCAGCTTGTGGACCAAAGGTATGTGGAGAATTCTGGATATTACTTAGTATTATTGAGAGGCTAACCCTCAAAAGTATTACTTTAATAGAAGATGAATTTTCTCTTATTCAATTTGATACGGAAACTGCAAGCATATCGTGGACCGAGGCGCTTCAAAATCCTTCAGTTTAATATCTTTCGTCTCTGGCATAGGCTGTTCGAAGCTCTGAGTCAGCTCTTTGAAATGGAACTGGTTACCATATACATGCTAGATGGAGAAGTTTTGGTTCTTCATGAATATTTCGCGGCGTGGTGATGGAATGAGTAGCTGAGAAGTGGCTTGCATGTATTGTACTAGGTAGTTTTTCATGTAGGGTTTCGAGTAGATTCTGATTTTAAAAACAAGCTTTGGATATCATCGTACCCATTTCCCGTAGCTGTGGTCAATGCCGTCCAACCCCCTCTATCTTTAGCGTTGGTATTTGCTCCTTTCTTGAGAAGAAGTTTAACAACGTGTTTATGCCCAGTTGACGTAGCAATCAACAGCGGGGTGCGGCCGTATATATCAGTCGAATCGATGTTTGCTCCGTTCTCAAGCAGGATCTCAATGATCTTCTCACTGCCCGACTTGGCTGCCCACGATAACGCCGTTCGTTCGAATTTGGTATCCTTTGCTTCGACCTCGGAGCCGTGCTCAAGAAGCACCTTGATAATAGGGCGATTGTTGAAAGAGGCGGCAACCATGAGATCTGTCAGACCCCCGGGAGGGCTTCCCCCATGTTCATGCTCCCAGAATGTCCTGAGCCAGAGCGAGTAGCTTTGCGACCTTCTTTCAAAGATTGTTAAAGTAAGTGGGATGATAGGGTTACCATCTATGATAGAGGCATTGCGAAAGTGGAAAACCCAATTCGCGATAGCGTAATATGAAAAGACGATTGGATAGGAAGAGCCGCTAGCATGTCCCGTATTCTTTCCTTCGTAGTTCGATTCGCAATCCCCAAACTTGGTAGTCTCTTCAATATCGTTCGAGTTCATCAAGTTGAGGTGAAGCACGCAAGCCTCTGCAATGATAGCATGAGCCGCTTTCATCGTGAAGGAGTGGTGCCATCGCTGCAGGGACAGAGTAGTGGCCCTATCATGTATCGTAGACTCTGCAACCAGAAACTCGCGAGCCGTTTGATGAAGCAAATACACTCTTTCGTGATGGACGGAGATGAATAGCCCACATAGATGCATCTTGAACACGTCATTTGATTCCATATCGAGATCATTTATTGAACGCGTGTTGTAGTCCACACTAATCGCATCGTTCATATCTGAAATAGTCAACGGCTGTCTGGAAGCCAAGACTATGCCCAAGACTTTGCGAACTATGGTATCTTCTTTGGTTCTTCTAAGTATCTGTTCGTATGCCTCGTTGACGCTGGTAGGAAGCTTTTCTATAGCTGCTTCACAACCCTTTATGGTCTGTTTAAAGTCCGTCTTGTCTAGGTAGTTAAAGACAAGATATACCCATAGGTAAGTGCGATGGACTGGCTCCCGTAATTTCTTCTCTAAATGATTCTTGACCTGGGTTGGGAGCTGCTTCTTCTGAGATAGACGGTTGATTCGAAAGGTTATGACCCGATTCACTTCTTGGCTAATAATTTCTGACTCTTCCTCTCCAGGAATATGAATGTTAGGGAACCGTTTGAGTAGACCATGGAAACCGGACACTATCTGACTGTATGGGCGGCAAGTGAGGAAATATTTCAGCCTCTCAGGACGAAAGGGGCTCTGGAATTGGCTTTCCAGATTTCGCATCAAGTCTTGGGTTCCGGCTTCGACGCACTCGTCTAGAGCATCAAGTACGATAGTCACTGTCTTCTTTTTAGTATCTTGCGTCGCATTTTTCAAGATCTCCCACAGAGAGGAAGTAGAATTGATTAGCTTTGGCCCATTCCTGCGGTATTCTTCCATTGCGTGCTTGATGAGAAGCGGCATCTGAGAGAAGAGCTGATGGAGGATTGCACATAGAGCCTGGCGGACGGTGTCCTGGTCTTGAGACTTGAAGAAGAAGTAGCAGATGACATCTGATCGTGGTAGCCAGAGGTCGATGAGGAATTTGGCCAACGTCGACTTTCCGCAGCCTGGATCTGCGGTGACCAACAGCGGGCCAGACGCCTTCTCCATCCAGGCAGAGAAGCTAGGGTGCTCGAGCAGCCACATGCATGTGCCTTCGATTCTTTCTTCAACTCGATTTTTATACCACTCGTATGTGACATCCTTGCCAGTGGTAGCAAGGCGGAATAATTGGTGGCACTCCTCCTCGAGTCTCTCCGTCTCGGTTTCGCGCTGGAGATGGAAACGTGTCACTGCTGCGTCGTGAGCTTGTTTCGCAACTCCCAAATGCTCCTCTGCAATATTCTTCTGTTGTTGTGCGACTCTACGAAGACCTGTGCATCGGATTAATATAAGCAAGACCTTGGTGTCGTCTGCGCTTCAATCTTACCAGAAAGGCTATCACACAACTTTTCTTCAACCTCAATCTTATTAGGGGGTATTCGACAGAGAAGGCCTTTCGCATATGCCGCCGCTACCATAGCTGCATATCCCTGCCACTCTTTATTTTTGTGAGAGTCTGAGTAGTCACAGATGCCGCGAATAGCTAGACAGGGAAAGTGGTTCGCCAACCCGGCCGCCTCCATCTCGAAGCAAAGGATCCCCCTTTCTGACGCAAGTCTGTCGCGCTCTTTCGCATTCTTCATCAGCTGATTCCCCGAAGCGATCAAACCGTAGTGAACCGCCGGGTCATCCTCGTGCTCGGCACGATCGATTCGGACCACCAGGTCTGATGGACTGCAGACGGTGGCACAACCTTGTTCGTTAGAGTGGACGACATCAGCTCGATATAACCGATCATGATTTGATCTTGGTCGCATATACAGACTTCCCAACCTCGAGGTTTCTCTCAAGCACACCATCAACTGCCTCTTCAAGTCTATGACCCTTTCTTTCGTAATGACTTTGAAGGCCGGCTAACGCTGTTCGTAATAAAAATGGTGGCTGGTTTAGGAGCCCTGTAGGTTGAAAGCTATCTCCCTGAAGATTCTTCCCAAAGTCATACTGAATCAATCCACCTTTGCCACCAGAAGAAGCGCCGACAACAATGTCACCCAGGCGGATGTCGTGACTTAGGCTGGGGGCGCCGCCACCAACGCCAACCATCAGGCCAATCCGGACATTAGGGAATGAATGCATCATATCCCTGGCAACAACAGCCGCAGAACTTGTTCCATACTCTCCAAAAGGAAGCGTGGCTATCACAACATTATGTCTGCCAATTCTACCCAGAGCATAGTTGTTGTTGTCGTGCTGGGAGAGGTATTCTGGGGGATCGTGCTCTTCGTCGAGAAACTCTTGCGCTGCGACGTATTCCACTTTGATGGCGCAGATCCACCGCACCGAGTACTTTTTGGGGTCGGACATGTTGTGGAGAGGTAATAGCCAAGAAAACCTATGATACAGGGTGTGGAAGAGTCAACCAAGACGCAGACAGGCGCCGTCCAAGAACTCGAGAGGACCCCCGTTTCTAGATCCGTGGAAATGGTTCGCCTGCCTTGGGCGGGGTTCGTGTACGATCATTTCCCGACCGTTTACTGAGTTTACTGAGGGAGATGCACAAGCCGGCCAATGATGTATTGCTAAAGCACGCAGGCGTGGTCCTCCTTCACCAATCACAGGATGATATGAGGTGCTCTCTGTCAGCAGCTCCGGTACTTAGCTTAGCTGACTGGACGATTGGCTGGCCCTTGCCCCTGACTGTATGCCAACGTCTAAGGTCAAGATTCTGGCCGAATCTGGTGAGGCGCGCCAGATGAAAAGCGGCGGGATGAACAGGCTCGAACCGAAGCAGAGAAGAAGAATAGTGTAAATATCCATGTCTTGTATCCTTTCAATTGCTGCTTGCTTTTTACGATTATGGGATTCTCTCAAGTGTTTGAGGTGTAATTGACTGAGAATCGCTACCAAATCAGCCACATTGAATGAATCCTTGGCTATGCGACTGATTAGCGACTTTGGAGTGGGATTGAGGCTCAGACTTGGGATCATCAGCGTCGAGCACAGCTGAGAGTATCAAGCTCTAGCTATTGAATAAAGGCCTAAATCTGATACCTAGCCCATGCATGCCTTGATCGCCCTGGAACGATTGGCATGCCCCTGATATTGACGTTGAGATTGATTTTTCGCGCTGGGAACAGGTAGGTTATCAGACATTTCCAGATATCAATCAAGGTGACAAGATCTCACCGAGGTATTGGTTAACCTTGATCCGGATTGTGAATTTTGTGCCGTCCAACTCGCTTGCCGAGTTTGTGGCACATGATTGGCACCTTAAGACGCATCATACAACTCAACAGATAGCCCGGCCTGTGTGTGCAGCCTCAGTCACAATTTGCATGCCGAAAGGTGAAGAACAGACAGATTCTGTGTACCTCCGCAAGCAGATCGCCGAACAGGACTTGATTGAGGCCACCCCCTGAGATATGTGCGAAAAAGAGCAGTAATACAGATGGAAGGATCGAGATAATAAAGCAGAAGAATAATTACGTGAAATTAGAGTGTAAATAACAAAGAAGACTTATTATGACGTTTAAGATGCCACTCCAGGACCAATGCTCAGTTTCTGTAAAAAAAAGTTCTTGCTCTTCCAGTGTCGTGCCCGGTATATTCCTTTATCTCCTTCACAGTTGCCCCCTTGTTGAACTGATAGTACGTTGACCGGTGGATTTATCGTTACTTCTGTTCCTGCTGTTGTAGTTCTGTGCCCACATCTCCGGACCCAAGTGATTCATTGTCTAATGGAAGCTGTCGTTCTTCTTTGGGAAGACGGAATCCCAAGTGCTTCAAGTAGCTGCCTGGGAACCATATGTTGTATATGACACACACGATGAAGATAGGAAGTGTGTCGAAGACATATTGGCTATGGGGCCGTCGTTAGTCAGTTGTCTTATCTTTAGCGTTGCTTTAGGGGATGACATACTACCACTCTGCCTGTTGTGTTGTCCCTGATTTCCCTTGGGCGAATTCAATCATGCGAAAAATGGACCGAATCTACCAGCGTTAGCCTTCTCTTGCCTTCCCATGAAAAGAAAAACAAAGGCGACAACCTACCAGAATCAGAAGACAGGAGGCATTGACGACATAAAGCAATGTTGAGTAGTGTTTGGTCATATTCCACCTCGTCTCGTTCTTGCTGGCGTAGTCGTTGCTCAACTGCCTCGAGGTGAAATGGAAGCGTACCGCAGCCACGGAGAACAGACCAAAGCCAAAGAGCTGTACCGAAACACCAGCGAGGCCAAGGTTCTTGCCCAGATTGACTTTATCCTTCGCATTCGAGTCAGTCGGGTCGGTGCCGGCGATGAGGACAGCAGCACACAGCTGCAGGAGGAGCGAGATAATATCGAATCCGACGAAGATTAGAGTGATGAATCTAGCTAGAAAAGGATATGTCAGAAAACACAACCCAAAGACTTCCTTTTACTCAATCATCATTAGGCGTAGAATACTTACGAGGAACCCAAATCATGCGCATCGTCCGATGCTCCGGCGGCACAGCCCAGAATACAATCCGGGAAAACACCACATAGATGACGCCGGCCATAAGTACCGGAGCGAGAATTACTAGCGCGAACTGAACAACGTAGGGAGTCTTCTCCTGAACATTGTTTGCTGAGACCGCGCGGGTCGCAAACCCAATCACCTCCACTGAAGCGCCAGTCATTAGCAAATGCTTGGGAGGGGTACGATATCGACCAGGGGAATTTGGGAAATTGAGAAGTCGACATACTTGCGATAGCTAGAAGCATAATGAGCCATACCCATGACCTCTTGCGAATAATCTGGACCAGGGTGACGAGGAAGCTGACCCCATACAAGCCGGCAACAACGCCAGCAAGTACCACCGAAGGGGTATAGAGATAGTGTGAGGGCTGTGAGGAAGCCATCGATGCGATAGTTGATATGCTTGAATATAGTGAGGAAAGGAAATAGCGGGAAGAACCTGGATCTTCTCTTATCTAGGCATCGCAGTGTCTTCCCATACAGCACAAGGAGCTGAGGGCATCCTTTATATTCATCATTCTCATTCGAGATGTCGGTGGCCCCTGGCACCGATGCAATACAACCTGATTGGCAGGGGACCCGCTCAACCCTGCTGAAAGATAGCTAGCGCAAAGCTACGTGCCAGATAACAGGCTAACTGAAGCAAGGAGGGATCGAGACTGCGGCTGAGCACAGATTGGTGATGTGGTGTCGGTGAAACGGCGATTAGGTCCGCCGGCTGCCGATGGAGATCTATCTGATTGGTCAGTCATGACCCGCTTTTGCTATGACAAGGTCGGCCCACGCAACGAAACTTCGCCGATGCTGCGGTTGGTATGACATGGCAGCTCAGCGATGCCAGGGGAGTTCTAATCTTGGAAATGGGAAATCTTATCAAAATTGGATGCTAAGTATGGGTATCGACAGTTGCTAGACCGTTGGGGTGGAATTGGTGAGGCGTGGAGATGCCAAATAACCATTTAACATATCGTCAAGCGAGATCTAAAACCCAGTGTATCATTCCTTGGTAGCTACACGATCATGATTTGTCTAGGCTCTTCATGACCGTTATACCCCGTACTTTTATTGTTGACGGTAGTTTAGGGATAGTGAGTTCCGCGTCGGACGGCCAGGCCGGGGCGTAACGCTCGCTTATCCGACTTAGCACAAAGGTAATTCTGCACTAACGCGTGGAATAAACCGTAGAGATCTAAGCCACCATATCCATTCTCCAGCTGGGAAAGCCATCGGGCGTCAAGGTTAGGGTGGGTTATTGGTTCTCCAATAGCTTCGATAAGATTACGGCGCCTAATTGCAGGACTGTTCCGACTTCAGGAAGGACCGGGTGAATAGAGGCCGAGTACCGTCGTCGGCGACGTTGAGGCAAGGTGGCTTGGTTATTTAGGTTGAGTAAAATGAGACAGGGATATAAAGATGGAGGCTCAACGGAGGACACGACTAATCCTTGGCCGTTCAAGTGACATGTGCTAAGATCGGGCCTCGTGGTCTTTCTATAAGGGCATTATTCTTTTCCTGGATCAAGAAAATTTCGAGGGGACATCTTGCATTTAATTGATGGTGGCTGTGTTTTACGAACTACATCGCCGCGCTGAGCTCCAAGTTACATGTCGTTATGCACTACTTCATTGTCGAGCCATCTAAAAGGCGTCTTTAAAACATTCAGACATACCACTGAAGCATGCTCTGTAGCTTCTACCTGGCCATTTCTGGCTTTCAACTACATCTATTGATTTCGCCGCAGTAAACCGACAGCCTTGACTACATAGATTCAGTACAGGCCACCAGCCCACATTGTACACATAAGAAGAAGTTACTTTATAAAGAGACAGGAAATAAATTCAGATTCAGACCTTACAGGAAGAGGAGGTTGGTTTTGTAGGTTCAATGTTATCGGGTCCAATACTTCATGCGATTTATCGGCAGCCATGGCTGATTCAACACTCACCAATCGAACTTTCATGGAGACCGTTGAGAAGCACACTTGATACTGAGAGGAATTGGTGCTCTAGTTTCCGATTCTGTCCTTAGAAGACATTGCACGATCCTGGATGCCGAAGCCACTGAGATATAGAGTCAATGCAACCGCAGTTGTCTCGCCGAACTTACCAGGTTAATCAACATTGTAGGGATAAGAGAGAATTCCCTTGGTATTACCAAGAGACATGGTAGATGTCTAGGTAGGATTTGGAGGGCATCTGGAGGTATTTTGATCTTCGCCCTCTTGATCTTCGCCCTCTTGGCTGTCATATTATCCAGCGCGTGGATTGCCTTAGAGGCTAGCACAAACCAGCAGATAATGGCCTCTTTTGGAGACTCCTTCAGTCATGATATATCCCATTGTTGATATAGTTCGATGTGGGAAAGCAGATGAACTCGATGGCAAAATGTGAATTCATTAGATGTAAATATTTAAACACTCCGCATCTAGATGCCATGTGGACTAGCCTGGCCATGCCAATTTAGCACGGAGCACGCACTAGCTCAGAGTTGGACAGAGGGCACCACACCGATTTTCTGGGTTTCCTATAGGAATATTGATCTCAAAGGGGCTTAAAAGTAGTAGAAACAAAATGTGGAGGATTTGAGTTTCATTGATATAATGAGATTAGATGAGAGTAGCAATATAAATTTCTAAGGATCTGTAGTGTTCCATATGGCCAGATCAGTCTTGTTTTCATTCATATGCAAAGTTGAGAGAGAAATTGCCCTTTCTACCATAAAACCATTAGAAAGACTTTGCAGGAAATAATATCTTCTCAGCTTGGCTAGCTTCAGAGCAGACTCTAACATGAGAGGGAAGAGGCCGGGATGTGGCGGGTAACCGACAAATCGCCAAGATGCGCTATTGTTTTTTCTGCACAAGCTCTGGGATCAGCTGATGATCTCTCGGCTAGCCATTCCACCCACCGGGCCACCGGGTTCAATTGGGCACGCTCAGGGCGACTCTAGGCCCTAATTTATTGCGGTTGTGGTGCTTTGGGTGGCCCATTTGCCGTGGACAATGAACTTGGCGGCCGCTTCTCGCTGGTTTCCTTCTCCTCATCTTGCTGCTGCTTCAAGGCCTTTCGTTGTATCATTCTCGGGATGATGCATTTGAAAAGAAAAACGAGAAAGACGATTAAGACGACGACGCCAATGACAAGCCCAATAATGGCCGGTTTGGACAGGTGGATGTAGACAACGTTTTTGTTCTTCTTTTCCTTGGTGATTTTGATCTTCTTGAATGTTTTCTCTTTTCTTACGGTCAGAGATACGCGTTCATCGTCCCCAGAAAGAATCGGCAATGCGGCGGCATAGGCAAGCTGTATCGCCGATGCGAGGAGAGCTAGCCGAAGGGCTATCTCGGTGCCCAGTGTTGTGATCATTTGGCTGTGAGTTCGTGCCGCACCTGTCTTGCTGAAAACAAGGACAGAGAAAGATCGCAAGAGAAAGAGTTGCTGATGGAATCGATCAATTGAGAGCCATCACCCTTTATAATTATTGATGGGGGTTTGGCCTGAATGTCACAAGCGCGCGAAGCTATCATCGCTAGTTGCGCCACGACGGCAATATCACTATGTGAGCTGAACTTTTAGTGCTTTGCTTTGGTTAAGCTTAACCAGTCTAGACCCGTGCCCCTGTAAATGGTGAGCAGATGACTACAGACCAGGCTGAACGAGCCTTGATGGTTCTCGATTGGAGAAATGCATTGGCTGGACTCGTGCGGCGGAGCAAGTGGGCAGACACTGAAAAGCATCCACACCAGATATGTTCTGGATGACCTTACTATGTACACTGATCTTTGCTACAGCTATTGTTTGCCATACTGGGGAGGTATTTAAAGTTAGACCCCTCCTACCTGACTATAGGTAATGAGAAAAGTTTGGCGTTAATGAAGCGTGAATCCAGGAGCCAGCTGCTTAGCGGCCTTCCATTGTGTTTCTAGTGATAACTTAGAGAGACCTTTTCGTAGAATTCGCTGATAGCTTGTTAGCCAATCCAGCTGGACTAAGGCACCAATTCCACGAAGAGATGAGTAATATTTGGGTCCGCCGTGGCCGGTCTAAGGCGACGAGACATCCCAAAGCTTTATTTTGACTTATAGGATGGTGGAGTGGCTTGGCGGTGCTTTTATAGGAGCGCAGCTCCCATGTGCAAGACTTGAGGTTTCTGATAGAAGGATGTCGGAATAGTGATACGAACAGTGGAGGTAATTGTAATGATAAAGGCACGTTTGGATTTTTGCCGGCGTGAACCTTAGTACAAGGATCATTAGTCCATACAAGAAACCTAGGAAATCTCTCGGTTCTGGATATATTGCGGGAGTTGACCTCTGGCCTGTTACCGGTGCTGAGTTACCAATAATCAATGCGTCAAATCGATTTGTCTTAGATTTAAGATCATGTGAGAATTTCCGTTTACTGAGATTTTGAAGTTGCATGGTAACGTTTCAGACATAAAACCAAATCTCGCTTTCCATCCATGAGATGAGTATGTGCAATGCTCAACTACTAGGACGGACCGCCGGGAAGATGAAAGTACAGGCTGTTAGAATGGCGTTATATCAATCTGTTGAACGGATGTTCACGTTAAAACCATCGGGCATCTATTTTCCCCTTTGCAACTTAATCCCCGATTCACCTATTTCAATCTTCCGATTATACTAGGTCAGCTCCATCCACTGGAACATAGCTATTATTCTAAGGTAAATTTTGTGTCTTTCTATATCTCGTTGGGTTTCTTGTCGCATTCGTGATTCTCATGCAGCTGCATGGTTTTAATTCACTTCGGTTAAACAATGTAAGTAGCATTACGATTCATCCACCTTCTCAGGATACTCCTCATTTTCCTTTTACAGGCGTGACAAAACTTTTCTCGTCGAAGCGTTGTCTGGTAGTGCGGCAACTAGTTCTATTTCCACAGCAGCTTCGGCATTGGGGAGCTGTGCTGCAGCAACACATGTCCGCGCCTTTTTTTCCGTATGTTAGCAACAAAGCACGAGAAAATAAACGAACTCACTTTTCCAACGAGGAGGGAACAAACCGGCTTAGGTGTGCCAGAGAAAACCTCGAGGTAGGCTCTGTTGACGTTGGCATAGTGATCCATGCTGCTGACGAAAATGTTCACTTTGACAGTGTTCTGAATGTCGGTACCAGCTTCCTTTAGAATTGCGTTGAGATTTTTCAAGGATTGTTTCTGCGATCGGTGTTAGCACTTTGTTATAGAGATGAGTTGATATGGAACGAACCGTCTGTTCGTAGGCGTCCCCGACAAGCTTCCTCGTCACGGGATCGATGCCAAATGATCCGGAGCAGTATACAATGCCATTGCAAATGATTGCTTGCGACAGGTGTGGGCTGGGAGCTGGTGCCTCCTTGGTGAGAACTGCGGTTCGATTTGCCATGTTTGTTGTTGTTTTGTGGCTGTTTATTTACCAATTACTTCTATGATTGAGAGTAATTTCTAGCCAAACCCCTGTCAAGAGCGACATTTTTATACCTGGAGCGCGAGCTATGCGGCCCCTGAACTTGGATTAGTATTTCTCCGATTTCGGTGAACTGACAAGTTCGGCCAGTGGAAGCCGAGATTTGTAAAATGTCCCCGCCTCTGATCGTCGAGACCCGAAATCAGGCCCCGGAACCAATTACAGTCCATTACAAGCGAACTTCCTCGGAGTTGGCCCTCCGCACTAGGCCAGGGCTTCATTTCCCTAATTATTTGGTGTTTAAGCCTTTTAATTACGAGATATTACAGTTGCTTGTAGATTAACAGATTTTTGTTTTCATATGTGTAGAGAATCAGTGCCCATTTTTGAGGGGTAATAAAGCTTTCTGGGAGGGGTGGAAGAAGGTTAGGAGATGTTGGGAAGGATTTCCAACTCCTATCCCTTTAATAAGAGCTTAGCCGATCTTTGACTTCGAACGTATCATCATGCACAATAATTACTGGTAGTTCACAAGGCATTTCTGGTGGGTGACAGCGTATTTCGATATTTACAAAAGCATCTAGCCCAATCAGTAATCAAATTTACAAAAAATACATCCAAAATCAGCTTTTATGTCTTCATTACGCCATTTATTATTCAGCACTAATGAATAGTTCTATTATTCACAGGCCAGGAGCTCTGCATATGCTTCGTTTTGTATTGCCGATGTACATATTCTTCGAGAGTACATGTTGCACGTGACGGCGGTCAGACAGATCATGTGATTCTGCAGGGTCCTCTGACGCCTATATCAAAGGTAATAAACCCATGTCCTGACGTAGCTTCTATCAATCTGGTCTTCCAAGGCAACAATGAACATACTCGCTTACGACCGCACCTCATGCATTCTCTGCGGAGCCCGATTGGAGTCCAATGCTAGAAAATGGTGCGCCAAAGAGATACGAGTCTGTTCGTCGAGCCCATCCCATAGAGCTCCCATAGAATGTTCCTCCGTCTCAATCCACTTGTCAATTGATAGCTAATCATTTTCGTCGCAAATAAAGTGTACACGTCCTCTGTCGACTGCACCCAAGCGACGCTCTCTGGCGTTGGGCTCATTCGCCATGGCTCCATTGTCCAAGTCCCCATCGACCCCAATGTGGTGGACATGAGCAGACAGCCAAGAGGCCTAGATGAACGCGAAGGTTTCATCAAGGCACGGTTGCACAGCCTCAAAAGGCACCAGCATACACAGACTCTTCGTCAACATGGAACCCTCTTCGTCAGACCGCTTGTCCCCTTCCTCTGGGGCTTTGCCATCCATTCTTTTTGCTGGGACATGCTCAATGCCGAGAATGCACCTGATCTTCAAGTTCTATTCCAAGCCTGTTTGTCAATGCCACTCAGTAGGAGCGGGGCATTGGACTGGGGCCACGACTATATTGGCCTGATAGATCATGTCCCGATTGAGGATCCAAGAGGCTCAAAGCTAGGAGCCAGGGACCTGATGGGGGATTGGTGGCGGTATTCAACCCCTTCCCAAATTCCAGAGATCCAGGAACTCGTAGAAGCTGAACATATCGCTCCGAGTACGGCGCAGTTCATGCCCGAGAAAGGTCCGGAAATACCTACTGCGGGTGATTGTTTCTCATCATTACCAATGGAATTGCGACAAATGGTTCTATTCAACCTTCCGTCAAAAGATGTCTATGCACTGAAGCTAGCATCTCCAGTATTTGCTAACATGCAACTACCAGAGGGATTTTGGGCCTCAAGGTTTGCATTCGATCATGAGTTTGGATATGTGCTGGAGGCTCGATCGTCGAAACCTCAGTCTTGGCGGTCATTGTACTTCGCCATGGACAGGCTGAAAGAGAACCCAGCAATATCTTTGACAGGTCGCTCCCGTGTTTGGGAGCTTTCAACCATGCTCAAGCACCAGCTCCATGAAGCTGTTCATCCAGCTTGCCATGGCGAGCCTGTTATAGGATTGATCGAACCGCAGCATAGTAGTGAGTGGCTCAAGACCCAGTGGCAGACCGCTACCAGAGGGCTGGTGAATGAGCCTGATTTCTTCGAATTTGGCTGTAGGCCGCTACGGACCCGTGTTGTTCAGGTACCAACTCCGCTCCGACTAGATAGAGTGGTTGTTTCGTTTGCTAGGGTTGGCACCGAGAAGTATATTTCTGGACTGGAACTTGGTATTCACAACGATTCAATTAAGATTGGGTACACTGGTCGAGGGGAGAAGCAAATTGAGGTCGATAAGAGCCTTTCGCCGATTTGCGGATGGCATCTGGCCCTAGGCATGTCGGGAATACAAGGTATTGCGATTGTCATGAAGGATGGCTCTCTGTCCTCCTGGGCTGGGAAACATGAAGATCTACCTCAATACTCACTTCGAGGAGGCGGAGGTGATCTTCTTGCGATGAAGGCGGAATTTGATGTGAGTTTCAAATAATGACGCCAAAGGCAATTCCGGCTGACCTTTTTAGGCGTTTCGTATGGTCTCTTTCAGCATACACACCAGTAACATGGAGACTACGACATGGATAAACAATGTGCCATGGAAGTACCTTTGTCCCTGGATGCCGAGTGTACCACCTGATCATTACTTCTTGGATGAAAGTGGGAAGGAGTATGCTCACTGGTACCTGGGAATAGAGGGAGGGACCGATGTTGGGAAGTCTCGTCCGATCGATACCTTTTATTTTGGCGGCTCTCACGGAGAGCTTCTGCCATTGCTAAAGGAGATAGTAGTCTGGGCGCTTACTGGCATGACTATCCAAATCACAGGCATCGAGTTTACGTATACCGATTCGAGCAGAGATCGATTCTTCGGCATGATTACCTCCGACCCCGACGCAGAGGATGAAATCGAAGAGGATCCCGAGGAAGTCAAATTTAGTGTGCCAATAGATGGTTCTGGCGGAGAAAGAATCCAATGCATCGACGTTTTGTATACGAAATTATTCGATACCAGGCCGATGTTGCGAGGTTTAAATGTGAGTAGCATCAAAATGGTCTACAACTGTCTGTTAACCTGGTCTGCAGATTCGTACCAACCGTCGAACAGCTGAGGTGTTACCAGCCCCGGCATCAACTGAGCGGAAGATTGCCAGCAATATTCTCGACAGTTCCGAGTCTTCCAGCCAAGTCTTTGATCAGCAAAGAAATGTCGATGTTCCCAAGAATTGGACTACATTGGAACCCCGCGGACAAGAACTCGTTGGAATCTATGCAGTCTTAGTACGTGGAGAATGTGAAAAATGCTTGTATCTTGACTAATTTGGCAAAGGGTTGGAATATGATCGAAAACTTCGGCTTAATTTCTATGAACAGGCCCTGAAGACTGATATCGGGAGACTCAGGCGGAGGGCATAACATCATGCAATTGCTTAACTGCAGTTATCTTTAGCTAGACTTCATCGGAGTTCCAGTCTAGTAAAATCAGCCTGAACCATTTTTTCTTCAGTGATAGTAAGTGAGAGAGCTATGCAGCTGCTGGAAAAAAGGGGGAAATTCCCAAACACCAAGAATTTAACAAATTGACACCATACCCAGTATCACAACACATTATTCTTCAGTGATTATTGGAACAAGCCAGCAAAATTCATGTACGTTGAGCGTGGAAGGCCACGCTGCTGATCGGTATGCAGTAGTAAAGATTCATGGATATTATCAAGGCGGGTTACAATTATTCTATTTCAATCATATCTCATTCATTACATTTCACAATACTTTTACACTAGCCGTAATCTTCCATCTATTTCGTTTTATTAGATTGCCCTGGGGCCTTCCTTCGAGGGTAACCATTCCGCGCCAAAAGAAATCGGCGGAGTGAACCTCGCATTGCTCGACACTGGGCTTGGCTGGAAGCTGGAACGCCCCGGCGAGGCCACTGGCGATGGGGCAATGGGCCAATCGTACTGCACAAACTGGTTCCCTTCTCCAGTTCTCGCCTGTGGTCTAGCAGGAACTGTAGGTGGGGAGACGTGCGGCCGACTATCATGGCGAAGGGTGGACGTAGGGGCAACTATTCCACCAGTCGGACCAGGTTCAAAAGACAAGTGCTTCTTTGTCTTTTCCCGGACAGGGATCAGCTCAGCCCCATCAGATGTATCGTCTGTGTCGTGCGACTTGCGGCGTCCTAGCCACGGGAGTTTGCCAGACCTGGCTAGCAAAATCAAAAGTGTAACTACGCCAGCGACAAAGGCTGCAGCGCCTATGACAGCACCAACGATTGGAGCAGGCACGCCTGATTCCTGAGAGGTCACCTTCGGTGGTGCATTTGTTGGAGTGCAGTGAGCTGTTACTAAGGCTTCTACGGTAGCCGAGGCATAGTAGCTTTGTAGGTCGCTAGGGAGTGTCGTGTACCATGAAGGAGTAGTATATTGTGATGCGTGCCCAGACAATAGAAAGCACCTGGCTTCGGGGTTTGTCTGGGCTGAAGTGGGTATAGCAGTTTGGAGAATCGCGGCGAGGTCTTGTGTGATTGTTGTTGTAACGATAAGGGAAGTGTCTGTAGAGATGCTGCTCGAGCTCGTGCGCGATAGACTAGTAGTGGTGGAAACGGTGTCAGATGTTCGTTTGTCCGATGTCGAAGAGCGTGAGGTGGTGGGCTGTGCTGTTGATGTGGGTTTCGTGGAAGTTGAAGGCTTGTCTGATGTCGTCGGCTTATCTGATGTAGTTGTCTTCGGTCTCGCCGATGTCGAGGTGGGCTGCTCGGTTGTTGTAGCCTTGTCTGAAGTGGTCGATTTGTCTGACTGGGCGGTCTGGACGGCTACCGAGGGTTTGCTCGACGATGAGGGACTGCAAGTGTTGTCCTTGGAGCAAACTGACCCAGAGCCACAATACGAACTGCCGCAGCATATCGAGCCTTTGGGCATACAACCTGTGCCACATGCTTCCTGATCACCCTCGCACTTCTGGCTGTCACATACCGAGCCATCAGCGCAGCAGCCATCCTTGGTGCAAGATGAGCCGGCATTGCAATAGAAAGTCCCCCCACAGCAGTCGGCGCCTTTGGGTATGCAGGTATTCTGGCAAGCTACTTCTCCAGAAGCACAATTGGGCCCATCGTTTTCACGGGCGAACAGGAGGGGGCTGAACAAGTCCCGGGGTAAGAGCCTGTCGGTCGTTGCTTTCTGGTAAACCACCAAGAGGTCATTGGCGGTATGATCAGGTGAATTGTCAGCATTCTCGGAGCTGTTGTAGACAAGGATGTCTTTCGGAAGAGCAGCAGGGCTGGTAGCCTTGGTCACAAATAGAGGAAGCTTCATTGTAACGACTAAAACGAATGTTGCTGCTGGTTCATCTAGGCCTCGGCCAGCAGAAGTGAGGGCTGTTCTCCTTAAGTCTTTAAGCGCGAGGACAAAAATTTCCGACTCGGGTTCGTGACACTTATACGACGAGAGTGTGCCTAAGTGTGGAGGGTGGACATTCATTAATCTTACAGGTGCATGAGGGGCTAGGCAACAAATAGCCTCACTGGCACCCAGATCTTTGGTCAGTCTAGAGACACCAACCTAGGCCATGGCTAAATAAAGAATCACTGCTAACATCATTCTGTACTCTAACAAAAGCAACAGTGATCGGCCTTCAGCTTTCAAGCTCCCTAGGTGTAGTTATGACCAGTAGTACGAGGTGTAAGCCACAACATTACTATTAACGCCAACCGTTGGACAAGACATGCACACATCAGACCAATTAGCCAGGGACAACTCAATTGCACGCTCGCCAGCTCCTGCAGATGCATGTGCCTTGCAGAACGGCTGAGTCTAGACCATGCTGGTTCCGGCGCTTACCCATTCAAGGGTGTCAGCCCTGCCACCGTCTGACCCAACAAAATTTGCCTCCTTCACAGTAGCCCATCCAGCACGATGGGCTTCTGCTTTCTTCCCCATGGGGAGCCGGGAAAACTGAACACAGATAACGTCCTATCTACATATAGAGCTTTCTTCCTAGACTTGGTGATTGGCATGAGAATCGTCCTAGATGATGATGATGATGATGATGATGCGATATGCTTCCCTCGCTGTACTCTCCTACTTGAAGTGGTGGCATCTTCCTTGAATGTGAAAGGAGGTGCCTCTCCCTCCTTCGCTTCTGCCGTATTGTTGTCGGGGCTGTAGCTGACAAAACAGCTCCCCCTGAATAGACGAGCTGAGGAGCACAAGTTCAAGGCACGGCTTCCGATTGCTCTCCCGCTCCGTATGCTGCCTGGGCGGGGTTTGCTAATGCATGTGTGCATCCTGCGCTTAGACCGAGCTGTTGATTTGCTGTATGCCGGCTGCAGCAGCTGCGGACTCATACCTCAGGCTGAAGGGGAGGCGGATTTCACTCACTCATGGAGGAGTCACACCGACTCGGAACCTACCGAAAGCTTGCATATTAGCTTCCATCTCATTTCCCTGGCCAAACGTTCAGTGGCAGCGCAAGGTTGAACCGGCACGCCGGGCAAGATGGGATGAGCTGGTCCACTGTCCAGGGACGCCTCTCGCCTAGAAAGCGACCATTTCCAGCACGCTCTAGAAGAGGGAAGCACTGAGCAGATGTCATTATGAGACGCTAAAATAACCGGCTGTGCAGCTTGTGCTGCGGCTGAAGAGCAAATCCCCATAGCAATTTCCGCTGCAGCAACACAGCCCTATCACGGCTGCCATAATACGCCACTGGCTTACCAAGCCCCTTTGGTCTGCTCCAGTGCTCACGCTGCAATTATGATGCATGAAATGTGCAGGTGAAGGTGGCTGCTTCGTCTTCACATTGTGCTTGTAGCTCGCGAATCAGGGTTGGCCTTTGGGTTTCGGGGGCGGAGCGTTTGAAGACGCCCATCAGCCCATCCAATTGAGTGAGGGTGGCAATGATTATCCGACAGATGGATGACTGCGGCCTAAGAATTACTCGCCGAGTGAGAGTTATCACCATCCTTCGGGCATAGTCGCCGCCTTCACTCCAGCCGCCAGTAAACATGCTTACCTTTTCCATACCCCTGGCCACACATATGATCTCTAGCAAAAAGATGACCTGCTACTTAAAGAGTTTAATTGATCGGACACCGACAGTGACCTTTGCCAATCTCTGTTGTTTGTAAGTGCAGTCATCACCCACCGAGGAGCTCGGTACGCGACCCCATGTCTTGAGCACTCCTTTTCCTCGCAGATAGCCTTTGATCATTATAGAAATGATGCTTCATTCGCATTGAGAAGACATGGCATAGGTACTGATTAGCCTTGGATGGTTTATTTATATTTATTAATCGTTATGCTGTCCCTGGGCTTTGGTGGTTACGTGGAACTTTCAATCTTGGACCAGAATCGGTCGGCGAGGAATATCTTTCAAGATTTCCTTCCCCTCCGCAAAGTCATCGACCCTCCCATCTTCATCCCACAATGCTGCTAATACCTTTCTCTCACCCTTCCATGGGGACCTTGAGTGCATAACGGCAAAGTTCTGTGTCGAATCAGCACTGATTGTTCAAGTGGTGCAGGGTAGATCGAGCTGTCTGACTTACATCAAGAAGAACAACATCTCCCTTCTCCCATTTTACAAGTACCTGCGATGACTCGGCAATATGGAGCGCTAGATCCAGGTATTTCTTCTCAATCTGCTCCCCGTCTCCGTATAGCGGAGGTGGGTGATAGGAGTCATCATCACCCTTGAACGGGGGCTCTGTTGCTCCGTGATGTGTACTGCGCCCCCACGCGCTGGTGACATTGCCAAACCACGTTGTTAGACCTGTCTCTTTGTGAATTCGAATTACTGTGCCCATAGAGTTAGCATCTCCCCCCCCCTAATTATCCATATAGCACATACAGGGTGTGGTGTGGGTGACCGTCAAGCTGCCGTCTTGGTTCCACTCGAATACGTTGCTGTGTCGGCGCACCTCCTCCTCAATTTTGGCTCGAGCGGTCTTTTCGTCATCGCTTGGTAAGACATTTTGCCCATACGCGCCGTACACACTTGTTCCAGTAGTAGATACAACATCCTCTTTGCCGTAGCGGTAGACGTATCGGATCCCCTTCTTCAGGACTTTTTCGTAGAACTCGGGGGCCTCGGCTCTTATTCTTGAGGCGAGCTGGATGCTCGAATTAATCGGTGTTTCTCCACCTGGCGCACATGAAATATTAGTACTAGAGAATTGAGCATACGAAGAGATCGAGAGGGTTCGGTCCTACCGGTTTCAGCGGGCACAACGGCAGAGAAGGTGAGCCATGCCGGGTTGATTGTTGACCAGCCGTATTCGTTATGGGGCCAAATGGGAAGTTCAGGAGGTCTGTAATATATTAGTACGATAGGATCACCATGTTGGATTAAAAAGCCGGCATTTCTATACCCTTCATTTGCTGTCTTAACATTCTTGGCTAGGACAGTCCGTGCCGGTGGTCTTCCTACCTCCTCATGTGCTCGGAATCCAAAGGCATGTGCAGCATCGCTGTAGTCCTGCGCGTTGTCGATTGGCAGGCCACGGATGAGAACAGCACCTCCATGCTTCTTCACGAGATCAAAGATCTTCCCAGACTTAGTCAGCTCCTTAAGAGCGTCGATATAATCTTGTAACGTCGCTGAATTAGGCGAAACCGCTTGGAGTGCTAGAGGGAAGGGGGCATCCCAATCGAAACCGAGGTTTTTGGTGCTCTGCTGACCCTCGAAGGTGAATTCATTGAAAGAAATCTGAGACGCCATGGCTGTTGCTGGCTTTCGGTGGCTGAGATAACGAACAAGATTAACGCTTCTCTCAGTTATCCGCTACAGTCATTTCAATAATGTATGCTTTTAATCAACAAATACCCGGACTTATCGACAATGGACAGAACCGCGCTCTACACTTGAACGGCGAGAAAGGTGAATTATGGATACAGAATTGCGCAATCCAAACTTTATATGACCACTATCCCCTGCTCTCCACGCTATTGGTATGGTATGGGCTGCAACGAATTGCGTCAAACATCAGAGATGGCAAAGGCACTAAACAGGAAAATCTCTCAGCGGTACTTTTTCTATTCTCCGGGATCGTAGAGATGAAAGACGGGGAATTGTTTTGCTCACCGTATCATCGTCAATATGAGTGGATTCTGGTGGTCACGCAATCGTTTCGATGGATTGCCTCAACGGCCAAGCAAAAACTGGTGATGCCGAAGATACAGGGGTTCGGGAATAAAACATACCCCATGGACACGTTTTTACTTCATGCCATGCACGTCAACTTTGTTTTAAGGTATCTGATCCGCTTTTGTTAGCCCTGCCTGCATCAAAGGGAAGAAGAAAACAGAAAAGGACCGAAAGGAAGAGCTGTTGATCATGGCCGATGTGTCGAATCCATCCGGGGCCGAACCACCGGTAAAGTCTGGGGGCCCCGTCCCCACCTCGGACGTCGAGGAACTTTCGACGGCCAGTCCCAAGTATCATTGGTTCCGTGGTGTCTTTTTCCAGGCAACAGTTGTTGGAATTGCAGCCTTCACGGCACCCGGGCTATGGAATGCCATGAATTCAGTTGGTGCGGGTGGCCAACAAACCCCCTTCCTGGTGATGTAAGTCGGAGCTTGTTCCGTACGTTTAATACATCCCTATTGACATTCTTTTGTGTTTAGGGCCGGCAATGCAGTTCTTTTTTCCTTGATGACGATCACTTGTCTTTGTGGTAGCATTGTTGCCAACCGCATTGGTCTCAAGAACACCCTCATCCTCGGCACTACGGGCTATGTTCTATACTCGGCCGCCTTATACACCAACAACCGTTATGGCGTGGAGTGGTTCATCTACGTTGGTTCAGCTGCTTGTGGTATCACGGCTGGTCTGTTCTGGGCTGCAGAAGGCGCAATCATGCTGCTCTATCCTGAGCAACATACAAGAGGCAAATATCTTGCATACTGGCTATGCTATAGGAATAGCGGGAGTATTCTTGGAGGCATTATCAACCTGGCTTTCAATGCCACGGGATCCAGGACTGGGAAACTTGACTGGAGGACGTATATTGTCTTCGTCGTTCTCCGTAAGTTAGACATGTTCATGCTTTGCGTCCCAACATAACAACCACTGACTGTTCTGTGATGAAGAATGTCTTGGACCAGCTGCTGGTTTCTTTCTCTCACCGCCAGAGAAGGTGGTCAGGCGTAACGGCACCCGAATCAACTTGATCAAACGCATCTCCGACTTGGAAGAACTGAAGGCTCTTGGCCGGCTTATGGTCCGAAAGGAGTTGCTACTCTTGTAAGATCTTGCGCTATCAATATTCCCTAGGCTTGATGTAGGGCGCTGCTAATAATTTGGCAACAGAACACCTCTGTTTATCTATATCAATTGGTGTCTTCCATACATCGGCTCCTATCTTTCTCTGTATTTCTCAGTTCGCTCCCGCGCCCTGGCTTCACTCATTTCTTCCTTGGCTCAAATCACTGCAACCCTCTTGATGGGTACATTCTTGGATTGGACCCGTCTGTCCCTCAACTCGCGTGCAAAGTATGCTTACTCGATTATGATGGCACTGATTGGAGGCTGCTGGATTTGGGGCGTGATCATCCAGCGCGAGTACGGAAACAAGCCACCCGGGCTTGACTGGGATGACTCCGGTTTTGGCCGCGGCTGGGCCTTGTATATCCTCTGGCAGATGAACTGGGCTCTTACATACAACTTCGGCTACTGGCTCATTGGGTTCCTGGCGAGAGAGGCTGCTGATACCCCCCGACTCACCTCATATGTGCGGGCGCTCGAGAGTGCTGGGCAGTGCATTTCATCGGGCATCAGCTCTACACAAACTCCAGTAAGATATCCATCTCCCATGTGTTGCCAGAAGCATGTACTAACGATGTCTTAGCTTATTGTATGCCTGGGTATCAACTTTGCTCTGTTGGGCCTGGCGATAGTTCCAGCATTCCTCGTCGTTCGCAAGGTAGGCGTCGATTACAATGGAGTCAAAGACAATAATGAAGAGAGAGAGGAAGAGACGGAAAATTCGGCGGGCAAATCCTAGAGACTGGTGAAATGACTGCCGAAGATCCTATAATAGAAATAGGCGACATAAGGTGTAATAAGACAGGAGAAATCCTACTAATAGATGGATTCATAGACTGCGGATAAAATAGGTTCGGTTTTTAATCGTTTCCTTTTTTGAGAATTTGCTTTTTTTTCTAATTCGAGCTCTGGGAGTTTGAACTTTCTCCTGTGATTCTTGATGCTGTTGCACTCTACATACTCTATGACCTCTACAAAGATGAATAGGGACTTGGAGACAATATCTAAAACAAAATGAAAGAAATAAACTTGAAAACCTTTGCAATTTACGCGTTGCAATCAAGTGGTCCTTGAGTCACTTGTCCCACGTGCTATACTTTATGCGTTCTAAAATCCAAATTAAACTTTGATGTAGTTATTTTCTAGTGGCGGGCTCTTCTTATGAGAAACAATATCTATCCTGAGATATGTTTTCGTATTAAAGATCAGCTCTTCTTGCCATTAAGCGCTGGATGGGCCATCCAACGATAGCAAGAGAAGAGATCAACATAAGAGAGCCCACAAATAGAATAGCTGGCTCATATTTGTTCAGGCCATAACTGCCAAGTGACAAAGACCTCGTCAATAGACCAGCTGAGATGGGACCAGTGACGATGTTTCCGATGCCTTTGCCGAGTGCCATGAGGGAATACACAGGCTGCGGATCCTCGGACAGCATGGTGCCAAACTTGGGCCAGAAGACCACGTACGCGCCGGCAGTGATTCCCCAGACGATTGAGAAGATAACCAAGGTTGCCAGATGGTGACAGAAACCCCACAAGAGGAAGGCAGAGAGGGAAGCACCAAGGGTAGAAATACAGACGAGGATGTGGATGTTGCTGCAGCGGTCTGTCAGATGACCAAAACCAATTTGCCCAAATATGGTAGCAAGGTTATTTGCGGCGAGAATCATTGCACCGATGGTTCCGGACATGCCCATATCCGATGCATACGATGGGAGGTACAGGGGAGGGAAGTAGTATGCTAAACCCTGGCAGATATTTGATACCGTGAAAACCCAGAACAGCGGATTCTTCAAGAACCTAAGATCAAGGGCTTGTAATTCGGCATGGTGCGAAGAAGGTAAACGCGGCCTCAGAAAGAAGAGTGAAGGTGCAACCAAAACGGACTGTGCGATGCAGACAATTCGCAGAGTTGTTTTGTGTCCATAGCTGCCCAGTAACCACTCGAGAAGGAAGGGCAATCCAACGCCGCTAAAGCCACCTCCGGCGTAAAGGACACCGTAAGCGAATCCACGACGTTTGATGAACCATTCGTTGAGCATGAACAGAAGTGGCATATAAAGCATTAAAAAGCCAAATCCGTAAAGTGCACCCTGTGTGGCGATAAGAGCCGGGATCGAGTTGACGAAAGACGCGATCAGAACAGATAGAACACAAATAGTAGATCCAATGACCACCATGTGACGCTGGAAGCGACGGAATCTCTTCACAATTGGAGCTGCAATTGGAGCGCCGAGAAAATAGAGACTGGTAGCAACGGTGCCAATAACAGGGATGTTGCTATCGCCTTCAAAGTCGGGTTGTCGGGAGTAGTAATCTTGGAAGACCCCAAAACTGACCGGGAAACCTGGAAATAGCGAAAAAGAAGGCCAGTTAGTTTGCATCCCCTCAATTCGACCGCAAACACAACAGGGAATATGAGAATCGGCATACCCCAAAGAAGAGCCTCAACCACAAAACACGCTATCAAGTACTTCCATGCTTCCGGCCCATTGTCAGTAGGGGGCAGGGGCGGAAGGAGTTGGCCTTGGTCAGACTCCTCTGCTCGGTTTTCGCAGTCATAAGTAGCGCCCCGGGTATCCTTCTCAGATGCCATTTCTTCTGTTCAACTTGGGGGCAACAGAGCTTCCTAGAGTGGACAGAAAGAGAAAACTGAGGATATTTAAGTGATGGAAAAACAGACTTCTGGGGCGTATTCCTTTTGTATGAAACTCACAGGGCTATAATAACCTATCTCAAGCCTCCACTATCCCCCCGGGAGTAATGTCAGAAAGATTACTCGGTATGGTCAAGACAGCCTTCCGGCCCGGGAGCATGATCCGGCCTTGCGAGGATGTTCATATTAATAATGTATAGTGTCCGAACGCGGGCAATTGGATCGATGAGCCAAGTAGATGGAGATTTGGTGGGGAGAAGAGGGCTCATTACGTTATTCATTCTTGAGCAACTCCACTGAGGAAGTTGCCGATCAAGTGACCGGAGAACACCAGGAGGTGACATAATTAAAAATCCAAGTCAACACGATATCCTCCCTACCGGTGTATTAGATTTAATGTCACCCCTTGGCGGTTGCTCACACACAAACCTTGGATTGGTCTAAAAGTCTAGATCCACCAGCAAATCGCAACACTTGCCGGCAGCACGATGAGAACAGATCTCCGAAGAGCTACCTCTTTAGTCCAGCGCCGCTAACTGGCCACTTGCGGTCAAATTTTCTCCACCCAATACGGTACAGCAGCTGCTCCTATCATCGTTTTTGTTTGACACTTTATAAATAGCACGAAACCAGGCCAATGAGACCTTCATCCGCTTTAGACGACTGATTTGTCTCGCTTCTTCTAGAAGCCTGTACAGAATGACAAGAGGTAACATTTTAACTGATCTTTAGTTGCTTGAATCTTGCTGTTTGCTGGTGACTTATTGAGCCTAGCATAATTTCTTACATTGAACAAAGTTCCCAAACCCAGTATTCAAGTTAAATGGCTGCCAGCGAAGCAAACCAGGACTCGAAGAGAGCAATTTGATCATCACTTGCAATGATCTTGGGCCCCCAACCGTCACCAAGCTCCTGAGTTGTGGTTGTACTGGCATTGATATTGTCCCAGTAAATCAAACCATCGCCATTGGGGTTGCCGTATTTGATAAAGTCAACCCAGTAGTTGCTCATCTTTTCAGCAATCTCATAGTCCTCTTCCTCTCATTCACCGTAGTACACATTGTAGAGATTGTACTGCGTATACTGAATCTCCGTCATGTGGGCAGCACCGTCGTTTTGTCCTGGAGGAGCATGATCCCAAAGATACGTCCACACCGGGCTAGTTCTGTTGCTCAGCCAATAGTTGGCCCAAAACTGCGTGCCAACCGTGGAACGATCCGTGTACTGTGTATTCTGAGCAGCGAAAGCCGTGAAAGAGTCGCTGGCCTGGTAAGCTTCGAAGAATCTGTCCGCAAAGCTTGCGAAAGTGCTATTCACGCTCGAGAGGTATGTCGCGAGTGTGATATTTAACTCATAAGAAGCGCCGCTTTCGTCCCTTGTACTTCCGGTTATTATGGGAACGTCGTGAGATAGACCAAGCTTCAGCGTGCTCAGGTAAGTATCAGGCATGCAGTAATAGTCGAGAGTTCCCTTGAATGATGTGCGAGATGTACCTCCAAACTCAGAAGTATCGAGGGTCTCCATCGGTAAGGAGCGCATGCAGCTAATCGTGGAACAGTTGACACTTTCCAAAAAGGAGATCACGTATTCTTCGGCAACGTTGTAGGTCTGGTAGCCTTCAGCCAGCTCGACAGCGGATGGATCATGAGGATCGCGAAGACCACTTTGGATGATGGCGCCGACAATCTTGCCTTTGGTCAAGGGACTGTTTAGAATGTGATAGGTCGCAGCGGAACCAGCCGATTGACCCATAAGTGGTGAGCGGCCAAGTAACCTAAAATGCTCATCAAGCTTGGACCAGCAGTTGTTCATAGGGGTTTGAAGGTATCGTCGGTGGTCATTATCGGGATCCCAATTTGTAATATTATACCTGCATATTTGTCTAAAATATGCTAAGGCAGGTACTTCTCTCGTCCGTAGCCTTGCTCGATCCGCTAGGTGCTTCGTTCTGAGAAACTGTTAGTAAAGCAAAACTGAAACGAACGCATAAGGATGGACATGTTTGACGACAGCGGAGGGGGTATGTGGCTCTCCGGCGCTATGACTACCAGCACTTGACATACCTAACTGTAGATACTTGTTAGAACGGATTATAAGAAATCAAAAGAAGTATACATTAGTAAACCGAGGCATTATAGAATTTATACGGATGATTAGAAAATAAGAGTTGGTTGGATGCATGGAGAGAGAAGGGCAAAAGCAATCGATTTATCCGCGTTTATTGTTCTTGGACAGTTCTACATATTGATTTTACAGCTCAATTGTGACGAGAATAAGAATTTGATTCTGACTGCAAAACTATAACATGTATATTTCAACTTTCTGCACCAAGTGCAAGAAGAAATGCATCCCAGCTTATACTGCTACGACTGTCATCAGCGACCTTGTCGGGGTTGCTTACTTTGTGGTCGGAGCTACGGATCGAATGCGGAGTTTCGGACTGTAGCTCCGTCCCGATGCTCCAGAATCTCTCGTTCCGAAACTCCTGATCAACTCTTGTATCGATGATAGAGCATTCGAAATCAATCGACTATCAATGATTCGAAATCAGTGAACTTGCCAAATCGAGCTATATAAACTTTTGATTCCTCAGGCCAAATCTTTGCCTTTTCCAATTCATCATCCCATCTAACCAAACCCTCATACATTCTTACCCCGCTTCCTAAACAAATTTTCAAGATGGCAGCAACAGCGGATAAGTCAAAGCCATACATCCCTCTTGCTAGTCTCGCTCGAGATGGCTGGTCAACAGATGAGGAAGCCACCGCTACTTGCTTTTGTGGTGCCGTGCAGCTAGTCTTTGTGAGGCTCCAAACCTTCCTATTTTATCCCCTCTTATCACTTGTCAAGATCTCCATCAATATACATGCTAACAATACTTAAAGCCAACTCAAGGTCCTGGCTTGCTAAACACATTCGTTTGCAATTGTACCGATTGCCGCAAAATCACCGCGTCCATGTTTGCTTCCAACTTTACAGTTGCGAACACGCACTTGAAGCATGCCCGAGGCAAAGAGAATCTGAAAGAGTTCTCTCAGTCAGATACGATACTGAGAAAGGAGTCAATGACAAATCACTTTTGCTCTACTTGCGGAACACTGATGTATCGGACCGGTTCGGCCTGGCCTGGAGCGAGCATTCTCCGCATTGGCACGGTTGATGACTTTAACCTACATGAAACAAAGTTGAGGCCACAGCACGAGATCTTTGTAAAGGATAGGGTCTCTTGGGTTAGCGGAGTGGAAGGGGCTAAGCAGGTGGAGGGATTACCTTCTAAACTATGAGCGCTTAGCTACGGGTGTTATGATTCTGCCAATGTATTTTGGTCGATTCCTTGTTGCACCATGTATCACTTGAATATGGCCCATCGCACTCGAGGCTTGGTGCGTAATTTATATGACGGCTGATCGTCTATTGGATGAAATGCGACAATGGTTCGCTAGCAAGTATCACAGATTTAAAATGCGGGAACGGGAGTAATTCCATTCATTGAGTTTGTCCTCGACAGTAATTTAACAAGACCATGGCTCGATAACGAATATTTTACCAGCTATAATTCATTTCAGATCACGCCGCCCAAGACATAACACCTCTGTGAGAACCACTAACACTCGGATTGTGACACTTCAATGCAAAGTAATAAAGCTCCACGGAATTAGAGGTCATAATGGCGGTTGCATGGTTTCCAAAAGGGCCACTTATCTATTTCCCACCTTTCTATGCTTCCGTTGCCCCTTCACAAGGACCAGTATACTCTTCACCTGCAACCCAGACCCGTTTGACATTCCGAGTAGCTTTAATGTCGGCAATTGGATCCCTCTCAATCAAAACCAAGTCTGCTCTCTTTCCCGGCTCAATAACTCCGCGGTCATTCAAGCTCCAGTGCTTAGCCGGCAACACCGTCGCCGACCGAAGCACCTCTAGACTTGTCATACCCGCCTCCATCATGAGCTCTAGCTCGTCATGGAATGACTTCCCAAAAGAAACCACGGCGGCGATCTCGTGATTAGCATCCGTGCCTGCAATGATCGGGACTCCAGCCTCGTGGTATATCCGGAGCGATTCACGAGCCGACTCGTAGCTCGTTTGTCCAGGCAGATTTAGCCCGGCGAAGGCCTTCATCACCGACAAGGTGGGCACGACAATCTGGCCACGATACAGGACCTGTTGGGCCAGATCTGCGGTAATCGGCTTGTCAAGAGGGGTGTGATGGATCTGGTCGGCGCCGGATTGCATGGCTTGAGCATGAGAGTTGGCATCAGCCGCGTGACACACGACCTGCTTGCCGTGCCCATGAGAGGCTGCAACTAGTGCGTTCAGACTCTCTTGTGAGGGACCGGGCGTTTGTGCGATCAATTTAATGAAATCAGGTTGCCATGAAACTTGCTCGTCGACCCAACGGGTAACATCGTCCTCTCCTTGTACCAGTAGGTTTGGTATTGAGATCATGTTCTGGATCATGTCCCCGTGCGTGCTTCCAGGAGCAGCGGCTGGGGCACCCGCAGAGTAGACGTCAACGAGACCGGGGAGCTTCTGGAAAGAGTGGACATGTTCTTTGGAGAAGCATGCCAGCTGGAAAGCGGTGGTGATGCCATGGCTGGTCAAAGACTGTAGGTCCGCAATCTTTCGCGGATGGGAATGGGACTCGATAAAGCCAGGAAGGAGCACACCTCCTTGGCCGTCGATTCGGTCACTTATTCCTGAATCGTCGTCGCCAATCATGTTGCCATCAATTATCACGGTAGAGAGGGGTCTTATTACATCCCCGTCGAACACCTTGACATTGTCAATTGCGATCTTGCGATTAGTAGATCCAGAGTAACCCTCAGGCATTGTGCCAGAGCCAGAAAGTGGCCGTCTTGATACTAAGTAATAAAGTGATGCTGATGCGATACTAGTCGAGCAGACTTTCAAGGGAACAGGGAAAGAATAGGTTGAGTAGGATAAGACCAGACTTGCAGTTCTGAAGAATCAAGAAGATACACATCAAGCTGCCCTTAAATAGTAATACCTCGGACACTCCGGGCGACATATGGATACACCGTACTAAATTGAGTAAAAATCGATACATGGCGTCCCAGCTAACCTCAATTGAATCCTTTCTGAAGATAACAAGACGCATCCGAGGAGGGTGATGCCATGATGCAACCAAGATCATCCGCCCGATGGAGCCTTCCAGCTCTCCCCGCGTTGGAAAGCTACAGAACATTGGCTGAGGCTGTGGAGCCGATCGCAGCACTAACTGAAAGGCGTAAGAAGCGCGATTGAGATGGGGTTATCGGTTTGCTTGTCCCGTGATGGATGGATCTTCTGCCATGATGCCTGCATCATTTTCTAATACCATATCGCGCAGGTGGAGCCTAATTTACGCGGATACATTATTGTTTGTCGACGTGAGTTGGCAAGGTCTACATCCTACAATCACAAATTCTCAGTCGGTTATCAATACCCCCCTCCTTGGCCAGTATCCGAACAAAGAAGCGGGCCAGAACGAGGGAAGAGATAAACCCGAACGGATCCCCATCAATAATCTTGCCCACGCCTGGGAAGATAGTATCCAATAATCGTACTTTCAAAGATCACACTAACCGACCGGCTTTAATGTCATGGGAGAGCGTGAGGGCTACGCATCCCTTGCCTTCCCTCGCCTCCTGGGTCTTCTATATGGTCCATCCGGATGTGCCACGTGACTTTGATGGCTGTGTATTTAGCACCGGGCTTAACGATGGCCACAGCTTGGGCAGAGGCGGTAGCTTTAGGTACGAGTTCTTCTTCCTGCCGGGTGCTACAGCTGAGGAATGCTATACGTACTTTCGCGTTCAGAACGGATGAAGGCCCGAGACGAGTATAATGAGTCAGAGCTTTTCGGTTGGATGGAAATGAGAAAGATAGGCTCGCACTGGGAGCAGGAGGCCGATATTGCCACGTGTAAAGCTCTGGAGGTGGGCTGGGAGTCTTGGTAATGCTCGTGATACAACTTTTGATTTTAACTTCCAATATTATCCTGTCGCCATTTTCCCTTCTTGCTCCTTATAGAATAAGTGACTTAGAACGGCCCCGTTGAGCCGAGCTCAGCGTCCCGGAAACTTTGATGATTGCTCGGGATTCAAATGTCTGGGTGTAGAGGGTTTGCGGCATTGTGCTTGGTCAATGTCTGTGACAAGTTCAGATTTAGTGCTTGAATATACCCCCATTGCCAGTACATTATCTAGTCATTTCTTGTCATCTCAAGTACTCCCAATCTCCGTCCTGTAACTGGCTGTTGCCGCTGTCGGCCAATCTCCTGCTTTGGACACCATAATGGGATATCTTATGTATTATCTCTCTAAGCCAGTAAGCTTCCCTTGTACACTTGGTCTGCCTGAGGGAAGTGAGACCGAATACTTACATTGCGATGCGCTCTACATACTTACGTATTACCTTTCTCATTCAGGGCGCTGGGGTTATTTTCTTGGAAGAAGAAGATTGTTTTTCTTCCATTAGCCCCCTCATGAGCTAGGACCAAATGCCCAGGCTGACTGCCAATACCTATGGCCAGTTCGTTCCAAAGGTCGCTTTGAGATCACCCGCTGTCTTTTTAGTTCGAAATTCGATGTAACGAGGGCATCAAATGACGGGTACTATTTGGAATCGCTTCATGATTTGTGCTCTCGACTGGAGTGCAGCGCCAATGCCCCATACCTGGCCAAGCTTGAGCAGGCAGTCTAAGGTCCATAATCGCTGCTGCTTCGGGAGGAAAGGAACTTCATTGACGATGTGAATAAATCGCGTCGTAAAGTATGCTCCCAAGGCTTGACCTCTTTGGCCAAGCAATGGGCGCCCTTCGGGGTCAACCTCCCCTATCATGAAGGGCACAGTGGAGCAGATCGAGTCTGCAGCCGACTGCATGCCAAAGTTGATGGCTTCCCGGGATAAAGGTGAGTTATACCACATTCCCGTCCGGGATACCAGATCGAGGCCTTCATTGATTGCCCCTAAAAGCTGGATACGGCTAGTCCAGTACACTGACCATCGACACCCGTCTTGAATCCCGGGAAAGGTGTATAGCTTGCTCATAAATCTCAGTTCAGGGGATATTTCGCCTGACGTAAGTTCAACCGGTCGGGGCATTTGCTCCGGTGGAAGGGTCGACGGCCATGCTGCGAGCTCTCTTTCAGTTTCAAAGGCCATATCAAGAGCTCTCGTGAGTTCAATTAGGGAGGATGAACTGTACAGCCCGTCCGTGTTCAACTTGGCCAGCCGCTTCATGTCTCGACAGAACTTGGACACATTGCCGTACATGTGATTTAAACCCGATTGAAGTGGTCTTTGAGGTCCATTGGCTAGGTCGAGCGCGTCCAAGCCATCAGCGCAAGATTTGCCACCATCCATACTTCGTACTTGCAATCGGGCATGTATTGTCCACAACAAGCCAGCCTCTGGCTCACTTTGAGGCTTCCTTGGGGCTCTCACTCGCAAGAGTTGGACCAGACCCGTTTCGTGCGGCTTCATAGCATTCACGTTACCACTCAATGCCTAGGGTTCGAGTCAACGAAAGCTACAAACAGAATAGTGGTAGTGCTAAACCAACCTCTCGCTTCTGAATTAAGAAAACAGCTGCTAGTATCGCAGCGTCATCCTGGCCAGAACACGATTGAAGCGCCGCGCCCATGGACCTCAAGGCTATGCTATAGAGTTGGTCGGCCTTGAAATGAAGAATGCTGGTGCTTGAGACATTTGCGAGGCTCGTCATGGCCACGGCATTCAATGAGTCTCGCAGACAGATATTGTTCGTCTGGGTCGATAGTAGGTCTGGGAGGAACTGGAGATAGCCCAATCCATCGGGACTGGGGGTGTAAACAAAGTTCTTGAAGAAGTACCCCATGGCGTGCTGGAGCCAGTCTATAGAGGGCTGGATATTGAAGTGTCCCTCCAGCGGTCGCTGCTCAGAGTTGGCGGCTGCATGTTTTGGCAGGGTAGTCCGAGATGCTTGGCTGGGAAAGTCCACATTCATGGACAAAAAGTTACTAATTTCCGGAAATCCGGGGCATTTTCTCCTGCCCTTGATACAACGGCGGCACTGGGGATTCTGTTCGTCACACTACTCGGTCGACTCTTTTTGTCAGCTCGGTCCTGAATTTCAGTTGAGTAGATGCCGCACCTTAACCTTCATCCGCCGACAAGCGTGACACCCCCTGCTATATTTCGGTCTGGGGGCCATTTTCAGCCCTGGAACTTTAACAAGGTCATTTATTGACGGACTCCATGATCAGACGACGTGGTGAAATTGATGACCAGTAAGACAAGACGGTGAAACAATGGGAAATGACTTCTAGGCTTGATTAGTCAGTGGCCTGCTCCGGCATCATCAATCCTGGATTCCAAAAATAGTACCTACCATATAGGTATCCTACATAGACCCAAGATACTGTCACGAAATGAAGAGTATCATCTGATGCACAGGGGCTCTAGAAGATGTCCAAGACGACATTGATAGACGTGAATGTGAAAATTCTAATTTGAAATATGTTTGCTTTCATTTCAAGTTGCCCTATAGGATTTCTTTCTTCATACCGTTCAAAACCAAAGACAGACTAAAGAGTTCTATGCCTTAAAAATGAAAACTTTGCAAATCAAAGAAAGATTTCGACTATCCGAGAAAATTCCACTATATTTGTTCCTTATTTGAACAAAAATATCATATCCTCGAGTTCAGTGCCTAGATGCTTAGGAACGCACCCCATCCCTTGTTTGCAATGAGGAGCTACCTGGTAACATTCCATTGGCTAAGTCCATTAACTCCGGGACAACAGAAGATCGTCAACAATCCCCTATTCTGCTAAGCGTGTGCGTAGTGATCAAGATTCTGGGCCGAGTAGCCGAGCAGCCCCTGTCGAGTCCAAGAAGAAGTTGTGCGGCAATAGAATCGGCCTTCTCGCGCGTGTCATTATCACCTCTAAATGCTCAAGATACGGAAATCGCGATAGAGAATGCCTCGGAAACCCAGCAACGATGCTGCATGCTGGACATGTCGGCTTCGTCGGAAGAGATGCGATAGGGCAATTCCAAAATGTGGAAGCTGTCTCAACTTGGCAATTCAATGCCACAGGAGCTCCCAGAAGCCTGAATGGATGGACGGTGGACCACGTCAGAAGGCCATGGGTGAAAAAATCAAGAAGTTGATTAGAGCTGGTGCAAACGCTAGACGCGCGAAGGGCGACCTACCGTTTCATGTCACTTCACAGCAAGACTACAGTTCTCGACCTGGCGTGTTGCAGGTCGCTTCATTACCTGAGCCTGATGCAGTTGGAGATCAATCGAGATCATCTGGCCAGCAGGTATCAAGAACAGGTTCGTCGTCGGCATCCCCAAATACGGGCTTCTCACACATCTCGCCTGGATTTGAGGAGCACCTGGAAAGTATCCATCCAGAGGAACGGTTGGCGGCGCTGGGCCCAGCTTGGGAGCAAGACTTCACCATGATATTCATCGATTTTGTCTTCCCGCTGTTGTTCCCATTCTACCGACCACCTGCCGTGGCAACTAGCAGGGCCTGGTTGTTGTCCTTTGTCAAACAAAACAGGGCCACAACTCACGCTGTACTGAGCTTGAGCTCATTCTTTTTCACATTTGGGCTGGCAGATGTCTTCCCCGGGAAACATGACGCATGTAGGTATACCATGTGGGGGCAAGTAGTTGACCAGGCTCGTATGGCGTTCGGAATGCTAAACGTGGACTTGGCCTCGATGACGGAGGGTGGACGCCAGGCAACACTACTAGGGAGGGCACGGATGATGGCAACTATCGTCCATCTGATGATATTTGACCTCTTCGTGGGGCGGACATCGGATTGGGAGGTTCATCTTGCGCCTGCACTGCTAATTTTTGAGGATATTGCCATCGATGTGGGACTGGGATCCAATGAGGGGGTTGGAATGTCCGTTATTCTAGAGGCTATGAGCTGGCCCCGACCATATTTCCCTGGCTTCCAGCTTCAGCTCTGGAACCCGGACCAGGCAAACTTTCGATTCTTTTCAGCGCTGCTTATTGTGATTGATATCTTAGCCAGCACGTCACTCCGAAGAGAACCGTGTCTAAGCCATCTTCACAATAAGTTGTTAGGAAATGTGCCCCCTGAAGAGATAAACCAGGCTTTGGACCTCTTTTCTTTCGTTGGCTGCCAAAATTGGGTTCTCCTTGCCATTGGAGAAATCGCCGGTTTGGATGCCAGAAAGAGGGCCGACGTAATGAACCGCAACTTTGATCAAAAGGAATTTGACTTGCGAGCAAGGAGAATCCTCAAGACACTAGAATCCGGAATTGTATCTATCAATGACGGCCTACAATCGATCCCTATATGCGGTTCCTCCTTGTGGTATCAGCCTGGACATGGCCCCTGTGAGGGAATTCGATCTCTTGTGCCAACAAAAATATACGCCCATGCTGCGCAAATTTACCTTCAAACAGTTATTCAAGGTCCCAACTTGAAGGCCAGTTCAATAAATTGGCACACGAATTCAATCGCACAGTTGTTGCGAGAATTGCCCGACCCGAGCCAAATACGCACACTTTCTTGGCCAATTTGCATTGCGGGGTGCTTTTCTTGGGTTGAGGAAGAACAAACATGCTTCCAAAACAGTCTTGCTTCTGTGGGAGACATTCAATCGCGGAGCGCAGCTCTGGAGGCGAGAAATATTATGAAGAAAGTATGGAGTTGCCGAGATAGCGAGGGATCTTATAGGTGGGACGCCGCCGCATGTCTTGGGGCTATGGGTTATCCAGCGCTTCTTTTCTAAGACTTTCTGTTCAAAGAGAAAAATAGTGTCCAGTTTGAGTTTTTTTTTTTTGGAATACAAAAAACCTATGCGGATCAAATATGGCTACTGATCACTATTCTGACGTAGGTGATGTATCAGGCATTCTTCCAAGGAGCCATCAACTCTGCCACGGTATGTGTCTTGATATGAGGGAATATTTTGTTCAGGCTCTTTTCATGAGGCATGTAACATATTCCATAAACGTGATAGAGACCAAACAGTGAAAATCTTCGCTGAAGCGCCGGCTTAGGAAATCGCTTGTAACTTGCTTGATGGATAGGCAACTCGGTCATCTCTCCCCGCTCCAGTTTCTCGATTGGGTCGTATGCGACGTTGAATTTGTGACCTAATTGCCATGGTCAGCATTTTATGAACAGTGAATGACATTGAGGCACTGATCACAGGGAGAGTAGTGAAAGCCATACCAACAGTCTCTTCTGCGATACTGAGGATCTCGTTGTGCGTGATATTGTCGCTATAGCAATACATTTCTGTCTCCCAATTCTCAAGACCTAACGCGGCCTCAACAAAGCGAGCTATGTCAAAGCTATAGGTGAATGACACAACATCGTTGCCTGAGCCAGGAATAGCTGCAGCTCGATTAGCCATGTCGATATGAATGCCATACACACCCATATGGCTACGGATGTGCGGCGTTCCGACTTGATCAATGATGGTGCCATTGTATACAGTTGTGAATTTGAGGTCGGTTGATCGAAGCCTCTGGATGGTTTGATGTCGGATAGGCAAGTACGGAAGATAGTATTTACTAGTGGAGAGTATCAGCAGTGGTAGCCTTGGAGAGTTGACTTTCTAATGTCCCTGTCCGGAATACGTACGGGTCATTGATCGGCATCGACCAGTCACTTGAGATGAAGCGGCGCGTGGTTGAACACCCATTCGCAGCGTGAACAAGCGCGATTTCAGCTTCTCCAGACTCGACATTGTTTACCTGTAGGGCAGAAATGATAGTGTTGACCTTATAGCTCTCAAGCACGTCCTGCAGCTCTTGGGGCCTTGAGTAGTCTACTGCAACGACCTTCAAAGCTGAGTTGGGTAGGTCTTGCGCCTGTGGGATTCATGTTAATACCACAACCGTAAGGCACATCTCAATGTAAGGTAGGATTGGCTAAAATACGCAAACACACCTTGCGGGAAAGAACAATGATAGAGTATTCTGGGTTCTCCTGTAGAGTTTCGGCAATGGTAAGGCCAAGTTTGCCAGTACCGCCTGCTACAGCGATTGTTTCCATGTTTGGTAACGTCTGGTCTTTGACTGACTTGAAATTGCCAATACTTATGTAGATAATGATGGGGAGAAGAAGAAGAGACCTAGATTTTGGGTGTGAAGAGAACGATCGAGCTCGTATTTATAGCCAACTGGCGGCCATCAACAAGCTCAGGGCTCTTCTTCCTGTGGGTTTGGCTGCTGACACCGGTCCTAATTGGGAAATGGGCGCGCGCTCAACCCAGAAGCAGTATTCCGCCTTGAAGAAGGTCATATGGTTGGAATAAGGGTGTCCGCCCTGAGAAAGAAAGCTGTCCGTCCCAGTCATTTACCTAATTATAAATGTATTCAGATCACATCACATGTTAGCTCGCTGGGCTTGGCAAATCTGTGGCGGGTAAGTCGGCAGCCACGACAATTGGCACACTCGATGAGCCTGACACTCGCTGAGATATCCTTGGCCATGATATTTGTCTCTGCATCGAAAGTACAATTACTTGGCCAAGAAGTGAGAGTATGGCAATCTATGATCTATGATTGGGAAGCTTGACCTTCCATTAGGTTTATCCTACCACGCCCTCCACTCGTGTTGGCTTGTTTCCCAAAGAGTGCGTCAACATTAGGCAACTTTCCCCCAAATCATGTGATGCATGAAGACAAGATTGTTTTGGGAGGTTTGATATGAGAAACAAAAGAGAATATATCATCAAGAGGATAGACGAGTATAGCTTTGATCTCTACATGGACCTTGCCCCCACAGAAAGAAAACAAAACAAAATAAATTGGAGTGCAAAACAAACATTAAATTTCAGTAAAGAGAGTCATACAGAAGAAAGAGCAAAAACAGCTTAACATGATTTCTTTTTGCTATTACCCTTAAATGCAGCTAGTTTTGAGCTCCGGGGAAAGCATGTCGTTGATACTGTTGAGGTGTCCCCTTTTCATTATGTTCCATCATTTATCAGCCTCAAGATTCACAGACAAATAGGAAGACCTGACCGAAAATGACACAGGAAATGACCATAGATTTATCCCTAAGTCAACTTGCGCCTGATCCCGGTTGCTTGCCCCCTGTTTTCTTCGCGTTCCCTTTGCCGTAACCCTGATACGCATGAGTTCGAGTCCAGAGTAGAGACATAAATGGAAGATATCAGACTCGATATCTCAACGAAATTACGAGCTGATTCTGATATTTGGCAGACAATGCTGCGTCGTTTGAATCACCGCGTCGGCTTCGGGTTGTTCAAGGTATCTGGCACCGCTTGAGTTCTCCTTTCGTTCTCCTGATTATCCGAACCGCCGACGATCGGTTGGGCAGTCTCTCTGCGCCACGGCCAATATCCACCCATCACCTGTTTATTGTAGACGGTGTTGAAATTAGCACTTGGCCGTGATCGATTAGCCAGATAAACTTGCTTGCCATCCCAATCAAAAGCCTTCATGACACTAATAGTATCAGCTTGAAGCCAGCTGAATTCAAAATTGATGATAGCCCAAGGTTTCTTGGAAACCACAACCAATGTAGCGTCCCATTCATATTCGTCCTTGATTGTTTCCAGCAAGCGAATCGTTCGCGTATGTCTCCAACAAGGGCCGCAGCCAATGGATCTTGGTTTTGTCCAATCGTCCAATTTGATGAACTCCGTCCCCATAGAGACCTTACTCGCCGACAAGTCGAGACCAGTGCGCATCAAACGCGGTATGTTACTCGCTTTGACCTCCACCACTGCACGCCAATCTGGTGAAGTCTTCTTCCCGAATATCCCTTTCCAATTGGAATTGGACTGAGGACTGAATCTTATAATCAAATTGGGTTCGGAATTTTTCCATTTCCGGCCTTTTGGACGTCGTATATCCCAAGCAAAGTCAATCATGCGTATCACTCGTTCTGCGTTTCGATCCTCATTGTAGCTTGGTGGACGTGTCGCCTGGTCACCATCGTGGCTTGGGTTTAAATCAAAGCTTATTAGTGGCATAACGAGTGATGAAGGTATTGATACCTTGGGTTTTCGGCAGCGTGTCTTCAAGTTGCGTTCTGGCGGGTTGCTGAAGATGCGTGCTGTCACGATGGGAGCGATGGACCATTTTGACGATCCATACTGGTATTTATACCTCGTCCCTGCGAGTGAGTCTATGTGCACTTCACGTAAAAGTCATGGTGGACTGAACTCTCCTTTGCCCGGCAGTAGCCTTTGCGCTTTCCAGCCTACTAATTGCCCAAGTGTGCGTTACAAAGCTAGTAAAGCGATATGTACGGGTAAAGCCTGACCACAGAGTACTCTCTGTGAAGCTGCCTGGACCAAGAGCCACGGACACTTGATTTACAACAATTTCAATCGTCAGCAAACACCCTTGAGCGAGTGCTGAGAGGTATGGGCGTGAGAACTCAGACGGATTAAGCCCGCTTAGTGGAAATGGAAATAATGATAAAGTTACAGAGCCAAAAGTGTACTGCGCCACCATGACTCCTAAGCAGGATAGTAAACTTGACCGCTTGATACATGCAGATCCTCCTCACTGTTAGCACAAATGATAATACACAATCATGTGTTGGTAGTTGCAACATGCCGCTCTCGATGCGTACAACTGACAGCATGCCAGCTTGCAAAAGTGGTCGCTGACACTGCTCATCACCTGAGTATGAAGATTTCCAAAGCTTTGCCACTAGTGGGAGTTTTGGACGCCCCATGACTATGGTGAAGACTAAAGAAGGTATGCCCTCTAAGTTCATCTATGTGGGCGACTAAGGCAGGCGAGTACTGAGGGGTAGTGACGAGAGTCAGGGGGAAGCGGCAGTGTCCGTTGTCTGAAATTCTTCTCGATATCTCCTCCGTGTCCCAGATGGAGAAAGGCGAACCACGTCGATTGAGGCCACAGACAATATATTTGAGGGTGCTCTTTAGGGAAACGTGTCCCATTTCATCGGCATAGGGAGGTGGCCCGTAGATGATATCTACTAGCTCTTTATTGGACGCCGCCATCCTCGGAGTCACAGAGCGATGGCGAAAGGTACCAAGGTAACATAGGCAGCTTGGGTGTGGATGGTAACGTGTCAGCCATTCACTCAGCCCCTGCGGAGATGATGCTATAACTGGCCGCTCAATGAGACGGTCTGACGTTGGTTTGCTGATTTGACGTCGAAACATTTATCTAATCAAGACACGAAAGTAAATTTCCGGGAAAGAAGAAATCTTGTCTTCTTAGCTGCGTTCTCAAGCCAGGCACCTAAGTCTGCTTATATATATTTAGGCAGCATGTTATGTATATTAGGAACGAGAGAAAATCACGCCGCCACCTCATTGTGATATTGAGAAAAATATTTCTTTTTTAACAAATACAACAAGTAATCGTAGTAGCTGATTAGCCTATACTAGGTAAGAAGAACGTCATCTTAACGCTTCCAGGCCTTATGGATGCTTTTTCGAAGTACAACGTTCCTGTCATGGTTATTGGGGCTTATTAATTGGCCATCATCAGAAGGAATCCTCAAAAAGGCGTATGGCTACGTCAAGACAGAGCAACATTCCTTGAGAGCGTTGTTGCTTTGCATGATGGATCCAGAGGGTAGGCTTCCCCCCACACAGCATTTGTAGCACCGAACGGGACAGTCAACGACAGCATGCGGTATTATCAGAACCTCGATCTCTATCTCGTGGACAAATGATAGGAAGGTGGATTTAGCATGGGCCAAGGTCCAGCCCGACGGGGAAAGGGCTAAACTTGGGTTTCGGGACGTACAGCACGACTGTATCGGTTGAATTTAGAATCTCCTTCTTGAGAAGTGGTGATGGCCGCGCGTCAACTTCTCGATTGGTATTACACGCTTGACTAGGGTCGCCCAATAAACACTCTACGGGGTAGGCGGAATAGGAAAGTGACCACAACTGACTTCCCATTGTGTCAGGTGAGAGTTCTCTAGCGGGGCACCTCTCGAGCAAGGGGGCGGGTCTTGATACTACGATACACTTAAGAGCGTACTTTCTTCTTGGGAGGTCCAAGGTACGGGTAGATATAAGAAACACAAGTATTTTTGATCCAGACCAATTGTACTAGGCCTTCAAATCCTATAGTGAATTGCAATCATGATGTTGATATTTTCGTTCTCAAGAATCAGAACTCTATAGTAACTATCCATCATTTACATATCTAGTACCTCGTGGAGGCCTCTCAGTACCCCCCTAAGAAGGCTTCTCTATTTTACCGTGGTTCTATGTTACCATCAATTACTATTCGGGCCGTCCTACCCTAGCAATTGGAGGAGGGGTACCACGTGTCTAAAGCTTAGCATAGTCGTCACTGGTGGTTTGTAACCACTCGTCGACCAAATTGGCAGCTTACTGGCTACGTGATGGCGGAAACTACGTTGCTCGCTATTGATGAACGGGCCTTCGAGTTAATTTGAGAATATCATGTAGGTATGAAGTTGAACAATGTGTCGTCTGATGCCTAGTTGAAAGGGCAGGTTGCCTCGATAATGGGTGTTAAGTATGTCACATGGGAAAATTCCAAATGACATTTTGACGAGAATAACAGGAAGATGGAGGAGTAGAACCAAATTAAGGAGAAATAAAATGGTTGCCTGTCCCAATTTGTTTGTTCTAGTGCACTTTCTCTTCCATTTTAACGCGACAATCTAGTCCATTGCGGCATCATAAGTCTTGAGAACCTGCGAAATCCTAGTTTATTCATCACTATGCGGTTCATAAATTTTATACTTGGACTTCTGGGGGCCTCGGTGACTGCTTACGCCGCTGCTCTTCCAAGAACCCCAAACGAATTCACTGAGGTCAACCCTGGCGGTTTCGAGGATCTAGTTGTTACAAAGGACAACACCCTCAACGGCACCCGCACTGGAGATGAACTTGTTATCCCTCCTCCATCCAGCAACGTTGATTTTGAATCTATTGGTGTATCCGCTGTCGCAGCATCTTTACCTATGAAGTTTGTCAACAACTATGGCGCTGATCTCGTTGCGTACGTGCAAGGAAAGGACTCGAGTGGCGCTGCAGTCTTCATCCTCTCTGACGGTTCCCTCCTGTACCCTAGCTCTGGCGGTTCAACCACGCCAGTGGAGGTGTCCTCACGTGTGGTGATAAAGGTTGCTGCCGGCCAGACTTTGAGCATGACTATTCCCATCGCCATCAGCTCAGCTCGTGTTTACTTTGCATCGGCTGCCTTGTACTTTGGGGTTGTCTCTACGGGAAGCGGTGATGGCATCGTCCAGCCATCCCACGTCAGCTCGACGGATCCCAGCGCGGGTATCAACTGGGGATTCGTAGAGCTCACACTCAACACGGACGGAAGTCTCTTTGCTAATATTAGCTATGTTGACTTTTTGGGCCTTCCATTGGGAATAGCACTTAGCGTCAAGGGAGGAGACACCCAAACAGCCTATGGCGTTTCCGCAGGCTCTGTTGCTGCTGTCTGCTCTGCGCTCAAGACCCAAGGAAACCGTGATGGTTACCCCTGGGCCGGTCTTTGCCAGACCAACTCTAACAACCCGGTCCGCATCCTATCGCCATATTCCTACTCGGACATCGACTCGAGCGGATTCAGCGCCTATTGGGACTCTTATGTCAACTCAGTTTGGAGCAAGTACACCTCTCAAGACTTGATTCTAAACACCCAGACCTCATATGGGTCCGTTGCGTGCCGCGTTTCAGGCAGCACCCTAACCTGTGCCCAGGATAACCGAAGCTATAATAAGCCGTCTGCTCGCGACATCTGGGGCTGCAACAGCGGTCCATTCGCTATCCAGAGCGGTGATAATGCCGTCCATGTAGCCGTTGTTCCCCGTCTCTGCGCCGCTTTCGTCCGCTCCACCCTACTTCTCTCCGGGGGCAACGTGCAGCCAAGCCTGGGTCAGAGTTACTACTACACCGTCGATCCTACAAACTATTACAGCAAAGCTGTGCACGCCCGTGAGGTCGATGGCAAAGGCTATGCGTTCCCATATGATGATGTCAACCCTGATGGTAATGAAAATGCCTCGGGTACGGTATCTCATGCCACTCCTGATACTCTGACGGTATACGTGGGCAGCCCGCCATAAATCAAGTGTCGCCTTATATCCCCATGTTTTGCTGGATAATACAAAAGGGATAGTAAGGGATTGATTTATCTAGCATCTGGCAACTATCAACACTGCGCACAGCTTGTCTATATTTAGTGCTCAATATAGGGAAATTATTCATTAAACCAAAGTTTAAACGTGGCACTTCCTTTTGAGTTGTTTCCAAGATCCAAGCATAAATCTCTCATTTAGCATTGGGAATTTCATAGTGGCAACCATCACGCGTAGCTTAATTTTGGTAGGATATTCCCTCCAGTCTATGACAAAAAAAAGAGGTCAATATCAGGCCTTTCCTATTGAAGAGATAAGTTCTCCGTCTTTTTTCACCCTGACCCGGAGTTAAGGGTCGGTATCAGGGGACTTAAGAGCGAGTAGTAGTGAGGAGAGATTGGTTACCGCATTTAGACGGCCCGCCACTGCGTCATATATTTAAAAGAACAGTCAGGCAGAGCAACCGTTAAATTCATCTTCCAATCTATTTATCTCAATTTAAACTCCCCCAGATAGTTTGTACAAAATGACATCCTATCTCATCAGCGGCTCTTCTCGTGGACTTGGCCTAGCGATGGCGGCTGAATTGGCAGCGAGGCCAGCATCTGACGTATCCAAGGTTTTCGCTGCTGTCCGCACGGAAACCGATGAGGTAAAGCAACTCGCTGCAGATCACCGCGGACGTGTTGAACTTATTTCAATGGATGCCAATTCAGAGGACTCCATCCGAACCGCGGTTGCGAAGGTTGAGCAATCACTTGGTGAGCAGGGCTTAGATGTGCTTGTCAACGTGGCAGGCATGTCAAGCGTAGCCCTGGGGGGCATCGAGCATATGTAAGCGAGTTAGAATGTTCTTAATTTGGTGATCTCATGCGAAGGTCATTACTGACCCGTTACACGTCAAGGGATGACTTGATGTCCTTGTTCAACGTCAACGTAATGAGCGCACACCAGGTGACACGTGCGTATTTACCGCTGCTGAAGAAAGGCAATACGAAGAAGATTGCAAACATGTAATTCAAGATATCAGAGAGAAATGTGCTATGTTCATTTGCTAACATCAGGAAAGATCAACGACCGCTGGGTCCATTACTATGGCACCTACATTTAGAGAAATTCCGACACCTGCATACAAGATCTCAAAAGCTGCCCTCAACATGCTTACGGTTCAATATGCACTTTCTTTAGAAGATCAAGGATTCACTACCATAGCCGTGTCTCCAGGGGTTAGTTAATCTTTCTTCCTATTTATGGCTATTCATATTGACAAGTGGAAACCAGTGGATTAAAACACCCATCGGTGGTGATAACGCTGACCTCGACGTGGGAACTGCAGCTAGAGCTACCCTCGATGTCATTGTTCGATCAGGTCCAGACTCGAACGGAAAGTTCTTGAATATTCACGTGCCGGGATGGGAAAATTCCCCGGGCCTAAATCAATATGAAGGTGGCCAGCCAGCTTGGTAGACTGAAAATGACTGCTTAATCACGTCCAGGACGGAGAATGTTCGAAATCCATCTGTATCTACATATATGGCTTGATAGGTGTAGATAGACGTCCTTTGCCCCACTAAGGGATTGATTGATCAAGCAAACTTCCTAAAGAATAAGGGGTATCAAACTAATAATACATTGAAATACATTTATTTCCTAGAGAAAACCTCACTAGCCACGGTACGGGACCAAAAGTTAGTCCCGTAAAATGAGTGTCCTTAAGTGAAAACACCCGACAGGACCAGGCTGCCACATTGTCCTGGCACAAATTAACTATTCAACACACTCCTTCTGATGTGATAAAAGAGAGGGCTTCCCCAGCCTGGGTTCGAACCAGGGACCTCGGACGGCGAGCTTGCGTCCTATCTGATAGCCTCATCGAGGGATATAGCGACATTAAACAACAACAAACGAACAAGCAAACCAAATAAACAAGCTGCTCCCATTCTCGACACGTGATATAATTTTCTCTGGAAAGTGTGAACTTCATTGCCAGTTTCTGGAGCTTCTCAAAGCAATCTTTCAGTTCACGATGAGATTGTTTAAGCTGGGCGACTTCATTCTTGAATTCCACCAACCTTGGGTTATCGCCATCATCTTTATTCGAGTTTTTCAAGTCATTCACATCCCTGTTGATGTGTTGTTCCATCAGTTCTTGCCGCTCTGTCAATTTCCTCAGTATGCCTCGAAGGGACTCAGGGTCCTCATGCTGTCTTCGTGAGTATGCTTCTACCCGGTTCAGCCTTACACTTTTGTGAGCCAAAATGGCTCATAAGAGGCTGTTGAATACTGACGACGTTGAACGGACCACCCAGAAGTGAAGGTGTGCAACTACCATCCGCGGTGGATGGGTGACGTGGCTGTACCGTAAGGCACGTGGTCACCCCCAAGGCAGATCCAGGCTGAAGTGAAGTGTGGCGTAACAGTTGCTGAGATGAAAAGACAAGAAACAGAAATAGAAAGCATCAAAGAGGGTGTCCATCAATTTGGTCATACGCCGTAGTGTTCAGCTCCGCTTGAGAGGAATGCTTATATCATCGCCACCACTCTTGGAGCGAATTGATTCTTGTCCATGGGGAATGTGACGAGCTGTCAGCGCAACATTGCTTTCCATGCAATGTGTCTGCCCTAATCCACCCAGTTTTCATGTACATCATACTGCCTTATTCGAGCTGACAAATATAGTTAACCTGTTCATTGGGAACCGAAATTTAGGATTCAGACCTTTATTTCGTCCTGCTACCTCGAGCTTTTTTATTCCAGAAGAATACATGACAAAGTTTGTTCGAAGCGGCTTCCCTAGCCTTTATGAACTCTCAGATATTGTGAGGATTGAAGAGAAGGTCTCTCGCTTCGCCAGAACATCTGCAACCGTACTTAATCATGGTTTTAGTGCCGTGCCATCTATTTTCCTTCATCCTAACCCAGCCTAACGAAAATCTAGCAGCACGGCATGAAGAATTTGCACTCTGGTACAACCTAAACTCACTCTCCCGTTGTAGTTATGCTAAGTATTCATTGTGTTGTGATGTCGGGTCTAGCACCTTCTATTGTTGTTTTCACTACCCTCGAACTGTCTCACATTTGGGTTTGGGAGGAAGGTATCTCCCCTATCTTACTCTCAAAGATTTTACCTCGAGTAGTTTCTTTTTCCCGAACTGCTGGGCACACCCGTCGAAGTAAGCTTATATCTTTGCTAACCTTGGAGAGAAAACCAACCAAGAGATGGCAGGGCCATTACTATGGCTAATTAGCGTCGCTGTTGCCTAATCTTTTGATGATTTCGTGAACGCCAGCAAACCTGAGTTCCTCTAATGTTTCTGTCCAAACCTTCTCCATAGTTTGAGTCTCCTGAGATGAGTAGACCAATGGCGCCATCCTGGAATATCGCATGCAATATTAGCGCTCGTGTCCTCTCACCGTCATTTGATATATAATACTTACGGCTGTAACTTTCCATCTTCAATATATATTCCATGTGACTCCGGCCCATGATTGCAAGCTGCGTCTGTAAGGGAGCGTGCCCCCTTGCTAGGGGAATAGCCAAACACACGAAAAAAGATACCGATCATAAAGCCAGAGAACGTGCCCGCAAAGTCCCGCATAAGTGATGATCCGTAACACATGCCTGGGTTGCACATGTTGATAACGACTGTAGATGGGGGGACGTGTTTAACCAACACCGTGATGAAGAACTGCCCCAGTAACTTGGAGGTCCAGTAGCGGGTTCCATATTCGCCCTGGTTGAACGTCTCCGGCTTATCAAACGTGGGTAGCAACGGTGTCATCTCTCTTTCTTTGAACTTAGACCAGGAAGCTGTTTCGGAGCTAACAATGACCAGTTTTCCTGGCCGATCTGACGGATTGCGCTCTTTGATGACAGGGAGCATGAGTATGGAGAGCAGGGCGGAAGATAAATGATTAATCTGCACTGACTCCTCGTGGCCTGTGATGGGGTTCAGCTCAAACTTCCCCTTGGAAACTCCGGCATTATGAACAAAAATGTCCAGGCGGTCTAGAGTTTCGCACTGTTTGACAAACGACTGAATCGAATCATAGCGAGAAAGATCAACTTTCCACACATCGATTTGATGCTCTCTAGGAGATCTTCCCTCGAGAAGGAGTTTCCGAGCTATCTCCCCACTCGGAACATTTCGCACCGCAATGATAAGCCTCGATAACCCAAGATCAAGAAATTGGCGGGCGCACTCCAGGCCGATTCCGGTATTTGAGCCTGTGACGACGGCGGTTTGCCCTTGGAGGTTCACGTTCGCTCTAAGAGTAACTGGGGCTCCACCAAACAGCTGTCGTTTGATAAAAGCAGAAGGCGAAGCTCTTTCTTCGGGCGTAATGTCGAACTGAGTGGCAGTCATGCTGATGATAGCCGTGGGCCGATTGCAGCCGGCCTCGAAGGTTGTACACACAGGCGAAGAGAAGAATGACGATGCTCCTTTATTCAAAATATCAACTACGGCACGAACTTCATAAACCTTTATATCGGTTTTTATTCGCACTATCTTACCAGATCGCGTAGCGCTGTTGGTTCTAATACTGTTCGGGGATATCGGCTGATAATGAGGAGCTGGTCACCAAGTACTGTACCAAATAGGAAACATCTTTCGTCTTGGCATCGCACTTTGGATCATAAATATAGCGTGATGCCTTTGGCTGTAATCCGAATTAGGGAAATACTTACTAAATATCCGAACTTTCGGAAGATGCAGACAGCCCCTGAAGTTCGGATTTTATACCGGAGCTTATTGATTGTATTGGGATGTCGGGCTCTGGCATCGTCCATTACCGTTTATAACTTTATACTCCATTTCTCTTACGTATACCGGAGGCTTCCCAAGTGACGAAGTGCTCCTCTCGTATCACGAAATAAATCCGGAAGCTGAAGAGTCCGTTAACTCCACCACGTCGCATCACCGTAGTGCCCTCAAACATCCGCCACAGAACAAACGTAAGTCTATCCGGATGGCTGCAGCCTTGGGCTACCGAAGCTTTTTTTACTTCTCTATTCATTGTGTTGAGTTGTCGGGTTCTGGCGTCTTCTATTGCTGTTTTACTTTATACTCAAACTCTCTCCCATAAGTCTACCCGGAGCAAGATGAATACGCAATCGCATTGAAATATCCCTTGGCAGCGTCTTTAGTCGTGAGTGTAGGTATTTGAACGTCATGTGGAATTATTCCAGTGAAAATATGATAGAAATAAACGATTAGCAAGCCTGGGTTACGGCAGCATGTGCCTTTCGTCAAGTTGTCACTGACCATGGCTCATTGCTATCCTGTTGCTGTGGCTCATTTGGGGTTTTTAATTGAGTTTTCATTTCATTCGTTTTTGACGTTCATACCAACATGCTAGAGAGATCGATCGACGGAATTCAAATACAAGTTGCTATTGCCGTCTATCGAATCTCTGACCAACTTCTCATGGTCGTATAAGCTCTGATTTCTATCGTCATCCGAGTCTTCGGAACCGAATCAAGGGCCAAGCCTGAAAGGTCCGACTTTCGCACCTCGAAGAATTTCTGGGTCCGTGATGCTGTTTCTTTTGCTGTGTCTTGCTTCATATTGTAACTTGCACAACAACGCTTAGCCGGGCAACCGTATTTGTAAACCTACATTACGACCTGTCGATGTACTCAAGGTTAGGGCGCCTGAGGGCACGATCAGCTTGTTTGTGACCATCATTTTCGCATGTATACCCAATTTAGAAGACCGTGGCTTGCGGAACATGCTCGAATAAACAGAGCCGTTGGAACTTCCTGTTCTCAGTGGAATATAACTATCAAATAAAAAATATGGCAATGGTAGGACAATCTTCAGGCTCTATCTTCTATCTCACCTATACATTTCTAATTTTACAAGTCACAGATTTAAATCAAAGCTAGGTGGCGAAGACTTATGGTCGGAAGGATTTTGCGACTTACTTTAGAACGAAGGCATTGAGTATCTCGTGGTTAGACGGCAACTAAACATGATATCACGACTCACGTCTAGCTCTCAATTACTGCATTTTGTTTTTTCCTCACAACGCCATTAGCCAAAGAGTTAAAGTATCCTTCATAGTTTTGAGAGAATTGTTCGGCAGACGCAGATTAACCATGTATCTAGACCGTTCTGAGTATAAATAACAAGGCCAAGGGCTATGAAGGTTGGTGCGAGATCGCTCAACGAGAGTCGCAGTATTTACGGCAAGACAACGAATAACCACACATATATACCCCGATTTTTGAAAGTATATCCTTACATGTTGCGCAGCCATAATGATTCCCAACAGTACCCCAGCACTGACTCGAAAGATACATGGGATCATCTAGTAGTCTATCTATAGCTATCGTCTCTTAATACACACTTCGATAGCATCCCCACCTCTACCAACAATCGCAAGTCCAACTGAATAAGATGTAATAAATTCATTTTCATCCAACGATAACTTTACTTCTACTTCCTTTTGTGAGCTTCCGGTAGTGCAACTCAGCACAACTACGCTTGATCTCACAATGGATCGCAGGAGCTAATTCTAGTTCTCGAGACGAGACCATCTCTACCCTCTTTTCCAATGTCACAAGAAACATGTTGATGATCTGTGAACTGCTTAGACAGGAAATAATAGATCCATAGTTGGAATATCTAATGATGTTCATTTGTCTGCCATAAATGGACAAAATGAAGACTACACGTCAAAGCGGCGAAGGGTGGGGAAGATATGAGAAGATTGAAGCAACTTGAGCGATCCATGCCAAAACTGCAACAAGGGTTACGGTGGGCCAATTAGATAAGCCGTACGGATGCGTCACGGGCATCTCTGGTCTGGGTGCTCTAATGAGAGCTCTTTGAAAGGCATTGCGTATTCCGGAGAACTGACCGTTCATACTTATCATCAATTGTCATCAATTACCATCCTAAATGCCTCAGATTCTTGCTTCTGGAAACAAAAATCCCGGGGAATCACCCAATTTCCAGGGAGAGAATTGGATCACCGGCACATTGATCCGAAGAGGGTTGGGGTCCTGAACCTGTCTGGCGGGAGGCTTGTCGGATATGTCGGCAACTTCCACCATAAGGTCCTCCAAAAGCACTCGAAACAAACCGTATAGAGCTCTAGCCTAATAGCGTCAGCAATCTACATGAATTTATCGCACATGTCACCTTCCAAAACAGGCTTTGGTAATCGTCCAACCTTCCAGGCTACAGCGATCATCGACCATTACGTCCAAACCCGTAGAACTTTTGGAGATTGTTGGAAGCTGTACCTGATGCGATATCCCCCAACTTCTCATTATTTAAATCAAAATGATGGTAGTCTTGTAGCTCGAGATTCTTCGCTTCTCCTTACGTATGTGTCTGCGTATGGAAATTGGCAGCATGGTCCGATTGATTTACCTCGTTTCTGCTCTCGCAGCACATGCTGCCAACGCGGTACCTACAAATGATCCTCGCTCGTACCACATAAAAGAAACACATATCGTTCCAAGGAAGTGGCAGAAAATTGATCGCGCTCCCTCGGGCCATATCATTGACCTTCAGATTGGAGTGAGGCAAGGTAACTTTGAAGAGCTGGAGAAGCGTCTAAACGAAGGTGAGAATCCCATGATGTCCATTGCAGCCAATTTCAGTAATGGTGGTATGATTAACATTCTATAGTTTCCCACCCTGATCATGGCAACTACGGCAAGCATCTCACCCAAGAGGATGTAAACGAGCTTATCAAGCCTACTGAGGATTCTCTCAAGCTTGTTCTAGACTGGCTGAAAGAGAACAATGTTACTCCTTCAGGCTACAGCGCCGCTAAAGACTGGATAACGGTATCTATCCCAGTCAGCTCTGTTGAGAAACTGCTCGATACGGAGTACCACACATTCGAGCATGACAACGGTAACCGCGTCTACCGAACATCCCAATGGTCTCTCCCCATCCATTTACATGAGCATATTGAGACTATCCAGCCTACAACGTCTTTCTTCCGCGCCCACGCACAGAGTTTTGACCATATTGTCGAGAGTTCCGAGGCAATTGACTCGCTCACATCAACATCCAGCCTTTCCGGGGGCGATGATATCAGCAAGCTCTGCAACATCAACTCTGTGACTCCTCAATGCTTCGAGGTCCTGTACAAGACGAAAGGCTACAAGGCAAAGTCAACTGCCAAGAATTCAATTGGCTTTGCTAACTACCTGAAAGAGCATCCTATCCGTTCTGATCTGGAATTGTTCTTGTCCAAATTCCGTCCCTTTGCTACAGCTGTCGCCAAGACATTCAAGCAGTTCGTTATCGCGGACGGTCCAGGTGATGGCCCTCTTACGCCTGAAGATCTCGAGGAAGCCCGTTCCAAAGAGGCGAACTTAGATGTGCAAGCTATTGCCGGGATTAATTGGGACACCCCAATCATTAGCTATTCTACGGGTGGGAGGTAAATATTATCCATCCCCTTTTTTACATGCGGTCATTGCTAATTGATGCAAATACAGCCCTCCTTTCAACCCCAGCGCCTCTACTCCAGACAACACAAATGAGCCATACCTCGCTTGGGTAAACTGGCTCCTCGAGCAGAGGTCAATCCCTAACGTCATTTCGACTTCGTACGGAGATGATGAACAGAGTGTTCCCCGCTCATACGCAGAGCGTGTGTGCAAGCAGTTCGCTGCCGTGGGCGCTCGAGGCACTTCGCTGCTTTTCTCTAGCGGTGACAACGGTGTTGGATCATTCGTTCCGGAGGAATGCATTAGCAATGATGGCAAGAATACGACCAAGTTTCTGCCGTCATTCCCAGCCTCGGTAAGTTGACTTTAAGCTTCTCATACTTGCCTCAATGCCGAACGTCAAACAAAAACTGATATCATGTAGTGTCCCTGGATCACCTCGGTAGGCGCCACAAAGGAGTTCTCTCCAGAGGTTGTAGCCTGGCGTCCAGAATTCACCGACTCTAATGGAGTGCACCATGGTAACTGGTCTTCCGGTAGTGGGTTCAGCAACTACTTCTCGGCCCCAGACTACCAAAAGAAGGAGGTGACAACCTATATCAAGAACTTGAAGGGCAAGTACGATGGGCTATACAACAAGGCAGGGAGAGGATACCCGGATATCTCGGCCCAGGGATTCTATTTCGCCTATTTTTGGAACGGCACTGAGGGTGTTATCAGTGGTACCAGCGCCAGCACGCCACTTACCGCCGGCATCATTTCTCTCGTCAATGACGCCCTCATCGCATCTGGAAAGCCCGTTCTGGGATTCCTTAACCCATGGCTCTATTCAAAGGGCTACAAGGGCCTGAACGATATTACAATCGGTACCCCATATGGATGCGGTACTGACGGCTTCTCTGCAACTGAAGGTTGGGATCCAGTTACGGGGCTAGGAACCCCCAACTTCCCCGAGCTTGTCAAGCTGGCTGGGTGTGAGATTTAGCGCTATAGCATGTGAGAGTCGTTCTTTTATATAGAATTACTCCATTTTGATATAATTTTGATATAATTCTGGATTTTGTCTTGAGCCTTGGAGTACCTTAGATAAAGCAGATGAATGTCGTTCTCTATCCGAGATCTGCGATTTTCTAGAATCAGACCGTCCTCCTAGCGCGAATCATACATGTAGGTTGGTGTTGCAATATCTGGCTAATAAAGAATGTCACAAAATATAATATAAGGGCCACAGCTCTTTGGGTATGGTATAGGTTTCTACATAGACTCAATATTGTGATCTTGATTGTATTAGGTAAATCTTTTTGCCTCAATCAAGTGACATGTAAGCATTATCTTTCCTTGTGGAGTGAGTCGATGCCTGAATGAAGATTTTCACTTCCTCTCCCTGCGCAGTGAAAGTAGCGTCGAACACGTAAGTCCCTGTAACTGCCTTTTTAGATGTTAGAAAGTGGGCATTCGCACAACTCCGTGTCGAGTAACAAAGTGGTAAACACACATACACTACTGACCAGATCGCTATCCAAGTATTCCAGATCGCTTTGGAACTGAAGGAATGTCATCGAGCTGACGCCTGACCTCTGGCCTTCATTCACAAGCCTCAGCGCCCCGAAGTCTTTCGCGACTAGTCACCTCCGTAGCTGGTGGTCATGCGCTCATGCGCACAAAGGTTTCATGCAGGCTCACTCGGTGAACCTGCTTGGAGAAATATCATCTCACCCCATTTCATCCTTAAGACCGCCCTCATCCTACTCACCGGCCAATCAGCCTCTCCACACTCCTCAAACCAGGTTGGTGCGACTTAACTAAAACCCTACCACTTGCTGATCGGTGTACGAGCCAAGTGTTCATGAGTTCCCGATGTCTCACAAGCCAATCGTACGTTCATATTTTGTGACAGTGAGAGGCCCGGTCACCCCTTCACCTACGATAGGAAGTCATCTAATTCAAGATATGTCAAGATACAGGCCTCCAGGGAATTCCAACAAAGTTCAAGTACAGTTCAATGTACACCAACAGGCTCGGGTAAGATCGTGGGCTCTGAACATCGGCGAGGCAGTACGTGAGCGGCGTATGCATAACAGCAGCCTGGTGATTTCCATCCAGGTACATTACTTGCAGCAGGATTAATTGCCTTGGCGTTTCCCTTCTCAGCCTGTACAACATCACACCTTTCACATTGCTCATAAGTCTCAGTCTCACCGGGTTCAAGGGTCTGCATTGTCCACGTCCAAACAAAAATTAGTTGAAAAAACATCTCCCCTGGGCTTGTAAGGAGGACTTGCAAGAGAGCGCTTTACTTACGCCTTGGGGAGTTGACATGCTGCGAAAGGGCATAGAGACTGTTGAATTCATTCAGGCAGAGATTGCACTGGTACGCGCGTCCGTTCCAGCATGAGTCTTTCCACCCGATCAGTTTCTTGGTGATGACTCCGAATGGATCTTTGTCTCGGACAAATCGGTAAGTCTGATCTCGGTTCAATCCGGGCGCTCGAGGGCAACGGCCTGGCTCGAGGTGACCAGCAACTGCTGCGGCGTATGTATAGCGTCGGTCGCAGAAAGGGCAGCTGGCTTGTTTCCCGCGATGACGGGCCGATCTGAGGTGCTAAAATGACGCGAAATGGAGAAGTCAGCCTGCCGTTCAGCAACATCACTGCACCACTAACTTGGTCGACCTACCGTCTTGATCGATTGGAGGGTTGGGAAAGACCGGTTGCACTCTCGGCAGTAGTTGTGGAAGGATACTTCGTGGTCATGGAGACCTTCGGCTGAAGGAAAGGTTCTTGCGCAGCGTCTACAATCACTGGGCCAGTGGTTGAATTTCTGGAGGTGACGCTGATGTTCTCTCCGACTTGGGCAAATGGCGCCACACACTTGGAATTTGAAACCACGTTGACGCATGCTGGAGACGGAGACAAGCAGGCAATCTTGCTCGAGGAGGGTGAAGTGGAATTTCTGGAAGTGAGAAGAGCGAGATGAAGAGGAAGAGGAAGAGGAAGAGAGGCTTCTGCCTGAGGCAGTCCTGAGAAACGGGAGCAAAGAGGGAGGGAAGGAACCACACATACCATTCCCTCAGCAAGATGAACAAGCTCTACCCAGACCAAAATCACTTCAAGGAAATAATGATTAAATCATGGTATGTAAGGTGTGTTTCAATTCCCGTGCTGTTCTATCTCTTTTTGTAGGTATTCCTAGCTTGTAGTATGGTGGCGATGGCGATGGCTTCACTTTAAAGGGTATTAAACCAGCAACCACGGTGAGGTAGGAGTATGTTCCTCTAGCCGTAGCCTTCCTCCCTCGATAATTATCCCCATCGCAGTCTCAGATTCCCAGCTACCAGTTCAAGAACTCTATACCAGTTTATATTGATACAGTCAGTCAATGGCAACATTGATCAATTGTTGGGGAATATCAAAGAACACTCACGCACTGTGACAGTTAGAACGTAGTCGGAGGATCGAGATACTCGTTTTGGCTTCGCCCGAAGGCTACTAGACCCAGCAACCACGATGAGGTACGAGTATATCTGCTGGGGCCGCCCACCCACCCCCCAGTATATTATTTCCGTACTGGGACGGTCCCTAAAAAAGGAAACGCTGTAGTTAAATCAAAGAAAGACAATGCAACGCAAAAAAAAAAAAAAAAAAAAAAAAAGGACCGCTGGGCTTCTGGGGGAAAAAAAAACAAAAAACCCCCAGTCGCCGGAAAGAAGCGAACGGAAGGGAGGAAAAGGGGGGAGGGCGGGAAAGCGAGTGGATGGGGGGAGAAACGAGTGAACTCACAAAGGTAAACCCCCGATCGAGGACTCATTCAACGTCTCCAGCAACAGGCCCATCTGACCACCAATCCAGCGGCATGATCTTGCAAGAGGTCTGTGTAGGCGAGGCTGCTGTGGAAACGCATGTCGAAAACCGACTCAGAATGGTTCAGGGGGGATGCGCTAGGCTTGAGGTCCGTTCGGTGCGTCAAACGTCGGCAGACGAAGGCCTCCCCAGCGGCGTCATTCCGATAATGAAACCAGAGCCGAGTCCACCACTATGGCAAACAAAGAGAGCCAAAAGTCCCAAATCCGGCCGCCCCTAAAAAGAGACGGTAAGTTGTCGAGGCGGGGCTCCAGGCCTCATATTCCAGAGCGACGTGAAAAATTGTCGACAGCAGTCTACACTGGCTGTCTTGGCGTCGCACCCCCAAATCCACACCTTCCTTCGCCAATTGGCGAACTTGACCGGAAGGGGCTGATAGGAGGTTTTGGGGATCTCTGCCTCTACCTCATCCTTACCATATTGTCCTTCCAGATCGAACCTAGCCATCGCTGCCATCAGCCTGTTGACCTGCTAGGCCTCGTACATGAGCCAAAGGCCCACGACTCCGACCACGATGGCGATGGCTGCGAGGACGATGGCGATGACGCCGAGGATGATGGTGGTTGAATCCGACATTTTCAAATGAGTATCGATCGATGAAGAGAGAAGAAAACCAGAACCGGATCAACAGCCCAAGACGCTGCTTTAATACTCCAGGTCTTTGTTTACTTTCATGCACTCCGCTTGCCCAGCCAAAGTTACTGTCCGCTCTTACCCTACCATGATATCTTTTACTCTCTCGCGTGATTGAACCATCAGTAGTACCTTACCTATTGAGTAAATAAAGTAATGGTTTAACAGAAGTTACAGCGCCCAATTTGATAATGAGTATTTGCCACTACCTATTTAAAAAAAATTAAACACCATTAGGATTTATCAGGTGCTACTATCTCATTCGTTCTTCTCAAACTTTTGTGTAAAAAACAGAAGTAAAAATGCGAAATTCTTTTCCAAGGTTATCCGTGAGTCATGTCGCTGACGTATGAAACAGCCACGTCGTGGCCAAAACAACGAGGTAAACACGCCACATTCAGCTCCAACGCAACGCCAACACAACTCTCGTAGTTTTAGGTTGTGCGCTGACATTCAGGGAAGTGTCGTCCCTCCAGATGAAGTATCTAGATTCCGAATCCTGTTGGGATGTGAATTCTTGAATGCATGCGTCGCCACCACACTCTCGGATCCTATATACTCTCGGCGCCATACTTCCACCCTCGTGGATCGGACCTTGACCCCAAACCTTGTCGGGCAAACATAGCAACTGCCCTCGAAGAACTTTTCAGGCTCCCTAGTTGCGGCTTGTACCACAGTTGCCCAATCATTGCCATCCCCGACCGGGGGGTATTGATACGCTGGAGGGTCAGAGGATGGTGGTCCGTGGTGGGTATACGGCCATTTCTCCCGTTCCAGTTTCATGGTAGGATAACCTATCCGTTGACTTCGGGTAAGTCCATGCCACCACCCTGGCGCACAGAAGGGTTGGTGCTCACAGATCCATTTCTCGCCATAGGGGGCTCCTTGCACCAATCCGAAGCCTTCAGGTAGCTGGAAGTTTAAAGTCTGATCTATGTAAAAAGCATCGCCTTCTATGCTCGGCTTGATATATTGACGAGGGTTCCAGTCTTTGAAACTCCAATGTGCGTAGCAAAAGTCGATCTCAATTGGCTCCATGATGAGGTGAAAAAGTGAGCACCAGTCTTTTTTGCTCCACTCCGGCTCCTGGCACAGGCGACGATATTTGAGCACGAACTGGGCAAATCGGTGATCGTAGCGCGGTCCAATTGGGCAGTGCTTCCTTTTCAAATCCTTCAAATGAGCCCGATCCTTGGGGCAGTTGGTTTTCTGTGGACGGCAGGGACCATAGGAGGGGGACATGATGTGCACTGTATAGCAACTGCTGCAGACCCATTTGGCCGGGCTATCTCGAGCCAAAAACTCCAAGTACTCGAGTCCCTCTGTGCTCTCAAGAGTCAACGATGAGTCAACGGCGCTGCGTACCTTGCTCAGCCTCCTGGATGTCCGGCGTACGACGAAGAGCATGAAGCGCGGCAGCCGGCGAAGAATCATTGCCAGTATAGTATCGGGAAGTTTATTCAGGAGATGGCAGTTTGGCGGTTGCAAAACATCCTTGGGAGTTTGTGCCGGCACGGGCGATTTTTGCTTTTTCCGGAAGCACATTGCAACATCCCTCAAATGCGTGGTGCGTAGGAATATTCAGTTCAAGGAAAGAAAGAGCTGTGACTTGTGGAGGAAAGAAGGCGAACGACCGGTCCATGCCTTGCCATTATATAGGTATATGCCTACTAACTAATTCAGGATATACTTCAGAGGTGTTTACGTAGCTAGAAAGGTTCCGATGAATCACGCTTCGCGTTGAAGGTTTTGAGGCAACAATCATAAGACTCAACACAAACTTTACTTAAAGGCAACCTAGTTCATTTTGCCACAACAAAAGTTTAGCCATTTTCAATTCGAGTGTTATCTTTTGGTTGGAGCCACGTACAGTGATGAGGGATAGGCTGGGCTTTATTGATACTAAAGTGTACCTTTACACAAGACTGTCATCAAATGGCCGCATGTGCAAAAGCGACACAGTCCACGAAAGTAAAAATTGCAAGCTTTGAAGATGAGACGCAGGAAATTTAGTTGCATTAGTTCTTCTTTTGCCTACCTCGTGTTTATATTTACCTTTCGTTGGCAAACTTTAGCACCACTGCTGCTTAATCAGTTCGGCATTCCCAGGCTACCCTATATCCAATCGACATCTTCAAGAGACTACACTGTAGGCCAAAACAATCCACAAAAGGTTCTAGGATATCAGAAATGGTCTCAATGGATCTCATCTGCTATTATCTTCTACCGCAACCATCTGCCGTAATTATCTGATATGGTCGGATGGCTTAACTGCATACAAGTAGTGGTTGGTTCGTCTACGACACACAAGCTGCGCGTACAGTGTGACCAAACCTCAGCTCTACCAACAAGAGCTCGTATTATTGTGCAGTCTTTCTACCGTAGACTAAGGTAGATGTTCATCTCTCGCTCCCCACCGCTTGACTAAGTCGTTTACATTGTGTCCAGATTCTTGTATTCCATTGTCGAACCTCTGGCCTCCATCACAGCACCCGGAAAGGTGCCCGGTTAGCTCAATCGGTAGAGCGTGAGACTCTTACGAGTTCACATCTCAAGGTTGCGGGTTCGACCCCCGCATCGGGCTGTTCCTATAGAACGATTGATCACTTTTTTGGCCTTTTTGCCAATCTAGAAAGAAGTTGGCAACAGTTGACATGAAGAATTGTTGACTAGCCTAGCCTGGCTATTTTCCTGATTAATTTTCCAGTATTCCATATCAAACCTGCAAGTTGTAATGTCGAGAATTGGAGCGCTGTGCAATGTTTGCTAGTCGTGAGGTCATCCTCGGCTTGAGCACGCGTCATGGTGACAGGTCAGGTTATGACTCAAGAATCTGGAGAGCAGCAAGGCAAACAAAAGAGAACCATGTGCACCAGGAGGCATCCATCCGAGGCCTCCATCGTGGAGAGCATAAGAATGAGGGGAACAACCCTGTGAAAAGGGGCCCGAGATTCCGTCACTCCGGCATTCCGCGCGCAAAGACACGCACCCCGCAAATAAGTTCAAGCATGGCCTATCTTTTTCCCTATCTTGGAATGGAGGAGTGGAACAGTCCCAAGCCGCGCCTCCACAACGATGCTGGCATTGGCTGCGGAACCGCGTAGCTCCATGGCGAGGCAGTAGCATTTGAGGGGAGAGGACGGGTGACGATGTAATAGCCGGGGCGAGGGGCGAATGTACACAAACGATTTCATGCGTGGATGAACGGGTGAATAAGTGAATGATAAATGATGAAGACAGATGGTGGTACATGAGGAGAGCTGGAGAGATCTCAGAAGAAGGCAATCGAGAATTTTAGCATTTTTGGGAATAGCGGCATGCCTGTTATCACAGCTTGTGCCATCTCCAGATCCACCCATCTCCATATCCCAAGCTACCTACCAAGAGCCGTGGGCTTTTATGCGAGGTGGGGTTGATGAGGTCAGTCGAGAGCTTGCCTCTCTCGACAATATAAAACTGGCTTTCCACAAACTTGCGGGCCGCACCTGACTCTCTCTCTCTCTGTCACTTTCACCCTCATCAGCTTGTGAGCCCAAAACAAAGTAAAGCACAATCAAGATGGCGCCCGCAGAGACTGTCGCCCTCACTGCCCCCAACGGCGTCAAGATCGACCTGCCGACTGGGCTGTTCATCAACAACGAGTTCGTTAAGTCTAGCGCTGGTGCCAAGATCAGCAGCATCAATCCAAGGTGCGTCATCACTCAAGTGACATCGCATGGCGTCCTGTTGTGCGAGCCCAGAAAAACGGGAAATGCAAGGGTAGCTAACGGGCTTGTCTCACCTTAGTAACGAGAGTGAAATCACCTCGGTCGAGGCCGCATCGCCCGACGACATCGACACAGCAGTCAAGGCGGCGCGCGCGGCCTTTGAGTCGCCGGAATGGAGAGACCTTCCTGGCACTGACCGTGGGGAGCTCCTGTACCGCTTCGCCACGCTCATCGACGAGCACAAGGAGACGCTCGCGACGCTCGAGGCTTGGGACAACGGCAAGGCCTACTCGGTGGCCCTGAACGAGGACGTCGGCGAGGTCATCAAGACGCTCAAGTACTACGCCGGCTGGGCCGACAAGATCCACGGGCAGACCATCCCGACCACGCCCCAGAAGTTCGCCTACACCCTCAAGCAGCCCATCGGCGTCTGCGGCCAGATCATCCCCTGGAACTTCCCCCTCGCCATGGCCGCCTGGAAGATCGGCCCGGCCATCGCCTGCGGCAACACCGTCGTCCTCAAGCCCGCCGAGCAGACGCCCCTGTCCGCGCTGTACCTCGCCACCCTGATCCCCAAGGCCGGGTTCCCGCCCGGCGTCATCAACATCGTCAACGGCTACGGCCGGGACGCGGGCGACGCGCTCGTCTCGCACCCGGGCGTGGACAAGGTGGCCTTCACGGGGTCGACCCTGACGGGCAAGGCGGTGATGAAGGCGGCGAGCCAGACCATGAAGACCATCACGCTCGAGACGGGTGGCAAGTCGCCCCTCGTCGTCTTCAAGGACGCCGACCTCGAGCAGGCCGTCAAGTGGGGGCACCTGGGCATCATGTACAACCAGGGCCAGGTGTGCACGGCGACGTCGCGCATCCTGGTGCACGAGGATATCCACGACGAGTACCTGCGCCTGTTCAAGGAGGAGGTCCTCAAGAACAAGGTCGGCGACCCGTTCCACGACGACACGTTCCAGGGGCCGCAGGTTACCAAGGCTCAGTACGAGCGCGTGCTGGGATATATCGAGACGGGCAAGTCGGAGGGTGCCAAACTGGAGAGTGGTGGCGTGCCGCACAAGAATGTCGGCGACGGCAAGGGATTCTTCATCGAGCCTACTGTCTTCTCTGGCGTCAAGGAGGACATGCGCATCTTCCAGGAGGAGGTATTTGGGCCGTTTGTGACGATTATCACGTTCAAGACGGAGGAGGAAGCCATTCGTGTGGCTAACAACTCCTCATACGGGCTGGGAGCTGCCCTATTTACAACTGACGTAGAGAGGGCGCACCGTGTAGCAGGAAGACTGGAGGCCGGTATGGTCTGGGTCAACAGTTCCAATGATTCTGACTTTAGGGTGCCGTTTGGAGGTGTCAAGCAGAGCGGTATTGGTAGAGAGCTGGGAGAGGCCGGTCTGGCTGCGTATACTCAGATCAAGGCTGTACACATTAACATGGGCACCAAGCTATAGCAGGATAGCCATCGACGAATGATATTGCGTTGATTTGTTAGGCATGGGCAATTTCTGTGACATTGTGTATTGATTGGTTCAATGTCAGTTGTGAAGTGATGAAATCTTGGCAAAGTCAGCGTGAGGGCGCAGACTCGCTTGTGTAACCATGAGCCCAATGGCCACGCATCACAGAGACTCGTTATAGGAGCAGCCATATCAAGGAGATCGGTCAAGAGACTATATTATTAAAATCTAGACTCTCTACCTTCATTTATTGATTTTAAACTTTTTTTTTCTTTCATTTCTTTTCAAATTTTTTTATTGTGTATGATGGGGTATGGTTTGTTAATGACTGGCTGTTGAAGCTGTACGTACAGAAATTAATGTGCTAATTATTCCTCCCAGTTGCTCAGTCTCAAACATTAAGATAGACGTGATACTCCTCGAAAGTAATTACTCATGTCGATTTAGAGCCCAATGTCAATCATGGAGCTTCTGAACGTGGTGTTGACCGAATTCCCAATAAAGAACGTCGGCATCACCCTCGCCATCCGCAGCGACGAAACAGCCGGTGCATGCTTCCAAAGAGCCTGAATTCGCTGACGAGCCGTTGATTTCTTCCGACGGTTGTGTAGGTCAAGGCCCAATACATGTATCGGTGTACTGACCAACTGGGCTGCAGCAAGCGAGGCGAGGTTGGCTAGCTCTGAATTTCCGGATTTGGCAGTGTTCAAGGCTGGGTTTGCAAGAGACGAGGCGGATAACTGGGCAACTAGAGGCGGGAGTTGAAACGAGGTGAAGCAGGTCGTGGCATCGCGAGCGGCAAACAATATGTACGAGAAGAGAGGCAAAGACGCTTTCCCTACGGCCCTGGCCACATAACCATCCTTGTACAGACAAAGCCCCGTCCCGACAGCAGCGGATACACAGAAGCGAGTCGTCGAGAGCTTGGCAGACGAGGCGGACATGGTGGCAGGATCGTAGGAGTCATCGATGGTACAGAACGAGTTGAGCAGGTTGGCTGTGGCATACGTGCCAAAGTAAACGAGGAAGCATATGTGGAAGGCCCCAAGCAGTTTCTTGGGCTTCGAGAGGAAGGACTTGCAGGAATCTTTGAAGGAGTCTCCCTTTGCAACGCGGTAGTATATCATCCTATCATCATCATGGTCAGTTGCTGTGCTCATTTGCTCTTATACCAACCGCACCACACGAGTGTTTTTGAGTCCACTTGTAGTAGGCCGTCCTACTTACTTGTCAATAGCATTCACCCATGGAGCAACAAGCGCTGCGGCACATGCGGCCGAGAAGAAATCAGCAGCAAAGCTCCATGAGGTGCACTGCTGCTGCCTATGGATACTTTCGACTTCAGCCATTGTAGCTAACTGACAACGCGAGATGAGTCAAGAGGAGGTGTCTGAAGGAGTAGAATCTTCTGACCTTCAGCTAGTGACAGACTCCCTCGGTCATATAATAGGAGTCACATCGAGGGTACATGCTGCCCATCCCCTGCCCCCTCGTTCACCTCCGGTCTCTAATGGCTGTTCCCCCGGACCCCAAGAAGTGACTAACATTCAGTCGAGATAAGACAATGAAGCCGTGGGGTTCCGATATCCTTCCCCAATATGGCGTAAACGCCCGCAAAGTTCCGCGCCTGTCATGCCCTATTACGTTGCTGCAGTGTCTGATTGGGAGATCCCAACAAGGTGGCTTAGAACCATGCAGCTTGGGTACGAGTACGACTCGCTCAACGCTTTGCCAGCGGCCATGCTAAGCCGAACGACAAGGCTGTATTAGCTGCAGTCTAGACTGTGTTAGCCACTGAAAGTTCACCATTGATTTGATGGCCCAAGATCTGTCCTAGATCCAGTTAGTACTTCCCCACAGCACCGATGCACGTTGGGGCGCCTATGCTAACCCGCCGGTTGCCGGCTTGGAATGTGTTGAGGGGTGTCATGGTGCTATTCTATTTCGAGAGTGCGAGTAGTAAATGTTCGGCGAAATTTCCGTTGGGATAGCTGGACAAAGCTAATGCATCAGTATGAAATGATCTGTATTCTGAATATCTGCCCCTGATAAGAGGTGGGATGAGACATGAAACCGGTCATTCCGCCTCATTCAACAAAAAGGCGTGATAACCAGGTTATGATTCATTCATAATTACGTATGTCTCCCCCTCCAAAAATGGCATGCATGTGCATACCTGTGAGACACTGATAAGAAAGATCAAAGCGAGGAGAACATGTCCATCTATGGCCAGCTGCCTAGATTACCGGTCAGAGTACCATGTCGATACATCTTGAATCGAGGATCTGCGACCCTTAAAACTAGGAAATCAGAACTTATGGCTTGCTAGAGAGATTGCAGTGTACTAATTAGAAGATGAAACATTCTCCGTATCTAAGTTAATATTACAATCCATATTCCGCCACTTTGTAGCGATAATTAATCGAGCGCGAACTTTTGGCTTCTCCTGAATCGAACGACACATATCTTTAATGGAATGCTTATGGAAAATCAAACCAATCTCTTCTACACTCTCCTAGACTCGCCCGCCGATTTCAATGTTCGCAAATGAGAGTTCCTTCATTGTCTCTTTCCACAGCCGGCGAGTGACCTCCGCTGATTTGGGCGAGTACACAAATGGCCCCATCCTATATCCAGATTATTAGCAAAATGTCAATGTGCAAAAAAGCCAGCTCAAGTAACTCCGCGGTGAGAGAACCGCTGGGTTGGACGTACGGTCTAATCTTGTTGCCGTCGATGGCTTGGCCATGCGATTTCTCCCCTTGCTTCAGGGCCGCATTCATCACCACGTGGGCACCGACTGCAGACTTGCGGCCCAGAAGGCTAAAGTAGAGTGCCATAGCAGCCCTATATGCCATCCCTTCCCCTTCAACATCCCTGCTCAGGCCTGACCCGTGACAGAGGCCGGGGTTGGCCGCGTTGATTATCACGGCCGATGGCGAGACGTGTTTTGCCAATTCAGCTAGGAAAAGCTGCCCCAGTAGCTTTGAAGTGCCGTAACGTTCAAACGCATCCCACTTGGCGTCTAGTCTATCAAGGGAAGCCAGCAGCGGGTCTTCATCTTGCTCAACAAATTTGGTCATGCCAGACATGTCGGAGGACACAATGGTCAATCGCCCTGGGAGATTAGACGCCCGCTTTTTGGATTCGAGGGTAGGCAGAAGGAGGAGTGTTAGTAGTATAGTGGATAGATAGTTGGTCTGGATATCTTCTTCGTGGCCTGTCCGCTCGCTGATGATCATATTTTTTCTGAAAATGCCAGCGTTGAGTATTGCAATGTCGAGATTCTTGAGCTGGCTTGCCCGCTCAGCAAACCTCGTTATCGTGGCATAATCTAGCATGTCCAGCTTCCACACCTCGATAGAGCCGGATGATAAATTGTGCTTGGCCTCCAGTATCTTTGCGGCAGATTTTCCCTTATCTTCATTCCGAGCGCCTATGATGAGCTTGTCGACCTTCAGAGCAAGGAGTTGATCGGCAACCTCGAAACCGATGCCCTGGTTAGCCCCGGTCACAATTGCTACCTTTCCTGTCAAGTCGACGTCGGATACCGGTCGGGGTGATTCGAACAACTGCCGCCGAAGCCAGTGGGGGAATGACGCATATTTTTGGGGACTGCAGTCGAATAGTTCCATCTTTACTCTCAGATATGAGGAGCTGGAGCAAGTATTAGATTTGCAGAGAAAGAGAAAGAGACTTGACCGATCTGTAAGTCGACGAGGATGATTGCTTCCTTCATGTTAGAACTGAGAGGATCCGTAGACCATCCTCGTTCTTTATATATGAAAAAGCTTTAAGCACCCATCGTCTCTTAATGCAATTCCTCGTACCAAACTAGGCTCCAGGAACAATACCTTCTGCATTGTATTTACCTCCAGGATTCATACCCCAAATGCAGTGGAGTCCATTTCATGGTGGCCCTGATGACAGTTTCACCATCCTGGGTTAGACTGTAGGAGGAGCAATGAGACGTTGATGACAGAATTTCCATTCCTGGTCAAGTTCATGCAAGCACAAGCCCCTACCACTGCTCCACTTCTATCTCTTATATACCCAGCAAGTTTTCCTTTCTCCATGCTGCTGACCTTTTCTCCCTTTCAAGCTTTGATGTATCCAACACGAAGAAGTCGGACCAAAAGATTCCGAAGTTTAAAGTGCTGGTGACCATTTTTACCAAAAAGAACCAAACGGAACCACTTCTTTTAGCCTCGACCATGTCAGCGGACGAAGCCACTCAGGCAAAGCAGCGGAGGAAGCTCCAGAACCGGGTGAATCAAAGAGCCCGGCGTAAGTTGCGACGGATCCATTGCCCACGTAACACAGCTAACTCGCCCAGGATCCCGTTTAAAAGGAGATGATGAAAAGCCTCGCCGTCCATTCGAAGTCACGCGCTGGCGCCTCGATGACGAAATGGCCGTATCTGGCGTCCGAAGCGACCGGCATACTAATCCTGCAACTCGACACGATGATGCCCCAAAACAGAAAGGCTGGTCTCTTGAAACCTGCCACATCCCACCCCTTAGTGCACAAGATGCCGCGTTGGTAGAGAGAGAGCCGTTGCTGAGGCTGGCCTTACCGTATCTTGCCCGGAAAACATCGCCATTGCAGGATCATCTTCTACACCTTATCCACTTTAATGTTCTGCGTGCCGTCTTCAGACTGAAATTCATCCTCGCGACCTCGACGGCATTCTGCATCGGAGGGAACACACCGGGAACTGAGCCTCAACTTGTGACGATTGACGATGCACACCCGAGCCGAGCTACACTTGTCCTTACAGCGCAAGACGAGGCAAACGGTCTCCCTTTATCGGTTCGCCCCACGCCTCTTCAGAGTTCCAAGGATCATGCCACATGGATTGATATAATACCTTTCCCAGCCATGCGAGATACCTTGATCCGCTACGAAGCTGAGTATGATCAAGTTGAATTCGGCAACGATCTAGTGGGTGACCTTGTGGACTTTGCCAATGTATACCAACTTCAGCGCCCGAAACAACCACGCCTACCAGCCAATAAGTCGTCTCGATCGATCAATGAGACTGGGACCGTGACCGCTGGAACAAGGACGGGGATGATCGTTTGGGGCGAACCGCACCGTCCCGAAAACTGGGAGGTGACGCTGGGTTTTCTGCAGAAATGGCCCTGGGCTCTCGCCGGTTGCCAGCCTTTGTTGGACTCGAGTAATCGATGGAGGGCACTCCGTGGCGAGGAGCCACTGCCTCAGATTTATGAACCTTGAATCCATTTTTACTTCGCTTGTTAAGATAATCGAAAATGCGGTAGGGGTCATGGTAGGAGAAGTATCGATGAATACATACAGTAGAGACGGAAGAGAAGAGAGAGAATACAGATAGAATTGAATTGAATTGGCGTTGCCCTTCTGTCACTACTAATAGTAAGTGGTAAGAAATCTTCAGTCCGCTCCCCCACCACCGAACTACATACTCGCTAGCTCTATTGAAACCATCATTCTAGTATTGAGGTCATCCCACAGTGGTGTTCTTGCTGTTACCCCAGACAACAACAAAAATCTCACTGTCAATTCCTTGAGACAACCATCTATTGAGTTGAATCCTCTGGAGAACACACGCTGTATCGTATCGAGTCCAGCCGAATGTCCGACAACGAATGCAAACATCTCTGATCAGTCGATTCGTTATCTATTTAGAAAGTACCAGAGAACTAGTAGGTATGCTAGGCTAATACGTACGCAAGAGAAATTGAGTATAAACTTAATAACAGCAATAGAAAATACTAAAGCCCGACACAAAGTAAGAGAAAGAGTGTAAAGTTCAACAGCAATGGAACATGCCAGAGTCCGACAACTCATCACAATGAATAATGCTAGGATAATGATAGACAGCAATACGCTCGGCTTGTTATCATCAAACGTTCTGCATGCCTGTTGAGTGCGTAAATAGTCGCGCCGAAAATCGTCCGGCTGAGGCGCAGCATCGTCTGATACCCATGACCCAGGTACATGATAATAGTGTGTCTTGCACGAAGAGTCAAATGTCCTCATACTACTCGCTGTGGCTGCTTTCACGACGCTTGGGGGAGTTGCCTCTGTTGGAGCGTGTATGCGTGTTCCATGGGAGTCAGTTCGACTAAACGTTCCTATATGCCCTCCGCTATAAGGAAGATCGTGGGGGCGAATCACACGGGGCTCTTCGGCGCTGAGACTAGGGGTAGATCGAGGTGCTTCGACGTGAGTCGACCGGAGGCGAATCAGGCGACGCTCTTCGGCGCTCAGATTAAGAGTAGAGCGAGGTGTTTCGACGCGAGTCGACTGGTGCATCCGCTCGAATATGCCATGGCCCCTCAGTCGAACGTCAAGTTCGGCGACGTTTTGTTTCCACAATACTTTGATGAGTGTCCCGTAGGACTTGCTCTCTAGATAGAAATCGTCGTCATGCCAGCATTCGCGGAGAATGTCGAACGGGACTTCGTGAATGTTTTGGATGTTAACGTAGGACTGCTTCTTCATAGTCTTTCCGTGCGCGATAGCGAGGGTACAGCTATGATCTGGGTGGGAGGCTGGCCGTATTGGAAGGTAGAATTGTCTTCGGTCAGGGTTATGATGGCGTTTTTCGATGGGTGTGTTATCAAAACTTGTAACCTAGTCGCATTGATTAGCAAGGTCTTTCACCGAGATGTGTCACGATCTAGGGAGCTGGAGCGGGGAGCTGACAAGAAGAACTGCCACGTTTCCTTGGTGAACTTGCCGCGAAAGCACGACGACGGGATGGTTGAATATGCCTGGTTCGATTGCTTGCATTGCTGGAATACTCTCCTCAATCTCTTCTTCCCTGGGGAGCATCATGAGACGACCTCCTAGACGCAGGCATCTCGGAGTTTGAGAAGAGTGAGACATGGTCAAGTGATAAGTTCAGTTCTTGATGGTATCAAAACAGCTTCTTTCCTGATCCGCTTCAAGAAAAGACAAAGTCGAGTTGTCGTCGCTGACAAGACTGGGCGGCAAGGTCTTTCTCGCAAATACGTGCAGACGAGCCTCAACGGGTGTCAAGGGTCCCCGATTCCCTGTAGCTTGGCGTAGCTTGTAAGGCCTACGGGAAAACTGAGGGGTGGATGTGCAGACAGCTTTAACCAACGAGCGACTGACACGGCCAACAAGCTGCCGTCATGGAAGGCCCGTTTCAGCCTAGATGTTGCGTGCAAAGCTGCATGGATCTTCAGAGTTGAGGATAGCCTAGCACCGTCGGGGAGGAAGGGGGAACGAAAATCCATTGGTTGGTCGGAACTTGGAAGCACCCATTCAAGTCCGTGGAGGGGGTGAGGGTTGGGGGGCAAGCCGGCCAAGGAAAGAGGAAAACGCGAGCTACCACAATCAAATTTTCCACAACAATGCGGTATCATTCTTGTTTGCTGGGTCTCTCGTGAAGGACCTGCCGGTTTGCTAACTTCAGGCAGCTTTTTCACATACGTAATTCGACACGTTTGTGCACGGCAACCTCGGGGTATAAGGCAATGATCCTGAGTGAGAGCTGTAAATGGTGATGAGCCACTCTCCAAAGTACTTCTTCTCTTACCCCGTAACTTGCTGCGGGAGGCCAACCACAGGTCCTTGACCTCCACATAGCTATCCAATCGACAGCCATTCTCGCTTCTCAGCTCTCAAATATTGAAACACCTCGGGTTGCTGAGACATACGAACTTGCCATTACATATTGGGAAAAGTTTGATCTGTCTTGGGGTGACCCATAAAGTGTTGCCTGCCACAAATACTAGATCTACAATCATAATTAACTTGGAAAAGAAAAAGATTAGGTGTTGAGGCACATGGAGAATGAAACCTGCTACGTCAGTGTGGTACACCTTTCCAGTTTCCTAAGTACAGTTGTTTCAAGCATGAGTGGCTTCCAATCCAGTTTGTTCATAGCGTGAAGTTCAACAACCAACGCCAAGTCACCAAACACTGACGGTTTCAACCAATTGTTTTCCCCTTAACTTTGACTGAGCGGCCAATGATGGGCTAGTAATTCACATGAAACGAGTATTCCACAAATGCAGCCCACATGCTCCCTTTCGACCTCTCCCAATATATTTCCGCCTACTCAACCAAATCTAGACAGTAGCATTCCGCGACCGTATCCCTTCATCTCCCATTCTTTTATCATTCTACCTCACGACAGCGGTTGTTTATAGGCTCGAAACCCGTACTAGGATATGTCATCGGAAAATGGTATATAGGACAAGTCTTTTATGAATTGCTTGCTGTGAAGAAGAACGTTAATGTACACCTTCTAGGAGCCCTCGGTCAAGCGCAACTCAATGTGAAGGATCTCCCCTCAGCACTCATTGCAAAAGTCCTCTTCGAGATTCAAGCCTAAAGTTAAGCAGTGGCCCCGCAAAGCCTAAATGTAAAATCAAGGCCATAGTACAGTTCAGGTATCGGTTCATATCCGTTGTAAGTGATTAACTCCTCAGGGGTGTTAGCAACAACAAGCGTTACCTCTTCGTCAGCGGAGACGCCAGTTGTTGCTGTCTCAACGACATCAACGTAACGAGTTGCATTCGTCTTTCCGTTGAAAAGAGCAAGCGAGGCTGTGTAGGTACCGTTGGCTGTAATGTCGACACGGACATTGCTGCCTGTGACGTTCAATGGGATCATGCTGGCCCCCATGTAGCCAGGGCTCCGGGCTGGCTTGACGGTGTAGCTCCCGTTTCCAGTTTGGTCAACGTTGTCAAATGTGAGATTGCTGTATTTCTGCCAAAAGTACTCGCGGGCTACGGGATTATCAATGTCCACGTAGGCCATTCGAGACCAGTAGCGACCAACGATTGGACCGATAGGCCCGAGAATTCTCTGGAGAGTGTGAAGCGGGGTTTCACCACTACCAGAACGGTATTGAACGTTTATCTGACGCATGATATCTAAGCCAGCATTGGGGATGTTGTCAAGGTTGGTTGTCAGGTACGTCATGAACGGCCATGCTCGATACAAGTTGCCGTTGGTGCCGCCGACCACAATCGGTAGGTGAGAATTGCCCACGGTTACATCAGGATAGAATTCCGTCTTATCAACTGGCCGGCCGTGTGCCGCGCGGGCGGCAGCACATATGTCGGACGTTTTGTACGTGTCAGCGAACCAATTCGCCCAAGTCTCCCACCACGCGCTGGTGTTATCCTGGTCGACCCATCTCTTCTGAGAATGCGTAACAATGTGGCCATACTCATGAGACAGGTAGCCGGCATCATTTATGTACTTGGGATTTATTTGGAGCCAGCCTAGGCCGGTCTCCCAGTCTGTATTCATCAGACCCCCCGCATCGATGTCTGGGGAGTAGTAAACATTGGTCTTGGTCCAGGGCCCAGTGTCATCCTCATCGTAGTACGAAAGACCCGTGGACCGGTATCCCAATCCGACAATGTAGCAGTCGTAGGATGCCTCTAGGTGAGCCAAGGCAATGTCGGTGCTCTCTTCGGAGCCCGTGTTGTTGTAGAGACGGAAATGCGCTGAGTCTTTGAAAATGGTACCGCCGCCACCAATACTTGGGTTGGCAGTAAAGTTGGCTGGCTCTGCTCGGGCTGTCAGCACCTTGGTTCCTTGGGGGGCGGCCCAAACATGCTGGAGTCGCAGAAGTAAGCCGACGACAACAGCCTGCTTTTTGTAGTACATTGTGGAAATGTCAAGAAACCCTCGATTAGTATGTCAAAAGGTACTGCTCTTTCTCCGTCCCGTGACTGGTGACCAAGCGATCTATTTAAACGGTTGGTTCCTCTGTGTCCTACCAACTGAATATTGGGTCTCAGGATGCCAAGTCTTCAGAGGATTTACTGAGTTATTTGGTCCCTATCACTATCGGACAACCTTCCGGTCGGAAGACCACGTAGGTCGCTCGCAATATATTCCCGTGTAAGATTGGATCTGGCGGCCCAATCGGGGAGTTGGCACTGCTTAATCAACCAGTATTAGCCGGCAGCAGATCCCGAATCCTCGTTCTTCAGATCCTATTACAGCAGGTGGTAACGTCGGTGCGCTAACAAGCCTGCCAAGTTCCTCACGCACGGAAAGGATCTCCTGATCTTAGGCTAGGTAGTTACACGTTCTCTGTGATGCTTGCGAGATATAACGGAGCGAAAGTATAGCCTGATCAGAGATACGAATTGCTTTAAGCAGGCCATGTCAATACATAACCCAGGGAGACCCCAGGACACCCGATTGGGTATCTCATACCATGTCAACTGATAACACTGGCCTACCACTATATACCAAGCATTTTGCCCCCAAATCTTCTGGCCTAGTTGGAAGGGAGGTGACCGTGGAGATCTATAATAGGTTTGAGCAGCTTCTTTGCAAATTCAGTGTGCGTCAATAATTGTTCGTCATACTGGCAGAACATTTATCCCTAAGCTTTTGTAAGCTTCAGTCCAATCAGTAGGCGTTTCCCCTCCTTGTTCTCCCTGGTCTGGTAATATATACAATATCAGGCTAGGTATCGTAGCATAATTTTTTATTCTCATATTTTATGTTTTTCTTCTCTTATTGTTATTTTTTCTTCTCTTATTATCGTATTTTATTCTCTTACTATTGTATTGAATAAAAGCGAGATCCCTGCCTTACGTGGAAAGAGGTGTTGTGCCATGTTTTATTTCAGCCACTTGCCATCTTGCTCACCAAGATGAGAGTCACTACTTCCTGCCCTTCCTCCTCTTACCAACACGTGGATCTGTAAATGAAGTACCCGGAGTATCTTCCTGCCCCGGATCGCTCGGCTGGATGTCCTGCTCAGCTTGCTGCGACAAATGATGACTATCTAAGCTCTGGGAAAGCCCAGTTTCAGGAAGGGACTGAACATCGAAGTCCAAATCGGGCAACTGGTCGATAGCCGAACATATGGCCTTGAAGTGAGCCGGCATCCACGTGTCGTAGATGTTCTTCGTGAAACGATACGCTGTCCATTTCTCCTTGCCATCTGACTCGGCAAAGTAGAATTTGTGGATTGGGTGGCGGTAGTACTTGGTATTCTTCCCATCTATGACCGGATAATGACCGTAAATCCTTACGGAGTTGTGATCATGAGAGACAGAGAAGCCAAGGATCTGCCGATGGACTTCGCCCTCGCGCTTCACAGCACGAAAAAGCTCGGCGACCGCCCGTACCGCGAGAGTCATGCTGTGGGCATTCTGCCGGTCCGCTACGTCCAGCGCTGCGGCGCCGCACTTCACTTCGCAGGTCAGGAAGGGGAAGTACAGGTAATACGTGCCCATAAAGAAGGACTGGTCTCCAGCGAGAAAGTCGCCAAGGAATGGTGATAACTTGGCGAGCTGGTCATCGGTGAATGCCTCGCGTCTAAAGCCCACAGAGTAGTCAGGTTGAGGACGACTCCCAGCCAGCGGGATCGAGTTGTTCCAGCCCTCGTTGACACTCTCGACCAATACATCAAGGTGCTTGGCGCCAAATGTGGCAAGACTCTCAGCCGAGGGAACGATAAGCCGGGTAATATCCTGGATGACGCGGGCCTCGTTTCTCTTTTGGATCTTTTGACACGTTGATTCGAAAATATCGTCTCGGAATAGCGAATCCTCAGGAACAGCTTGAGGCGCCTCGAGCAAAGACGTGGTAAGAGTTTTGCTTGCACTAGTAATATCTAGGCTGGATTTGCCCATGAAACTACTTTTGGTTTCGAGGAGTGTCTCATATCGCGAATCTCGGTAGGGCGCACTCTTCTCTTCCCTCGGCTTCTGATCGCTAGGCGTTGCTGTGGACGCCGCAGAGTTCGACCGCTTGCGACCAAGTGACGATAAAGACTTTTTCCGGGCAAGCAAGTGCTCCATATCAAGTTCAAAATATTCTTGCGGCCAGTGTCCCTGCCTCGCCCAAAATTCGGTCGGGTTGGTGGGCTCGGTCGGCTCGTGGGTGATACCGTTGATTGTTGCGGGTCTGTCTGGAGTCGTCTCTGCCTTGGGAGATCGACGAGACCGCTTCGGAGAGGAGTCAATGTCGTGATCGAGTGCGTCAACGCGTCGTTTCGTAGTATTCTTGGCTGGATATGAATGCGATTGATCGGAGTTGGAGCTCTCGCGAGTCAGCTTCTGCTGGAGACGTGTCGAGCGACGACGGTTGGTTCTGTGCTTCGCGACGCCCTGGGGCCGCTGTCCTGGCGTTCCGTCAGCGAGCACATCTCTCGGCGCTTGATGAAACGCGTACCTTGATCTTTTGGCGCCGGTGATGCATGCCCCCCGGGGGGCAGCCGTGCTCTGTGAGCCATGGCAAGGGAGAATGTTGATGGGTGATGATGTGACCAAGTAAATTGTGTGGGTGAAGTCAAGTTGCTAACCAACAGTTAAGCGCCGATCAGGTGGAGACAAGCAGCCCCGCTGCAGCGATTCGCTCTCGTAATCGATAACACGAGAGCTACCAACACGCAACAACCAGAGATCGAATACACACGTATTATTGCCCCAAAGAAGCGCTATTATTAGCAGTATTTGTTTGGATCCAACAAAAGCTGCTTTTGGAGCACTGTGTCGCAAGAGAAGTGACGGTTTACCCGCGTTTCACTTTCCCCAGGAGCTGCCCAAAAGCCACTCAATAGCGATTGTCGGGCCTTAGATTTGGACCCGAACTGGTCAGTCAAACGGAGGGGGTGGAATGAACGGACTGGACTGCGTCAGCCAGGAGGGATGTACAGCTGAGAGCCATTGTAGCCATAGTTCAACTGAATAAATGGCTGGAGATTAAAACAATTACTGATGGGTATTAAAAAGCAGCGAGGCTTGGATTTGTCGCCGCCTAACTGCTTCGCTACGCAGAAACGTTCTACAATCAAATCGTATGGGCTAGATACCCTATAGCCAATCTTCTGCTACCTATCTGGGGCAACATTAAACGCATCACAAAATGAATAAAGGGGTATAAATTCCAATGCTGTAGATTCTGTAATAAAATTGATCTTCTCAATGCCTCAATCGTTTGATTCAAATTTTGCGGCTGTCGTACCTAGAGATTTTATCTCACAGGCGTCCTTGAGCTGATGGGTATATCACATGTTAACATCAGTCTTCAATGGGAACTCCATGAACTAATTTCTGACACCGAACATGGATTAAGGAACCGGCTATTTTAAGATGTTTGAAGATTTCAGGTTTGTCTCACCGCGTCATCATCAAATAACCTCTCCTTTCCTTCCATCAAGACAAAAGTGCGGCTGCCTGATACCATCTCAACCACCAAGTACTTGACCATTACCTGATTTTCAAGATGCCGCATCTAAACAGCTGGTTCTATCGTATCGCCGAGTATGTATACTCACTGCCTGAGCCGCCGCCTCGTGTGCGAACAAAGCCAATGGAGGTCATATGCATCGGCATGCCACGCACGGGCACTGAGTCGCTTCAACACGCTCTACTGACACTGGGTGCGAGGCCTTTCATCCCAACTGATCCCGGCGCACAAGCTCGCTGACTCTTTGTAGGTTACGATCACACCTACCACGGTTGGGATATCAATTTTGAGTCTCCCAACTATGCTCAGCAATGGGTTCGCCTTTGCCAAAAAAAGTAAGTAAAGATATCGCGTCAAAATTCATAGATCTCTAACAAGTAAATGGCAGATGGTACGCTCCCGAGGGCGGCGACGTCCAGCTCACGGCGGAGGACTTTGACAAAGTCATGGGACACGCCGTCGCTGTTGCAGACGCTCCCGCTTCAGTCTTCGCTGCCGAGCTTATCCAAGCGTACCCCGAGGCCAAGATAATCCTCAACTACCGGAAGGACATCGATGCCTGGCACAAGAGTCTGATGGGTACTCTGGCGCGAGGGCCCACGCTCTGGACTTTCTGGATCCTTGCCTGCCTCGACAAGGAGTGCTTCTGGAATTGGCAGTGCTATCTCGGGTACATGTGGCCAGGGCTCTTCCGCGCGATTGATGGAAGGGTTGAGACGGGGATGCTGCGCAACGCAAAATGGGTCTACCGCGGTATGTCTCTGACCCACGCTCTCGCCTTGTTTTTCACCCTACCTTTTCTTTCTGTTGGACTCACTGACAAAAATACAAGCTCACTATGCAATGGTTCGAGGCATGGTACCCAAGGACAGACTCCTGGAATGGTCTGTCGACGATGGCTGGGAGCCCTTGTGCGAATTTCTCGGCAAGCCTGTCCCAGAGGAGCCGTTTCCACATACCAATACTGCAGCAGGTTTTGCTGGGCAGGAGAAGAAGCTGGCAATGAGATATGTGATGGGGGCGGCGAAAAACCTTGCAATAATCCTTGGTACAATCTCGGTCGGCGCTGGTGCTGTATATGCTTGGTATCGCTAGCTTTTTGCCCGTGTCCTGGCGCTAATGACATAGTGATGAAGTTGGCCCTTCACAATGTTGGGAAGCCATGGCTAGATGAGGGCGAGCGCTTTTGTTGGTTGCATCTTGTGCACATTTTTCTTGGCTGGTACGAGTTGTCCGCCAAACCAAAATTTGGCAACGACTTCTGCAACCATCGAATCAATTCAAATCAAGTGCAGAATCAACTTAAAGAGGATGCTCCCAATGTAAATCAGACAGACTTTGGATTGCCTGAAAACCGTAAGCGAACCTGTGATGGGCCATAGATATGTACCCTCACCTCAAGCTTGAGCTGACTAGGCGAAGAATGCCAGCCCTCAGTTTCAAGGAGTTTCTGAGAACAAAGTGAGAAGGCGGTGAGAGTGACACAACTGCCCATGGCCACCCACTAAGCCAAGGTGAACTCTCACTTCTTTCTTATCCCCCAAGCCAAAGTGAACTCCCACTTCTCCACCCTCCAACCATCTCAGACACTCAAGCTTCATGGTCTTTGCACCCAACGCACTCACCCCGCAAGCCCCTTTGTAGCCCATGAGCAAGATTTTGCGAAGCCATGATCCGATTTCATTCTTGGGGGCGGGAGTATGGGGACCACTGGCAAGGTCAGATTATCGACCCGAACGAACTCGTCGATCCACACTCCGACCCTCGATCAGCCTTTACACCGGTTGTCCTTGACAAGAATGGGGAGTATTCTGAACCCCTGACTCGAGGGTTCTTGAAGGAGAGGATTTGCGCTTGTTGGAACGTGACGAACATTGGCTTGTTCTTCCAGTTGATGCAGTGCAACAGAACTGACCACAAGGCTTTTCTGTTTCGCACATCCTTTACAGGTCTTTCGATTGAAAACTGTACAATTCTCTGGCGTGTTGCACAGGTATTTTCCATGCAAGATGCCACTACCAAAGTGGGAAATGCATTGAAGAAGGTTTATGCAAGCTCTTTTAGCAGGAATCAGGAACAAAGTTGGGTTGAAGACGAAGCATTCCGCATTCTGGTACGTTCACCATGTTTCTTCTGGCTTCGGGCCTCCACAAACCTCCTCCACCAGTTTCTACGATATTTTGCAGTCTGACATTGGTTCACGCAGGTCCAAGGCCTTGATTCCACACAAAAGACCACGACCGCTTTGCCGACTACGTTGCAGACCACTCCATCGACTACATTGACACGCCAACTGGACGCCACTATCGCACAGCACAACGAGAGCGGCATCGAATTCGCCGTAGCTGGAATCCGAGAACCAGCCAAGGGCACTTTGAAGTTTCTTCCCTTGAAGCCTATTGTTGATGATTTTTCGAGCACGGAGGCCAAAGATCATTTAGCTCAACTCGTCACTAGAGTAGAGAAAGCGATTTCTAGACGGGACAAGTTCATCGTTGATCAGCTACACACGGAGGACGCCGAAATAGACAAAGAGCTTTGCAGACTGCGTAGGAAGAATTGGCAAGACGAAATGGCGGAAGAAGCCCATCATGGGATTATGAAGCTCGGAAATTACCTCGACACCCTCGGTGATGATGGCGAATATCTGCCACCAAACAGCCGCGCAAGGAAAGCTCTGAACGCGCTCGAGGGGGAAATCAAGAAACTACGCACCAAACGAACTCTAGAGTATGAATCGGAATTTGCAACCCTCAGAGAAAAGAAAAAAAGGATGAAGACACAAGTTGCGCTCCTCGAGAAGACAGAACGTACCTTGTCCCCTGAGGAAGTCTCGGCCTGCGTCAAAGTTTATTAGGAATAAATTCATGGCGGCTTGAGATCTGACCATGAGAATACGCTGGAGCCTACCATAATAACAACAAAAGTCTCAACGTGCTGAAGGAAGCCTTGGCGGAATCAGAAGATGGTCACTCAGATCGAATTCGCACACTTGTCCCAATTTTCAAAGGCAAAATTGTCTCACATGATCTGAGCCGATCAATCAAGTGTTTGACATCTATCAGATTGTCCTCTTCCAATCTAATTCGCCAACACGAAAGGATGGCTTTATTGTGAAACGACGATTCTGGCTCTTCTTGCTACATAGCTCAAATACCAAGATAGCTTTAGAGCATTCGATACAATCAATTTCCGGTGTAACTTCTCTGATCTTCCTAGAGTGATGAATGGCCTAGAGATGGCCTAGAGATGACCAGAACCTTTCCGTCTCAACTTGAGCTGGTCAAATGAACAAGTAAGTGCACAATCAGATGGAGTTTCCAACTCCAACTCTGTAAATCCCAATTTTCCGGACAGCCTTTACCTCGCAACCGCCGTGAGCTTCACATTGAGCTCTCCCTTTGACCAGAGGCTCCAGATCTTCTGCTGGTCCCATTCTCTGCTTTCAGGCATCAACTCTAGATCAAACTTCCAAAGAAGTCGGGCCAGAATAAGACGCATCTCGGCATAGGCGAGGCTATAGAATCAATCTCAGCATTTGCAAATTAAACATGAGAGCACAGAATTGATACAAAAACTTACTTCTTGCCAATGCAGTTTCTTGGACCAATGGAAAATGGGTTGAGAACAGACTTTGCATCCGACTTGTACTTCGGGTCACCTTCAGGCAGCCAGCGCTCAGGAACGAACTGCTGAGGGTCGCGGAAATTCCTATCGCTGTAGTATGATGACAATTGCGAGACCGATACAGATGTCTAGTTGGCCCAGCAAGTCAGTAGATATAATCACACGGGATTTGTCGAGGAGCCTTTGATGAAGTTTCTCCAGCGTAGATACTCACTCCTTCAGGAATCCAATAGCCATCAATGAATTCGCCACCAGAAGGCGCGAGTCGAGGAAGACCGATTGGAACAGGCGGATCTAGAACAAGATTGTAAGCAAATGAGGCGAAGAATGGTACCAGGAAGACCTACACATCCGAAAGCCCTCATTCAGTGTAGCGATCATAAAAGGGAGTTCGTTGACTCGCAAGAGTGTCATTTCCTCCTCCGATTGGAAGGTAGACCTGATTTCCTTTGTGAGCTTATCGTATGACTCTCGGTTTTTCAAGAGATGGAAGGTTGTGCCACTGAGCAAGGTCGCGGTGGTCTCACTACCCGCGATGATTAGAATTCCAGCATTCTCAACCATCTCGCCCTTACTAAGACCCTTCTCACCGCTATGGCGAAGGATATAGGACATGAAATCTTCTCTCTCCATGTTTCCACTTTCTACTCGGTTCAAAGTGGTTTCTTTTGTAAGCTTGAAATGCTCTTTGCTCCTCTTTATGAGTTCTGATGGCATGAAAAGCTTGGTCAAATACTTTAGTATCGGATGCCGCTTGAGAATTTGAGACAATGATGAAAACTGAACATCGTCAAAGATCATCGAGACCCACGGATGGTAGCCTCCGCTCTCCAGGCATCCGAAAGGCTGACCGAAAGATAAGTCACCGATCAGATCGAAAGTGGTAAAATTGAACCACTTGACAATGTCCAATTGCTGTCCGCTTTTGGCGTACTCACTCATCTTGGTGATGAACAAGTCGACATATTGTTTCATGATGGCCTCCTGTCCTCTCAGAGCTTTCTCGGAGAACGCATGGGATATTAGTCGACGCATGCGCTTATGGTCCTCCCTGTTGGCGTTGATGATGTGGGGATCATCCGAGTGAACTGACTTCCCGTAGAATCTAGAATCTTTACTGAAATTCTTAGCGGCTAATGTCTTGTGGTCGTATATGGTCTTCCAGGCATCCGCTGTGGTGAATGATACGTCTCCAGGAGTGTATCTGACCGCTGGTCCGTATTTCTCGTGAAGGCTTCTCAGAACATGTGGCCAGGTTCCCTTGGCAATGTGATATAAGTATGGCAGATCTGTAAGGGTGTAGATGAATGGTCCCGGTATTTTCGATAACGGGTGGAAGAAGACCAAGTACAGGCTCCTTACTATGGTACAGACGACGAACTACATACCTAATTAGCACACGATGGGTGAGCACGGAGGATGAAACTTACAAGTACGCCAGCGCCAAGGGCTAGGTAGGGAAAGTGTTCCCGTGAGAGTTCCATTTTGGCAGCAAATCGAGCTCAAAGTTTGATTGCTAGACCGGTATAACTGCCAAGGCAGCAATGAACACGTCCTCTTGCTGTTCAAGGGGAAATAGATGGTCAACACCTATCGAGAGTGGTGCTCGGGCGACTTGAAAGGATGAGATAGATTTTAGGAGATTCCCTGGTCAACAGTGCTGGGAACCGTCTCATTTATAGCCACGGCCTCGGTTTCTTTGTCATGTCTCGGTGTTTTCTCAAGAGCTTCATCCCGGTATTCTCCCCCCCTCGTGCGCGCGCGACGGCCATCTCGGTAAATTTCAAGATTTTAGATCTTCTGTCCTCGGAAAATCCATATACAACATAGGGTGCGTCACGCGCGGTTACATTTCATGGCCGCCTGCAGATTCTTAGCGGGCCATCGTAACGTCAAGAAGCCTTTAGAGGAGAAATGAAACCTATCAAGTGGAGTCAGGAAGCATTGACGTATGAAAACTGGATGGTTACGAATCGTCGACTTGACGCTTCAAGGATTCGTGCATATCAGCTCAATGCAAGTATCGATGCTACGCCACCAGGATTTCATACTCCTGGTCTTAAACCAAAAAGACTCGCTTTGCTATAATCTGTATCACCACAACTCAATATCGGATAAACACTTGCTACAAAGGATGGACTTTGGTGTTCATTGTTGCCTTAGAGAACAACCATACCACGCAACTCAAGCCAATCAAATTATCCTATATTGATAGTTAAGAGAGTTGCTAAAGGCAAAGACTACACTCCCACCATGTATCCATGCTGCCGGTGGCAGGCAAGGGGATGCCTGTAGGATGTGGGTATTCGGGGTTTATGTGCCCACTCGGAGTCCTATGACGGGGAGTCTTGATACCCGATGACCCGATGAATGTTGGAAGATATGACTGATTAGTTTTCATCCCCCACGCGCTTTTATCCAACTTCAGTTGAAGAAATCTGATGGCAATGAATGGCTTCCTTGGCTCACACAAGGCTAGCCCACGTAGATCTCCCGCCTCCTCAACCTAGCCCCCAGACCCCAGCACAACTGGATTACGACGCTCTTCTACACCTGCCTATTGTGACTCTACCCGCATGCCTAGTGATCTTTGCCATAAATTGCAGTTGCCGACTATTAAAAATGGCAAAACTACATACCTATGAATGCATAGCTTATCTACAGACATACATCTATTGGTCCATCATCCAAATTTCTCAGGGTCAATAGTAACTCCCGAAGTAGCAAAAGGGTCCCAAGAATGGCGTCTCATCAGGAATGAAACTCACGCCCGGCTTCTCTTTCGCCACCTCTAACATTCTAAGGATAGTATATTCCTCTCCCTTTCCAGTTGCTCTCCCAGCCCAGACCACATATTCACTCGTAGTACGACAATCCTTAGTCTTATTATCAATTAAGTGACATACCGACGTATCAGTCCAAAATGTGGCAGACAGAAGCCACAGTATTTGTAGCTCTTTATTTTGTGCAAGTTTTGGGCATCGGTCCTGTTTTTAAGAACTCGACGGTCGGCCGCCTCTCGCCTCCCAGTACAATATCAAAAGTAGTCGTTCCCTCAACCTTTGTAGCTGCTCTGAATTCTACCCACCCATTGTTCTTCACACCGGTAGATTCGAAATTCACCGTCTCCCATTCCAGGGCTGGAGTAACAGCAACATCACGCTTCTTCTTATGGACGACTTCCAAAGTCAGAGGCTTGGAAGCCTCATCCTCGCGGACCATGGCAAAGACAGACACGGGAATCATCCCATCAACGATGTTACCAGAGTCGAAGCAGGAATCAGACAGCTGGTACAAAACAGTATCGTCCACGGGGTATCCGCCTGTTCCTTGGTTGTCATATATGACAGTTTCGTTAGTGGAAGGTGTAGTTTCACGAATAGTGAATTTGCTAATTCCGGTCGCGCCCTTTACAGTAGTCTTGAAATTGAAGTTGATGAATGATTCACCATGGAGGCCAATGCTGAGGCCGAGCTTATAGGTTTCCTTGACGGCAGTAACCACGTGCTCTTGAGCCCCATCTCTATCGTAGTAGATGAGATCAGCAGCTATATCATTGCATTTTCGACCTGAGCCTTCCGTGACTCGGAAGCGAAGGTAGCCTGTGAAAGTGATATCGCCGCCCTCGGTCAGAAGGAGCTGGCTGACATACGGCTTAACCTCGTACGGTTCAATGACATCGCTCAGATGGACATTGCTTGGCACAGTATCAATCATGCGGTTGAAGACGTCGGCGCACATATTCAGGAAGGTCTTTCCGTCCTGCATCTTGGTCATGGTCGTATTTCCATCCGAGGAAAAGACGCGCTTGTCAGCGTTGAAGGTGTCATTGGATGCCACCACCAGAGGATTCTTTGTGGAGCCGTCGAGGTACTCGTTGACCACTCCATTATTGATCTTGGAAACGTCCTTTTGGAAGGTGACAAGCGTATCGTTGCTAGGGTCGGCGGGGATATCGACAATCTCCGGACTGTTAACACTATGAACGCCGCCGAGCGTGTGACCGCAGGCAACCATGGTTATCATTTCTTCCTTGGTAAACCCTGCCTTGGAGAAAGTCTCCAGCACGGTATCCAGGTCAGTGTGTGCCTCCGGGACACCGAAAGGGCCAGCTTCGGTTGCATCTATCCGCCCACCGCGGTACTGCAGCTTATTTCCGCCGCATGCACCGCTGACAGTAACCACACCCAAAGCTACTAGATCGGCGGCCGACGAACGAACTGTATGGAATCCACTGAAGAATCCCCAGGTGTTGCGGAATGCACTGCCTTCGTTCTCGGCACGATCTAATTCAAAGAAGATGGACGCATCCACACCGCCAGTTTCCAACTCCGCATTGTGTGTTACCATGTCATGGAAGGCCGTTCTCAACCACTGTGCGGAGTTGTGGCGGCCTTTTTCGTTTTGAGCAAAGTCACAAGGGTTCACAGCTGCGGGTAAGGAGGTAGATGTAAGCGAGATCCGCATCCAATCAAGTGTTATAGATGAGCGTTCTTACCGTCAATGAAACCCTGCCGGTTGATCCCAGACATCATGGTATAAAGATTCTCAAGCTCGTCCCATTTGGAGGGCCAGACGAGCTGCCCGGCAGCCACTGAGTGGGCCAAAGCGAGAGTAGTGATCGCAAACGACTTCATAGTGAGAAGGTCGCAACCAAAAGGTGAAGGAGAATATCAACGAAGGTGAAAATAAGAATGAGAACGTCTGAAACAGAGACGGGAGTGCTAGCCCTACACTTATAGCCAGCATCCTTTTCCTACACTCCAGTCACCGCCACCAGGTTTCAAGCAACCTAGAGCCTACAGAATTGTCTTGGCGCAAACGGCCCAGCCGTAGATGGTTTGGGAACAGATTGAGAATGTAAAGCTCCGATACTCGCTCCAATCACTGAAAGGAGATTTGTGATGCAACCTCAGTAGGTGGGCCAGGGGTCCCTTTTCCTCTCGTATCAATTTAAAATACGAGCTCCTTTCCTCAACAGCGCAAACCCCCACTCTGAAATAAAATACCCTTATCTTCTTGAAGCTTGGGCTGCGGAAAAACGACCAGGTCCACCAAAAATTCACGGCACTTGAGAGGGAGCGGAACTTGGCAATGTCACTCCTGCAATCCTCTAACCAAAATAGCCACTTGGGTTCCTTCAGCTGAGTTATTACTATTCTATTTTTATCGTGACGTCACTGAGCGTCCGCCGTGTATGCCCCAAACAAATCTGCATCTCAAAACCTGGCTGCATGAGGTCGCTGTTAGCGGTTGAGCCGGATAATGAGTCTTTGTGACGAAGAGAATGTTTTTTTTTAATCGCTTAGAGATGAAATATCACACTTCATGAGCGGTGCATAGTCTACACCAAAAGGTTCCCCGTTTTTAGAGTCATCAAGGGGTTGTCAGATATGGTATGCTTTCATCATTCAGCAAACAGTAGCTCTTTGTAGAGAATTGTGATTCCAGGTAAACCACACAGTGCCCCATTCAAGCCTTCCAAACGGAAAGGAGAAGAAGGGAAGAAAAAAGTCGATAGCTTGTGAGTTTTCCGAGCAACATTGGACCTAAACTGTTAAACAGACCACCCAACAAGTCAAATGGCTGGCGAAAGACCTTCAACATTGTAACTCAAAACATCTGACTCGTTATCCTCACCCTCTAAGGCCGTGACTTTTCAGAATTAAAGCTCTGAGGAACAACAGAATTGAATATATGGTGCCCATTTGACTTATCTAAATCCAAAGTTGTGCTTCGGTCTGACCGTTTTCCCTAGACTAAGAGTCCTCTGCTACAGTTCAGCAGAAACAGGAGCCATTATACCTCTAATTCCTCTATCAAGATCTACATCAACCTTCTTCCCCCTCAAGATTTGGTAAGATGAGTCAGCTTGCCGACACAGCCTCGCAAGGCAGACCTAGAGGCTGATGATGACTTCCCCGCACGGCCAGCCTCAGAAGCACATGAATTCGCAAGCATTGATCCATGATGATTCGCAAGAAATTTTGGTCAGCCGTGCTTCAAGTCCAATCTTGAGATCACGAATCATGGATCTCGGACATTGTGGGCTGGATGATGACTCCCTCCCCCCTCCGTCATTTAACGACATGCTCTGCTAGGATTGTCGCCGTATTGATCTAAGCCCTCTTCTTTTAGCACCAAAACATAGCACTGTATCTTCGTCTAAACCAGCCAGCGCATACGAAGACAAGGCAGCCATATTTATTGATCAGTTTTTTTCAACAAATGCCCTCAACTCTGATAACTGTTCTCTTTGTACCCTCCTTGCGGAGTGTGCTAGGCGAGCAGGTGGCGCCGGCAGACTTTCGAGAGTGCGATGCTGCCTTCGACCTAAACTCCGTTGGTCATATACACCTGTATTAGATTCAGCTGTGAAAGGAGGACTGGGGAGTCAACTTGAGCATGCCGGACAAATACATGTCTGGTTCCAGGAATTGAAAAATCTACAGCCAGTCAGACAAGGATATCCTGTGCCATCAGCAAGCCGCCTTTCAGCACATAGCGCACAGGACCGCCTTACTGCATTAGTACGAGACTGGACAGAATCAAAACGAAGACGGCTTTCAGAATTTCGCCTTCATTCAAGTCACCGTCCCCTACAGCCACCTGAAGTTCCAGAATTAGGTCCTGCTACAGCCTCAGTCTCCAATAAGGAAAATAAACCTAATCAAATCCCAGAGCTGAGCCCATTTGCCCTTCAAGACAACACTGAGCAAACATATGATATATTATCCGGAGAAAACCTTGAAATAAAGAATTCCAAACCCGCCGTCGCTCCATGGATGATTGATGTCATAGGGCCGAATAGTACTGGTCCAAACGCAGAGAGAGCCACTATCCCTCCCATAGCTGATGTCAACCTGCTCCGGCAGTGGCTTTACGAATGCAGCACTCAGCATCTTCATCCGCAAGAGTCCTTGGATCAATATTCTCGAATTGGAGAGGTGCTGCGACGTGGAGTGCTGAGAGCTATCAACACCACTACAGGACAAATAGAAACCCAGGATTCTTTGGTACCTTTTGTGGCCCTCTCTTATGTTTGGGGCCAAACGGTACACCTTACCCCGAGCCTAGAATCGAAGTCCATTGCGGATTATGCACCGTCCATACGAGATGCTGCTGATCCGCTGGGAATCCCGGGAGCCAGTTCCCAGAGAGAGCGCTACTCAAACATGGACATACTCCTCAGTTTTTCGAGACGGCATTGACCTGGCAGCATGAGGAGAACTTCCAGAAGCGACAGCCACTCAATGGGAAGCCATTCGTACCGAGCTGGAGCTGGGCATCCGCGGGTACCAAGGTCCATTTCCTTGACAATGGAAAGGAGAACGGCCGAAGCTGCTTCTTCGACTTTACTTGCCTAGAAGGACACGATGTTCTGGCACTGCCTGGGCAATCCTTCTTCGTAGCTAAAAGATTGGCGTTGGCTGAGCCCCTGGATATTCTCCAATCCCAGCCTTGGATGAGAAACCGCAGCGCTCCTGTCAGCCGCCACAAAGCAGATGAAACCCTTCCTCAACTTCCTTCCCTCCATTTGTTAACGGTCGTTTTTGGTGGTAATTTGGTTCGTCTAGACAAAGAAGTACACAGCCTTATTGGTCTGTATAACAGCCATGGGCAGGCACCACTCAAAGGAAGGTGGTCAGTAGATATCGCCAATCGAACTGAGATTGGTTTAGTAGCAAGAAAGCTATTCGCTATCGTCGCAGGCAACTTGAACATATTTGTCATGGTGCTTCAAACGACCTCGAAGGAAAACACATACACGCGTTACGGACTTTTTCCTGTGTCGATTTCCAGCCATCGCTCATTATTCGCAATTATGAGAAGAGGAAATCCGCGTTGGCAGTATATCTCGATTATTTAGAGTATTCATGAAGATTTGCTTTATCCTTTCTATCTTTTCATGTCTGGATTTGTATAACTCACATATTAAAAATCTTTTACAGTTTCCTTGCGCTCTCAGTAAATGTATGTAGCCAGACATGGCTTGTGTCAAGCCTGTCTGTGTCCTGTTCTAGATCCCCAAATCATCTCGAACTGAAATCCGAGTGACGGCGCAGCAAGCCTCCCAGATTCGTACTAGATATAAATAAGGAAGATTCGAAGTGAAAAAAACCGCCATTACTGGGAGCCAAATTAAGAGGTATCTAAGGCAGAGTGACAGTCAAGACATTCTGGGCCTCATACACTGATGCACCTGAGCCGTAGTATTTCACCATTCACAATTCCCAAGCAAAGCGAGAAAGTTAAGCCAAATGACTTTTGAAAAGGATATATTGAATATATTCTTGAAGCTATGTTTGTCGCTCACACAGTGGCTGGGTATCTCAATCAATGAATCAATCAAAGGACGACTCTCATCGCCCCATCGCATCTCCAGCTCGGCAGGCTCTACACCTGCAATCCGCTCCAGGCCACGGCCTGCGTCTGCTTCCGAACCTTGTACGTCCCATCGGGCATCTTCTCAAAGTACTCGAACAGCCCGGCCATGGACCCGGTCATCTTGTCCGCATCCTGCTCCGAGCCACTCGACGACCGCACCGGCAATGCGCGTCCACCGCTGCGGGCCTCCTCGACCGCCTTGAAGAAGCCCAGGTCGTCCAGGATTTGTCGGATCTGCGCTGAGGAGAGCCCGACCAGCTGTGACGGGACGGTGGGCGAGCTAGGTTCACCCTCGGACGAAGGCGCGGGGTGGACAAACTCGGGCACATCGTCTCTGATGCGCTCACAGGTCCAGCAGATGCAAATTTCTGAAGAGGAGGAGGAGGTGGACTCGTTCGAATCCACCACGTCCAGCGGCTCCGACGTGTCAGGGGACGACAGCGTGGCCGACCTCTGGTGCGTCGGTTCGACGTCGCGTCCGTCCTGATATTTCGGGTAATCCCTCATCACGCGCTGGAAGCACTCGTACTGCTCCGAGTACAGACGGTGCGTCCTCCAGATGAGCTCGACGCCGAAATGCAGCGCCCTGTCGCCGTCCATCGCCTCGCCGCCCTCGAGCAGCTGCAGGGCGAAGTAGGCCACCGACGCGCGCTCGAGCGACCCATGCAGCGACGGGCCGCGGATCCAGAGGAGCCTGTGCGCCTCGTCTATGAAATCGTCGTGGCGCTTCGCGACGTCGAAGAGGTCGATGTGCAGGCGCATGTCGTGCTCGGCGTACGCGGGGGGGTCGCGGAGGTACGAGGGCAGCTCGGCGGACTGGCCGGACATGGTGTCGAAGAGCACCTCGGCCGCGCGGGGGAGCGCGTACTCCATCGTGTGGACGTCGAGGACCTCGCGGAGGGCGGCCCAGGGGAAGCAGAGCTGGCGGACGTGGTCGGAGTGGCGGGGGTCGCCGCACTCGAGGCGGTAGGCGTCGGTCTCGAGCATGAAGGTGTACCAGACGAAGAGGACGTCGAGCGGGGGCAGGTAGTCCTTTGTGAGCTGGACGCCGATGCGCTCGGTGGGACGGTAGGCGTAGATGGCGGCGTGGTTGAGGACGGCGTCAATGTTTGCCCACCACGCCTCGAAGCGCGTGACGGCCAGCCGGATCAGGGTATGCCATCGGTGCGTGTCGTGGGGCGTCGACTCGGCACCATCGTCGTGGGACAGCCTCTCCTCGTAGGCAGGGGGGCAGTCAAGCTCGACCTCGGTGGCGCTGAGGCGGAGGTTGTAGAAACACTCGAGCAGAGCGAGGTGGACAGCGGCGTGGCTGACGTCAGGGTAGACGAGAGGGTTCTTCTCGGTGTTGTACTCGATGTGGCCCGGGATGTGAGCGTTGGCAAAGATCTTGGGGTTTGGGATCACGGTCTGGAGCTTGCCGCCCGGCTTGGGGGTGGGATACGATGAGGGGGATGGCAGCGTCCAAGAATGAGGCTCGAGCCCAACTTGGCTTGCTGAGATGGCCTTACGAACACGATTAAGCAGCAACATGCGCTGGATGGATAGACGAGTGATACAGAAGAGTACGAGGAGCAGGAATCAAACAATGATGGAGTACAAGGGGGGGAGGGGGCAGCCGAGGGAGGGGCTAGCTTATGAAGGAACTGGGACGTTCGAGGTACCAGAGACAATAAGCTTAATTTTAATTCATCTACCGGTCGGAGTGACGCAAACTGCTGCTGCTCGCTTGGGGGAGAGCACAAGAAAGAAAGGCTCAAGGCACGAATATCTGCCTGCCAGCAACGGAGTGACGCGCGGCGAACCCGCAGTAGGTTCTTGGCGGGCGTATGCTAGTGAGCCTTGGCATTACTGGACATGAGACCTCTCAGTTGATCAAAAGCGACTGAGGGCTGGGAGTTGGAGGCCTGTGGCAGGGGTGAGGCGATCATGGGCAGGGCCATGACTGAGGCCAGCTCCCTATTAGCACGCTCCCCGCAGCCTCAACTCTCTTGGCCTGGCCCTACGAGCGAATAACGACATTAGGGGTAGACCGTGCGAGTTCCTATCAGGCCTAGTGTGCGGCGCAGATAATCCAGATATCTCGCGGGCGGGAGGAAGAGAGCAGGTGGTTGGCATTCAGATGGTTCCGTCACATGGCTGATTCGGCTAATTTCATCCTAATCAATCATCGAGCCTTTCTTTTCTCACCAGCCATCTATTCCCAATGCTCTTCCCTATCAGTCCACTTTGCAGGCAGGTGGAGTGGAGGTTTGGTTTGGTGTCGGGCGTAAGAATTGAGTCAAGGATGGCTGCCAAGAACAACACAATTTGGCCGTTCGTCACCGCATCATCGTGCTCTTGGAAAAAAGAGCGAGTCATTTAAAATTTGCTTGAATGGGCAGCACGAATCAAATGGAATAGGCCACACCGCAGTTCGTATTGCTTCATGCATGCTCTTCTCACATTTGCTGGGAACATTTGTGCAGGTGCAGGGTAGGCTGCCAATACGCGTGTTGGTCCCAATAAGAAAGATGGTCCAGTGTTACTAGGAAAAAAAAAGAGCAAAAAAGAAAAAAAGTCAAAAAAGATGTTATCAATCGTTCATTATAGGAACAGCCCGATGCGGGGGTCGAACCCGCAACCTTGAGATGTGAACTCGTAAGAGTCTCACGCTCTACCGATTGAGCTAACCGGGCACCTTTCCGGGTGCTTGTGATGTTCTTGACCGTTCCCCAATATCATACCATGAAGTTTTCCCAGACCAGCCAGGCACGAGGCTGCAGTCAACAACTGGCGCATGGAACGAGGTAGTGGCCGAGTAAAGCAATAGGCGCACTGAACAACGTACATCTTCTCAGAAATTCACAAGTGTTGTTACTACATCGGTGCCTGGATAAAACAGCCATTAAATCGCCCCTCATAGAACGCCCCTAGCTGAAAGAATCTTCCATGTTGTCGAGAAAAACATAACTCGAGATGGTACTGTTGACTTATGAACCTGACCCATACCGAAAGAAAGGCCCTCCATACCCGTTCCCAACTACGTTTCCATTTCCTCAGAAAAGCCACCCCAGAATCCTTGAGAAACATTAACAAACATGGGAGGCACAGCCAGGTCCATGTCGATATTCATGGTATTATACATATCCGCATCAGACAGCATTGAGACATCTGTCCCGAATGGCTCCAGGCCGACGAAACCTGATGCCTCTGTCTCAACCTCAGCTTCGTTCTCGTTGCTAAACTCGCTTTGGGGAGACGGCATGACCAATCCCGGCAAGGGCCGCGGCTGGCCATCTTCTGGGGTTGCGCCTTGACCTTGGCTCGAGCTATTCTCGGGTTCAGAGTGGTCAGGCTGGCCGACTGGGGAGTTTTGCAAGGCGCCGTAGTCGATGACAGAATTGTGCAGCGCCTTGCCTTCCGTCGTGTTGCTTACTGCTGTGTCTCCTCCAGCTTTGATGTTAGAGTAAAAGAACTGCATCCTTTGTATAGTGTTCCTCTATTATATCACCAGAATTAGTATTATTATACTTGAACTCGTGTGCGGAGGGAAAAGATACTTACCCAAGTGTCAGCCATTGGCCATGCTTGCCTCATCTCTTTGAGAACATCGCATCCTTCCACAACACGAGTCCGCCAAGACTGGATCCGAGTCTCCTCTGCCCCTGGAAATGGGAAATGGAAGAAGAACAGAAGTGCGCCAACGGCTGTGTAGCTTGCGAACCCGACGCAAGGCACAAGCCCGCGGAGGAAGAACAGCCCAAAGTTTCGCATTTCGTGGAGCATCTCGCAGACCCGCTCTGCCATCTCTACGAGCTCCTCGCTCGAGTTGAGCGACCACTGCTCCCACTCTGCTGTCTTGTTGTTGCGTAGTTGGCCCACCTCGACTTCTGGGAGGTGGGAGCGGTAGAGGCAGATGATGGATACATGGTAGATGGCGTGCATGTAGCAGTACGCCTGGCCTTGGTTCGATACGGAGTGTGCTCGGAGAAGAGGCGGACTGTATCTGAGGCGCTTTGGTAGTGAGGCTCGCCAGTCCTCAAGCCGGGCGAGAAGTTTCTGTAAGCTGGACTGGGCGTTCCATGGGGGAGGCTCATCTGCATGGGATGCGCAAGCCCACTTTGCTACGTCACCCCATATGTTAGCAACGCGCATCGTATAACCAATGAGATCGAGATTTCCAACAGGAACATCGTCCCCAAGAGGCAGAGAACCGTCCAACATCTCACACCTGACGGGCTCGCCAAAGTTAAAGGTGTCTATGTCACAGGGGAGTTGGATATTCATCCTCTCAGCCGACAATGTTCGGTCCCGGGCTTTGCCGCCGCTCAATATACTGTCCATGAGAAAACAAGTCCAGGCGGTCCGTCTTCGCTCCTCTGCTGCTATGAAGTCCTCACTGGACAGATCTGGGCTTGGCGGATCCTCGTCAAACAGGCCCAAGGACTGGGCCATTCTGACAGACATGCCTAGATAGAACCATGCTCGCTTCCCTTCTCCCGCACCCCAGGAGTGACCCGTGAGCAGCAGCAGTACCTGGATACGCTGCAGGGTCGGCTCATCCACATGTGGCAAGATGAGGGACCTTGCGCGCGAGGCAAACGCGTTGCTGGCATCAATCTGGCTCGGGTAGCCAGTGGGAGAGAACTGTGAGAAGCTAGGCAAGGAGTAGAAATGTAAGTTGGATGAGACGACACATAAATCGTGGGATGGTATCTCACCGCACGGCAATGGCCAGAATAGCCCATGCGAGACAGTGATCAAGAGTCTGCCTGTGTATACTGGAGAGCAGGCTGGGCGTGTGATGGAAAGACCACTTGTAGGCGCATCTCACGTAGCACGACTTGACTTCATCTGTCAGGTAGCTGTAGGGATTGTCTAGAGGCGCGGCGGGATGGGCAGAGGAGGAGGGAGTTGCCGGCGCCGAGTCCTGGAGCTTGATCCTCGCCAGACTCAGGGGACTCCCAATGGGATACTCCCGCCGAACAGCCCGGGCGCGCTGGGATGAGAGACCCGAGGCATGCGCATGCGGTGGGAAGATGCACTCATCGCCTCGGCCCTTGCACCGGTCGCAGGGCGGTTCGCCGGTATTGATACACTGCGCAGCGAGGTGAGCGACTTAGGTCCCGGGGTGGCATGGCTTCAACTGACGCACTTTCCGCTTCGACGCCCTGCAAGCTGTGCAGGCGATGGATTTCTTCATGACCGTGGCGGTGACGAGCATCACGACACGGCATCGTTTGCTCTGGGCTGGTGTTTCGTTTCCGCGAAGACACTCAAGAGAGTTTTCTCTGTCCAGCCAATGACCAATGGGGAAACCTCGGGCTGTCTCCAGGTGAAATCTACGGCTGAAATCAATTGCCCCGCTGCTGATGCTGATATGACGCTGGTCTTGTGCTCAGATCATCCTCTCCACAGACACCACCACGCTCACTCTTGGTTAGCTTGTCCAACTGCATTGGAGTACTGATCTTTCAGGCTCTTTTGGTGTCTATTTTCAAACGTGGAATAATACTATTTATGTATCTTATTGCCCTGACCAGGTAGAACTATATATCTCTCTGGGCCCTCAACTACCAGCTATCTACCTGTGTAAATGCTTATCTTGGAACCCCCGTAGTATGTCAACACTTGAGTGTTTTCAGCGTTGCTATGTATTATTTGAGTGCTATCTCTCAACATCTAACCTAAGAGTTAGTACGCTTGGACTGGCATTGAATAGCTCGCATAAGATCAGAATCAATTCTTCAAGCGGCATCAACCATCATGATGGCCACATACGGCAATAATGAAACCATCTCATTACCCAAGCCTATCCCTTACAAATTACTATGACTTCCGTAATACCCTGGGAAGTGCAAAAGAAAAAAAAAGAAAAAAAAACCTAAAACATCATATCATAGGCCAAAACCGATAGCATCAAGTTCATCTGGACTCGGAAATGTGCTATGACCATCCAGCTCTTCACTTCACCAGAGCCTCAATTGCCCTCCAACTCAGCTCTAACACCGGCCTCTCTCAATAGTTCAAGGACCTGTGAGCGATCCCGATTATTCTCATTGACAATTCTTTCTCCAAGCTCTATGACTGTGATATTCTCCTCGACGGCTTCGTGTTCACTGGAACCCGAGACCTGGCGCGGATAATGCCAGAGCAGTCGTGCTGCAAGGTCGATATGTGAACTTGTACGAAATTTGCCTACGGTGCGTCGAAAAACATCCCATGACAGGTCCAGCGGGCTTTCCAGCATGAAAACCTGAACCAAATTGAAGTAGTGAATCGCGCTGGTGACGGAGCTCATTATAATGTCAACACAATTCCAATTCTGGTGAGCTGCGGCGAGGATGATCGGGTCCGTCTCTGGGGATTCGCCAAGAAAGGGGTTCTTCCTAGCGATGCCATGATCAATCAACAACTGGACGAGACGTGTCTCTCCCGCAATACATGCTTCCTGGAGCTGGGTTTTCGGGCCGGGGCTCGACATGTTAATGCCGTGTTTGAGGAAATGCTGCGTCATTCGATACTGGCTAGCAACAGGCCATCTCTGGACCATGAAATCCATCACAGTAGTGCACGACTCGAAATTGACATTGGCTCCGTTCTTCAGCAGAAAGTGGGTGATCCAAAACTGTTTGATATTTATATGACCCTTCTGGCGTACTGCCGCAAAGGCGGAGAGGAGCGGTGCGCAGTAGATTCGACCCTCTATCTCCCTTCCCGAGCCACAGAACCGGTTGCAGACGTCTTCGCTCCGTTCCGTGGCTTGTATGTCTGCTCCGGCTAGAATCAAAGCGCACATGCAGGTTACGCTGTTGCATGCAGCGACGGCCAGCGGCTGGCGAGGATCGAGGAGCGTACACCCGTTTGGATCGGCGCCATATCTCAACAACAGACATAGCGTCTCCCAGTCTCGCTGAACTATTAATTCGTTGAGCGGGTTGGTCGAGGTATCGTTTGATCCCTCAATGGAGGCCCCTTTCTGGAGCAGCGTTTCACAGAACAGTCGTCTCTTTGTTTTGAGAGATCCTGGGTTCTGGTAAAGCTTGCGCAGAAGCATTGCGTCCACTTGCTCTCGGTGTTTGCCGGATAATGCATGTCTCCTCCTCTCCGACACCTGGATAGCATCCATGTCTAACTGTGTAGCGTTCTGAATATTTTGGAAATGCAATTCGGTAATGAAACTAGGGACCAGTGGCTGCCAATTTATCCTTTTGGCTGCGCTATTGCCCGGCAGTGGCTCGGGTTGGCTGATTTCTCGCTCTGTTTGGGGTTGAGGGCTTGGAGACGCGATGGAAGGCTCTGGGACTGGCGAGGTAAGAATGGAAGATTCGCTCATGCCGGCTTGGCTTTGAACATCCAGGTTGAATGAAGAAAAGAGTGTCGTACGGGAAATGCTGGTTACATCGTTGCTTTGTATACTTGCGAGATCTGAACTGGTGACTGTAGACAGGTGTGTCGTCGATGGATTGTTCAGCGGGGAGCTGAACCCAATACTGCCCTCTGCACTTTGAAAACTCTCGGATGGCTCTTTATCGAATCTTACCGGCGCTTCTTGATCCTTTTTGTCGAATAGTGAGTCGCTCGCACTCACTGAAAGTGCAGGTAGCTCCGGGATAGGATTGCTGGTGATCGCAGGTCTTGCCGGCTCCTCATCTGGATCAAGAATGGTGGCCTGATAGGCTGTCTCACCGCATGTCGTGTAGTCGGCCATCTTCTCTAGCCACTGTTCAACCTTGGTTTGTGATTCCGTCGGCGATGCTTGTGTAACGAGACGGCTGAGGATCTCGTCTTTCTGCAGGATCTTGACCACCTCGGCCACCTCACGAATCACTTCGGTGTCATTCTTCACCTCTCCAACAATAGAACTGCTCGGTTTGTCAGTTGAAGCTACAAGAATTGGCGGGTGCTTACCAACATTGACATCAGATGGAGGCCGATGCCCAGTGCGACCTTGTACGACTCGAGTGATTCTCTCAGCTTCCGAATCTGATCGACCCCAAAAAGCGACCACCGCAGCTTCAGCCAGAGTGTCAATCGCCCCCGGTACTTGACCAAGAGCGATTCAATCTTCTCAACTACCGCCATCGCACCGGTAACAGCGCTGTTGATCTGCTCCAGGAGAGGGCCCAGCATCGGGTTGGACTGGGCGCCGAAGCGGGAGAGCCCAGTGGTGAGTGGGGTAATAAAGGCCTGGAAAAGGGCCAGCTCATTGGAAATGTCGCGTAAATCGTCAGATGCGTCGCGCAGGTCGACGGATATCTCTGCGATAGTGGCCACCGTCTTCACGATGCCGGCCGCGAGCGCTACCGACGCAGCAACCACAGAGATGGGCTCCATGGTACGTTCATTTCTCTGCTCCTTGTGTGGAAAATGGTAAATGAGAGAGAGAGAGAGAGGAATGTGGGAGAGCTGAGCCACCAAAAGCAAGACACCAGCTGAGCCTGGGCTGACATGAAAGGAGGGACTTAGGCCGCCACAAAGCATGCACGTTGTGCGAGATGTGAATGCTAACCAAAAATTCGCCCGTCCTACAGCCGCTGGCTTATTTGGGCTATGATGTGCCACTTGTCCTGCGGCACAATGGAGGCTGAGGTATCATGCCCACTGCCACATTAGTCGTTCGAACGTGTTGGTCGCTGATATTTAGTACTGCTTTTGGTATCTATCTAGCCAAAAGAGTACAGAATGGTGATATTTAAAGTTTTGAAACTGTCGAACCAAATCGCCTGTATCGGATACAAGTAGGCTTTACTTTGATTCATCATAAATGAGACTGTGAGATGCTGCGCCAAGAACGGCACGGCGTACAGTCCATCCAACATGATTGGCTTGGTGATCTCTCTAGCATTGCTAACCCTCATGCTGTGTCTGCCACAGAGGCCTGAGCAAATGTATGTTTTTAGTGCGGAGGGTGATATATTGACATTTGACGTGATGCTATAGAACTTTCCAAAGCTTGACCACAGACTTATTCCGGCTCGCCCCTCCAATAAAAACTACTTCTTCGCCCACCACTCTCTCGAAGATATGGAAACCAAGTTTATGTAGGACGTTGAGGCTCCCGAAATTGTCGGGGTGCACGCTTGCCTGTATCTGTATCCTGATTTGAGGATCACTCTTCCTCTTTTCAATCAGGTAATGTTCCAAAAAAGCTCTGATGCTTTCTGTTGCAAAGCCCTGACCCCATGCCGACGGCAGGAACAAGTATCCAAGATCAAGGCCAATCGCTCGGCTCGCGTCGTTGGCTACTGAGCTGCCTAGCAACTCCTCCTTGATTGGTTCTGTAGGCAGTAGTGTGAGGATGCCGATACTTTCCGAACCATCATCTGCAACACCATGGCCTGAGGCTTCTGGCCTATGGCTATGTTTCCGGGGAAGTACTGCATAGCAAACGCGCTCGTCGGACCGATCTGCTGCCGTCGAAGGTATCACGCCCGCCATCCAAGCTTGGCTAGCCGCCGTATTTTCGCATGGGCCATGGAGACTGTTTAAGAGATCAGAGAAAGAACGAGACGGTACAGGAGCTCTATATACCTCCACTGGGTGGCCTGTTTGTCTCGCCAGACATTGTGGTACAAGTCCAAGTGCACACTGCCCTCCGCGTTAGAAGTGAGCTGCATTAGCTGCAGCCTCGGAGTCTCGACTATGATCCCCGCCATTGCGTTCCACTTGGGTGTTCGTAGGGCTGGAGCTAGTGAGATAGATGGTGTTGTTAGTCTTGGAAGTTGGCCGTTCCTTCAGCGTGAGACAATAATCTCTCACCGGCCTCTGTTTTGCGCGGTAGGATTCGGTTCGGGTGGCTCAAGCTGCTGACAATCCACTATGTGGCCTTAATAAGGAGTTCTAACTTCCAATATTATGGTTGTATCGGGTGTTCTTTTATAGTGATTGAAATAGGTATCGCAAACTCGCTACCGGGGTGCCATTCTTGTACCGGGGGTTTGAGTCTCACACAAGAAATACTGTGTCTCCTTGAGTAGTTTACTAAAATCCAGGAACTCATTTTATACTAGAAGAAGGTTTGAGTTCTTATTTTGTTACTGAAAGTTGGCAGGAATATGACGCTTCGGCACTGAAAAGAAGTTCAATAACACGGATATAGTAAAAGGATGATTGGCAAATATTCAACTGAAAATTCAAAGTTAGAGGTACTACCATCATTCGTGTATATTAATCTTGTCAATCGACATAACTCCGTGCGCTTCTAATTCTTACGAAACAAAAACTTCAACGCCAAACTCAACTATCAAGAATTACAATGCGTCCTGTGCTGCGAGTACGTCCTTAGGGGCAAAGGTTCTCTCCAAACTACCCTCCCAGTGGTCATATCCCACCTCTTTCTTGTACTTCAGATCTGCGTTCTTTGGGATCTGATACTCGTTCAAGACGAGCTTCTTTCCAGTGGACTTGTCAGTCTTCACCCATCGCGCCCTTTCCTTATTGTCAGCGTCGAAATGCTCCCAATTCTTATACCTGTCCCCAACAAATGGAGCAGGCGTATACCGCTTTCCGTCCTTGCTCCAGTGCTTGACCCTATGGTAAACACTGGGGTGGATTTCTTCGCAAAAGTTCTTGGCTTCGATCTCAACTCCGTTCTCGGTCGCCTTGGTTTCTCCCGGAACACGCTTATAGGAAGCCGACAATGTCGACACGCTCGAGCTGATCCACCAAATTGATAACCACGGGTTTGTATCCTCAAGAGTGCCGTCACTCCATTGGACCTTTGACCAGGCTGCCGCCATGTCTCGGACCTTGGTGTTGGTCGTGACGAAGTTGTTATCACCGAGGCGGAAGAGGATATACTTCTGGAGCGCGGTACCGCTGACCTGGAGTTTGCCGTGAATCTGATCAATCATCCAGGAAAAGGCGATCTCGTCGACGCTGTTGGTGTCGATGTTGCTCGCGCTATGGCCGCCGACATCGGAATGATATCCGGGGAACCAGACTTGCTTGAGGTTGACATCAGGACAGGTCGAATCCTTGTACCAGAGAGTTGGTGGAAAGTTTCCACGAGTCTCATCAATTGCAAGCGCATGGAACGCGTTCTCAATGCCTATCATTTCAATCGGTTAGACAAATAATCTACCATTTTATCATGCTGAATTAGATCAAGGGAGTCTGCGACTTACGAGGATGAAGCTTTGTCGAGTGAAATGATGTGTCGTCGCCGGCCTGGACAAACCAAGTGGTGGCGTTGATGCTGCCTACAGTGTCCCAGACACCGACGACCTTGATCGGCACGTGCATATGGGAAATGGTCTTCAGATAATCGAAGCGACTGCCATAGGGATACGGATCCCTGCCCTGCTGGGGCGGGAGAGTGCCGAGCTCTCCAGGTTGAAGCTTGTCTTGAGCCCACTTTGTCTTGGAAAAGGCCTCCTTGCCTCGTGTCTTGTAGGTGAGGTAGACATCGTAGAAGTTATCCAGATTGAGAGGGGTGAGAAGGCCTACTTCGCAGATGAAGCCAGCCAGCGAACGCGCTGTGTAGGCACCTCTGGAGAAGCCGAAGATAAAGATCTCATCCTCAGGGCCCCAATTGTTTGCCAGGAAGTTGTAAGCCTCGCACACATTCTCGGCAAGGCCACCCCCAACAGCACCTAAAATGGGATCACGTTAGCTAGAGATCAGGAGCAGTCCAATGCTACGGAGTCGAATGTACCTTGGTAACCCTTGTTGACTTTGCCAACTGCGCCAGTACCAACGCCAGACTGGTAGTAGACGATTTGAGGAATCTTCTCTCGCTTATTGTTGATATCGCTGACGCCAACCCGAGAGATGACACGGGAAAGTCTTGCTACATTGCTAGCATACTGGTCGTTTCCCTTGTCGATCGCGCCGAAGGTGCCATCACAGCAGACAATCAGGCGCTTCTTAATATTGCCCTGAGCGTAAGTCGCTGTACAGGATCTGCAATTCTCGGACATGGTGGGCAATAATTCAAGTGTGAGTGAGGGCTAGGATGAAGTGGAAGGCTTTCGCAATTGAATCGACAGAATATCCCGGACAATGGTTTGATATGCCATATATATGCCATAAGTGAACATCGTTAGCCGCCACCGTTGAGTGCCGACTGATCAACTGACAATTCCGTCGTCAGCTCCCTTCAGCCCAAAGGCCAGAGCGGCTGCGGGAGACGCTATAGTGCCGGTTTGACGGCCAAAAGTGGCAAAATATCGATGAATGTCATTAGTCTGGGAATAGTGGCAGGGGCCTAGAAGCTGAACTCTGGGGGTCTAGGCTCTAGTGAAGCTTGTTTTCAACACTATCTATCTCATCCTATCCCTTGAGAGTACTAAGTAGACGAGCTGTGCCTCGTAATGCAACCTTCCGGTGGTAGATTGACCCTGATCTTGTGATATTGATAGGCCACCCTCGCTGTGGGACGGACCGCTCTAGACTAGATGGACAAGGGCCTCAGCCCATCCGCCGCACCCGTCTTAGACCTGTCTTAGACCCGTCATGGTGCTCGTGAGGCCTCGAACTAGCTGTGCTAGCGACCTCGGCCCTCTGAAAGGGCCAGGGTTGGCAAGCTATTGCCTCCAATTCTTGAGCTAGCCTCAGCCTGTCTCAATATTGTTTCTTCTTTTCCTCCAAGGGGCTGTCTAGGCGTAGTCATTCGTGAACGGGTCCTGTTACAAGCTCATAGCCATGACATTCACATCACTCCTACGCGGGTTTAGGGTCCCAGTAGCTGTTTTAGATGCATTCCTGGAGGCGAACGGTATGGATGAGACCAATGGCTACCCCCATTTGAGGGCCAGGAGCCTGCGATCTCCTCGCTGCTCCGCTCCAAAATGGGCACAACCTCGGACAGTGCACGCATCTTTATCCCCGACCGCAAATCTTTCAACAGATCCTCTATCGCATATGTTGCCTATAAATGGGTGAGGGTATATGCACAACGCGAGATTCACCTCGATGAGGACCTTCCTGAGTAAGTTCCGGCGGCATTTATTAGTCTCAAAGATGAAATAATGGGGTTTGCCAAAGAAGAGCACTTTGCAGGGACAGACAAGGGGAATTTTGGAAAAGTTGGATTGTTCATGGTATTCAATCAGAGTGTCAGCTGGCTGCCTGCTGAACTTGAAGATCGATCACAGGTAACCCCGTCCCGACTCCCTTTGATCTTTGACTTGCCTAGACTGACCAGTGTTTTTATATAGATTCCGATTTCTTGTGGTTTATGTGATCAGGCTTTCGAGTCATTTGACGAGCGCCAGCTTCACCGTAATGATACTCACGGAGTGCCAGAAGGCACCAACCCGCTTCCAGACGCATGAATGCGCAGGAGCAGTTTGGAACTTGTCCTGAATGCATTTCTTCATATTTTGGGGGGTTACTCATTTAAATGAACTTTTATTATGATTCCATCTACGATGAGATGGCGAGGTTCAGACCTCGCTCAAATTGTTCAATCATTGATCAGTTTCAAGAATGGAAGTAGCCGTTGTAAGATAGTATTTTATTGTCTGACTTATTTTAGTTCTTGTGAGATGTGACTTCAAACGTGGGCGTGTCAAATACATCCCAGTTGTCCGCTGCAAAAGGATTGCCAAACGGCACCAGCGCGGCAAATCTCATCTTGTACTTCCCCGGCGCGATCTGCGTCCCGTTGGCGAGCGTCCCGACCCACCAGAGATCCTCTCCACGGTACCCAGTCTGGCTTCTCGCGACGTCCTTGGCCGGCAGTGCGATCACCTGACTCGCATCGTCCTTGGAAGGGTCGAAAGCCACGCCCCTGGCTGAATTGACCCAGCTGGTTGCAGAACCAACGTACTTGGCCTCACCGACAACGGGAGGGTACTTCCATTCACGCTCAGTCCACGAATCTTCAAAGATGTCCCATCTGAGCTGGCGCGTTCCATGTTGAAGACGGGCGTATGCTTTCACGTAATCTTGAGCTTCGAGCGAGAGGTCAAAGCTGAAAGTAGCCTTTTCTTTAATGGGAGTGTTGGCAGCACCGGAAGTCATCGTCGGGAAGCCCATTCCATAAGAAAAGATGCTGGTAATATCCTTGTGTAAGTCGGCGCTGAGCCCCAGATACGGGATGCCCAATTCTTCGTTATTGTCTCCTTTTATGAGAACCTTACCGCTGTAAACCGGAAGCTTGGACCGATCGGTTACTTCGGGATACATGAACGAAAACTCGGCTTTCTTGGTTTCACCTGGCTGGACGGTGAAAGTCCCTCCTGGAAAGGAAACGCGCGGCGTCAAACTTTGAGGGTCGACCATAAGATACTCATGCCACGCAACTTGAGGGTTGCCCCAGCGACTTGGGTCAGTATCTATCGTGTTCATGCCGCCGAAAGCCTGCTGTGTAAACGTGTATGTCACAGGTGAATTGCCGTTATTGGTTATTTCAACGTTATGGTAACGGCTGAAATGGTGCGTATCGTTGAGAGCAAACTTGGCAAAGGACAGCGACGTCTTGTAATCCAGAATCTTAGTCGCGTTGATCAGGCCAGTGCCGACCTGCGCAACAGGCGCGAAAAAGTCGTACACGTTGCCTGTTAGGAGACCGTCGTCCCATTGGATAGCATCGCCAGACGCAATAATCCGCATAGCGAGAGACTTGGCCCATTTTGGCCCCTGAGTCTTGCGGCCGCCGTATTTGCTAACATAGAGAGCAGCAACACCAGCAGCATATGGGCACGCCATTGAGGTGCCGCTTAATATAGCAAAACCGCCATTGAGATACGTTGACAGAATCCGGCCACCAGGGGCAGTGATGTCTGATTTGATGAAAAGTTCGTTGGTAGGGCCTATCGAGGTAAAGGAGCTCGCGAGACCAGGCAGGTCAGTATTCTCCATGCCGGCGTAGTGCAGATCAGCACGGTGTGAGAAGTCGGCCGTTACGTTGCCACCGGCCTTGATAGTATCTATGATTGCCTTCCCATTTTCTGCAGATATCATCCCGACGACACTGTCCCAGATTGGGGTTGAAGGGGAGGTCAGGGGTTGATCGTTACTGTAGAACAGAATATGAGAAGCGTTGAAGGGTAACAGACTGATCTGCTTATCAGCAAAAGCGCAACCGCCCCGGCGAACTAGGACGACCTTTCCTCCTAGATCGGGCGTATTTTCCGGGAGTGGTGAGCATGCATCATTTTCCAATGGCTCTAGGCTTAAAGGGTAGATCGGCCAGTTCTTAACCTGCGACTGGTCCCATGGCTCTACGGCACTATAGGGAATCCAACTTGAGTTTGCGGCTGCTCCATCGATATATGTGATGTTGAAGGTTGGGACTGCGATAGTGAGTGGCTCTGCTGAGGCGACTGCGAGGACGTTGGGAGCAGCTGCACCGCTGTTTGCTGCGAATGCCCCGATACTTCCTGAGTTACCAGCAGATATGGTGATTAAGACACCGCGTTCGACAAGTCGGTTGCCCACGAGAGCCCATGGCCCGTCTGTGTATCCATTAACTGCACCGATAGAACAGGTAATGATGTCCGCGCCGTCATCGTAGGCTCTTATGAAAGCATCAATGAGAGTGTCCTCGTCTGTGCCATCAATGGTGCTGAAAACCTTGTATGAATAGAGCGTAGCGTCAGGGGCGACACCAGTGAACTGGTCAGATTTACCAGCTACAATACCGGCGACATGCGTGCCGTGACCTTGCTGATCCAATGGATCATCATCTGGCTCTTTCTCCCCAGCTGCTGGCCATGTTCCATCTCCGACGAGATCGTATCCACCAGCGACCTTGAAGCCACTACCGAATCCGCCTCCGAGCTGGATGAATTTAGCACTCGCTGACAGACTTTAAGGTTCCGGGATACGTACGGTTGGGTGATCATAGGAGATGCCCGTATCGACGATTGCAACCTGTGCGCCTTTCCCTGTGATCCCGGCACCGTGAATTTTGTCCACGCCAGTCATGGCATGGATTGAGTAATTCGTAATGATAGCCTCGTCCGTTAAAACGACGGAAGGGGTGATTGGCGCTAATTGATACTTCCTGGATGGCCATACTTGGCTAACAGGGTTGAGGGACTGGAGAGAGTCTGAGTTGTCTTCGTCTGACTCTAAGGAACATCCCCTAAAGACGTCGCTATCATAGACTTTGACAACTTTCTTACCGCTGACTCTCGCCAGCTCATTAGCGGCATCAGCAGCATTGACATTCTAGAGGGCAGTCGTTAGCGTTGTTATTATTGTTCTTGTATAGGAATCGTTCATGTTCCGTACCTCATTGAATTCAACAATAAAACGTTTTGGGATACTGAGAGTCTGGTTATTGGGAGCTTCGTCGAAGGGTTGATTCTCAGACACTGAAATTGCTGATGTAACAAGGGTGAGCCCTGTGAGGACATAGGAAAGAGAAATCATCTAATCGGTCTTGTTACGGAAAACACTAGACACCGAGGACCTAGCCAATTTCGATAGCCCAAGACGAGTCTAACGATGTATATGTATTTTCCAAGACCACTGAGATATGTGGGGGGGGAGTATTGATAACGCTACCATCCTGGATGATGACCTATACCATCACCTTCCTATCCGGCTCCAAGATAGTCGCTCCATAGAGCAGGGGGACTGTGCAAAAGAACCTGCCTGTCGAAATATCCGGGGGGGGAATTTCCTCGTATTGTGTTTATCCGGCACTCAAGCGCAATCTTGTGAAGGTCTAATCTATAAGACTTAGAAAAGGGTATATGCTCTAAGGAGGATTCTTTAATAACTTTCTCGATTAGTTTCTTCATCTCACTCAACTTTCGTAGGGGGTCTTTGCATCTTATCGATCGTATGCTGTTATGTATCTGCCACTCAGATCGCGAGGAAATGGTTTGACTGGGTGCTGAACTGAGTGGTTTTTTACCCTGGTCAGGAGAGACAAGCATGTCACCTCTATCTCTAATTGAACTACCCAATCGGGATCTAGTCTGTATACCCTTGAACCAGTTATGGCCAGTGCAAGAGCAATAATGGTAAAATTCATTGAAGACCCTCTTCTAGTACTACTTCGTACACCGAGAAGGAAGAATTACAACTCTTGGCGTTCTGTGCAATACGAGGTGAAAAATGAGGTGATTCAAATTGTTTAGCCATCATCTCACTTTTAGCTAAAGAACTCGCCATATAATTACGCTTAATCTCAAAAAGAACAATGCAATCGCTTTCTTCTTCCTTGTTTCCATGTTTCTAGGGTATAGTAACACGACTCTGCTGGACCTAATATCAATCTTTGCTATCTATATTTGCCGCAGAGATACACAATCGCCTTATATTAAAGCTACACTGGGATACTACTAATCCAAATCCATTACTTCAGTTTAAATCATAGAAATACGATGATAGAGATTGAGTTTGTTTGACGTATTGTTGGTTCTAGTCGTAGACATGTTAAGAGTTTTCGTAACAGAGTATTGGCTCTCATGTTAGATTTCGCTAAATAAGCGAGGAAACGGATAGATAGAGATTACCGATACAGTTCATGTTTATCTAGGAGGAGTGGCAAGCAGGATTTAAAAATACAATTGACATCGTGCCGCTAGAACTAGCCGTGGATTCGACGCTACCAGGGAACGGCTCGGAATTCGTCCTGTTCATACTCCCAGAAGGTACCTCCTTCGACATCTCCCTTCTGGGATTCGAGCAACTTCAAAATTACTTCAGCTCCCAGGAGTGGATCCTTTGTGCCTCTGAAGCCGTTGAAGCCCGTTTTGCAATGTCCGGGACTAACTACCCAGAATGTGACCCCTTTATTTTGAGCCTGGAAATGTAAAGTAAGCATGTTGAGAGCGGCCTTGATCATACAGTAGTCGATGACAGCCACGGCCGGCAGCTAGAATGATTAACGCCAGTTCAGTTAGAGATTTCGGCTAAATGAAACATACCTCTCCGCTGACCGTCTTCCCAAAACTCCCCCGGCTACTAGAGACCATGATTACACGAGGCCAGTTGCTTGTTTCAAGAAGAGGCAAGAATGCACGGGTAACCTGAGTATTTGATGTGATTCCGTTGTTAAAGCTCTTGTTCGAGGCCTGGCGCCGCTCTTCTGCATTCGCCGAGGAGGAGAGCTCTATTTTGATGGCATTGTTGATGAGAACTTTTTCGATCATTTAGCCATGCCCTGCCAATTCTCCTTTGATGTTTTAGCTTACCATCAAGATGACCAAAACGTTCACGCACGACGTCTGCGGCTGCCGCTATTGAAGAATCGTCCTCAATATCGAGTGCGAGTGCGTGAAGGTTGGCCGAAAGTCCACTTGACTTGAGTCGCTCAATAGCATCCTCTCCAGCTTTAAGTGTGCGACAGCCAAGAAGAAGGGTGCTGTCTGGCAGCCGGTTTCCGATAGCCTGGACGATGGCGTAGCCAATGCCCCGATTGGCGCCTGTAACAAGGACGGTTGTCATTGTATTATAAATTAATCGACGATGTAGAAGAAGACTTGAGTTGATAAACGAATTGAAACCCTTCTCGACGCAAGCACTTGGACACAAGAATAAAACATAGTTCCAGAGGAAAGATGTCTCTTGTCATAATATATACTCGAGGACCTAGGCAAGCAAGATTGTCCTTAACTCCGAGCAGCCCTACTGGATTTGATAGCTTCATCTCACATACCGGCAAGATATCGGCAAGATCTGGAGCAGCCCCTCTATCGAGCCGCTTACATTCCGTTAAGTCCGTCTACAACCCCGCCATGAACCCAATTGATCTCTCTGGCGCTGACATATTAATAGCCTTTGGTAAATGTCCAAGCATGATTGGGGGGGGGNGGGTGCTTAATTCCGGGTGAAAGAACTCGAAAACTGCAAAGCAACCATTGTAGTTTTTCTCAAGGGTTGAACAAAAAACTGGTCATACCAAGCAATCGATATCTATTCAGTCAATTTGTCAAAACTGAGCGTTGATCAGATAAGTGCTATAGTAAGAAAAACTCTTAGTATCGTTTGTAACTTAACACAGCAATGATATCACAACCAATTTTAGCCCCCTCAGAAGAGCTGCAAGAAGTGGGTTTAGTAACTTCGACAGCGGGTGGTTTCACCTCTCAATGAGTTATCGAAGCTATCCAGACTACTATCTTCTCTTACACTACATAATTAATCTTCTAAAAATACTAGGCAGTAGTTGATGAGTTGTTAGTCAAACTTTGGGGTTTCCGTGGAGTGTCGTTGCAGGTGTGCTACATCGCCGCAATGAAGTTGACTGGTATCCAAAACCTGATTTCTCTCAATTCAGATACAAAATTGACAGCTTAGGAAAAGCTATCCTGACCTAAGTCTAACACTTTCCTCACGTGTAAACACTCTTCTAATTAAGGGGCCGTCAATGATACTGAGCTAAGTTTACATTTTGGGCTCATCGATTGGTGAAGTAGAAATTGTGGCAAAGTTCCCGAAACCCTCCCCAAGTCTTCGATCCTAATTTTCCTTGGTCATGGTCAACTTGCTTTCTATCTAAGACTTGCTAATTTCAAATACAATCGTCCGATTCCTTTTTTTTGTAGTCTCTATGTGCCTTTTCCCCTGGATAATTATACAAAAATTAGCTAGTTCGCTTCGAAGCGCTTCGCTTGATAGTAGAACCCTCAACTGAGGCACTCTGCGGTAACTGTCCCTGCAACCAAGGCTGCTCTCTTATTGAATTGTCCAGGTCCGGTGTCTCCCTAGGCCCTGACTGCCTATCCTCGGTCACAATATCAACCTGGACTGATTTGTGGATGCGGACTCTGCTCCCAGGTGACCCGCCATCGCTCGTTCGTGCTGTTTGCATATCCTCAAGCCTGATACTGTTACTTTTACCGCCATTATTCTCCCCAACCATGCGCTCTTCGCTCTCGTTGAGGGTAAAGTTCGTGATCGGATTGGCCGTTGGGGGCCCGCGGCCGCGCCAGCTTGGCCCGCTACTACCACCGCCGCCAAATGTCCGGAAACCCTTGGGAGCGGAATTTGAACTGTAGTTCGATGACTTCCGTGCCGTACTGACCAGTGTGTCAATGACAGGCCCGAACCAGACTTTAAGAAGTGGAAAGATATGCGGCAGGTTGGTTGTGACGAGGGCAACGAACGTTTCGCGGACGGCCCAAGAGCCGGCAAGTTGGGCGCCATTGACAGGATCCTGTTTTAGTAGACCAATTAGCATATATGGATTCTGAATAGATCTTGAACTGTTGGAGTTCAAACCCCAGGTCGTAATTAGGGAAAGTGGTCTTACGGTAACAATTACAACGGCTCGTAGAGTTCCACAAACCATGACAAAGATACCACCGCTGAATAGAAATACCAGCCCAAGTTTCTTCCAGGTCTTTAATCTAGAGCTCCAAAGCATGGGTAGTGGGATAGAAAGAAGATACATATCGGTCGTGACGTTGAAGGCGTAACACACCCACACAATCTGGTTCGACACGGCCGGTTGGCAGACATCTAGTAATTGACAGGCGAGTCAGCACTTCCCTTCTCAAGCAATCTTCGTTGTAATTCAAACAGCCAGATATGCACGAAACATAGATACGTACTTCCAGGGTCGGGGTTGATCTGCCAGTTTCGGTGAAATGGCCGGCAGGCAAGAAAAATGTTGACGACGACAATCACCCAGCTTCCAACAACTAGACCAAAGCCAACATATATGCGATATAGGTAGCTTTTACCTATACCGTCCTACACAATTCCATTGCGATCAGTATCAACTCTCGTCCGAGGGAGATGGAGGTGAAGTAAAGGGGCAAGCGCCAAGTCGTCGGGGTCAAGTACCGTCAGTCGAATGTAAAATACCAGCCACGAAGCTTTAAAAGCCCACAAGATGACCGAATATGAGTTCCAACCGCATAGCTGGATAATTGAGCCGATAACTCGTAGTCTATGCTCGGGGTCGTCGGTCGATAGAGCCTCCCTTTGGGCGTCGGTCATTCCATTGTTGGCTAAGCCGTGGGCATGAGCGCCTACAGAATACGCAAGTCCGCTCTCGATACCGTAAAATATCTATTGCCACGAGGCGTCAGAAAGAGACAGATCTTCCCTTCATGAGACGTCCTTTGTAAAAGAGGAAAGTCTTTCGTCGTGCGCAAATAACGGAAGAGCAGACATACCAGTCCCACGATGACCAGATAATCGTCAGGCTGAAGCTTGCGAAATCCGACAGATCTTGTGCGAGCGACGATTCTCAAAAAGGTGACCAATGACCCAATCCCCAGTAGAGTCCAAACTTCGATGTTGAATGCCTGGGCTGCTGCGGCTGCTGCTGCGGCGCCAGCGGCCTCCTCAGGAGTTAGCTCAGCTGCGGCGCTGGCCATTGGTGAATGGATAAAATATTATACAATGCAAGTTGATTAGGTAAATATATTGTTACCGCGACACATGCTGCAAAATAGGTGCAAAGGAATGTGAAAAGGATGAAAGAAAGGCGAACGCGATATTCGCGCATTCGATGGACAGCGAGTTACGGAGAACGTCACATCAGGCCAGGCACCTGGAAAGGAGAGGAACAAACAAAAGTAAGTTTCATTATCAGATGCCCCCCGCAGATTCGGCACATACGAGTGGCCCGATTCTTCATTGTCGAGATCAAACAAGAGATCTGCCGTTCCCACCATCCACTGCCAATACAAGCATCAGAAGAACTGGGACCAAGGTGAGGTTACCTCTTCTCTCATTTCGGGGACGGACTGACTACCTTTTTGAGGCCTTTCATCCATTCTTTCCCCTTTTTTATTTGCTTTTTCCCTCGTCCCGTTCTGTTTCGACGGAGGAAAGATGTTGGTGCTATCAACCATGGTTACATGCAGACATGACATACGATCCGCGTCTGGTTGCCAACACCAAGTCTTTTTGTGGATCTCGTTGGTCAAACAGATGGTTCCATTGGTCTCGAATTTCGGCTGTGACTGGAGCTTGCGAATGCATGTGTCCCGCAGAGGGGCGAAGCACCGAGGGTGAATAACGCTCCGCACACCCACATGCTGTAGTAATAGAGTTACGTATTCATCCTCCTACACAATACCTCCGGCAAGCGAAAGCCGAGCCGCGACTACGTACATGTAATATAATAGTACCGATCGGGGCCGAGACTAATTCTCAGCCAAGGATGAACAATGGGGACGATCCTCCGGCACGGTTGGTTAGAGGGAAATGGCGCCACATGTAAGAACCACCTCCCAGAGAAGATGTGATGAAGCACGACCCTGGCGTCCGGCGGGCCAGGATGAATTGGAGTAGGCAGGGGCTGGGGTACGGATAGATCTCTACGAACCTGGTGAGAGGGGACTCCGTCAGGGGAGGCCTCAATGTGCGTAAAACACGCGGTTTTCCAGAGTGGAAGGTGCGGAGAAACGCGGGGGCGTGGAGATAGAAGCGAGGTCACAGAAAGACAGTGTCTGCTATGAAACGATGTAGATGGAGGTCCGTCGAAGAACAATACAATGATGGTGGATGGGCCTGAATACACATGTTGACATTCTTCAATACAGCCATCATGCGACCAACATCCGCTAGCGAAATTCAATAACGGCTATTGATGCACCTTTTTGTATTCCGGGTAGGGGAGGGTGACATCGCTCGAGGCGTGTGCTTTAACCTTCCGCTAAATCCGGCATCGTCTCAGACAATCCTACACAATTGCATATCTGGCACCTCCTTTTTTTTGTGCCCTCATTTATTCCAACACCTGCCAAACGTCTGGGAGTTATTAGCAGAGGGACTCGGGCGTTTGAGAGAGAGTCGAACTCTCGGATTCATTAGGGAGAGAACGAACTACTCTCATCAACTCAAGAGTAAGATCCAAGAGGACAGAGAGAAAACGCATGCAGGGACCAGGACCCTGTGCTTTGCCACACCAATTGCTCAATCAGCAGACCCCTGTAGTTACCTGAACCAACAGCTGGACCTTTGGTAATGCTACGAGCTGCATCCATCCCCGCCTGTTGGTCCACCTGTTGGTGAGATACTACCGCTATGCAGCCATTGCCGGTTGGCTACAGGTGGAAGGTCTCTTTGATCGCGTTCTCCCTTGCTTCCCTGCAGTCTCACTCCTTGGAGCCGATATGCGGCCGCAGCACGGCAAGATGGTTCGATCTACAGGCCAGGCGCTCCCACAGCTGGGCGCACGAACACTCCCACCGCGCCACTCTCGTTGTACCACTCTTGGCAAACAAAGCTAGCTCTGAGGTCATGTGTGACGCCTTATTGGGGTCAGTTGCCCTCGCCTCTGAACGCCGGCTACACTTGTGTCTGTTTCCCTCTATTCACTAGCTAAGGAAACAATTGAAAAGATTGAGATGGAGAAGTTTGATTGTGTTTCTGTCGGTGCAGGTGAGCTCGACCAATTACCCCATCTTAGCCAATTTCACATGTCTGTCCTATGCTTCATGCACTCTCCAGAATGGCGGGCGCATTGCGGCCACAATATGATCGAACTTCCTGCTGACGACTGCTGTCTACAGGCTACTATGGCCTCGCTGCCGCGAAACAGTACCATGTGCTCAACCCGGACAAGACTCTGGCCATTTTCGAGGGCGAGTCGAGCATCGGCGGCACCTGGGCAGACCACCGAATCTACCCAGGCGTCAAGAGCAACAACCTCCTGGGCACCTACGAGTTCCCCGAGTTCCCCATGACCACCGAGCGTTTCGGCGTCAAGAAGGACGAGCACATTCCAGGCAGCGTGCTCAACACGTACCTCAAGGCCTACGCTGCAGACTTTGGCATCGACAAGTTCATTCGATTCAATAGCAAGATTGTAGTGGCAGAGCACCAGGAAGAAGGCGGCTGGATCTTGACGGTCGCCGACTCCAAGGCCGGCAAGGAGTACCAGGTGTTTGCGCGCCGTTTGATCATGGCCAGTGGCCTTACCTCAGAAGCTTTCCTCCCACACTTTGATGGCGAGGAGACGTTCGGAGGCCGCATCTTCCACGGGAAGGACTTCCAGAAGAACAAGGACACCATCGAGAAGGGCAAGACCGTGACGGTGTTTGGTGGAACGAAATTCGCCTTTGATGCCGTGTATGCCTACGCGAGTGCTGGAGTCAAGGTACATTGGGTGATCCGCTGTAAGTGCTGCCTCTATCATTCCACTTGATTCGTGATCCTTGTGCTGACCCGTCGATCAGCCTCTGGCCATGGGCCATGCTGGATGTCGCCTCCATACGTTACACCGTTCCATCAATGGATCGAAGCACTTGCTCGTGAGTATCATCCAGAGAGCTGCAATCAATTCACACAAAATCACTGACAATCTGCGTCCCCGCGCACGACAGACACTCGAATCCTGACTTGGTTCAGCCCTTCCATCTGGGGCAGCGCCGACGGCTATACAGGAATTCGCAATTTTCTCCACGGTACTGCTTTGGGCCGGGCAATTGTTAACGGCTTTTGGTCAGTCCTGGGCAACGATGTTCTCCGCCTGAACAAATATGATGAGCACCCCGACACTGCCAAGCTGAAGCCCTGGACATCAGCCATGTTCACAGGCCCCAGCTTCAGTATTGTGAATTGGGAGACCAATTTCTGGGACCTCGTAAAGAGTGATCTGGTCAATGTTTACATCAGCGATATCGATCACCTAAGCCCTGGAAAGGTACACCTTTCGGACGGCACTGAGCTCGAGTGCGACTCGATGCTTGCTCACACTGGCTGGAAGCATGTGCCAGCGACCAAGTTCCTCCCTGAGGGCATCGAGAAGGAGATTGGCATCCCACACACGCCTCCCCACGGCCAGTCGGAAGAGGACCTCGCGAGCCAAACTGATCTGCTCAAAAGGGCCGATGCTGAAATCCTGGAGCGATTCCCCCGTCTCAAGGACCAGCCTGTCTGGAATAAGAACTACATCCCCTTGACTGAGCAGAAGGGAGTACACAGCGACGATGCAGTCACCCCTTGCAAGCCTCTCACACCTTACATGCTTTACCGTTTTATTGTTCCCCCCTCTGAGCGCTTTCTGAAGACAAGAGACCTTGCCTTCGCCGGCGTGGTATCCAACTTCGGAAACCCCATGTCCGCCCACTTCCAGGGGCTCTGGATCAGCGCGTACTTCAACGGCCAGCTTGATATTGACCCGGCCAAAGCAGTCGGCGACGAAAAGCTCATGAGTGAGCTCAAGTACCAGACCATCTTGTACAACCGCTTCGGCAAGTGGCGCTACCCTACCGATTGGGGTAGCAACAAGGCTCCTGGGTTCATCTTCGACGCGATTCCGTATCTTGACCTCTTGCAAGGTGATCTTGGCCTCAATAAGTGGCGGAAAGGAGGCTGGGCCGAGATCTTCCAGGCATATGACCCGAGGGATTACGCCGATGCCAATGACGAATGGAAGCGGAAACATTCCCAGAAGGACGATGGGGCATCAACGACTGAGATACTTTAACTGTCTGACTATTTCCAAGTTAGATCGTTATTTTGTAGCATTCTTGTTTACTTCCCTTTTGGGGGGCTGTATTATAGGAATTTATGGTTATTTCTAGAAATAAGAGGGAAAGCCAATGGGTCTTGCCATCATTTTTTATATTGAGTCTGCGATGATCGTATCGGCCATCTCGGATAATGTTTGCGCCGCAATATCTTTTTTACCAAACAATTCAGACAGATTTTCGTTTGTGCTTTATCCTTTACGGCTCTTACGGCGTTTTCAATCAAACGACATCCTCTCAGTTCCTATTCTCGTATCTTTGTCAGTCGTTCGTAACATAAGTTGGCCGCAAGTACTTCTCCATGTCTCTGAACACCTTCAACAGAATCGTTCGCTTTAAACGTTTCGTGAACAGCGCTCCAGCCTAGAATCAGCTCTACGAAGGTATCGCTAGTGACCCTTGATGAACACGTATCTGAGGAGCCCTTCCCAGAAACGGGATCGCATAAGCGTGGGTCATATGACTCGATCAGACTACTGATAACACTCCCGGGCCGGATAAATGATCATGTAGGTGAATTGTGAATGGCAAGAGGAATGTAGATCTTCTCCTCTATCAATTAACCATGAAAAAACATTATGACCGCGGATCCCAACCTCACATTACGGCTTCCTATTATACCCATATCTATATTCTCTCAAATCTGGCATATCTCCCCGAACTAATTCTTAACCATGCAGCAATCTCCGCCTCCCATCCAGGGCCCTACTACCGACTCTTTCTGGCATTCATCTCCGCACGCCCTAGACAACCACAGAACTTCCCCAGATATCCCCACGGAAGTTGACATATGTGTCATAGGAGCGGGATTTGCAGGTGCTTCAACCGTTCACCATATCCTGGACATCTGTAACTCTCAGGGCCAACCGCGACCGCGCATTCTCATTCTTGAAGCCCGGCAAGCCTGCTCGGGAGCTACTGGCCGAAATGGTATGCCCCTCCACAGCTATCATCTCCGCTCATACGCTTGAAGCCTCACAAATGTCTCATTATCAACGGATTATCACAGGTGGCCATATCAAGCCGGACCCCTGCCACCGGCCATCGAGCCTGGCTGTGATCAATGGGATCAAGGTCGCCGCTGAGTGCGCAGCTTTCGAGGCGCAAAACCTATCCGCCGTGAAGAAATTCGTAGAGGACGAAGGAATCGATTGCGAGTTCACCCTCACGCGGGCTGTTGACGCGCTCATGTCCGATGCCGTTTGCGACAAGGTGATGGCCAGTGTAGATATGCTTAGACGAAATAATGTGCCAGTCATATCGGACGTACATTTTGCAAAGGGCTCCGATGCGGAGGTGGTAAGATAGGTCATGATTCCGATCCCGATAACGATGTGCTGACCTGGAGCAGCTATCTGGGGTCAAGGGAGTGAAGGGTTGCATTTCGTATTCCGCGGGACATCTATTCCCGTACAAGCTGACCCTGCAGCTTCTCTCCAGAGCCATTGACGCTGGTGTAAACCTCCAGACGCACACTCCCGTCCTCAGTGTGGCGGAACAGGCTGATGCGGATGGGTTCATTACAGTTACTACGTCGCGAGGGAGCGTGAAGGCCAGGAACGTAGTTTATGCAACAAATGCCTACACCTCGTCACTCTTGCCCGAGTTCGCAGGCAAGATCATCCCCGTGAGAGGGATGTGTAGCCATATCTCGCCTACCAAGAAACCAGCGCCTCACTTGCCAAGCACATACATTATCCGCTGGTCCGATACAAACTATGATTATTTGATCCCGAGACTTGACGGCAGCATTATCCTCGGCGGAGCACGGTCGACATTCTATCAAGACCTCGACAGCTGGTACAACAACGTCGACGATGGCCAGTTGATTGAGGCTGGAAAGTCTCACTTCGACGGTTACATGCAGCGAGTTTTCCGCGGATGGGAAGACAGTGGCGCTTATACCTCTAAGCTGTGGACAGGAAGTAAGTGATTATGTTGTGTCATATTAAGAGAAGAAGAAGCTGATGACTTTGGACAACCAGTTATGGGTTATTCGTCTGATTTGATGCCTTGCATTGGCGCTGTTCCAGGAAAGAAACAACAGTTCATCGTCGCTGGATTCACAGGCCATGGCATGCCCCAGATATTTTTGGCCGCCAAAGGCATCGCCTCGATGATCATCGATAATGCGGACTTCCAAAGCACAGGAATCCCTGCGGTCTATCAAGTGACTCGCTCCAGACTAGATAGCAAGCAGAACTCTGTGATACAGAGCTGGGAGACGGAACATGGCTCCGCTACAGCCTTCAGCAAGCTTTAGTCTAAAGTCGCTGTTTCAAGCCAATTAACTGTGAGATGTTTCCTTTTGTGTTTCATCTGGAAGCTGATGGACTACCCTCACGTCGTAGTCAGATTTCTCCACGGGTGATGTCACTAAAGTATTTGGCTAGTAACTACCGAAGCCGCAGGAGAATTGATGATCCCTGTTTCCGGCATCCGGACCTGCCAAGACACCGGCCATAAAAGGACTCTGCCTCCTCTTTCTTAGCAAACTCTGTCCTAGCCCTAGCCCAGTAGAAGTGAAAAGTCATGCAACCCTCCTTTCGGCCTTTTCTCCAGTCCGTCATCTATTTCCTTTTGCGTTTCGTTGACAGTCTGTATCTGAATCCAGCCTCCGCTCGCCATTTGCCCCAGTCCGAAGTCCGTCAAAACCATGGCTGACACGCAAGAAGGGGAGCTCAATTCAATCTCAGTAAGTATCTACTCGCAAGCAGCTGTGCGGGGTCTCGATCGATCGCCTAAACTCAGGCATGGCGGACTAACCTGTCGTATTCTGGGTGCGTGTAGTGCAAAAGATGTAGGGCAAAGAAGGTCAGTGCCATTCGTGGCGTTGTTCTTTATCAAGTTGAACTGACACGGAAAAGATCCGCTGCAACCGTCGCATGCCTGTCTGTAATAGATGCGAAGAGCAGGATGCCGAATGTCTCTATGCTCGGCGGGTGCAGAGGCGACCCGTCCAGACGACTGGGGATCGAGTAGGGTAAGCGACGCGTGAGCTTCGGCTGGAATACTGGACAGTATGGTTGACTGACCAAGGTCGATTGAGCGTGTATTGGCCACTGTTGTGCAGCAATTAGACCGCCTTGAAGACCGCATGCATCTTCAAGCCCAGCACATGTCGCCCCGGCTCAGCACAGCCCATGCATACGCATCACGGAACCAGTCAGACCCGTCACAGCATGTTGTTGATCGTATAGGAAGAAGCGTCGGGCTAAGAGCTTCAACACCAACTTGCAGCTCCAGTCTTGCCTCCGACCGTCAAAGGTCACCATGGACCTCGTCAAAATCCAGTGCGCCGACTACGATTCTCCAACAGGCCATTGATCAAGTACAGCATCTTGTAGGCCAGCACCGTAACTCTCTTATTAGTCCTATAGATGACCTTCACTTTGAACCGGAATCGGCCAAATCATGGATCAAGAGTGAGCTAGAACTGATTCTATCAACGTCGAGCAAGGATTCTCTACTCACTCTGGTATGCTCCACACAGGTTACTTCACCCATCTGAGCGAAGATCTGTTCCCAGCTTTCTTAAATGTCAGGCTCATAGAATTGATGCCGGATATCATCGGGCTGCCCAATGTGCATCTTGACGCATCCATCTGCGTTGTCTACTACTGCATTTTATATCATGGTTGCTTGCTCCACCGGCAGTCAGCACTAGCTTCCGAGGATGTAGAAACAAGGAGCAAGCTGTACCATCACTGCCTGCGCGCATTGCTGGCCTGGGAGCCATACGCCACGGGAACAGCTACGGACTTTGTCGCCGCGTTTTCCATGGTGATACCCTTTCCGCCTTTGATCAAACAGAAGCGTGTATCAGTGCTAATCACAGTTCTTTCACTAGGTACGAGTGGCTGCGGAGCGGTTTGAACTTGAGCTCAGCTGGACCATGTTCAGGCGCGCCTGCCAGTACGCCGAGAAGATTGAGCTGCATCGCCTTGATAACAGTGTCGGCTCGGGCTTGTCGAGCTTAGGAAGCTCAGTGCTAGAAGCAAGCCGGAAAGGCTTCTGGGAGCTGGTGGGCATGGATCTTTATTTCCACCTAATCCATGACAAGCCACCCGCTATAGTAGGCGCCGCTCAGTACGACGCACAAGTGAGCCTCCCATGGGTGACTGCGTTAGGCCTACAACAATCAGAAGAGGCAGAAACAGAGGAGATAACCACTCTTCGATTCTTGATCGATTCACGGCGATCGTTTATCCTGATGGAGTTTTTGCAGTTACTGGAAAATACTAAAGTCAAGCCTGATCCGGAGCTCGTTTCGAAGACGGAGGCGCTGTGTCACAAGATTGAGGCATTATATGAGCAATGGGAAGTCGTAAGAGTCTCTCAAAACCAAGAATATCGATGAGCTTGTAGCAGGTCTGACGCTGTAAGTGATTAGGATGAGTGGGTAAAGAAGATGATCGTCTCCGATGGCCAGTTGTGGACGCTTGCTGGTCTGGCTATGGAAGGATACATCTGTATCCTCTTCATGCTCCGTCACGCCATCACTACGGCTAATTTTGACACCATGGAGAGTGAAACGATTGATATCGAGGTTGCCAGGCTTCCTCTGACACTCAAAGTATCCCGACATATCCTCCAAATGGTTGACCTTCTTTTAAATGCTATGCCCTTCATGGCGACCGTCTCGGTCACATTTGCCGTCTTACAAGCACACTTACCGTACGCATACTTGGTCACCAACCTGTTGTATTCAACAACTACACATAGTTCTAGAGGAGATGCTGCCTTACTGAAACGTGTTTTCGGTGGACTAAAGGTGATTTCGAGAAATGTAGTGGAGTTGGAACCGCTAACTGCAGCCATTGAGAGGTTGAACATGATGGTGTCTCGCCGATTACTACAGGATCCAAAAGAAGGTCTTTAGCTTGGTAATGATAACGCTTTATCTACAACTCCATTTTCCAGCTACTGCCGTCCAATGGGTCTCCCGGTCGGTTGTTCAATGACACGGCAGACGGAGAAATCTGTGGACTTAAGAATCATTGCAGAAACTTTCCAGCAGCAGCAACTTGGGTATAAGTAGAGACCAACTACCACCCACTTCGCCCGACGAATAAGAGCCAGACTCGACATCATCGCATCAACTCGGGCAACAAACCAGACAAATGATAGCGAATAGCACTTCAAAATGGCCATACTAGAGGTATTGATCGAAAAATATGCTGTCGAGCGGAGGAAACGACTCCGTCCCGACCAGGTCGCTCAATATGTGGACTTTCGAGACCCCGTGCTTGCTGGCATGGATACCGACCCCTACGTTGACCACGACGCTCTTTCTTCCAAAGGCTCACCGCTTAGGGATGGATCTGAGGTCAAGGTTCTCATCTCTGGAGGTGGAATGCTGAGCTTGATGGTCGCTCACCGCTTGGTGACTAAAGCTGGCACCAACAGCACCGACCTCGTCATTGTCGACAAAGCGGGAGGCTTCGGAGGCACGTGGTACTGGAACCGGTACAGGGCTACTGTTACGTGCCCCTGCTCGAGGAAACTGGCTACAGGCCCAGGCATAGATAGTGAGCTGGCAAAGCGTCAAGTCGAGGATGTTTCACTTTTGCTTAAAACAGTAGAATAGTTGCCACGGCCACGAGATTCGAGAGCATCTTGAACGGATTGCTCATACATGGAACATCCAAGGCCAGTTTGCCACTGCGGTGACTGGCCAAAGCTGGGATGAAGAGGCAAAGCGCTGGGTTGTCACCTTGAGCCGCAATCTAGGTCCCCATCATGAGCCAGAGCACCTTACTGTTCGGTCACAGTTCTTGATTCTGGCCGGCGGTATACAGACGGCCCCTCACGCCCCAAAGTTGAATGGCGTCCAAGTCTTTGATAGTACGCCAGACAAGATACTCATACATACTGGACGCTGGGCCTGGTCGAAGAGCGGTGGATCGCAGGAGAACCCAGACATGGTCAAATTCAAGGGCAAGAGAGTTGGTATCATTGGAACGGGTGCCACAGCGGCCCAAGTCGTCCCTCATTTAGCGAAGTGGGCAAAGCATCTCTATGTCTTTCAGCGCACACCGTCGTACGTGGGACCGCAAGTACAAAAGGAAGTTACAGATGCAGATTGGGCCCAGGTGGCTAATGAGCCCGGTTGGCAATATGAACGGATCAAGAATCTAGACGCCATGTTTACAGGAAAGCCAGATGTCATGGACAAGATACAGGATGGCTGGTCCAAGGTATATGGAATGAGACCCATGGCGGGCTATTCAGGCAAAATCATCACTCGAGAAATGGAGGAACAGCACGTCAAGGACATGATGAATATAGACCATCCATGGGCGGAAGAAATGCGCTCACACGTCGACGCCGTGGTCAAGGACACGTCGACGGCCGGAAAGCTCAAAGCCTGGTACCCTGGCTTTTGCAAGCGTCCAACCTTTCACGGAGTCTATCTAAGCATCTTCAATGAACCCAACGTGACGCTGGTTGACACAGACGGCCGAGGCGTCGAGGCTTACACTCCAAATGGCGTCATGGCCAATGGCAGTGAATACGAGCTCGACGTTCTTATATTGGCAACGGGTTACACCGTTGGATTGGTTGACTCCTACCCTTCATCAGCACTTGCTGCACCTCTCACTGGACGTGACGGCCGCTCGTTGAAGAGTAAGTGGGATAGAGAAGATTATGGCACTTTCTATGGTGCCATGACTAACGGATTTCCAAATCTCTTCTTTGCCTCGGGGAACGGGGGCTCAGTGTCCCAGAATGCGCACAGCTTCTATAGTCTTCTTTCTCGACTAATCGCAAACATAGTGAAAGGGACTCTCGAACGTGCACAGAACCCAGAAAGAGCAAGTGTCGAAGTTGAAAAGGGCGCTGAGGATGCCTGGTCGGCCAAAATTGTGGAGCGGGCGCGATGGTTTGCTGCTTTCCCTGCCTGCACCCCGGGATATTTGACTGGCGAGGGCCTTCTCCAGAGTCAGAAGGACCTCACAGAAGAGGAAGAGCACGCAATGGCCCATTAGATCTTATTAGGGTGAAGGTATCCTCAGCTTCCAGGAGATTGTTGAAGGGTGGATGGACGGGGGCAAACTACAAGAGTTGAGAGTTGACTCCTGATTAGAGACGCATAATCACCGCAGCAATCTCCCCCTTTTGCTATACATGTTTGAGCTATCAATAGAGGTTCTAAAACCTAACCATCCATATTAAAGAGAACGTAACATTGGCATAACTTATCACGTAATGAACCATCCAATTGAATGTTTAGTTAAGAGCAGCGGTACATGCAGGGCTAAGAGGGCTAAAACACATTCATTATGCCTTTATTCTTTTATCCTGACCATTTCCTTTGGCGACGTTTCTAGCTCAAACGATACCTAATTATAAGTCAACAAACAGTACTACAGTATCAACTTATTTTCACTCCTCCCGGCTACGCCATATTGTATTCTGACACCATAATAGAGTAATGATAGCAATTAGGTCAAAGCCGCCCCGAGGTCCCAAGATCAAAACATAAAATTGCTACTATATAGCGATTCGAAAGGCACGAGAGACGATTAAAGCGAATCAAAAAAAAGGTGATTTTAAGTGACGAACTACAGCATGGAATTGATAAATAGGCCACACGATCATCATAGCTCTGAGCGAAAGCCATTCCTTCTATGATATGCTAATACAAAGGCATACTAACAATTGTCATTTTTAAATTCAAGCAGCAGCTGTTGGCCAGTCGTTGTAACCCTGCTCCGGCGAAGTATAAGGACCGTAGAGGACAGTGTCGTCCCGATCGTTCTGAGCAAGGGGAATTCCATACTTGATACGGGTAACAAGGTCCTATTTCAGGTTAGTTGATGGGTTGGGAAGAGAAAAGGATAAACTGACAGGATTCCAAATAAAAGGACGGGCGAAGGTGATCAAGTCGAGTTTACCCTCCTTTACAAGACGATCTGCTTCCTCAACAGTGTACTCGTGGTTGGCCATGAGCAAAGAAGGACTCCCTGGGTATTTAATCAAAGGGCCAAAATCCAGAACCGGGTCGTAGCCAAGTGGCAGTGGATATCCGTCAGGCCGAGGGAAGCTCCGAGTGAACGAACCATCGCCCACGGTTAGATCGGTACCTCGGCGTGAAATGTTGATAATTCCAACCTTCCTTGTAACCAATTCCTTGATTAAATAATCATAGGTTTCCTTCAGATCCGCAAATGCCATGACTGTGTCGTGTAGAACGTCAGTGGGGTTGATCTTGACGCAAATAAGTTCATAACCACCCCAGACATCGCCGATAGCATCGACAACTTCCAGCAAGAAACGGCATCTGTTTTCTACTGAGCCACCATAATTATCTGTGCGTGTGTTGGCCTCACTAGGTTGTTTTCATCAGCGTCGTGACTTTTTCAATGCACTTGTTCTTTTCAAAGACTTACGGCACTAGAAATTGTTGAACCAAGTAGCCACTATTTGATTATTAGCTTTCATGTCATATTAATAAGATCAGACGTTCCGGAGATGGCCATACCCTTGGGCGAGAAGTTCGATGCCATCAAAGCCAGCACGTTTAGCAAGTGCTACCGCGCGTCGAAACATGCTGACGATCTCAGACGGATTCTCGATCTCTGTCAAATTTGCAGTGTGTCCCTGTTCAGTCTTGATTAACAATATGCCTTCAATCGTCGTGCGACATTTATACTTACGGGAACTCCAGGCAGGTCGCGGTACTTTCCACCTGAAGCCTGGAGGGGCGATGCAGCAAGAACGGGAAGACCTCTCTCTTTCAGGGCCGGCATCAGGTCATTCTGACAGCGTCCTACCGCAAGTTTAATAATCCATCCATGATTCTCAGGAGGTATTCGACTTACCGGCATGCCAGGGCTGGAAGAACATCTTGCCGCCTGCCTGATGGACTCCATCCACGACTTTCTGCCAAGCCTTGCAATGGTCCTCGGATATCATGACAGGGGCGTTGGTCCAATGAGATCCGGTCCAGTCAATAAATACTCCCTCGCTAATAACGAGGCCAGTTCCATCTTTTGCCCTCTGGGAATAGTGGTCGATCTGGGCTTGACCCGGCTTCATATCATCGACACACCTGTTTCGAGTCATAGCGCCCATGACGACTCGGTTCCGCAGTGCAAGCTTACCGCCACCAATGGTAACGGGCTCCAAAAGACTTGACATTGTAAGATTTTGTGTGTTGATCAGGACAGGGTGTGAATTGGTAGCTGTAAGTGCTGGATATTATTCTTCTACCAAACCATAGGATTCAACAGGGCGAGCGCTCTTTATATACCCATATGTCACCTTATAAATCGTCTTTCTTCTTCAGCCATCTCTCTTACTCTACGATACGAAGAGCCTACAGTCAGATGGAGCAGTATTACAGGTGCGGCGGACGAGGCTTTCCGCGGGGCCGCAGCCAATCACATGTCGTCATTCCCGTTCCCTGTCCAAACGGGCCTGATCGAAGTGGGCTTTAGCCTGCTTTCATTCGTCATTTCTCTATTAACAGTTAGAGTAAAAGCGGATACGTATGGAACATCGCTAACCATGGCGTGTTATTAGGCATTGCTAACTCCTAAACAGATTCTGCTGACAAATTCTTCAGCATAGAATATCCAGCAACTGAACCAGGTTTATCCTCAGCTGGTTTATGCTTGCAGGATGGACTCTATCCTGGGTTGAGGCATTTCAAGCCGGCATGCGACCATGAAGTACCCCAAGTCTTGCCGCCAATGTCGGCAATCCAAGCGCAAGTGCACCCGCAAGGGTCCCGGAGAGCCCTGCGATACATGCCAACAGCGCCGGTTGAGATGTGATGGCCAGATGAGGAGCCACTCGACCGCCAATGCACCCTTGACCCCTTCTGTTCCCTGGAAAGATCCCCGATCGTCTCGCACGCAAGCCCATTCTGAAGAGGAGGTTGTCCCGGGGCTTTCTCGCGGAATCATTGTGGAGCTGGTGGGACATTACCTGAGAGCCATTCACGACAAATCCCACAGCCTGTTCCATCCTCCCACGTTGCACTCTCAGGTCCAAAATGGCACCATCGGGAAGGCCCTTCTATATGCTATTTGTGCCATTGGGTCCAAATTCTCGGGCAATCCTGATGCAAAGGCATTGGGTCCTTGCTTAGCAGCCAAGTCGAAGCAGCTATTACTGGCGGACCTTGAGAATATTTGTCTTGAAAACCTTCAAACTTGCATATTGGTTGCAACACTGTGTGCTGGTAATTGTACCAGAGGCACTGAAGCCCTTTTTTTGCGTGAGAATTTACTCTCCCCTCAAGAAATCAGAACTTCTACTAACCTCAAGGAGGTATTGCGCACTCCATGGCCGATATAATAGACCTGGGCACTCCAGCTCCAGGAGATACCATTATCGTCAGTGAGTGCAAGCGGCGAACCTGGTGGTCATTATTCTACTCAGATCGGTGGTGCGTATACGGCCTCGGTCTCCCATGTCAGATGCAGGATCCTCACTCAACACTGGCATTACCGATGGATGAGAAAACATTTCACAGTCTGAGGCCTGACACCGACATCCTGGATGGCCCCTGGCAACCCGGTCTATGGGCTCAGAAATTAGCGCTCGTCCGGTTTTTTATTCCAATACTAGAGTTGAACCGGCTTGCTGCAAAGCATAAAACTTCCACTGCGGAGTGCGAACTAGAGGTTGAGACCTTGGCTCAAAACCTTAAGAATTGGGAAGACTCTCTGCCAGACTACGCTCAGATGAACCTTGACAATCTCCATAGGCAACAAGAAAAGGGATTTGGAGGAGTACTTCTCACTCTACATCTCGTATACCACCACTACTCGATTCTGCTCTTCTTCCGCTTTCTAGAGGACCAGAAAACTGACTCTGCCGTCAGCCGAGCATATACCACTCGCTGCAAATCTCACGCCACTATGTTCAACTCTCTTCTCCGTCAATCCCGACAACTGAAGGCATGTGAGGCCGTATACCCCGTGGTCGGCCATATGGTGACAGTAGCTTCAGCAGTTTTGCTACACACCCTGTTGTTCGGCGACTTGGAGGAGAGTCGAGAGGCGAGACAGGAGCTAGAAGAGAATTTCGAAGCCCTTCTCGAGCTAACACAATACTGGCCATCGGTGTCTAAAATGGTATTTTCTGCCTCAAGTCTTTGGGGTCAAGTATCCCTCATATAATCAGAGCTAATCCGAACGAAGATCAAACGATTGACTCGGTTCCAGAACATGTGCCTCCTTTCAACTGATTCTCGTCCCCATCAGTTGGATGGGTGGATGGTGAGGTTTTTAATCGAGCGCGCGATATCTCTTACGGATAGGCATCTGGACGCTGCACCTCCCATGCCTGAGCTGGATTCAGAGGTTATATCATCTAAAGCGAGAGAGTTTTCACAGCTTGGGAGATTTATGAACTTCAAAAATACATAACATTGGTGTTTTTCTAGCTCCGACTTCAGGGGATGCGCCGCTATGCCGGCGGGTAGCCGCCGGACAGCCTTTAGATGACACTAGCCACTTCAGTATCATGACCAAACGCGATGCCATACGAGTAGCGTATTCTTGTATTGAAATACTAATCATGGGGCAAGGCAAAGAAATTCAGTTAAAACCAAAGTTACTGGAGGATCATTGTAACATAGCCTGATGGTTCTACCCATGAAATTGAGGATCTGAAGGTCGACGTTTGCTTATGGGCTGAGCATTGTGGCTGGAAGGAGGATTAGGGAAACTCATTATAAGATGTTTTTCCAACGCCACACATCAAGAACCTCGAAGTCGTCTAGTTGGTTTATGGCGCCAGACTGTAATCGCATGAAAGCATATCTGGATGTCAGCGGTTCGACTCCGCTCTTCGAGATTTCTTTTTTCCTTTTTTTCTTGTCGGATCTTTATCCCTCCTCTATCATCTCTTCATGAACAATGTTATTATGATCTTTTGGTACAAATTGAGAAAGAAAAGCTAGGCAATGAATCATGGACTCTGGAAACCGCATCACGCAGAAAAGTTTTCCCATGCGCCACTAGAACGGGGCGCAAAGAATTACCCTATACCTAGAATGTGATTTTAACAACGTCAACACCTTATCATCGCAACACAATGGTTTCACATGAGCTAAATGAGTAGCCGTCATAGGATGGTTTTTAACATGGGAGCTAAATGAATCTGAACGCTGGCTCGCGATTCCATCACGTAGAGTTCAATTTTGAAACTTGAAGTTACATTCACGTTGCCCAGTTCTTGAAGGTTCCACCAAAGTGAGGCCATCAGATTTGAAGTCCACATTGTAAGCCATCATTACACGCAGACAAGATGCCTACCTTATTTAAGGATCAGACCGTGATTGACAAAAATCAAAGAAATTGGATTTCAATCACCTGATACATACGCAATACTGGATATAGGGTAGGTTGAAGTCATTGGCGTCCGTCATGGGGGTTTGGCAAGGGACGAGCTATTAATAAGGCCCTTGCTAGAGGCACAATGAAAGCCTTCAAAACCGGTTGAACTGCCCAAGCCAACGTGAGCGGCATTTCTCATCTCAAATTGACAGACCACGGTGGAATCGTCATACGTCCTTGTTTTTTTTTGGTGCTGAAGAGCTCAAGCACTCTAACTCGTTGAGCTGATGTGACTCGTCAATTGAGTCACTTAATTGTCATATCCCCTCTTTTGTAATAGCTTGTGCCGCTCGTTCACGAGGCGTTCTTCTGGGAAGGGTAGAGCCAATATCATGTGGCTGGTGGTATGCCGGCTTATTAAATATTGAGCCTTGAAGCAACCGAGCTGACTCAGTGGATCATTGTCCTGTCTCGGTCGGAGTCGCAGGTGCAAATGTGGGTGTAGGATCGGGACTTGGGGAGCCAGGAGGCCAATCACCATCGCTACAAAAATAGCCAGATCGCCAGACCCCTGCTGATACCGCAAGCCAAAGGAACCTGCGCTCGTCAGCGCACCCGGAGTCGGTTCCTGGCCTGTCCCTCGCGCTCAAAACACTGTGGGATATATAAGATGGCAGGTCATGCATCTCACCTGTTGATTTTGCCACTTCTTCTCTTCTCCAACTCTTTTCCACTTTTCTTTTTCGCCCTTTTTTGTTTTTGGTTCATCTTTTGTGTTTCTTTTGTCTTGTGTTGTGTGTTCCTCTCTTGTAGCCCTGCCATTTCATCCATTTCTTTTCTCTCACTTCTTTCACCGGGAACATCCACAGGATCATGGAATATCCCTGGCTCAGAATCGCCACTGGATTGGTGTTTATTTTTCTGGGCATTTCCATCTACATTGCTGTGCTTGCCAGCCGAAGACTTTACTATAAGCCCTATGGAATCCGCGCTGGCGTGTGGTGGCTCAAGGTGTCGGCAGCACTAGTGATACTGTGAGCAATGGCTTTTCTACATGACGAAACTCGACTGCTAACATTGTCCAGATGGCAGGCTCTTTGGGTTCTGGTCCCCCTTTCGGAGATGCGGCCCTTCGTCTCCATGTTCCACCTCGCATTCACAGGGCACCTCATGGCCTTGAGCGAGCTATTATCGGGCTTTAGCTACTCCACTGTTCTCTTCTCCCAGCTTGTTCTTGCCTGGGGATTCAAGACGAACCAGGCCAGCAACAACAAGCTGAGGCGATGCCTTGCTTGGGCATTTTGCCTGGCCATGGGTAGCTTGATCGTGATGCGCTTCGTCATCGTTGAGCTGCTTGCTCGGAGGTCATGGTCAACCGACTTCCCTCACTTGAGCTTCATGATTGCTGAGGGATCCATCTACGCCGTGCTGCCCACATGGCTGATCAGCAGCCTTCTCTTGATGGCAGCTGGAGGCGGCTTGGTTTACTGGGTCAATACCAGGCCAGCACGCGCGACTCATGTATGCTCCTCTTCCCTGACGTGTTTTGAGGGTAGCGAAACTAATCCCGGTTGAAACAGGCCTCTCGACTGATGACGGCTGTCCACAGCCTCAGCTTCATTCGCCATCTGTACGAAACCATTTGCCAGTTTGTCGAACCGACCGAAGGCCCAATCGATATCCTTAGCATGGGCTCCAGGACCTTCCGACTGGTTCCAAACACAATATTTATCAATGGGACAATGGTGGCTTGCCTATGTCTCATTTACCGCATCGCTTTCCAGTACAGCGATGATCTTCAAGAGGAGTGGCGGCAAAGCAAAGAGTACAGCCATGACTCCGAGTCGGAAGATATTGTTGCCTTTTAACGGCGCAGTTCTCAACTCATTTCTTTCTTTTCTCTATACCGATTTGGACACGGGATTGATCCAATGATTTACGTCTTCTTTTCTTCTTTTCTTCTTTTCTTCTTTTTTTCTTTTCTTCTTTTTTTCTTTTCTTCTTTTTTTCTTTTGCCACTTCATTTTATGACCTTTTTCTTCTTCTTCAAAGCTGCATATGTATATATTTATCCTTCTGGAATGGCACAAGATGCCGCAGCATTTTTATAGATGACCACATTGAGACACAAGATCTCCTTTTCATATTTTGCATCTTCTCCATAAGCTTCAGTGTATCAGTATATCATATTCACACGGTGAAAGGCTATAAAAGACTGAATATGACTCGTCACTGAGTTTGGTCATGGGCAATTGTAGGGCAGTCTGTGACTCTGTAGCACTTTCCAGTCAATGGCTCACGGTTTGGCAGTCATGACACGCATTTCGAGGCTCAGCCCAGATCATGGATGGATTCATACAGTGCAACACGCGTCGCGGTGACATCTCATTACCGTTCCCAGACATTCCAAACCCGGATGATCCGCATAAAGATGAACCCCCTAATTAACCCCTCATTATGAACCACCTGACACGATCACCGGACCCATCGGAACAAGCTAGCTGCAGCTTCCCCTTCCTTCTTTATTCCATCGCGGGGTTCCAACGGCTGGAGTAAACGTGGAGAGACCGATATCATCACATACCAACGTTCCCTCCGTCGCATCGCCAAAATGTCCAACAAGGTCATCGCGCACATCGACACCCCGGATCCCTGGATGGTCCAGGCCAATGGCGTCTACTACCTCACCTTCACCCTGGCCAACCGCATCGAGATATGGGAGTCGCCGCTGATGGAGGACTTCTTCAACGCCCGCAAGGCCCTCGTCTGGCAGCCTGAGCCCGGCTCGCGCTGGGCCGCCGACATCTGGGCGCCCGAGCTGCACCTCATCAAGGGCGTCTGGTACATCTACGCCACGGCCTCGCAGCCCGGCGTGGGCAACCCGGGCCACCGCACCATCGTCCTGCGGTCGGCGCGCCAGGACCCCATGGACGAGTCCGCCTGGGAGTTCCTCGGCCCGCTCAAAGGCATGCCCGAGGCGTTCAGCATCGACGCGACCGTCTTCAGCCCCAACGGCGAGGACCTGTACATCTGCTGGTCCGGGTGGCCGGTCGGCGACAACTCGGACACCAAGCAGGACCTCTACGTGACCCAGATGATCTCGCCCGAAGAGGTCGTGGACTCGTCGATCCTCCCGCCGGCGTGCATCGCGTGTGCCGACCTGCCCTGGGAGCGGTTCGACGGCGGGAGGCGCGGGATCAACGAGGGTCCGACGTGGCTCAACCTGCCCAACGGCGCGTTCACGGGGATCGTGTTCTCGGGACACGCCAGCTTCACGAGCGAGTACAAGCTGGGGTTGCTGCGGCTGGTCGCGCCGAACGCTGATCCCCTGGATCCGAAGTCGTGGGAGAAGAGACCGGTGCCGCTGCTGATGAACGACAAGTCGATGCCTGGACCGTATGCTCCTGGTCATGCCAGCTTCCTGCTCAGCTCCGAACCGGGAGACGACAAGGTGTTCTGCATCTACCACGCGACGGACAATTGGGGCGAGGGCTTTGCCAACCGCAAGGCGCGAGTGATGGTGATGGGACCCGAGCACTTTGCGCCGGATGCACAGCCAATCTGCTGCTCCAAGGCACCCGGCAATCCGTTCTGGAGAGGAGGTGCTGCTGTTGATCCTCCGCAGGGGACGCTCTCGAGGAGATCCACGGCGAGGCAGAAGATTGACGAATTTGCTAGTAAGGCGCCTGGTCCCGTGAAGAAGGCGTTGGATAAGGTGCAGAAGTTTTTTTAACAGAAAATGCTGCGATTAGGCCTGAGCATCGTGCTTCATATATCTTCCGACGATGATTTTCGGATCGGGCGCTCTTCTTCCTGACCACGATCGTTCGAGTTTTGGGATCGGAATCACTTATGAAGCGACGATGATTTATTGATAAATGAGGCAAAAGAGAATTGCAATATTTGCGACTGTATGATATCGACGGAATTCTGAATCGAAGCTACCTACCTATTATCACCAGACTTGTACATTGGAATTGGTGCTGGCGATGATGGGGGAGGTGGAGAATCTTGATCGAGCGCTAGAGTGCTGAATGTTTTGAGATGGTAGATTTTCTCTCGTGTAAGGGGTCTTGATGAATCTCGAGACTGGACGAATATCACAGCAATCAGTTAATTGTTCGGTTTAGATGTAGCGAGCTGTTCGTGATGGTTCTAACCATAATCCTGAGGTACAGGCTTCATGTGGGAACATTGAAGATAAGATAACCTCTGTTCAGCGGGCCCAAGACAACGAATTACTGGAAATACAGCGCTTGTAGCGGGATCCGCCGCTGAAGACTCCCTTAAAGAAGCAACTGACTACCCTGAAGGCCACTAAATCCCCTCCTGCAGAGGCCCGAGAGGCTTCATCTTCAACAAAACATCCATCAAATGGCTCCCAGCCAACCCGCGGATCCCAGCTCGCCACTCGTCGCGCTTGTCTCTGCCTACGACCGGTGCAAGGATATCATGAGGTCGGTCGGCCATGAATGGCGTCTGAATAACTACGATCAAAAGGCCCTCCAGGCGCGCATCTCGACAGAGCACCAGCGGCTCGAGCAATGGGGTCATGGCATAGGCCTCGACGGGCCCAAGAAGGCCCAGCTGTCCCCCAGCTCGGATGGCTATCTCCTGGACCGCGATTTCCATGAGAGCACCCAAGGCATTCTCGAATCCATCGTGAGCATCTTCGAAGAGACCATCGCAAACTTGGCACAGCACTACGAGCTGGCTCCCTCTTCCTCCGCCCCTACGACCGGCTCTGCACGTGACGGATATCTCGCCCGCATCCAGTCGTTCCTCTCTGCTAAAAATCCTACTTCGCGATGGCAACGCCAGGACAAAGTTCGCTTCATGGCGTTTGCCGAAACGGTCCATCATCATATTGGGGTTCTGCTGCAGAAGCTGGACTACCTTGAGAGCGTCGCCAGTGCCCGAAGCGGCAAAACGCTCAATTTTGTCCCAGGAAGGTCCCAGTTCAAGACTTGGTGTATTATGTTGATGCTCGTGTAGGAATGAATATACCCGTTCAAGTTTCCAAATAAATTGGCTGAATATCAGCTATAAGAGGCTTTATTTAGTTATTCTATGTTTAAGGCCGAGATATTGAAAGAAATGTCGCTAGATACGATGAAACAGGGTTGTCATGTGCAATAACGAAGTTCTCCCCAAGATATTAGGCTTTCACCGCGCTGACGGCCTGAAACATTTTGCCAAGATCCTCGCCAGTCTTGGCCTTTGTAGGCTTCTGGAACCCTTCCTTGTACGGGATGCGCTCGTGCTCTGCCAATATGTTAGTGAAAACCCATCAATGAAGGAATGGACACAGAAGTTGTGAGGTTGGAGACCTACCGAAAAACGTCTTAACCCATGTCTTTGGAGCACCGTTCCTCGCACCATCCCACAGAGTAAGAAGATACAAGGCTGTCGTGCCGAGTGTTACCGTTGACTGGAGCTCGGAGGCATCGAAGTCCTTGTTCGCCGCCTTTGCCACAACCTGCCGGGCGGCGTGTGCTTTCGCCGCGGTCTCGACAGTCACGATCTTGTCGCCCTTGCAGATGCGGTTGAGCCCAAGGTTCTCGGCCACGGCGTCCCAGATCTCTTGGTTGTAGTGGAGGTTGTCGCCGAGAGCCAGGTCGCTGCGGGAGAGCGAGCCGTCGACCTCGACGATGCCGTGCGCTTTGGGCGAGACTAGATCATCCAGGTTGAACGTGGAGTTGGGAGTGTTTGTCGTAGAGATGCCGTTCCCTAAAACATCCGTCACGGCAGAGTCGAAGACACCGGGAGCAAAGTTGAAAGCTGCCCCGGTTGCGTAGCGAATGTGTTCAAGGGTTATTTCTTTCCCGGATCGAGGGAGGAATCCGTGGTTCGCCATCACGTTCAAACCCGGGCATGGGGATCGGCCTGAGACAAACTTGTTAGTGAATATTGTAGCGTTGAAGAGAAACTAAACCACGCACGATCGTCGCCTTTGGGAGCCTGATACTCATGGTCCTTTGGCTCTGAATAATGGGGCCAAGCGGTGGCGGCTGTGTATAGGACGGTACTGGCGAGGAGTGAGAGCTGCATGATTCTAATGAGGCTGTTGCGCTTGTGTTGGTAATGAGGAGGAAGTATAATGCCAAAGACTCGGAGCTTCAGCACCTCTATATATTATATACTCGCCCATTTTAGATAGGGCTACCATTATGACGATGTAAGATTAATCCGCCGTTCTTCTGCGCCTCAAGGAATAGCCCAATGGCGAGGCGCGGGATCATCGCAGACTGGAGCGTAATACGCAATACGCCATACGCAACAACATCCCCACTGCCAAGAAATTAGAACTATTCACAGCCTCATCCCGGAAGCATTTCATTTGTCTCGTAGGCATTTAATTAATAATTTTCATGCATCTTATTGGCTCAGCGATTCGCGTCGACATTCTGGAAACAAAATCGAAGCAAGTCTGACAGGCATCATCATACCTTTGTGATCACATCCTCAGCTCCACCTGGGCAAGCAGAAGAGATGACGCTAATGAAGATGGAAGCTTGCTCCGCCAATGTCTGAGCCTCTGTGGCCTAGACCCTTGGCTTGAAAATGCAATGGCAGGTCATAATACGCATCTACAGTCGTATCATTGACCGCCCTTTCTTCCACCATTTTCTAGGCTATATGGGTCATTGGGCTGAGAGTTGGATTGCAGAAAATTATGATAAACAGAGCCTCAATGTTATTTCTTCACTCTCTCTCGATATTACTTGGCTACACAGACCAACTGAATTCAGCCAGCACAGGGTTGTGGTCTGAGACAATATTTCCATCTGGCTGCTTAAACACGTCGGATTTATAACTGAAAGAGTTCGCAGTCAACTTGACCGAGTCGCCGGAGCGAAACCTATGAAGACCTCGCGTTAGACTGGGCCAAAGATATATGGTCTCATTTGCCAAGGTGAGATGTTCAGACTTACAGTATCTTATCGACGACTTCGCAATTGTTATTAGGGGCAGGATTTGAGCAGTAGTTGGCGGCAGATCCAGGGGTAGGGTAAACGCCGCCCTTGACAACGGTTGCCCAGACATCGCTGAACCCAGCCGAGACGTATTTGTTAATGCTCAAGTCCGAAGTATACCAGCGGTCATTCAAGTCACCCGCAATAATTACGGCTCGCCCGGCGGAGTCGTTGTTGATATAAGCGAGGAGCTGGTCAACGCCCAGGCTCCGGGCCAACTTGTCTCCCCAGTCATCGCTGTTCTTTGTAAGCAAGAGTCTCGTTTCACAAATGGCATATTTCAGAGACTCACCCTGCGTCGGCATGGGCGTTGTAGAGGTCAATCTCTGCCCCGCCAACATTGATGCGCATGAAGGTGAATCCCTTGGGAGTGAGGCAATCGGCCTCATTGACCCAGCAAAACTTCCAGGTGACGCGGTCCAGGCCAGTCCACTGGAAGTTGGAGAGCGTATTTAAGCCAGATCCCGCGAGAACATTGCCCGAAGTTACTGTCCGGTAGGGGTGGTTGTCCTTGGCATAGATCTCGGAGTTGTAGCCGAAATCTTCCTGTATGTGGATGATATCGTATCCTGTCTCGGCAAAGAGACTGCCAATTGTGCCGGCGTTGGTGGCCTTGTCCCCTGGCACGCCGTTGTCACTCAGCCAGTCAGGGAGGCCGGCTACGTTGAAGGTCAAGAGGTTGAAGGACCCGGAAGATTGGGCGAGGGCGAGCCCAGCGAGACATGAGGTCAATGCAATTACAGAGCTAGTATAGTAACGCATGGTAACTGGCAGTTGTCTGAGCTAAGGACGGATGTGCCATCTAGAAAGTGAGGACTATGATGGGTGTGGGAGACTTATAGATATTACTGCAGGAAATGATCCGCGCCATCCCAATGAGACCCTCCTTTTTCGGACCAGTCGACGCATGGCCCATTAGAAAGAGTCGAGCGCTGGCAATGCTGGTTGGCACCACGCTCGTCGTGCTGGACGACGATTGGACGTTCCCAACTGGCCTTCCTGTTTAGTCCACCACCGACCTGCAAGTGATGTCGGCAGTGAGTCTTTTAGGTTATTTGCACCTTCCCCGCACGGAAATTATGTATTGATTGGAGAGAAACCTTGCAAACAACTTGAATTACTGTCACGTTGTCTGATCTGATCCCCAACTGGATTAGCACCACCACCGCTCTACGCAGTAGATCAACGTTATACCTGGTATTATACAGATATCCTTATATCGAGTGGCTAATGTGGCTTCTGAAATGATTATTGTGATAGAATATATATACCAGCGGCAAGTTTATGATATTAAAGATCGGTATTTAGAAGGAAGAGATATCACTAAGTTTTACATCTAAAGCCAATAGTTCCGAGCTGATTTCTTGGCCCTGGCCAAGCCCTAAACGATGAGCAATAAGTGCCAACTTGGTACCAAGATGTGGTACCTATTTCTCAGCTGCGTGTCTCTTAGCCGTCAGGCTTTCAACAGGCGCATCGACAACGTAGTTCATAGTGTTACGCAGATCACCTAAGAAGAAACACGCAAGACACGCAGCGGCACCGAAGGAGATTGCAATATAGTAGACAACGTGCAGCGACTCTGCGTACGCCTGACTCATTGCTGATGCCGCCGCTTCAACAACAGTAGAGTTGACTCCCGGAATAGCAGATAGTGCTCCGCTGTCCTGGGCTGTGAAAGCGCTGACAAAGGCCGGGACATGGTCGGCGGCCAAGCCCACCTTGGTCGCGGCTTCGGCTATCTTGGCATAGAGCTTGACCTGGAGTTCGGAGCTGTATGCAGCGCTGAAGACGCTCGTGAACACGGTTGCACCGACCGCGCGGGCAGAAGTTGTGACGGCTGTAGCGGTGGCAATCAAGTGGTGGGGTGTAGAGAGTTGGACGCCCGTGACGACGAGGACGAGGGGGGCGCCGAAGCCGAGACCGGCGAGGCCAGCAAATATGAGACAGTTGAGATCGTCTCCGGGTCGGATGGTGGCGAAGCCAACAAGTCCAGCCGTGAAAATTAAGAAACCTGCGAATAGCGGACTGCGGATGGTTCGGAATCGCATGCTCCAGTAACCCCAACCGACGGTGGACAGACCCGAGACAACCCAGAATGGCAGTCCACGGACAGTGAGGAGGAATGGATCTTGTTCGAACAATATGGCAGTCCTGTTTTGCCCTGTCAGCCTGCTGTTCCTCCAAGGAGATAATAATGGATGACGGGGAGCCCAGTGTCCTTGTACTTACATGACCGGATAAAAGATAACATAAGAGAACAACATGATGCCTTCAACCATCATGAGTACAATGCAAATTGCAAAGGTGCGGCCACCGGCCTTGCCTCCTCGGAACAGCTCATGATGCAGGATGCCTGTCTTCGTCCCTTTCCACTCATAGACTCCGAAACCAACAAGTGTTACTAGCCCGATGACCAGCAAAGACAGTACTCGGGCGTTGGTCCACGGGAAGAGACCCCCTCCGAGGTTGAGCGCGACAAGGAACAGGGTGATACCAGCTGTGAGCAGACCAAATCCCGGTAGGTCTAGATGTGCGAGCTTCTGCCAGAAGGACAGGTGATCGAGCTGGGTATGTCTCTTTGGGGGTCGATAGCCAAAGAAAATACCGATGGCTGTCATGCCCCAGAGGGCCATCTGTACCCACTGTTGAACCTTTAGTTTGCTGCCCCTGGAAAGGCTTACAAGAGCTTGGGTCGACTTACATAGAAATTCTTCCAGCCGTCCTTCACATCCGCTTTTGCAAACGCACCGATGACCAGTGGGCCAACCACTGCGCCAAGACAAGCGGCGATGTTCATGACCGCTTGAGACACTGTGAAGAGACAATTAGTTTTGAGATTGCTCGCGGATATGGAAGGGTCAAGGTAAGGTTTTGGACGCACTTGGCCGCCATTTCCGTGGTAGGATTTCGCTCGGGACGGCAAAAGCTAAACCGACGGTCGAGAAGCCAACGCCAATGAGTATGGTAGCCCCGATCAGCCGGTAAATGTTAGTTGAACCGGGTGCAATTGCCGCGCCGACAAAGGAAACGACAGAGGCTCCGACGAGCAGCAGCTTGCGTGCCTGGAAGGTGTCCGATATAGAAGAGACGAGCGGAGAGATGACGGCCTGCATAAGGGTAAGGGCGCCAGGGACCCAGGTCTGGGCTTGGGTGTTGTTGAGGGAGGTGCCGATGATGGAGAGCTAATGTGTTCTTCTTGTTAGTTATATTAAACTGACTCTGGGGTTCTGTCTTTGAAGATAAAAGGGGGATGGGGGTGTGCTTACGACAGAAGGGGGGCCTTGAAGTGCCAGAGTCTGGACGAAGTTCATCAAGAACATCGAGGCCAACGCAATCCATGTTCGCAGGTGAACAATAGGTTCTTCGTCGGCGTTGTCGTAAACAAGATTGTTCTCTGGAGGACCACTGTGTTTTTCAAAGTCTTCGACAGCCTGACTTTCGTGCTTGCTATCTTGAGTTGCCGCATCGACGTGCTCTTTACTGCTGAGTTCGGCCATGTTTGCTCACGGTTGGGGGAAATAGTGGATTTTACCAAGAATGATCCCGGCTTGCATGAGGAAATCTTTGGAGCAATGGATGTGTTACGATCCCTTGAAGATATATGTGGTCTATGATTAGTCTTTGCATGACCCCGGATTACATTAACCTGGGGAAGCCCACGATAAGGAGATAGGCAAAGGGATCCTCAACAGCTACGGTCGAGGCGGAGATATCTAGCGTCGGAACTTTGCGAATGTCGGAGAGTTGCGAGTGTCGGACTTTGGCGATCTAAGACCAAAAGGTCAACCGGGAGGTGGGTACGAAGAATGCGTAACGTATTTAGCCCTGTTCTTGACCAACACTAACAGCGCCGTCCTTGTACCCTTCGGCCGCCTCTTGAATACGTTGTCGGTCATTGGTGCTGCTTGAGGCCCGAGGGTGACGAAGAAGGTTTCGCCAAACAGCTAATTAGTAGTCTCCCGGACGATAACACACGCGCTCTTATTACTTCGATGCTAGATCCATAACCCTGGGCCAACTACGAGACAATAGACGCCTCGACAAATACGCATCTGCTAAAATGGAGAGCGCCTCATTAGAAGCACCCTGGCAAGCCATCGCCCGTCAGAAGCAAGCCAATCGAGACGCACGCATCCCATCACAATGGCGAATCCCCCTCGCTCACATGCCCAAGGATCCTCCGTGCTTCGAGGACGGCCCTCAATCTGTGCTACACGTCCCAGCGGCGGTACTGTCAGCGGAGGAGATCGAAATCACGGAGAACTACAATATCTCCACGTTGATCCCCGCCATAGCACGCAAAAAGCTCCTCGCTGAGACCGTGATAAGCGCCTTTTGCCACCGTGCAGCCGTGGCGCATCAGTTGACAAACTGTTTGACTGAACCCTTGTTTGAGCAAGCCGCAGAGCGGGCGCGATTTCTGGATCAGTACATGGACGAGCATGGGATGCCTCTGGGCCCTTTGCACGGCTTGCCGGTTAGTGTCAAAGATACTTTCGACATCAAAGGAGTTGATAGTTCCACAGGTTTGGCGTCTTTGTGTTTCAAGCCGGCAGAGAAGAACGCACCTCTGGTGGATCTCCTGCTGTCGTTGGGGGCAGTCGTGGTGGCCAAGACCAACGTGCCGCAGACGCTTTCAAGTCTTGATAGCGTCAATAATGTCTTTGGGAGGACTATGAATCCCGTCAACAGGCTGTGCACTGCTGGTGGGAGCTCGGGCGGCGAGGGTGTCATGGTGGCCATGAGAGGCTCCCTCCTCGGCATCGGAACTGATCTGGGTGGCAGCATCAGGATCCCAGCCATGGTGAACGGGGTCTATGGTTTCAAACCGAGTAATTTAAGGTTGCCGTATGGTGGACAAGCAGTTCTGGTGCCCGAGGGCATGACCAGGATAGGAGTGCAGCCCGTGGCAGGGCCACTGGCGCAGACTATAGAGGACATCAGCTTTGTCATGAAAGAATTGGTGCCACGGGCTAGCCTCTATGGAGAAGACTGCGTGTTGGGAGAATGGGCGGACGCGGACGCTTCTAAACCCCTCCAGGGCTCCGGGCCAGACGGACAAGTTGTCATTGGTGTGCTACGAAACGATGGCAACTGTGCCCTTTTGCCACCGGTGGATCGGGTTCTTTCTGAGGTTGCGTCGCGCTTGAGTGAGCATTCAAATATCGCGGTCGTTGAAGTGCCAACTCCAACAGCGTGGACGAAAGCACAAAGTGCCATCAACGAGCTGATCGCCATCGATGGGGGAGTCCTCATGGGACAACTCTTGGAGTCAACTGGAGAGCCATTGGTTCCTTGGGTGAAGCCAAGATTCAAAGTCGGCGAGCCGTGCTCTCTCGCAAGATTGGCCGAGCTACAGGCCCGGCGTTCCCAGCTCGAGCTCGAGATGTTACAGATATGGACCAATACAGATCAATATGGGAGGAAGAGCAGGAAACTCGATGCAGTTATCTGCGCCGTGGCACCCCATCCTGTGCCCGAGATTGAACGGTTCGACTCCCTCGGTTACACCAGCTCTTTTGTCCTATTTGATTATCCCGCCGGCACCATTCCTGTCAGAAATGTGGTCGAGGAGGATCTTGACCTGGGAAAGGCACTTGGTGGCCAGTCGCTAGGTGTCTGGGACGATCATTGCCGAGAGCTGTGGGACGAGAAAACTGTAAACAGGAAGGTGTACCTGGGAACCCCCTTGAGCATTCAAGTCGTTGTGCCACGACTTGAGGATGAGAAGTTGGGGAAGTTCATGGCTTTGATCGACGGCGTCATTAAAAGCCACGGACAATCAATTCCAAGCTGACGGAGTAAAAAGACGATCATGAGGCAACATTGATGAACACAGGATAGCTTCTTAATGAGTAGTGATTAACCTAAAATTCCCCGGCGCCAGATGCTTGTATAAACTAAGTAATGCTCGAACAAGTTCGGCCAAGTGTCATGTGTTGCGGGATTGAGATCTCTGAGGTATTGGTCGCCATTATTTCGAGCGGTAAAGTCAAAAGATCTAGCGATTATAAAACTGCACATAACTCGTGCAAATGTTCTTCAACGTGTCGGCAGGTAAGGAAGAAGCCTGGTACCTCTTAGGCTCGGAAGACTCTGTCGTAAACCTGGGATCGAAGTCGGCGTCCCATTTTGGGGCGATCGGTTATCTGAAATGGCTCATGTTTGATTCCGGCTGCCGTTGATTATACTTTGGTGTCTTCCATGGCCGAGAGGCCCGGCAAAGGATAAGCAGCTCGCAAATGTCCGCCGCAACTATCGGGGCGGCTCATCCTTATCCGACAAGTACGGACTTACAACGAGTTCCAGACTGGCCTATGGATAAGATATTTATCGGACGAAGATGCCTTGAAAGACACTAGCCTGCATAGCTGAATTGTTAATAGATGAAACTCTGTCTTCGTGGCATTGATATAGCTAATGGGTCCACGCCGGTAATTACGAATCCTCTGAGTACGAGGTTGCGGAGTCTAAAGACGAGTCATGTGGATTTCAGTATTTGAAATCTGTAGCTTTTACAATTAAAAAAAAGAAGACTGAGAGGTCACAGGTAATATAAGTTTGCATTTCAGGTAAACATATAATTCTTATGTATGTTCTTCATGGCGGTTGCACAGCCCTTCTATAATATCCGAGAACCCCATGGACAAGTTGGCTGGGTCAGCCTCCATTAACGCCAGAGTTGTGAGGCAAGATCGCGTTGTTCGTTGCCAAGCAGTTCGATCCGCCGCACCCTGCTTCCCGGAAGAGAGCATCTGAAGCGCAGCAGCGAATAAAAGATGGGACATGGTCCAATCGGTCGGGAAGACTGGCACCTTGTATTGTGCTTCGTTGTCAGGGATAGCACAAAAGGAACGTTGGCTGTGTCTGACGAGAATGGTGCTACAAGACACAACCTCTCGAGCCGTGTCAAGAACGGATTCGATTGCTTCTGGGCAGAACCTCGAGATCATGAGCATACTCGCGTTGTACTGCAAAGTGCCCCATGCGTCTAAATATTGGACGGCATCTCCCCAGCCATGCACCTCGCTCGTGATAGCAGGCACGAAGTCTGTCTTCCAGTATTGATGCCATTCGAGTAGTTCTGTTTGAACAGTTTCACATCTCTCTTTCAGCCTCGCCGGGTTATGCTGCACAGTCGCTGCAGAGAGCAGGCTCTGGAGTTGCATCTTGATTGTCGAGATGCGGTAGAACTGGATGGATATGCCTTCATTTACAGTATCACATGCCGGCAAGGTCAATTCCTATGAGCTTGTTAGTCGAGACCGTATTGACCTATGAGTATTCTTTGCCCTAACATAATGTAATTTATCCCCTATTGCCAACACCGTTGGCCGACCAAATGCGGTGGTTACATTTCTACTTTCGTGATCAGCTCAGTGCTTCAACTCCGACGTGAGTACGTACCCCTCGATGCAGTACAAAGTTCTAGCAAGCATCGTGTGATGGCCTTCATCAAGGTACATATTTTCGGAACGACCATGCGACATATCAAAGTGGAGGCGGATGGCAAAGCCAAGGTTCCTCCAGATATCACCACTGCTGGGGCTCAAGAGCAAGTATATACATATGAGCAGAGATCTCTGCATCATGTGCAAAGTACTGGGTCCAGAAGAATGATCGCAGTTTGTGTCAGCGTTGGAGATGGCCGTATTGAAGTAGGCCGCCGGTGTGAAGCTCATTGAGGGCTCAGCTCTTTTCGTCAGTAGACTGGATATAGCGAGAACTAGGTAAAACAACTCCCGCTTTTGGTCCAAACAAGGATCAAGTGCTTCGTTGTTGCAGCATAAGAGCAGACTTTGTAGAGACTCATCGTTCATAATGGGATACCACACGTGGACTGATTTTGAGAATACCGCAAATAGGCGCGTGGCAATCGAGATATCTGGGGGCCCTGCTATCTGGGCCGTGGATACCAGCGAACCGCTGATCCATCCAGCGCTGGGCTCACTTCCCAACGTTTCGGAGTTGGAGCTAGTTAACGGAAGCGCAGGGGATGTGATTGACGCAAGGTGACTCGAGAGTCCGAAGAAGATATAATCCGTGTTTGTTGTCCATTTGGAGTTTGTGGACGCGCCTCGAGGCTTTTCTGGGCCATTTTCGGATGATCCCGATAGGATTAAGAGATTGCTGCCCCATTTGGGTTGCGAGGCAGTCATAGAGACAGGCGGGGAAGCTGACGATACCTTTGGAGGTGTTACTCGAGGCTGGCTTGCTATGACTAGCTTTTGGATTAAAGAATGGATGTCTCTAGGAAGTCAAGAGAGTCATATGAGTCTCGGTTTCAGAGCGAGTTCGATGTTGAGTGAAGCGAGAATCACGTACCGTCTGGGTATCTGCTGCGATAACAGAATATCGTGATATACACACTCTCGGCGCGACCTTGAGCAGGCACCACAGCATGGGAGCTCGCGATCGCACCGTACATGTTGTTCACGACAGAAGGTGCACGATGGCATTGAGTTGATAACGTCCTTGATGTCATTAGGAAGCACTGAGGTTGACGATGTGGTAGTAAGGTCTGTAGTACCTGCAACAGGCACTTGCTGCTGCTCGGCCAGCAAGGGAGGTTCAAGAAAGTTCAACGAATAGGCCTCCTCAAGGTCAAATTGAACTCCTAAGAAGTCCTGCCACATATCGTCTGAGAGCGGCAGTTGTGATTCTTCCTGGGGCGGCGATAACAAATCTGTATGAAGGAGAGAAGAAGGCTGAATTTCACTGTGTGCCTGATATATACTGCGGATGCGACGTTGGGACAGCAACAATTCGAGCTCCTCAAGGTATCTCAACTGATAGGCTGCACTAGTCGGACTGACTGAATCTGAAAACACGAACGTACGCAGATCTTTGACGTACATAGCGGTGGAAGCAATTACTGGCCATCTCTGTGATCCAAGATTCTGTTTAGGAGAAATTAGAGCTTTCATGCAAGCAACCCTGTAAAGATATGTATAAATTTACTCACCAGTATACCCATCACGGTGTCTAGCGCGGAGAGGAGCTCATTCTCTAACGAAGCTTCACGGATGATAGATGCATAGTTGCCGAAAATGTACAACAGAACGATGGCGGCTTGAAATGTGTTGTTCACCACCGCAAAAGTCCAGGCCAACCTCTGTGTCTGGATAGTCTTATGGTAGCCGTTGATCAGGCTTATTGCACTCGTCGTCGCGACGAGCAGGGAAGCCGGGCTTGGCACCATGCTTCCAGGGTGCGGTCGATGCAGCAGGTTTTGACTCTGGTGTGCATCGTTGGTGATCCATTGCGGAATGGCACCGTTATTGGAGGAGACGGACAGATTCAGCGTGCTTCGTATGCGCTCCTCCATATTCTCAACCCAGTGGTCGTAGCTTGAAAACTGATCTGGGATAGCCCGGCCAAAGAACTTGATCTCGTAGATCTCTGACTGAAGCTGGCATAGCTGGATTTGAAGCACAAAGTGTTTTGTACTGAGCCTTCCGTCGGTGTATGATGGAAAGGCATCGGTGGAATGTGCTCCTTCGTTGCCGCAACCAGGCAAGCCGACGGTGATATGGTCGTCGCTCACATTCGGGGGCGACCCTGTTGAGATTGCAATCGTCCTGTCGATCAAATAGACCTTTGTTTTCCACCCGTTAGTCCAGACAGTACGAAGTCAAGGGCATCTCGATAGGAGTCAGAGAACTGTACCATCCAAAATATCTGCCTCCGAAGATTGACGTCCCGAGAACTCAGCCCTTGAGAAGGATCGGGCTCTTGATGAAGACCTAGTCCGACGGCCATGCGTCCGACTTCCCCGCTCAAGTAGAAGACATTATTGATATATGGTAACAGGAAGCCCAGTTGTATCAATAATAGAAGCCCCTGCAGAGATCTTATATTAGATTGCCTGAGAAAGGTCCAGTGGCGCATCGCATCGCGGTGAAGTGACTCGCTCATCGAAGCCACTCGGGAGAAATCCTCATTCCGCGAGGCCAGACAGCTGACCGCCAGCACCATCGACACAACAAACCGGCTGAAATTTGCGGATGAGACATCACCCGTCTGCTGCTGCCTTGAATAGACTTGTCCAAAGTGGTACCATAGCTCGCTGCTGGTGAAGCATGGATACCGTGGTAAGATGGTGTTCACGTAGTTGTCGAAGATGTGCCGCGCAACTTCGAAGGGGGTAGACAAAGCATCCACTCCGGAGAATTGCGACTCGTGTCCATGGCCCGCCCGTCTTCCAAGATGTTCATAGTAGAGGCTATGTACTGGGACCTTGTGAGGAGGCCGTTCGGTTGGGTAAAACAGTTTGGATTCATGGAGGAGTCCTGGGTGACTGCCCACGCAAGCCGTGGTGTACAAGATGCGTATTGACGTGCTTATAGCGTCCAAGATTTGGCTGTTAGCATGAACAAAGACTCCTGCGGGTCTCGAAATCGAAATCGTCGTTTCTGGCAAGCCGTCTGACTCTGGTTCGGGTTCTGGCTCTGGCTGGCGTCCACAGTCACGCTCGATTTCAGCCAGTCGCTTCTCCAAATACTGCAGCGCGCTGTGAACAGTTTTAGCTCTAGATAGATACCCTCAAAGTGAAGAGATCAAAGCAGTGGAAATACCTTCGTGGGATCTCTTTGCGGCTATGTCGGTTGATGCCGGCGCACTCTTTGCCTGCCAAGCTACACCGAGAGCAGCAGGGCAGCTTCTTATCGCACTGGATTCAGGTCAATATCTCACGCTCGTAATCCAGAGTCCCAAGTTGACGCCACCTTCTTCTTCAAGGAATAACATCTCGCGCAAGCCAGGACTGGTTGGTTGCGCTGGCGTCTCGGCATTGTTGAGCTCATGTGCCGACACTCACCGAATTAGGCGGGCGGTGGTTCCGGGTGGATGCCTGCCTTGAATCCGACCAGCATTGAGCTTGAAGAGCGTGTCGTAGAAATCCCGGGGTAGTTGTAACGGGGCAGGGTGTCAAGCGAGGTGTCACGGCCTTCGATAGACACCAGATTACCCGCAGGCGGAGCACAGCCTTCGTCTTGCCTGTGTGTTGACCTGAAGCACGAGTGAAGGACCAAAGCTTAATCAAGCCGAGCTAGCAAAAGTCCGACAACCTGCTATCTACGAGTTGAGTCGGAGACTAGCCCGAGTGGATCACTCATAGAAAGACCGGGGATTGGGCTATGCTTGAAGGGTCGGTCGCCGAGCTGGGTCAGGGTATGAGTCATGGCATCGAATAAAGCGGCAGATAGAGCGGGGAGAGAGTGTTTGTGGCGACGGCGGATCAATCTCTGGATCCATGAGCGGACAGGGTGACAGTGGACACGATCCAAGGGAGGGAAAGTCGTAAACCACGTCAGTGGGTGGCCAACGGGGTTACAGAGCAGATTTTTCTCATTACCTAAGATATTTTTAACATAGAAGAGTCGTACTTCAATCCTGTGATGCGCTGTGCCAAAGTTGAGGAAGCTCACTGTAGTTAAATATCACTGTAGCTGGTTCCAAGCTCCTCGAAGTTGCTTACATTTCGAACACTATACCACTCAGTACTCAGAATCCACGAGTAATCATGACACCCAAGGTCGTCATTGTCACCGGCGCGAGCAAGGGCATTGGGGCGGCCATCGTAGCGTGGCTTCTGGGCCAGTCTCATAAGGTCGTTGTCACGGCTCGCTCCGAGGCACCGCTACAGGCGCTCAAGAAGTCTCACCCAGGTCAAGTCGAGTATCTTGCAGGCGATATCACGGATCTCAGTGTGAGTCTCATGGCAACACTACCGAATTGTAACCACGCTAGCTGACAATGAGCAGATGCCAGGGAAGCTTGTCGAGCTTGCAGTAAAATCGTTTGGCAAGCTCAATGGACTGGTTATCAACCACAGCCTCCTTCAGATCAACAAGCTAGGAAGTGTCTCCTTGGAGGAGGTCAAAAGGGTGTACGATGTAAATGTTTTTAGCGCTATTTCTCTGGTACAAACAACGGTTCTTCCGGGATCAGGAGCCAAGGCTAACCCACACCCAGATAAATGCTGCACTGGACGAGTTGAGGAATACCAATGGCTCGCTTGTTTGGGTATCATCTGGTGCTGCCAGCATGTCACTTGCTGCATGGGGTACCTATGCTTCATCAAAGGCCGCCGTCAACGCCATCCTGGCTCACTATGGGGTGGAGGAGCCGGATGTCTCTAGTATTGCCATCAATCCTGGTATAGTCGACACAGATATGCAAGCTACCATCCGCGACCAGGGCAAGGCCAGTATGTACCAGGCAGAACATGAAAACTTTGTTGCCGTGTTCGAAGCTGGTGGGCTCCTGAAACCCGAGCAGCCAGGTTCTGTCATAGCAAAGCTGGCTGTTGAGCCGGCCAAGGAGCTCAGTGGAAAGTTTCTGAGGTATGTCCAATTGAGATTTAGAATTTTGACACTGGTATTAATAAACCTATAGCTGGGACTCTTCAGAACTGGCTGCCTTCCAGTAGGCAAAGCTGGTGGAGAGAATTTTTGAACTTAGTCATGGAGTCGGCTCCGTGGAGTTCAAGGCAAGAGGAGGAATCGTGTGTGACCAGTCGAAAGATACAGCGTTATTTTACAATCATTCCTTTGATAATAAGTACTAGAGTGGAACATAGGACTTATCATTGCACCCTGTGTAAAGCAAAACAAACCTTTTCTACTCCTACTACCACACCCGACGAAGTATTAGCTGAAGCCTAGGCTTTGGCTCAATGGGCAAAATCTTTTGAAGAAACACATTGCACACCTAGAAGAAAGTCAATATATATCCAGAGTTATTATTAATTTCATGTACAAAGACATTTCATTGAGACATTTAGCAACTAGGAATTCATTAAGAGTACCTCTGAAAAGTTGCTCCGGTACAAGTTGTGAGGCTTCACAAAGGACAAATGATACAGTCCATATTATCTATTGAAGGGGCAGTATTATATTTAATCCTATTTTCCGAGAGATTTCTCTCTAGCTGAATGAACTCGGATGTAGTAAAAGTCTTTTTCTATGAGCCCAACAAAGAGTTTCAGCATTCCAATTCTCATCAGACCAAAGGCTTCAACTATACTGTCTCATTTGATTGCGGAAGGTCTTCCAATCGTAAGCTTTCTCCCAGGCGGCTGCAAACTTCAGGCAATCCAGGTCCGCATATTTGCTGCCGACCAACTGCATGCCAACGGGAAGCTCGATGGCTGCATCTTCTCTAGCAGGCACAAAGCCAACAGGAATCGACAGAGCAGGATGGCCAGAATCTATCAACCATCTGTAAGCAAACACATATATTGACATGGAGAAAAGAAGGACTCACTGTCGAATGGCGACGTATTGGCGATCAAACCGGTCGTCCTCATTTCAAATTTAAGCAAGCCCTCTTTGTAGCCATCTTCAGGGAGCTTTGGGGCCGGATATGGTAATGTAGGCATGACTAGAACGTCGTATTCTTTGAGCGCCTTATCATAGGCGTCCTACAATAATGTGAATGTCAACAAGTCAGTGACCAGGCATTGAGGGGTAAGGAGAGATTGACATACACTGATATACTTTTGGAGGTTCATACATTTCCCTTGATGCGGCAATCCGTGCTTTTCTGAGAGCCAGAGGTGGTTGAGATACAAGTTGGCTGCACCGGGGCTTAGAGAGTCGAACTGCTGTTGGGTAAGACGAGGACCAACCAAGGCCAGCCGATCCGTCATATAAAGTTGTTTTCTTCCTTCCATACCACCTAACAGAGCTTGGCGTCCACCAGGGATCCCGCTGGAGGCCATCCATACGAGGGACGCCAGCTTGTGTTCGGGGATCGAGACGGGACTCACGCTGGCGCCGAGGGCTTCGAACTTGCCCACGGCAGCCCGGACGCAGTCAACTACGTTCTCGTCCTGGCCATCGATCTCGAAGCCTTCTTGGAGGACACCGATCTTGAGCCCAGCCAACATTTTGTTCTGAGGCTTCGACACGATCTCGTCGACAGAAGCAACAAACTTGTGTTCTTCGCTATCGCGCTCCAGCAAAGCCTGGCGGTCATCCCATCCGTCCCGGCCGGCGATGGCCTCCAGTAGCAGAGCACAGTCCCTGACTGTGCGCGTCATGGGCCCTACGTGGTCAATCGCTGCATCTAGATTGATGATGCCGGTATACGGCACCAACCCCCATGTCGGCTTCAACCCAACAATTCCACACGAAGCCGCGGGAATCCTGATGCTACCGGCCTGATCGCAGCCAATGGACATGTCCACAGCACCGTTTCCAACGAGGCGACCGGAGCCGCTGCTAGAGCCTCCAGCGCTGTATCCTTTCGCCCAAGGATTATGAACGTGGCCAGTAATGGAGGTCGCCGAGAGCCCTTCGAAGCAGGCGTTTTCACACGCTGACGTGATCGGATACGGTGTCAGCAAGAAGAGCCTGGGAAAGAATGAACTGAATCTAGGATGGTAGCAAATCTACTTACCGGCCTTGCCGACGATGATGCCCCCAGCGTCCATTACGCGGGTCGCGACGGTAGCATCAACTTTCGGTGTCCACTCTACCATTGATGTCCCGTTTGTGCATGGCACTCCGGCGAGGGCGATATTATCCTTCAATGCGATGGTTCGTCCCTTGAGCAAGTCGCTTGTAGGAGCTGCGGCCTTGGCCGTGACCTAGAAGTTGTAAAAGCCATTTAGCCATGAATGGCTCATATGAATTGAATAAGAGAGAAAACTAGGAGTTTCGGACCTTTGCTGCCCATCCGCCTAGATCATTATCTTGGGGCATATGAATATCCTTCCGAGGGTACTTGCTGAGATCCGGTATAGGAATGATGCAGCTGTCATCGGGCAAGCTAGCAATCACAGCTTCAAGTCCGCTGACAAGCGTGACAAAATCTGTGGCTGTCTGCTCCGAGAGCTTCAGACCTGCGGTAGCGGCGATATCCACGACATCCTTTAAGGATACCTTGGCTGCTTCAGCATCAACTTTGACTATAGACATGATGAAATCTCCTGATGCGGTGTTCGCAATGTTAGTGATACAGGTGGACTGAGTGAAGGACGTAAGAAGGACGCAAATTCGTATCTTGTCGAACAGCCCTAGGGATAAGAGCCAGCAGACCTGACTTTAAACTACAGTACCACCTCAACATCAGAAGTCCCTTCCATTTCTCCCCCTAAGTTGCCATCCCGGGACGCAGTGCTCCACCTCCTATACCATCATGTAAATGCCGGATACTGGTTTGTAGTTCGGCTAAGGAGAGTGATAATCCCGTCCCCACTCGGGCCAGTCTCCGACTTCAGCTATCATTCAATCCGTTGTCGGACTTTTGCTAAATTAACTTGACAAACTGAAACTAAAAGTTAGATCCAGCGGACGACCTTTAACCCTGTAGTCTAGCCTGTCGTGGTAACGCCCGATGGACAGGGGCTTGGATTGCCTTGTACCTTGTGTGGAAGTCTTCTTCTTTGGTTTTACCCTAGAGCTGGAGATTTTGCCGTAATGGCAACATAAAGCCCGGCCTTTAACTTTTGAGGGCCAGAGGAAAAGTCACGTAGAGTAAGGTGATAACATTAAAGGCAAATTCTTCATAAGACTCAGTGATTCTTGCTTGGATGGAGTAATGCTCGCTTTGCGGTTATGGGATGAGTTGGCATTACCAGCTGGAGGCTCACGTTGGACTAAGAGATACAGTCCCCTCTCTACTCGCCTTTCGTCTTTGTACACACTCTCGAACGCTTCTCAGCCACCCTGCACAGCGTGAATATCCGAGTTCTCTGTCGCTAGAAGCTCCGATCACTGCTTTTGTTTGTCTGTTCAAGTCTCAGTCCTTTTTGCCGATGGGGATATATACATACATATCATATCAAGAGCGAAATGCGCGGGCTTTAGCCCCCAATAAACACTCACATACGAACAAACAAAGTGGAAGTGGGTGGCACGGACGTGGCAGTGTACCTAGAGACCAGTGGCAGTGCGAACCAAAGGGCCAAGATGTCAGACCATTTGCTAACCGAGGGCATGGGGGCGTGTTTGATGGGTCAGAGTAATGTTGTATCGCAGCATATATCCTTATCAGTGGCACAATTTAGGGGTGATAACGGTAGATCATCCATCTATGCCATCCAGCTCCGCATGAATATGTACATCACCCATCGAGGCGAATGCGGCGCAGTAAGGCGTCCACCTGAAGCCCTGTACTAAATACTAAGGACTTTGGACGGGACACGTAACTGAGCCAAGAGTATATTAACTCTTGCTCGACACATGTGAAGGGCCGCAGTGTTTTCTTCAACTCAAACCGGGTTATCAACAGCATGACCATGACGAGACTCCGATGTTGGCAATCCGTTGTGCTGCAAGCTACTGCGCTTGCAGCGTTAGGGTTTGTCATCAACCACGAAATCAGTCGCCGTCATAGGCAAGATGAAAGCCTCTGGAATGACCCAGTGCTGATGAATTATACGTCCACGTTTAAATGGGCGATGAACTCGACCAAGTCAACTTCGCGTCTTTCTCTGCCCTCCAACGACACTCTTCCCAACAGGATCACCAATGATCTAGCTGGATCCAATTCCACAAAGAGCCAAGAACAACCAAGCTTCTATAGGGTCACTTTGCCACAAAACATCATCGCGCAGGCGATAATTATGTTTCTTTCATACCACTGGCATCTTGCTCTCGAACGTTTATTACCTGCTCGATCAGCTGGGGTTGAGATGCAAAGCGAGAAAGAAGCCATTGACGAAGACGACGGCCGAGAAGAGGAAATAGTGAGAAGGTGGATTCTCAAAGGTCGCGTCCAGCGATCATCCATTAGCTGGCTAAATACGTTCCTAAAATGGGTAATCGACATGACTCTAGGAGTTACTTGGACATCCCTGGTATATCAAGTAATATACGCATTTTGCTTTAAAAGATTCCCGAACAAAGGGATTTCCCACTTCCTATGGGTGAGTTCCTATACCCGATGAAATTGTGCCTTTGGACCAAGGCTAACAGAACTCTGAACTTCTAGAATACCTTTTTGGGTTCACTAGTACTGATCTTCAGTCTTCGCCCCTTGATTTCACTGATCGGCTTTATCGTAATACCAGCACCGCGACGTCCAGTATTCATGGCTGGTATGTCGGCGCTTGCAAGCATATTTATCAGTGTATCTACGATGATTGTGCTTAGAGGGATTGTGAAAAGCAACATTGCCCAGAAGACTATGATTGATCTTACAGAGCAAGTCTGGAGAGAGGCGCAAAGAAAAGAAGCAATGACGGCCCGCTTGATGGATGAGTTGTGAAAGGCATGGGCCATACGAGGTTTTGTGCCTTATCGAATAGACAACATTCTGGACGCTGGTGTGACATTGGGTTGGAGATTGAAGTTGACGTTATGACTAGAATCGTGACATTTCAAATTTAAGATGAAGTTTACGGAAGTGAAGCTTGTTAATTCAATGTTCGAATCTTTATGTTGATGACATGTCGGTCTCCCGTTCATTAAATGATCTTCCGTTGTTTGTAGCGTTTCAATCGGCTCAGATGAACAACCTTATGAACCCCAATCGTCGGCTCTCTGGATTTCAACGTGCCATAGTTAATTTTCTCATAATGCCCATACGCTAGAACGACGACTGAGACACTAGACATGAAATTCCTATCTTCATGCAGCCTCCATTAGTATACTTTGACCATAGAAACAATGCGAATATCTATTGAACCAACCCCTAACAAAAACTGCGTAAGATTAATTCGGAGCAGGATCAAATATCTCAAAGATGCTGCCGCCCATAGCCTTTGTTGTTTGCCCGTTATCATCATACGCTAGGCTGAACCATGCCTACACATCCCTCCATTTCTGGGTATACTAATTTGATGGAGAGAGATTTCTCCTGAACCACACCTTAATCAGTTGAACCATGCAAACTTCCCTCCTTGATCTTTTCACAACCAAAATGGCGGCTGCAAGAACTAACATAATTAGAAATTACTATACTCAATATCACCTATGCGCAGATATCTACTACTGGATGTATCACTTGGGTAATATGATAGCGCTTTTAACGTTTCTTGGACCGCCTCGTCCGCTCTACCACATGCGGCAAGATAAATGTTTAGAGTGCCAAGTTGTTGCACCATCTCGACTTCTCTCCATTTGTATGTAGAACTCCTTCTAAGCTTGTTTTAGATATTAGTTGCGAATAACGTACATGGGACAAATGGAGGGACAGGGGATAGAATCTCAGTCGCGCCTAATGAACAAGGGGCCACTGGGCTGGGTCATAAGTTCCTCCTCACCTTTTTTAAATTTAATATTTCGATTGGTGGATTTCCGTTGCTCATCCTTGATGCTGACATCTAGATTAAGTACAAATTAAAGTGACAGCTAGCCCTACGGATTGAGCCAAATCCCTCGCTTCCACGAAATAAATGGTATGATGCTCCCTGGCAAGTCGGGTTGTAATTTTGTTCGTTCATTAATACGAAACCTCATAGTGAAGCTGGCGATGCGGCCTGCAAACATTGTTCAGAACATCTATGCAACATCGTTCTGCTGCCAAGAAGACTGCCGCCCATTATCTGAGGTTGATTACTCCTATCTACAAATGAAATCGTTGGAGAGCTGTACATTCACACGTAGCACATGCAATAAAATTTGACTGCCTTGTTGCATGACGCTGAAAGCCTTATTGTTTCCTAAGAAATTGACAGTTTACGCTTAATGTCAGATAGAGAGCGTTCAATATGGAACTGAACGAAGTAATCTGAACGCAGCAATTATCCTGAGATGCATAACGGGGGAGCTGGAAATGCCAAGGCCTTTTGACAAGCGCCGTAGGATTTTCGGCTTGGATATGCAAAGCCAATGAATGTCACTCCCCTCGAATGTAAGCAAATGCAGTTCCGACCCCCTTGCCAATTTAATTTGTGTCAGAATCCTCATTGGCCAGGTCGGACTCAGGGGCGGGTCAACGGCTAAGCGAATCCTACCAAATAAGAAGAACCTGGGCAAGAATAAGAGGAGGGAACTAAGAAGCGCGTACCGCCAGATCTCGAGACTCCCAAGAGCTCAACAGTCTTGGGCGGCGAAAACGCCACAATGGCACGGTACGGGTTTGTTAGCTGGGGCTTCATTGTCTCATGTTTGCTACTTGTCGCACGTGCAGCCTCTTCAGAAGATGATGTTAAGTTTATGGGCTACTTTATCAACGGCCTCACCAGTAAGTTTTGCGTATTTTTTTTTGTGTAGGATTAGCTTTCTTGTGTACTGATTTTGTATCGGATAGCTGAGAAGTTGATGGCCCCCTCTTCCTTCGATGTTTGGTCAACGACAGGAACCGTCGCAGGCGGATGTGAAACGGCAAAGCCGACCTGCGAGATCAACATCGGATGTCAAGATGGAACCCTGACAAGGACTGATAATGTGAAAACTCTTTGGTGAGCCCTTCCTAGGTTCCGGACGTTGATTCTGGGCTATCTTGTGTTCTGAGAGCTCGATCCAATATTGACACGATCACAGCACAGGATCGCAAGTCTGCCAGACCATGACAATTTATCAGAATTCTCCTTCCAGTGGACCGACAGTTAAACATTTCTTTTGCGCAAACGTATGGCCGGCGAAGACGGTATATCGTGACCTACGCCAGGTAGCGACGACTACAACTTCTTCTGAATTGGCTCCATCGTCTTCCGAATTGGCTTCGTCATCTGGAATTTTGGCTCCAACGAGCGTTCGAATAAATACACTAAATGTAGACACGTCGACCCGGGCGATCACGACACAGATGACGACCACACAAACGAGTGCCACAAGCTCAGTGCCTACGGAAAGTGCGGATGCATCCAGCTCTTCGTCGAAGTCCATAGTCGATCAGAAGGCATGGATTGCCGGTCCTGTCCTCGGTGGCCTCATCGTTCTCGCCCTTTTTGCGGGTGGTATGTTCTGGTGGGGCAGAAGGTCCCGAGGAGGTGGTGAACGCGAAGGAGAGAATACCAGGAACTTCCAGTCAATCCCTGAGGAGGCGAAGTTCGGGTATCAGCCTCCGTCGTCGTATGGCGAAACGCCTATCCCGATGACGTATCAATCTCAGTCTCATGTTAGCGAAATGTGGTCTTCGAGGTCACCGACGGAGCTAGGAACGAACTCGGCGATATATCAGCCAAAACCCCAACCTCCCACCCAAGTCCAAGAGCTGCCAGCCCCTTATTATCGGTAATAACAACAAACTTTGCATGGATAATTATAGAGAAGTTCATTGATACCACAAGTTAATCAGCATTTACCCTCCCCCGTTATCCTTGGTGATCTGTAGCGAGGCTGTAGATGAAGTCTAATGCAGAAACTGAAATAGGAATACATCCCTAGTGTTGGCGCTCAACAAGCAACTAGGGGTATTCATTGGTTGGCTTATGATTTAATGACAACCGAAAGCTTGATTAATGTTATAATTGTATATAATGTAATTGAGTACACAGAGGCGAAATTTTCGAGAGAAAGAGAACCTGAAGATAAAGACCTTTCAATGTCACCCAGTTGCTCAGTTAGTTTACCAACTCTACTCAAGGGAGCCAAGTCAGCTCCTGCTTTTCCGTCATGAGCGGCGCAAGCATAGATCGGCCCAAAAAGTTGATTTATTGTTATACGAAAAGCCCCGTGGACCATGAATTGACGGAAATGTCGCCGTTTTACATTTTTCAGGGACTAGAGAGGCCATCACTACTTTTTAGCACGCCTAGGCTTTTGTATGACCCCTTCTTGCCACGCCCTCAAACTGGCTATCTCTTGACAATATCTACCCCCTAGGTACATTTCGTCCACTTTAAGTTTCAAATCTGTGACTTTATAGTATAGCTAAGGTGGCATCTCTTGTTTTTGGGTATCTGATTTTAACCTAATACCGAACCCCTCCATCTCGTTGCTACATACTTTCTCGTGGTCTTGATATGAGCCTTGGAACTGCTGATGTATGACAACACGGGAGTAGCGACAGGATAAAATCCACAATCTACAATTGGCTGAACATGTACTTGATACCCGCCCAATGCTCGGCCCCAGAAGGCAAAATGTTCTCAGGTGGGATGACAAAACCGCCTTCAGCTGCTGTAGGACGCAGCTCCACCAACCAGGAGAACTCAGCGCCTGCCACGTCAAAAGCCCAGTCTGTGCTGCTCCCGGCAGTTTGATAGAGATCTGTGCAAGTCGAGCCAACACTGAACTCAAGCCCGTTCACACCCGCAATCGCTGAGGCAACACCAGTACCCACAGACAGCTGTCTTTCATAGTTATCTGGATAGGCCGTGCAGTTGTATCCATACGGCAAGAGGATCTTTTTTCCATAGGAATGCCAGTCTATGTAGGCTTTAATTCCTGGTCCGTTGGCTAGATCTAGGATATGGGCTACCAAGGCTTGGATTTCAGGCGTATCTCCGGGCGCCTCGCCACGAAAGGTGTTGGAGCAGGGATCTGGCGACGAACCCCCTGAAACATTCCAATGGCTGGGCCAGTTGCGGTTCACATCGGTACCGACGCAGGTTTGGTTATTCCTGGGTTGGCGGTTCTTGCGCCAAAGCCTCTCAGACTCGTGAGTGTAGATAAACCCTGGGACGCATTAGCGAGACAGCCATAATGGGAGTAGATGGGTAACTACCATCTGGATTGACAATTGGCAAGATATAAAAGTCATATTTGTCCAAGATATCGACGATCGCAGAGTCTCCGGCTTGATACTCCTCGATGAGTTTAAACGTAATATATTCTACGGTCTATTGAAAATGTTAGCCCTCGCCAAGTAGACTTGTTGGAAGGCCTACAAACCGGCGCAGAAATCCACTCCCTGGCATGCGCAGTTCCGTGCCAGACAATTGCCGGTTTGAGGCCTTTCCCGGCCTCTCCCCATAGGTGGATTCCCGGAAGTTCACGGCCCTCAACAGATGGGCCGAGCGAGAAGGTATCCGAGTTGTTTGGGAACGCGGCTTGGAGGTCGATGAGAAACTGAAGGTGCTCATCATATGGATGGTAGGAGTCAAAATACGATAAGGGTGGGAGATCAGCGAGTACTCCCTCAATCTTCTCCGTAGCTATGGATTTTGGCATTAGCTATATATCAAGCAGGAGAAATATAGCGTAGAACAACTGACCGCTATATGTTAAGAATGGGCCCTCCGTCTTCAATACGGCACCAAGATCATCAATCAGAGTAGTGAGCTCGAGCCCAAGCTGGCGGGCGGCTTGTAGTTGATCAGGTGGGACGGCGACATCAAAGGCCTCATTATGGGGATCTTTAGATAGGAGAATTGACTTGATATTGGATAGAGTCTGTTCAAACTCTTCCACGTCACCGGGACTTTCAATTCTGAATATTTTGAATCCATCATACGAGATCTTGGCAGTAGCAAGAGAGCAAAAAATGCCTAGGGCTGCTAGAGTCTTCATTGTAGCAGTGAGGTTGAATGAACGAAACACAGCGCAGAACTGGAGGGGCGATATCGAATCGAATGTTTTGGATTATCAACTTGGGATAAATGTAAAAGTAAAAGAGAAGCACCTCGGCGTTTTAATTCATAGGGGCTCCTTATTGTGCAGTATGTCTTGGGAGCGGGGCCATATGAGCTCTTATCGTTGATGAATTACGAATTTAACCTTGAATGACATGCATCTGTTGAAATAACCTTCTTGACTGGTTAGTTCCTTTGTTATCAGGGATAATTCGTCGCACCGAAAGAGGGGCAACCTGCGAGTTGCTTCAATGCTACCTAGCCAAATGGCACCTACTGTCTTGAGGTCTTTTCATACTGTAGCTTTAGAGTTACGGGAAGCTAGGGTAATGTCACCGATGGGTTAGATTTTCCAGAGGACCCAATGACTGATCACCGAGCGGATAAAGTACTCAATGATAGACTAGGCAACCCTGTAACCTCCGTTTTTCCATTTCTAACCCACTTCCTCCCCGAATATAAACCCCGTACGATGGACGTTGCCGTCTGAATAGCTAGCGGTTCGACGCTGGCCTCGCTCGGACTGTATCGCACATTCACCGGAAGTGCGAATCTTGACCTGCGCCGATTTTTGGTTCCCTTGGCTTGATGACAGCACATTCAAGGCAAAATAGAAGATGACTATAACGACTTTGTAATTCTCAGTGGGTGGGATTTGTATCAGCATATGTTAGGGTTGTTGTCCTTGAATTACGAGGGTAGGTGGAAGGCCGTCGGATATCGACATTAAATTCCCCAATCGCATAGTGGTAAGCTATTTCATATCTGTCCTTCAACGGAGTATAAACTGACTTCATTGCTATGGGATAAGGAAGGCAGCGTCGACTTTTCTGATGACCCTCAGAATGATCAGTCAAAAGACGACTTAAGAAAGGTCATTGCTCAATGCGCAACGCAACTAGAGTATCTCTATTGCTCGTTTATTGTCCGAGACGCTCAAACTATGATGCAATTTGGGGGAAACGCGTTTCGATCCTGCGATCTTTACAATCATGTTCGTTCAGGGGCTCAGTAGTTCCATTCATGCAAGTTAATTGAGACCTAGAATGAACTTGTTTGATGAGATGCGGGGAACGCTCGGCCGCCTAGCGTTAGGAGCAACATCCACAACAAGACTTGGAATACGATCCAGAGAGGCGTTCTGGAACATTATATCGCAGCGTATAGTTGTCTTGATAGGCCCGACGTCTTGGCCAGCGTGTGTCCATTGACTATAGTCCGTCCTGGATAGTCCAACCTGAATCCGATATCAATGAGGGGGATCAGCCGGGAGATCAGGCCAAAAGAGATCACATGACGGGGAGATATGTCATTGTCCGTTTTCGGGAATCTCGGAGGAGCGTTCCATCGAGTCTCTCCGCAGAAGTCAATCACACGCAGCCTTTGCACACTGAACGTACCCGCTGACAGGGAGGATGGCCGTTTAGTCCTTAATCCTTGCTGAACAATTTGCAGGATTTTATTCTTGGCCAGTTTTTTCATGGCCAGAATGCCGAGATTTTGTTTATTCGAGTGCGATCGTGCGATCGCCAAGAACTCCGGCACACTGTGTATTGACAGAGGCTTGGCACATTCCTTCAACCATTTTTAAGTATCTCGATACAGTTAGCCTTCAACATTGGAACTGTATGCGGGGTAGGACAAGTCTATGATGAATCACTCCGGACTAGTAGCTCCGGCCATCTGTGTGTAACGTCCTTGTGAAACCTGGCTGGCTCGATCACATCGATTTCTGCCTCCAATCCGATCAGGGCAGACATGGATAACTGAATACGCGCACATGACGATCCCCCTTGATATTATAAAGATCCAAAGCGCCGCCGGTGTAATCCTTCCGTCATCCCCCTTTTAGCTCTTCCTGTCTGACCTCTAGTCAACAGTAAATAAAATAGCCTCCGTGTCCTTCTTTCCGTTTTCATTCCTATCCTTTATGAAATCTGTCTATCCTTGACGTCATCGATCTTGTCTTGTGAAACCTGTCAGATTGGCGATAATAGGTGTGGGATTTACACGGCTCTCGACTTCGACATGCAATTCGACCACAGTATGTATTGTACACCGTCGATGGCATCTGTAGCTTTATCTCTAACAAAATTATCACTAGATGGCCGACCAGAGCGACAGCCACAAAGAACGCGCATACATCGCTGCCTCGAGACGACACGACCGTGGCATTGAGGCCCGCCTCGAATCGGCGCGACAAGCGAGCAAAATACACAAAAAACGGACGGGCAGAGCACTCCGCATATCCGAGGAGATCGTTCTCGGAGACGCTGCATACGAGGAAGAAGAGGCGCCCCGGAGGCGCCAGCTCTCGGGCTCACCCCTGATGCCGAACATGCAATGGCAGGCAGACCCCTTTGCCGCTGCTTTCCCTCCCGGTAGCCCTCAGACACAGATGTTTACGGAGAAGGAGTGGCGTGAGAACATGGTCAACCAGGCTTTCTCTCAAGCCTTCCCCCAGCTTGATGCGAGGCTCTCTCAGCGGTGGCCAGCGCAATATTTCGCTCCTCGAGAGCATGGGAAACCGGGGCAATTTAGATCCCCCTCTATTGCCTCGTCCAACATCAGTTCGCAGTCGGCGCTATCTGGCCAGTTCGTTGATGCACCAAACTCCGAGACATCATCACCACTTCTGCCCACGGGCACACAATTCCCAGGCCACTTTAACCAAGAGGGGGTGGATGGGCCGAATTAATATCCAACAACAACTTCACTGCCCTAGTGCACCGAATTACAAGAAATCCAGAGTCACGTTATATCTATGTGTCGTGATTGAGTTAAGCAGGCGTGCACGTTGGGTTGGGATGCCGTGTCTTTGTCGAGTGTTCTTCTGTCCGACTTATCAGGCTCATTTTAATGCCACAAATCCTTGCTGGAGCATAGAGCTGGAGATGAACGGTCGTACGGAAAGATGAGATGAGATAAGAGTCGCATGACAAGCGTGTCCCTATGACATTATAAGACCAGACCATCACTGGTACCGAGTCGATACTTCTACAAGAAACAACATAACAATTAATCTTTTGTTTCGAACCATAGCTTATGGACCGTAGCCTTCAATCTGTCATTCTTTTTAGGATGGCCCAGCCGCGGCGACTATTTGATTGTTTGGTAGAACAACTACCATCACGATAATATATAATTCTGAATTTGATACCTGACACTCTCATCATTCCAGTTACTTCCCAGAAGGATTTCCGTTAAACGCAAGCTTATTAGGCGTGTCCTCAGGAATCCCACCAAGTTTGCCTTCAGTAGCCAAATCTGCGATCCTTTTGCAAAGGGTTTGAGGGTCTGTGAACCCTTCTAGACCAGCAAGATACGCAGCAAGACCTGCAATGTGAGGGGACGCCATTGAAGTGCCGGATTTCTCGCCCTCAGCGCCGCCTGGGAGCGCAGAGAGAATATTCTGGCCTGGTGCATACACATCAACAGCCGCGCCATAGTTTGAATGGAGCCATCGTCCATCCCAGGGTGATGCAGCACCAACAGTGCACACGGTAGGCTCCGACGCAGGCGAGAAGTCCTTGGCGTCCGTGTTACTGTTTCCTGCGGCCACGGCGAGGAAAATGTTCTTCTTCACCATGCTTGCCGCGGCCTCATTGATAGAGGTCGAGAAAGCACCGCCCACGGACATGTTGGACACCACACCTTTCGTGCAGTTTCGCTTGGCAGAGTCCTCGGCGACGAAATCCATGCCCTTGATGAAACCTGCCAAAGAGCCATCGCCGTCTTTGGTGAGCACTCTTATACCGAGAAGCCTGGTCTTCTTTGCCACGCCGTACTTGGCACCGCCGATGGTGGCGGCAACGTGAGTGCCGTGGCCGTCGTCGTCAGTGTTGATATTGTCTACAAAGTTGGCGACCATCTCCGCTCGTCCTTCGAAGTCCTGCCGCAGAAGGAAAGATTAGCCCTTCGTGATCTAACAATGCATTTAAAGAAACTTACGGGGTGGGTGACATCGATTCCTGTGTCAATAACATAGGCGCATGTTCCAGCTCCTGCGCTGGAGTCATAAGTATATGGAATTCCAGTCTTCCGGTCGCGGGTAGAGATACGACCCAATCCCCACGGAGGCGAGGCCTGCTCGACAAATGCGTATGCCGAAAGTGAAGAGTCCTGCTCAACATATTCGACCTTGCGCTGTAGGTCAGCAATCACTTCCGAGACATGGTTGGGTGGTACACCCTCACATCGTTACTTTGGCGAAGAGATTCGAGCTCCTCATCAGTAAGCTGGCCGGAGAACCCTTGAAAGGTGGCCTTGTAGACGTGATCTGGGGTCACGTTCAAGGTGCTGATTTTATTATTGAGCGTTGATACGGACATCTTATCCCCGCCTTTACCATCCTTGAATTTGACAATATATTTTCCCGCCAGCAGGTTTTTTTCGTCGGTGCGAGGTCGAAGGAGTGGCGCTGGTTCCCGCCTGGCTGGCACTGCCATCGCTAATGGGAGAACTACAAGAAAGAGTGATAGATGCATGGTGAAATGAAGAATGAAGTGAGTGGATGAATGGGCGGATGGAGAGACCCGGGAACACAAGTAAAGGTCACTGAAGTGGAAGGCTGTCCAATTTATCCTGCTTCACTCCAGTTGAGCTTCCTTAACAGTCTAATCGCAAGCTCATTGTTCATATACCCCTTTGTCAGTTTCATCACGAGACATTCTCGTCCATCTTCACAGGCTTTAATCCATAGGAGGCAACCACAATGAGAAGCCAAGGACACGTCACATAGATATCGGCCATTCTTGACCAATACCACCGACCTTTTCTTGTCTGTACTCTTTTAGAAACAGTTGTATGCGCCCTAGGTCTCAAGCTCAAACCTAGCCAAGCAACGTAGCGTAGCAACGTTGTAAGAATCTGGGGAATGGTCTTGCTTCTCGTTCGAGTAAGCACTTAGCGCACATCTCATGCAAGTTGACGAGTGGCTGTCGATCCCCTAGCTGATGGATGGTCTCAACTGTAGTGTCAGCACCGGCGCTACTCTCGCCCAATGTGATCCAATTACCTCCTAAAGATGCCCCATAGCACCGCTGGCTTGTTTAATCATGCGCTGTGGCGTTAATGACTGGAAGAGGCAGCTTGTTTCGCCTACATTACTTTCAACCTAACTGAAACATGGCTCAGCTCAGCCCCAAAGCTGCATACGATCAGAGAAGAGGTCAATTCGCGCACTATTGAAAAGAAACAATGAAACAAAATCGGAGCAATAGGCGCGTTTGTTCACTATATTCTCATAGCTAAGGAGGTATGCCGAGAGCCAGACTGACATTTTGAAATTTGGGCGACAACATCCATGGCCATCACTCCATATAATCCTGGAGTTGATTTAATTCTCACGCCTTGACCGCTCCCACCAGGCTCCCGTATTTCAAAGAGTTCAATGTCGCAGCATACTGCCCCCTCTCTGGTGACACGGTCACAATCATCGACGAGCTTCCTTTCTCAGCTGACCGGACAAAATGTTCACGCAGCACCATGGTCAACGGCGATGACCTAAAAGGGATCCGCGTCTGGCTGGTTGACCAGGCCCTCATGACCTCCTTCAATGCCAGTAAATCCGTGTTGATCTGGCGACCCTCTTGGCGCTCTTTGGGTGTCTGTTTCAGCAGCGGCATCTTGGAACTCTTCTCGGTATGGTACTCGGCGCCTGCGAGATCTACGAAGACGATTTTGGCGCCCAAACATAGAGACGAGGACGAGTCGAGCGCAGAATCGACGCACTTCTCCGCATCTGCAATGCGTGCTTCACACGCAGCCTTCTCGGCTAGAGCTTCATCGACGCGCACTTGGTCTACTTGGTAATCCGGGTTCGGCTTCCAACTCCCATCGGGTGCCCTGACGACGGCCTTCATTTGCTCTTCGATCAAGATATCATCGGCCCGCTTTCCTACTGGAACAAGCTCCGACTGTCGCTGGACAACGACCTCTCTCGCATCCACCAGCTCCTGGTTGATAATCTCCAGCTCCAAGACGGCGTGAGTGCGAGAGCTCAGGTCATGGACGCTGGACGAACCGACCACACGCTTTCCCATTGCCTGGATCAGCTCCCGGCGCAAGTTGTCAAAATCCCAGCAGGGGCGCTTTACGATGGGCCGAACTCGGACCTTTCCCCCCTCGAGCTTCTCCGTCTCGCCGCGAATATGTGTCTTGCCGTCGTAGCCCTCTCGAATGTGACACTCGGCGCGCCCATTCAGGAGATCAAAAGCTGTATTCTTCCTGAGTTCAAACAGACTGAACCCGAGGCCCAGCCGTTTCAAAATTGGCAGGTGATGGTTTAGGGGCTCTAGGGCGTCGAATAATTGCCTCGCAGCTGCAAGACACAGGCCGAGCTGCTTGCTATCCTCGTAGTCGTACCCAACAATCGTGTGTGTTTTCCCACTTCCAGAGTGGCCGTAGGCGAAGAAACTGCAGCTTCCCCCTTGCAGAACATTGGGGATGGCTGGTGCGACGATGGTCTCGTAAGTTTTGGCATTGTCATCACCAGGACCGAGAACGGCGGTGAAGGCTGGAGAGCTCTTCCACTCGCCCTCTTTGGAAGATGAGGTAGAGCTTGTGACTGATACCGAGAGAAGGGACTCGGGGGTAATGGACGATGCGCGATGCGATATCTCGCTGTCTCTGGCGTCAGAGTGAGGCAACGGTCGCCATCGAGCGTACACGTTCATGGACTTTGGCTGGGAGGGCATGTTTGTTCTGGTGTTTCGAGCGCGAGCTGCTCTCGGGAATCTCAGGGATTTGCGCCGCTCTTTATTAGCAATCCACGATGACCGAATTCTGTTGCCTGCAGATGGGTGAGTCGAGAAAATGGTGCCTGATGCGAGGGTGAACAAATAACTAGGCAGCCAGAATCGACGGCTGAAGATGCCGCTGTGGAGCCTTGGCAAACCAGGTGACGACTGGATGAGGGATGAGGGATGAACTGATCAGAGTTCGCTAAGATCGCAGGTAGACAAACACTAGACTTCATCGAGAGACCTAATATCTGTACGATGCAAGCATTTTGTTGTCAGGGGCAGCACAGACTATCTATTTGCCGGAAGACAGTCCCAATCGCTCGTCTCAACAGCGGTCAGCCAGGTCAGATGTACCGCGATCGATGAGGTATGCTAGGTTAGCAAGAGAAATGAGATACGTTCGGTAACCCGGCTTGCATTCTAAGACACCTACCTTTGTGACCATAACTTGTGGCCACAGCCAACCACGCTCTATATTAGCTTGTGGTCAGAATGGCCGTAGGTCACACACAAAAATCTAGCGCACGGCAGAAAATAAAATAATCGGATTCTGATCTTGGTTGGAGGATAACAGGGCATTGGTTTCTATGTGTAGGGCTCCGCTGTTTACAGAGCCCATAGACGGCACACGGCTCCCAACGCCGATTGAAGCAGCAAGGTTGACCTTAAGGCCTTATTCAACTAGGATTAGCCATCTCTTTTTAGCCGCTGACACCCATAAGTAGCAAAATTGGTAAAAGGTTTGAATCAGAATCGACTTAGCTAGCCTAGAAGGGGAAATCAAACTGGTTTGATGTTTTTAGGAGAGCCGTGCAGCAAGGAGAAGCCTTATTAATTCCCGGATATGCTTTGGTAACTTAGGTAACAGTCTTGGATCGTAGAGAATTACATGGCTCATCCGTCATTCAGTAATCTGGCAACTTTTGGCTGTGAAATATCTTCTTATCCGGCATCCAAGGTCGTTTCTTGCGCTTGGGGAAGGGAGTCGTGCTTCTCTAGTGAAACCGCGAAAATAAACGTGTGGGAACTAAGTAACGGCCTCTTACCATATGAAGGAGGCTTTCTACTAAAAGTATCTGCTATTTCAACGTTCCCCCGTCATGTCCTTGGCTTGAGTTTGAAACATGGTGACACCTCTGCAGAGGAAGTGACTAGTCCACAAAGCACCAGGGTTGGCTCGTGTTGAAACGAGGCCAACCCTAAGACGTATCGACCCTGCATCGCTTTCTAAACTTTTTTTTTTTTTTTTTTTCACTTTTCAGTAGTCAGCTAATAGAAATAGAATTCAAATCACACTTTCAAGCACTCAACTTGGCTAGTGACCCATGATAGCTCCCACCGTTCATAAGGGAGCTGCTCCATCATCACCGGGCTACCAACTCACTTCTTATAACGGCCTCATTACTTATAAAATTAGTTGTGATGAGTACGCAGATGCCCTTTTCTGGAAATAACTTGCTAATGCATCATCACATCTGTAGCCGTAGAAAGTTTGGGGACTTGGATATCATTCTTAGAAAAGATCTCTACTCCTCTCACCTCCAGCATGAGCCTGAGAATCGCACATGATTTCCGGTCCAGGTCCCGATCTTTTCCTACAAGGAATTTCCATAGACAATCATAGTCATATCAAGTTCGACTCCCTACGCTCAATTAGCCTTCATGAAGCATAGACTGGAAAGACACTAATTCACCCGAATAGCGGCGACCGAGCACAAGATCGGGGTGACATGTCAATATCAACAAGATTCGCAGCATAGCCAAGACCAAGCAGCAATTTGGCTTGTGAGGTTAGGGGTTTGCACAGGTGTTCGATGTAAGGCCCTGGAAGATCTTGGTGGCTCCATTCTAAATTGCACTTCCAATTGCGCCTCAGATACGGTATGCTTCAAGGCGTGCGCGTGGCAAATTACAGACGCGAGCTGATCATCGAGACAAACACGCGTGTGTTATTACCTGCACTTCTGCTCAGCTCTGACACGCTTGGCATGCAGTATTGACCTGTCTGATTGGGCTATTTCAAAAACTCGCTCCACCATGCCATGCTCCCAAATTTGGGAATTTGGAATTTTCCAGCATTTGGAATTTTCCAGCATTTGGGATTTTCCAGCATTTGGGATTTTCCAGCATTTGGGATTTTCCAACATTTGGGATTTTCCAACACTTGGAATTTCCAAAACTTCCGAATTTCAAAACTCCCAAATTTCAAAACTAAATCTCCAAATTTCCAAATCTCCAAACTCCTAAATCTCTAAACTCTCAAATCTCTAAACTCCTAAATCTCCAAACTCTCAAATCTCCAAACTCCCAAATCTCACTCCATCAGCTCTCTCCTTCATACGGGCGGGGGTGTTCGGCGGTAGGCACCAGATGCAGGCGCAGACGCACCACAGGCACGAGCACAGCTGTGCGGTTCCACTGCAGCTGCATCAGACTCAGCCATGTCTGCCAAGCAAAGCCCCCGGGGCTGATGAGGGTGGGGACAGGCATCTTTCTAGATACTTGACCATTTAAATTCACTGCGTCGGACATTAAGCCCCTAGCATACATCTAGGATTGTATCCCAAAAGGGCACCCTGCCCTGCAATCCATCTTCGGCAAAGTAGGACAATCAATTGGCAGTATAAAGGAAGAAGAGACGTCTCAATCCAAGTCGTCTACGCTCAACTGCTATTTGCTTTCTACACTACCTTTCTATACCTTACTCTGTTCTTCGTTGGTTTACGCATTAGACCCTATTTCTCCCCTTATCCTTGTCTTTCTTCCAACTTCTATTTTCACTGTCCTCAAATAGCTGAGCTTGGATGATCCACCATGTTGAAGCGAGGTGTGCCAATGCCCTCCCCACCTACGCATCTGGGACCAGTGTCCAAGCGAAAACGTCATTCGTCTCGAACTGGAAGAATACCATTGGATATTGCATCGGACACCGTGGAGGTATCCGAGGGCTTTGCCTGCCCCTTCTTCAGGAAAGACCCTGTGCAGCATATGGCTTGCCTCAGCCGCAAATTGAAGCGGATTGGCGACGTCAAGCAGCATATACACCGGCGTCACCTCAACGACATCGTGCAATGCTATACCTGCAATCTGGCATTTGGCTCATCTATCGACCGTGATGAGCATGTCAACTTGTCTCGTTGCTCCTATACCATTCAGCAAAGTATCGCAGAGAAACTGAGAGCCCGTGCCCCCCGCGGGATGCCACCAACAGGCATATATTCAGATCTCTGTGACATTCTATTCGGCAAGCAAGAAATACCTCTGGAGCCTTACCTTGGCCCCATCCTGCTGGAAAGCAACGCACTACTCTGGAACTTCTGGCAATCAGAGAAGGCCTCACTTGTTCAAACTGCAATCAAGGATCAGTCTACATCCACCACGCCAGCAGACGTTTCTCCCATGGTATTAGCCATAATTGAGCAGCTTCGCATGAGGTTTGAGCAACATGTGAAAGCATCACAACTCGGTGAACCACCTAGCACCCCTGCGTCTATGACGCTTTCCAACACCCAGGAAGCAATACTTCAAGCCAACCCTTTGTCAATGCAGGTTTTTGGCTATAACCAAGGCTCGGACGTCTCGTTTGAAGCTCAATTGCAAACTGCAGAGGGGTCTCACAATTCAATGTTTCTCCTAGCTAGCGCAGGCACAGCCATGTCCTTGAATGACGGTACAAGCACCTTCCTGAATACAATCGATTCAAATAATGGTACCAGCGATCTCTCATTGTTGAGACGAGGTGAGAATCACTCTTCAGTGGAAACTATGCTCGAATCTGAGGCAAATCTTTCGACAAATGTAAACCTTGACTTCATTTTTATGTAGATATGTCCGCATATGTAGGGTTGAGGAATAAGATGATGTATTGAAGGCTGGGCGCTAGGAAAACTTATGCGGAAATTTTTTGGCTTGTTGGGTTTACAGAACGCTTGTTGGGAAACTTCATACGACAAAAAAATCATGCAAGGGAATGCAAGGGATACCTACGGTCTCGTAGAGCAGGCCCAATAGCGTACACGCACTGCTTAATGACCTCGAATGTTGCCAGTGAATCTTGCTTACCCTGCACCCGGTCTCTTGTGTTAAACAATCCTAGGCAGCGACCAGTCTTTGTTAGTTTTTTTTTTTTTTGGGTTTTTGGGTTTTTGGTTTTTATGCTTCCATTCAATACGTGTCTATACTAAGTAACTTTGGTTCTCTTGATGGTGCGAATTTGTTTGCCCACGGGGTATTTAAAAACCAGCAAGGAACGGCTATGTATGTGCTAGGAATCCGGCGGAATCATCTTATCAAGCTTCCCCAAAGATAGATCTCTATACAAAGCTAGTAAAATCCTACTCAAGTGAGGAGCGGCGGAAATTCATCCAATACGATCTTGAATCAGAACACCATTCTTTGCCGTTCATGTGACTCTAGATTATGTGTGATGCCACTGCTTAGCTATAAATAACACTCCCTTTGTGCGGATTCTCCTTGCATTTACCCTAAACAAGAACCCTTTGTTTCCGGACAATATGAAAAGCATCACTATCACCACCTCATTTCCAAACCTTGTAATATTTTCTCTTCATCAAATTATCACGCGCACACCAAAACTGTTACATCACTACCTCAATCCAAACACTTTACATATCTCAGCCATGATATCCATCGTTATTTTAATATTTGGCTGCCTTGCATCGACACCTTTTGCCACTTCGATTCCATCGACGATCTTTCCGCAAGCTAAAGACAATCAAGAATCTACCTCCGGCGAGTGGGTTCCCGGAACCGCCGGTGATCTCGGTGATTCTTCCTCCCTTCCATTGAGAAGTCCAACGTGGGCTGTAAAGAGTGAGATAGTCAAAACCCACCAACTCTTCACATTATTTTAAACGAAAGAATAAGTTTAATGCTTACGATATTAGGGGAGGACTATGAGCAGATCTATGTACACTGCCAAGTGAGAGAAAGATTTGCACCATCCTGGGTATAAAGGAGTCCAGTCTTGATTCTCAGACCGAAAAGGAGCATATAATTAACTATCTACAGGGACCAGATGCCAAACTATGCATTGAGGAGCTCGCCAGCCGCGGACAAGAGGCATGCAGAGCCACGAAGCAGGAGAAGGTGCTGTGCAGGAAGGGCAACACGGTTATTACGAGCCAGGTTATCGGAAAGAGTGAAGATACAGTGACTTCTTGGTATGTCCCATCCCTGGCGCTTACTCCTTGTTCACTGACTAATATATAGCAGCGGAAATGTTGCTGTTTCGGCCGGTCGGATCATGGATAAATGTTATCATCAAGACAATACCGTGGTTGGATTCGCTATTGCGATGGGGACATACACCTTTCGGGTAGATATTCGGCCTGAATAAACCATTCATTTCTATATTTCGGCCATAAGCGTTCCAAGTCTTCGTATGTCTTTGTTATCGTCAAAGAATACGGTATTCAGAATTCTCTGCCGCCCATCGCTTTGCATCTAGAACTCTCAACTAAGAGCACTTTGCAAGATACAAAACTGCACATGGTTTTGGGTTCAGATGTTTAATAATAGCATCCCCTAATGTTATCTTAGGATCATTGTCGTAATAAGCCTTCTTAACACGAACCTTCCTCCAACGAATGCTTCCTCTTAGCCTAATTCCAAGCTTTTTAAGATCTCTTGGAAACAACCAAGAAAAGAAATTTTCGTCGTGTGCCATTTGCCTCCCAAATCTTATTTCCAGCCACCAAAAGCATCAAAAGTTTTGCCTAGGGCAAAACATATGTATGCCCTGGCCAGTGCGCTTTGCTGAACCTTTTTTTTTTTCAAATAGCAAAATTTTGACACGAAGCATTAAAGTCGACCACAGCCATTCTGTGCATTCTAAAATCCCGCGTCGCTTTGCCATCTGGTCAGTGTTAAAAGCTGTGACCATGCGGTCCCTCTTCTTGACCATGGCCTTTGCGCATATCTCGTCAGCTGCCATAGCGGAAGACATCGAGCCTTGTCAAAAGTTTGCTGAGCTGCTACGAGAAGGCCGGTCAAAAACAACCCTGGAGAACCCATACAACTACCCGGCTGAAGTGCTCGTGGACGCTGAGACTGCTTACCAATGTGCAACCTCCATCCCGATCAGCAATGAAGAGGTTGCTGGGGTTATCTACAAATTCAAGAATATCCTTCCTATGTACTCTACGCTGGGCTTCCTGAAAGATCCGCCAACTTCCTACCAGCAGCCGTCCATCGATGTCATGGCATATTTGGATCATATTGATGAGAAGGCGAAACAAAACAAATACGCAAATTTCTATGAATATGAGTCCGATTTGTCCCTTATGGCGAATCAAGTACATGACCAGCATTTTCGTCTTCGAAACGGCGGCATGTATCAGTTCCGGTGGTATCTCCCCGATGACATCGTGTCAGTCTCCAGAGATGGGAAAGAGCTGCCCCAAGTCTACGTCTACAGTGATATCAGCAGAGAAGTCCCGTCAGCTTCGCCCATTATCGAACTTGAAGAGGAGCCTGTTGTCTCTTATCTCGAGAGATACGCGAGGACCAAAGCTTCCACGGGCCTGCTCGAGCCCCATGCGGAATGGAACGCCTTGATGTACAATCCGGCTGTTGAGTTCAGTACCTGGGGTAGCCGCAACAGCAGCTCTGTTTATACATCCGAGTTCCGAAGCACTTCGTCATATAATGGCAACTCCATCAAAGGCAAATTTGCGAATGGGACCAAGTTTGAGTGGGAATATATGGCTGGCTCCAAAGCCATTTTTAACTTGACAAAACTCTTAAGCGGACGGTCAATCTACGATAATTGGATCACTGCTAATAATAAGTCAAGAATGGGGAAGACGGAAGAAGACAAACAGACGCGGAAGCTTTTCTCGAAGAAAACAACGGCATTCAACCCATTAAACTCTGTACCATATCCAAGCTACCCAGATGACCCTATCGTGGTTCAGAGCAACTTTTCAAGAGGCGGAACCGTGTCGGGGTATCTCTTGTCTGATAATTCTACGGGTGTGCTGAGCATCCCAAGCTTCATGGCCGGAATGTATAAGGAGGGCCCAGAAGAGCTTCATACGGCAGTCGCTGAATTCATTACCAAGTCTCGCGAGGCTGGAGTGAAGAAGATAGTCATCGACCTCTCTGGAAATCGTGGGGGGTTCCTGCTTCTCGCTTACGACACGTTTCGCCAGTTCTTCCCGAAGATGGACCCCTATTCTTTGGCAAATTCGCGAGCTAGCGATGATCTAAACACCATCGGCTCTGTATTGTCTCACGTCGCAATGCGCTCTAAGGACACGTTGAAAGGTCCTCTCAATCGAACAATGGCGCAAAACCTCGGGACTGGTGACTTGGGCATGTACGGCACCCTATCCAGGGAATCCAAACCTTGGAAGTCGTGGAAAGAATTATTTGGGCCTGTCACTATCAATCAAGACAACTACACCAACCCGTGGAGATACGATTTCAATTCAGCGAGAATAATAGGCCGCCTCGGATACAACATGACCGGCTATGCAGATAACCAAAGAGATTACGAACAAGCTTTCGACCCGGAAGATATCATCCTGCTGCACGATGGACATTGTGGTAGTGCCTGCTTTATCTTTTCCAGTTTGATGAAGAATATTGCTGGTGTCAAGAGTGTCGCGGTTGGCGGAATGCCAGTCAACGGACCAATGCAAGGCGTGGCGGGCACGAGAGGCTGCCAAGTGAGGCAGTCCGATGCCATTATCAAAATATCCCATATGATCAATATGGCCCTATCAGGCATTGAGAGCCGAGATAAGGAGGCCGTACGCTCCAAGCTAGGTGCTACAGCTCGTGAAATCGACTCCCTCCCGTCGCCCATAGGCACTCCGTGGAGAGATGTAAATGCAGGCATTAATACCTTGAACTGTCTCCCCAGCTCCGACCCTCGAATTCCGTATCAGTTTCTGTACGAGGCCTCGAATTGTAGGCTTTTCTACACTATGGACATGATTCGAGATGTCACATATCTCTGGAGAGCAGCCGCCGCGGTTGCAGAAGGAGATACATCAGTTTGTGTCCCTGGGTCTGTGGATGGACCCGGGTCTGAGCCTAATAAACCACTCAATGTCTCCCCTGACATTCCGTACGCTAATCCTTGGGGAAATGCGGTTCGGACCAATCTGCCACGGGATGAGCTAGTTCAGAATAGCGGAGGGTCTTACATTATGTCAAGAGTCGGAGGGTCTGTCAGCGTGGCGGCAGCGATCTTCGCCTTTGCATGGCTACTATGAGGGGCGCTGATGTTTGTTTGGTGGCACACTTGTCTGTTTGCGATCCTAGGTAGTTCTTGGTTCAGTTTGATAGCGTATACAAGTGTACCTCACCTTTAATTCCAATCTCTTATTTCATCTCTCACAGCTTCCTAATTATCACGTATTGGAACAGGCAAGAATGTTGATTAACCTGTAAGCTTGTTCAAAGTTCTTTCATGCCTTTCAAGCAAAACTATCAAGGACCAATCCTTCCCTCATTATATCAGACTCGATATATGCCTTTCTAGATGTCTATGAAATGTAATGAAATCTATTACAAAATTCAATGAGCAAAATCAGACCACTACTCCGTGACACTATCCTTGATACTACGTAATGCGCTCGTCCCGTGCGACGGGTCGATGTTGAGAGCATTCTTCGCTCGGCGACGTGCATCAGTCCAGATCATGAACTCTTCATATGACTTTGGGATGGCTTGTAGTTGTTTCTCCACAAGGAAAGTATAGTTGAACATGCCCGTCGACTTTTTGGTGCCGTGCTCCACGTCTCGAACCTTGGAGTCGACACGAACGTGGACCTTTGTGAACTTGCTTGGATCACCCTCCCGGGATTCAGGTTCAGTGTATGCTACCGAGGCACGGAGGTAGAGGACGCTTCCAACTGGCACTGGGTTCTCAAAGGTGCTTGGGTCAAGAGCGAGGAAGTTCGGCCGGCTGTGAGAGACGGAGGCAGCACAACAAAAGGCAAGCTCAAAAGTCTGCTTAAGTAGAAAACCACCGAAGATCATGAAGTTATGCCTGTTGCGATCCTGAGGTTGCATTATCATTGCAGATTTAAGAACTGTCTCGCTCATGTATATTTGGTCTTCTGGTCGGATGTTAGGATATTGCGGATCTAAAGCACGACGTTAGCAATCGAGGGCACTGTTTAATTTCAAACACCGTGGCCGACATACTGCGATATTTTGTCTCCTTCTTCCACATGTCATGAATTAATGCAGATTCTTCATCATCAGGAGACGTTTCCAGGAGACTCCGCTTTCGTAATGCCTTTTTGGCATTGTAGTTTTGTTCGCCTTTGGCGAAGAGAGACTTCTCTTCCGGAGTTTCGACGATCAAGGGTGCCACAGGGACAGGCCTAAAGCAGATATCAGCATGTAAACAAATTTCGGAGTTTTATCCTAGATGGCATGGTTGGCGACATACAGCTTGGTCGCCGGGTCCAGCGACACAAATGTGAAAGCACATGTAATCATCACATCCTCGGGTCTGGCCTCCTCACCTTCCGGGCGTGCCTTGGAAACTTGAACAGAAACCTCCATACTCGATCGACCAGTCGCATATGTGACTTGACCACTGAGTTCAAGATCACAGATCTCCATCAACGGGTGTTGGATGCTGATTCGATCCACGGCTGCGGTGACATTGCTCACGCCGTCACCAGTGTGTCGTGCTGCGATTATGCCGGCCAATGCGTCAAGGTCCATTACCAAGGAACCAAGCCTAGATTCCCTGTTAGCAATTCGCTTTGAGAATGGCAACGGCATCGTATTAGGCCGTTTATGGATGCTCACCGAATGTGCCCAGAGGAGTTGAGGTAGGTGTCTAGCAGCCATTTGTCTTGTGCCAAGGGTAGGATCTATAACCGTGAGAAACAGCTAAAAATATGAATCCGGTAATATCTTTGCTTACAGCGCTGTAATAGCTATCCGACATCTTCTTTGGCGTGAGGTCGGGCTTGACAGGTTGAATGGTCTGCAACCCATATTCTAGCTTGCGTGAGGTCTCCTGGCTCTGAGTCAGAGCCTCAATCCACGGCGTCTTGACGCGCATCGGCATCCAAGCATTGCGTGTTCCTGTCCTCTTCGAAGTCATGTGGAATCCTCTGACGCTCGTACAGGAGCACCGCGAGTTAGCCGCCGCATAGGATGGCCGGGCAACGGGGTTTGGCCCTCTGAGTGAGACCCGCCTCCCTACAATGGCTGACATGTTGGATGATGAATTCAGCAGGAGGTAAGATATTCAGGGGAGGTAAATGGATGAAATATTCGTCATAGGGGATATAATCAGAACTCGGGAGAATCTTATTGGGTCCTAGATCGGACAAAATTTGCCCGATGCACCAAGCGATCGTACATATGCGAGACCTCGGGAAGCAGACGAGAACCGGGACAGGGCACGACAAAATTCCGGTGAAGATAAGAATTTCTCTTATCGTGTGCTGACTTAGCTTGTACTACGCTTATTTTTGTACATTTACTAAACCAAACTATGTGCTAGTGTGGCCCGGCGGAGAGAGCTTTGGCCGAAGATAAGCGGTGCTCGGGGCTCCTTGGCTACAATTTCTGTGATAGAATCTCGGACAGCATCGGTCTATCAATCTTGAGTTGAGACCAGCACTTACAGCTATTCCTATACTGATCAGTTTGACAACGTAGTTCGGGTTGGTTGCCATTCGTCAACACATCTAGCCAACGGCAAGGTTTGCACTCCGTAAACCTGCTCGTAATCGGCAATTCTAACCTCGGGTATTCTTCTCTTCATTTTGCTTTGGCCATTATTGAAGGCTATGACGTCATGCCTCACCAGGCTTCTGGAGCACTTTGTATGACCGCCTTTGTCTAGGATGCGAAATACAGTATTGTGAGGAAGCAGAGCGACGACAAATAAATGCACGATATATATTTGCTGCATGCATTCAATCAATAGGAGCCAGAATCTCTGGGTTCACTGTCTTTATATCTCTAGGCGCGGAGACCTTCAAGTAGTATGTCTTTGTTGGTGTCAGTGACAGGCTATTTAGTCAATTAAGCACCGTAATCAGTGCGAGCGCGCTCCAATTTTGCTGGTGTAGTAGAATTGGCTCTGACAGTCTTACTACAAATCAACAACGTAGACAGTGTACCATTCTCGGACAGGCACAGCTTCAAGGAAGTCCAGCTATACAACTTCATCGAACACTCAAAGAAAAGAATCGCAAGAAGATTGCTAGATAGATAACTATTGGCTTCAATAGGTGGATGCAACTGTGGTGAAGGGTCACTATCCACTACAACATCTGGACTGAGATTCTGGTGTTTCCAGTTACTGAATCGAAGTCAGGAAATATATTTCGGGATATATTCATAACGCCAAAAGAAAGGAAAATCAACAAAGGAATGTCGTGTAACACAAAGCTGAAATCAAACGTTGACCCTGGGTAACCTTAATGAGGTCCTTGTCGGCGACTGAAGCAAATCTCAATTTGCCGACACGCATGGCGCCATAAGGGATCACCAATTCAGAATGAGCATACTTACGCAGATTCGTCCCTTTCTTTTGCAAATTATCTCGATGTCGTACTCGGTGTAGAACGGCCGATAGCAAGCACTTTGGTTCTCAGGGCTGTTATTTTAGGTTAGGCTGCGGCGGGAGCGGATATCTGCGTATCGGCATGAATTCTACAAGGCCAATGTCATTGTAGAGGTCGTCACTCGAGTAGCGGCTATCGATGTTCTTTCGATATACAATTGTTATTTGTAGAGGAGTAAAGTTATCGTTGAATTACTGCTTTACTAACTTTACTAGAGGCTTTTTATATTTTTACACAACTCTTAAAATGCTGAAAGGTGGCAACCTCGACGATAGACTCTGCTCCTCTTGGCCCATGCCGTTGAACGATTCCAATAAGCGGTTCTATCTAGTATCCTAGAAATAATAGTACTTCTACTGTAAGCAGAGACTTAAAAGCTTACGTCTTAGTCTCGTTATTCTCTTCGGGAGATTATCCGCCCCGGCTTTGCGGGACTCCACGCTTCATATTGGGACATACTTGAGATACCTATAAACGCTGTACATAGCTAGGGTATAACTTGATTGGTACATATCGTTCATCTAACTTGCAAAGCTGTCACAATGATCCATGTCTGTAGGGTCACAATCCGTATTCGCGAGTCCCGCTTATTCTGGCTAATCAGTGTTCCTCCTTCCGCCAGTCACGTTCATGCCTTCGCCATCTGAAACTTGCCCGCTTTTCAATCTCAAGCATCAAAAGCATTAACCGAGCAAGACGCACGCTTCACCACTCGCAGCCATGGCAGATCGCAATCTGTACACGACGTACAAGAGGGACACCAAGTACTTGGTCTACTGGATGGTCTATGCCTCCAACCATATCCTTCGTGGTCTAGAGAAGCCCGAGCATGACTCGTTGGGCCTCAACACCACAGGGCAAACCACCGTTTCCGGTCTGGTGGCCATGTCCAAGCTGATCGCCGCCCATGCGATCCCTGTCCCATTGGTCATTCAGCGATTGCTCAAGTCCATCATCGACGCCCGCTCCCAAGTCCACGCACTCTTTGAAAAGCTAGCAGGAGCCGACCCGGACCCCGAACTTGCAAGGAGCAATGCCTCCCATAAGCACTTCATTGACGCTCTCAAGGAAGCTTTCGATGCCATGGGAGGCTTCGCCTGGACATCTTCGCAGCCAGGCAACCCGGATGAAGAGGCTGATCTGGATGAGTTGATTCTTTCGAACAAATTCTCTACCTTACGAATAACCACTGGCCAAGCCGGAGAGAGTGAATCCGATGCAGACGATTCCGAGCCTGACATACACGACGCACCCCGCAGACGACAAGCCCCTAAGGGCGGAAAAGGCAAGAAGGGCAAAGGAAAGAAGAAGGGACGTAATAAGAAGCGTCTGGGTGTACAAAACCCACATTACGGGAAGCTGATTTGGATGATGTCCCTTTGGAGAGCTTCCGCATCATTGAAGACTTCAACGAGGGCCAGAAGGAGGGACCTGGAATCACGACCGACTACTTGGTTGCCGTGTATGATGTTTTCCAAGAAATTATTTCTGTCAGATCATACACGCAGGACCTCTGGCGTGAGGTAGCATACGATGATTTGAACAGCGCCGTTGCTGCGGCAGTCTCGAACATGGCCATTGCTGCCGTTAAGAAGATGGCTACACAAATCTTTGTAGATTTTCCAGGCAACGACTCATTTGATGCCATTTTGCAAACGATTACCCGGGGAAGCCCTGAAAAATTCAAGAAGCGATTCCCGATATCTTTGATGGTAGCCACGGACGACGACGCCAACATGAGAAAAGTCTGTGAGAACTATATGGATATCCAGGAGCAATTCCTCATGTATGCCTACAAGGATTTCTGCGATTTCATCGCCGATTTTCGCCTGAATCGCACCGGGAAACCGACAAAACGAATGCAGACACAGCTGGCGAATTGGGATCCCAAACTCGACCTTCAAAATGCGACCCCAGAGGAGAGAATCAAATGGCGGCGTGCTTACACCATCAACTGGTTGTATGACCTTGTCAACCTGTTTTCCTTCAGCGTTGTCCAATCGATCACTCTCAAAGGAGAAAAACATGATCTCGCCACAGTGGACTGGTCAGCTAGCGGTCCATGGCGTCATCACCGCAGGCTATTTGGTCTCAATGAATTTGCCGGCCTGGTTACATCGCTGGCCTTCCAAAATCCATCGGCAGACCTAAAATCCAAGATACTACCCCATCATGTCTTCCAGCTTCAGTGTATCGTGGATTCCATGACGGTGTCTCGAGGATGGCGGCTTAACTGTCTCCATGGTCATGTCATGACTGCCCCGAGCTTCAAGTATTTCCCGCGGCGGGATGTTGACCTCTTCCTGGATCGGCACAACAAGACCCAAGCCGGTTTTCTGCAAGGCGAATTCATTCTCAGGCAACTCCTCGAACAAGATGCAGCAAGCCGTGGCGGACCAAACATTCATGACACAGCGCTTGCGGTATTGGAAGTGATCAGGCTGCAATTCATCGACTGGCTCGGTGAGACGAAATACATGTATGGGCTAAACACCATTCCACCTTCTCGTTTCACCAGCACGAATCCCAATGGATTGTACGAGTATTCGCCATTCACATGTGGTGCCGGGCTCTTGGAGGGTCTAGAGTTGGCCTATTTGATTGGCGTTTACATCTGGGACACTGCTCCGGAACTCACGATGGTCATCCATCTTCACAACATGCTCGAGAAGAAGGGCTTTCTCGAGAGTCCGATTGGACTTTGGTCTTCTATTGCATGGATTTTTGCCGATTCCCTGTTTTTTGACAAAACGCCGCCCACTTCAAACTTTTCCCAAGCCTACCTCGATCACGCCCAAAGGAGAGAAACTGGAAACAGAACCAGGAAACGTGCCGACGATCTTTTTGGTGCTCTCAATCCCAAGGCTAATATGTTTTTCAAAAACAAAACGCATACGCAAATTCTAAGAGACGCGGGGTGGGATCCACAGAGAGTTTCTGACAGCGATATCTTAATTCGGTCCATTCTCGCCGCCCTGCGGCTCTCCCGAGTCAAAAGGCTGAAGGATCCGGTGACCGGGAAAATGAAGCTGGAGGAAACCGAATTGGTACGTAGAGCAAAGCAGTCCGGTATGAGCGAAGATGAAGTCATAGCCGTTGCCTCTTCAGTCGATACCAAGATTGCCTCTATAAATGCCGGGGAAGCTCGCAAACTCCAACAAATGGAAAATTATATGGATACTGTACCGGAGATGAGATGCTCCACCGCCGAGTTATACGGGAAAACAGGTGAGACGACGTTGGACTACCTGGAACAGTCAAAATGGGACATTTTCAAAGCCATAAATGGCGATGTGCCCGTCATGGGACTGAGCTTCCTATGGCCTACCGCCGTTGTCTACCAATTTTTCGTAACTGTGGAAGAGGAACTCCGCGAGAAGCGAAATCCCTTGTACATGATGTGCTTTGAGAACGCGAAGTATTCTGAGGACAAGCGAATGGCTCTGGTCCTTGGTGCTCTCATAGGAGAAGATGAAGAGTGCTTGCGCGTGATGGCCAGTGTGCTGGAAAGATTTCGAGTTAGTTTCGTTTGGCACATGTACTGGAAGGATGTGGAGACGGTCGAGGAAAGAATGCAGAGAATGGAAAACAGAGAGGAACCCAAAGGTCCTGAATGTACCATAATGTAGCTGGATGACAAGACAAGACATACGCCGGGATATGCGGCAGCCTTTCTCCCTCTATTCCAAACGGCGCTTCACCTTTCTGTAAATGATAGCTACTCTCGATAATTTGCGATATATCATGGCATAGTATATCTACAATAAACCGCATTTCGCGTTGAGGGAATCTATGGTCCCATCTAATTTATTCCCTTCAGCGTAGATACATCAAATATGTCGTTTTGACCGCGGGTGCAACTACACAGTGTCAAATATCTCATATGGCAACTCTGCTTAGAGGCCGTATTTCCGGTTGAACGAACAAAGGTCTTACAGATCGTGCCGCCAGGAATGCGCAGTGCTGCCTCACCGCCATCCATTCCACGACAGTCGGAGAGCATGACGACGAAAGCGAAGGGGAACCTATCGCAGTGCTATGAAACAGCCGAGACACCATCGTCTAGACGATCGCTCATATTAGCAGAGACAGTAGTAGCTTGCTATTCTAATTGGCATTAACAGCAATCCTAAAGCCGATGTCAGGCACCACTTCAGTTCGGCGACTTGGGAGACGTATGAGATGAGCTCCTGGGGGGTTCAATGCGGGGTTGGTGAAGGGGCGAGGATGTGGCTCATCCCTCGGACCCATGTGTCTGATGAAGTTGGATGTGTACTGGCAGTTTGCGAGGACCTCTTTGCTCAAGATCTCGGCACACATTTGCAGGATGGCTTCCTCTGTGAAGAAACAAAAGGGGGTGGAGGCGGCATGGGGCCAAACGTCACTGAGGGGCTTCCAAGACACGGATTGTCGCCGTAGCCCCTACATAGAGCATTAAATGCAGGAGTATGCATATGCATGCGACCTTCCAGACACCCGCCAAGCCTCAAGGTTGCGTGGCAATGTGACCGGGCTCGCATCTTCTTGACGTTTTCGGACAAAATATGGCATATGTCATGCAACTGTGGGCTCGGCCATGCTCAAACTAAAACATTTATTCTCACTTTGTCGACTTTCTACGGGATGAGGACAAGGATTTTTACAAGTGAAGACCCATGTAAAGGACAGCTTGTTTTTATACACCTACTACATCCAGGTCGAACAAAGTCAAGTCGGTGACAAGCTTAGTTTCGATTTCAACAAGTCTTTATATGGTCTATTCACCACAAGGTTACAGTAGCAATTGCAGAGGCAGATCACATGCCTGACACCACTACTCCTCAGCTTCTCAAATCTCAGGCGAGCGAGGAGGATGTGCCTCTATCAATTGTATGCCTCGGCATATCAACTGCCGATTCAAATGCGAATGTACTCGACCAAATCAACTAAAATTTATTCCTCATTGTAACTCATTCAAAAAGCATCGCGGTCATCCAGATCGCATGCATTCCCCTCGGGCATTTGTAGGCAGTAGTTTTGATTTCAAATAAGACAATCGAGGGGATGGACTACGGGATCATTCCAGCCTTCCAGATTTCTTTCCGGCTTAGTTATGTATACCAAAAAGGGTTCACCATGTTCAGTGGATCATAGGCTTTGAAATGATCGCCTCATTATAGGTTAGCTACGGTTTCGCTAGGCTTTGCAGCCATTGACGCCATTCCCTGAACTAAATATCTAACCGGCCAGATTCACATGGGGGCATCAAATTCGAGTTTAATCAATTGGCACATAGCCTGTGAGCGGCCGGTTTCGGAACTGTTAGCATGAATTAGCACACATAATGATCTGGGGGCGGAGCTCTGGGCGGCTAGAAGCGGAGGAGCTCTCCAGCTGAGGAGGGGCCGAAGTCGCAACTCACACTTGACGCTACAAAGGATGATCAGGGAAGGGTCCCCCGAGGTGAGATCTCCAATAGCTTGCCTCAATGGGGTAATTGAATCTGGTAAACTACATGTGACGCAGATAAGGCCTCCTTTCTTCCATCACCGGGGCGGCTTCTCCCGTTGGTATGCTAGATATCGGAGCTATTCGGGAGTGACATGCCGCTTTCCAGTTCAACGTTCCTCCAAAGGGTTATAGATGCATTGCGCACCATGCTGGATTCGTATAAGCATTGCTGCTAGGTCATCTCTAGCAGAGTTGTGTGATTGACCTCTCCTCGTCGATATGAGGAAACACCCTTTGGACCGGATGTGTAACATATGTTCCCGGGGAACAAGATTACTATCCCCCGCTAGTGGCTTACCAGAGGAAGTAAACCTACTGCCATCACTTTCTGGTGTCTCTTACCCCAGACTTCCGAGGCCGGCAGGTGAAAATGACTAAATAATCACAAGTAAATAATTGAACTAGGGGCTTGAAGTGATGATGAATATATTTGATGAAGAACCGCGGTTCGCCGAGATCGGCCGAAAGGAATGATACTGAGTTTGAAAGAAATATAAAAAAACAAGACCGTGTGCTCTCAAAGGGAGTGATTAAACGCCGAGAGACTGGAACAAAAATGAAGAATATTACAACAATGGGCTTCCGTCGAATTTTGGGAGGTCCTCTGCACTCACCAGAGCAGCGATCTCGCATGATCTTAGGCGTCAGGCAGGCCAGCACAGCCAGTGGTATGTCCCAAAGCCCATCATCAACTCTCCATAACTATACAAAAATCTTTCTGCTTTCTATCCTGCTTGAATTTTTGAAGCACTAACCAAAAGCCCAGACAAACCGCCTAAGAAGAAGAAACGAGTCGTCATCATAGGTTCGGGTTGGGCGGGTTACACACTCGCTCGAACTCTTTCCCCAGCAAACAGCACTCGAATCCTAATATCGCCTCGATCTCATTTCGTATTTACGCCGCTTCTTGCGTCCGCTTCCGTTGGCACGATTGAGCCTCGAGCCTCTATAGAACCAGTCCGTCGACTAGGTCTTGATAATTTCCACCAAGGCTGGGCTTTAGGCGTTAACTTCAAGCGAAAGACTGTTCTGGTTGAAGCTGCCCCTCCAGACGATGCTGCGGGCAATCGTTCCCAGCCCGTCGGCAACGGGACAACGTTCGAGGTCGAATATGACCAACTCGTCCTAGCTGTGGGCTGCCACAGTCAAACATTCGGCATCGAAGGCGTCGAAGAGTACGCTTGCTTCCTTAGAGACGTCGGCGACGCCCGTAAATTACGGCAGCGGATCCTTCGAGCTTTCGAAAAAGCATCCATGCAGACTACCCCTGAATGTGACAGGAGGAAGCTTCTCCATTTTGCCATTGTCGGTGGCGGTCCTACAGGTATCGAATTCGCGGGGGAGCTCAATGATTTGCTTCGCAAGGATTTGACGAAGATGTACCCCGAATTATTGCCCTATGCCAAGATCACAATCTATGACATCTCATCCAAGGTTCTTCCTATGTTTGGCGAAAGCCTGACGAATTATGCAGTCGACAGACTTCGCCAACAAGGAATTGAGGTCAAGACTGGACATTCCTTGAAAAGTATCCGTCGGTCTGGAGAATTCCTGTCTCTCAAAATTGACCAAGAGACCGAGGATGTTGGTGCCGGCGTTGTGCTGTGGAGCACTGGGTTGAGACAGAACCCCCTTGTCCAGGAGCTAGTCCAACAGAAGATCGAGGGACATAGTAACATCTTGAAGGACACCGGCACTGGAGGGATAGTAGTTGACTCTCACTTCCGTGTGCGCACCGACGATGATTCTATCCTTCCTGATGTCTTTGCCATCGGCGACTGTACAGTTATGGAGAACCAGCGTCTTCCAGCCACAGCACAAGTAGCCAATCAACAAGCCGCTCACCTTGGACGTTACCTCAATAACCCCAAGGCAGATATGAGACCCTTCAAATTCCGGGATCTGGGGGCGATGGCATATTTAGGCGGCTCGAGAGCAATCCATCAGAACAGCAAAGGGGAGCTCAAGGGGATAGCTGCATGGCTTCTTTGGCGCGCCGCGTACTTGGTTAAAAGTTTTAGCATTCGGAACAGGCTACTGATTCCTGTGTATTGGGCAGCTACTTGGATTACTGGTAGAGATATTTCGAGATTTTAGGCGTCGCAATAGTGGAACTGGTTTAGTTTTCGGAAGGGAACCTCTTTAATACATGACTGAACATGAACATGCTCCAAAGATCATACTAACCCCTATCATATAGATGTACGTATCTTGAAGCCCTAATTCTAGTCAAGCTGACTATCCAGCACTATTGCTACGACGACAAGACGTGAGTGTCACTACTGCTCTTCCACGAGCATTCACATAGTAGTAGCAACTACTTCTTGTATGTTTCACCATCTCTGACCTGGTCATTTCTTTCGCTTGTTTTTGCAACTGCCAAATAGAGCGCTTATTTGATTCCTAGACCGTTTTTTGCCAAATAGAAGCCATGGAAACTCTCATCAACCCTATAAACCTCTAATATGATCCTTACACGGATGATATCTCATCTTGGCCATGTGGGAATTCGAACGCGCAAATTTATACGCCTCACTAGATACTCAATGAGTTAATCTTAAAAGGTGGATGTAGCAGTAGGTGAGGGCTATGCAGGTAGCTGCTGAATAAGAAAAGGGGGGTGAGAATATCCGAAACCCAAGAAATGGATAAATTGATGCTATATTCAGCATCATCGCCACGGTCAACATGGTCAACAAATCAGAGTACAGCCTTTTCCCCCGATCGTATCTGAAATTTAACGCCATGAATAACCTGTGCTCGGCATGATGACTCTTCAGTCTTTAATTATGAACTGTAACTACTTCAAGATCCAATATTAACACGTGGAGTTCATCTATCCGTTGGGGGCGAATGCAACCCCGATATGCGACCTGCCCCAATCGGAGGTATTCTAACTGCATCATGCGATATGTCCACTTCACATAGATTGTAAGGAACAATAAGCATAGATTAATGATGTCATGATCTCTATTATTTTATGTTCCTGATCTGTAGCATCTGGGTGGTGATATGGTGAGTGCAGCTTCGGCAACTTGCGATATCTAGCATTCAGGCTAGATGCGTGTGTACACCAACGCAATCCAATATGATTTGATGTTTCTATTTAGGCTATTTTTTAGCGGTATGGAAAGGATGACATGTGACTGGCTTCACCTTGGGTCTCGACGAAGGGGGGACAGTGAACGGCTCTCGCTTCCTCCTCACTGCAATTATTGACGCTAAGTACTACCAACATCTGAAAATAGTCTTTCTTTAATCATGTTCCCTTAGCAGGAAGTGTTATTAAGATGCTTCCGAATTGTGTTTCAGCTTTACGAGCTACCGCTCCAGTTTCCGTGAAGGAAGTATAGTATGATATGTTACGTCGCCACGCGAGATCCGACTACTTCTCCCTCTGGTTTGTCATTAAATCCCTCCTCGCCTCACCGCTACTCCGAGTATTATAAACCCACCCACATGGGAATGGGCTTCCACTAGTGACTGTTTTTTGGCAGGTGAGCAGACCCGCACCAGCGGGGTCTGTCTAGCTGACGTGTGACAGCCGAATGTTAAACATCCAGCTCTACTCGTTATGCTCCGAGATACTTTCATGGATAATAACAGTTTATCACCTATCCAGCACGATTTCAAGGCATCACGGGGCTGATTATAAGCAGTGATCCTCCACCGCAGGCATCATCTTGTCGTTTGGAACCCGCTTTCTTAGCCTCTGATCAAGATACAGAGCGGGTCGTCCCAGAGTGGTGGGTTGGCCACTAACTAATAATAGTGTGAGGGGTCGGCCAAGAACCGTCCAGGCATCAACGACGGCGACGTCCAAGATCTGGGACTCTCTTCTTGGGCACTCCGTCTCTCCTCCCCTACTTGGCCCCTTTTCAGACCCATCAAGGTGCAGTGACCTGTCTTCGTCGTTGGGCGTTGCTACCCATCCAGCTTTTGCAATCCTTGTTTGTATGGCAACATCGTGACCCAGGATAACTTGATCCGATGTGGAGTATCCCACACTCAACTGTGGCGAATTCACGACTACCTGGTGACATCGATACGAAGGGTCTACAAAGTAATCATCATACACACAGGAGCATTGAGGTGAACAAAAAGAAGTATTATTAAAGAAAGAACAGGGAGATATCCCCCTCCTATATAGTGATGTAAATACGTTAAGACATTACTTCATAAATTCGTGTGCTCCATCCGTCGTTGATAATCAATAAAGGCATCCCTTCATAGCCGGCTGCGAAATACCGGTCTCAGGGGCGGTCGTACCATGGCCACCACTGCATAAGAGTCATATTTGCCTGGGCGTTTTGGCATCTCGAGCCGTTTTACCGGCCTAAACCCGTAGTGCTTTTCATATATAGGGATTCCGACCGCCGTCGCGTCGATGTAGATCTCGAGTCCGGTGGCATCGGCTTGTTGGCAGATCCAGTCTAACAAGGGAGTAGCGAGGCCTCGTTTTTGGTAGGGTGCGTCGACGCCGAGAAACTCGCCCACTAGGAGATGTTATTCCTTTTCCTCGACCTAGGTCGTTCTAAGGGTTTATTTACTCACTCCAGTGTAGCTGCTTGCCCATTATTGCAGCCCTGTTTCTAGCCATTCCTCCCCAGAGAGCGTCAGCGATCTCCAGGTCATGTCCGGCCGGCAGTTCCGGCATTGGAATGTCTTGATTTCCATCCAGTTGAGGAACGTGGATGCGGCAGAATGCTGCCAGTCTTCCGCCCTCGTTCAAGTCTTCCACGACGAATGTCCTGAGGACTTCAGGGCCTGCTTGGATGCCCATGGTCCAGACTTCATTGAGCCACTCACGGGTCTCCGCGTCGTCCGGAGTGGCATAATGAAGGAACTTGTGGGATCTGTGGAAAGAGTCGTACCAGAGCTGTGTCAGAGCCTCGACATCGTCGAGAGTGGCGTCTCTAATGTGAAATCCCGGGGGATCTCTGTGGCGTAAGTTGATTCCAATCATTGTTTTTGGGAGATTCTGGTCAATTTGTTGCTGCTAAACCTTCTCGAACGAAAGGGAGGGGCTGAGACTGTCCAAGAGAGGGAGGAAGACGGGAATATGGGAGTATGGGAAATCTCCTCGGAATTGCGGGTTCCAAATAAGAGTCTCCGGCCAACCCTGGCTATAGCCAGCTCATCCAGATCCAAACCCAGCGTTGCGGTCTGGACCATTTGCCCGAGATACCCGCAGGAATGCGACGGGACCCATGCCCACAACACACCACCCACAGCGCTCTAGTGCCATGTACATCACTCCCCAGTCGTCTGTCTGAACCACTTGGCCGGGTCTACGTGTTAAACCTGGTATCCATCATGCCATGAGGTTGCCTCGGAATGGGTCGGACAGGGGTTTTGGACAGCCTGTTCTGGTTAAGCTGCCATGGGGAGTTAGGTCATCACTCCCATTCCCAAGGGCTCCAGTGGTGCTTTGCAGGGAACCGGTTTGTCCGCTAAAGCACGAAAGCAACCAATGTCTCGAGTGCGGAGACATTCTCGCCTCTGTTCAGTGGCCAAATCGTCTTGCAACGGGTCTTGCAACCGGGCCGCTATGGATCCCGTTCTTGGTTAACTGCCTTGGAAACTTCTTGCATTAGACTATCGAATCCATGGCCATGGATCCTTTGCACACTATTGGGTCCAACTCGCCCGCCATTGGCTGCCAACAACCTTCCTCTCTCATACGCCTGCTTATCCCACACCTGGGGGGCGGTTTCGTCTCATGTGCAGCTGCTTGGGACCCAAATGAAAAAAAAAAGAGGAACCCTTGCGGGGTTTCTCGAGATTTTGGTACTGGCAATTTTCGTGATGTCAGGAGCCCACAATCGAGGAAAATTCGCAATAATATCCCGTCCCTCGGGTAGGGGGGCAATACCCAACTGTGTGGATGAACTACTTGTTTCTAGTTGCTCTATCCCAATAATGCTAATAACTCTGCACATCTCGTTCACTCTCTTGCTCTAATCGAACGCCACTTGTAAACTAGATGTCAGACGTCTAATGACCCTGACAAATGTCCCAAAAAGCCTCCCCACCACCAGCGAGATATACTCCGAGCCGATCCGAAAGAATGGGCAATCCATGCCACCCTCCCACGAACGACAACATTATTCAGAAGACATTCCATCGTTCCAGATCACAATGGATATACGATCCGGTGATGACCCAATGGCGAAAACCAGACCATCACATTCACCAGGTTCTACAAGAAACCGACAAGCTATACCAACACTGGAAGTCGGCTAATCGATCTCCTCTCTTTGCCCCTTCTACGTGCCCACTCTGGCTTGACACTGGGCGAGTTCTTACCAACATTGGCCTGCCATGGCACAATAATCAAGTCAACATGCCGGATCAGACGGACTCGAGCTGGCCGTTTCACTTCAAGACATTCGAGAAACAAGTCCTTCAGTCGATGGGGGCGCGAATCGGTGATCCAAATCCCTCCGGATACGTGTGTAGCTACAGCGAAGCAAATTGCTACTGCATCCGAACCCTACAACAGCAACTAAGACGGACGCATCCCGCTCAAAGACCAATAGTGGTTTACGACCACTTTGACCCCGACTTGATTCACCTCTTTGAGACGCTGTTCGGCTTAGAAACATACCAAGTCTCGCTGGCATACTCGCTGCAAGACCTCGAGCAAGAACTAGTCACCGTCACTTCCAACCGCGCTCGTCCCATCATCTTCGCGGCATCCATCGGCAACTCTGCCACCGAATACGATGATATAGGCGTGATCTCAGAGCTTTCAAGAGAATTTCCCGTCAGCTTGCACGTCAATGCTTTCCGCAGCTTTGACTATGCGGCAACCATGTCGGAAACCGTCAGGCGGCACGAGGGCGCTCACAGGTTCGCGCTACGGTCCAAGCACCCGGTTCAACCCCTGACAGCACCTGACGGGTGCGTCATCGCTAGCAGTGTTGTTGGAGGTGGTCTGATTCAATCGCCCCATGCGCCGGCAGCTGCATTGACACCGATGTCGTATCGTGTCAACGGCGAGCGAGTGGCCTACATCCGGTCGTTCGATTCAACCTTGGGGGGCTCTAGGGATGCAATGTCACCGCTGTGGCTGGCGCTCTATCAGCTGAGACTGGGCGACCTCGGTGTACGCCAATTGTGCGATAGTCTCAGGGACATCAGGTCCAGCATATTGAGGGTTTTGCAGTCCCAGGGGATGGACGCTCACACCTCCCCCTACTGTCTTGATATAGTTGTCACGTCCTTCTCTATAGCCCAGAAGCACCGTCTTCTAAAGCTCGGAGGGTCCATGGCAAGAACAGGAGCCATAGTTTTGGTTGTTCAAACCCAACTGCTCGCGGCTGAAATCTTTGCTCTTGTCCCCGCGTCCGCGACCGGCTTCTGTTGGGATGACCCCCTATTCATGTACAGAGCCTTCTTAGATCACTATCCGATACCTCCAGACGCGATAGAGGAATTGAAAACAACAATTCAGTCTTGGAGATGCATCACCCGTTCAGCTATTGGGTATCCCGTACATATGGGCTCACTCTCGGCCCTCGGGTCAATCATCGGGCGGTTTTGGGAGCTTGATATTCCCCCGCACTGGCTTGACAGTACCTCAAAGCAGCTTCTAGCTGCTCGTTTCGAAGCCTTCGGAGTCCCCAGTTGGGAGCAGCAGCGTACCTATAAAGGGGGGTTCACAAACGGTAGCACCATGGGGAATCGAAGCGGAATCCACACCGCCTTCCAACAATACCCCGACGCCTTCCTATATGTATCTAATCAGGCACACTATAGTGTAATGAAGGCGCTTCGAGATTGTGATACCATTTCCAATATCTGGTCCGGGGAGAAGCCTCATTACTCACAGATATCTTCCAACAGTGATGGAAGTATTTGTGTCGATGCCCTTGTGGCGCAAGCTTTGACTGACCAGAGATATTGCTTTGAGAAGGGAAGAGAATATCACATGATTCTTTTTGCCAATATCGGTACCACGTTTCTGGGGGCTCGGGACGATCTCGGGGAGATTGCCAGCACTCTAAAGAAGTTTGGAATCACGATATCACATATCCATGCCGACGGAGCCCTTGACTTTGGATATAACAACTGTGGTATATCGCTAGGACCCCCTGGAACTATTGGCCTCAATGGCATGCCCAATGTTCAGGGCATTACCGTCAGCCATCACAAAGCTCTGGGGCAAAGTGTTTCCGGTGAGGTGCTTTGCTTCAGCCCCAACAAAACGATTGCAGGACTAGCCTCCAGTGTCAATCCTAGAATCATATTTGAGACTTGGCTATATAGTCAGGTATATCAACCAAAGGACAGAGCATTCTTGCTCAACTCCTGCCAGGCGAATGCCTCCCGATTAGAAGCCAGTCTCAAGCGACTTGGATTGATTACCAAGCGATATCCCGACAGTTTGGTCGTTACATTTGAAAGACCACCATCTTGGATCATTGAGGAATTTTCTCTCCGACCAGAAGGGGACTGGGTTCATGTTATCACCATGCCTCACGTCTCCGCAGAGACCATTGAAGTCTTCCTGGACCGCATGGAGAGTGTGACCAAGGCGTGCTCAGCTGCCTTTAGTAGCATCACGCCTATCCTCATTGACACCATTGAGCAAGACATTCAGCTACGACGCGTGCAGTCACAAGGCATCTTGGCTGAGCAAGTCGCAAACTTGGCAAACTCTGCATCACCACTATACTCGGCCTCCAATGCAGATTTGAGAGGAATTCTCGGCCCGAGTGTTCGCAGTGCAATATCAGTCGCGGCCGTCGACGAAGAAGGTAAGATCCAGGTTGTCTTTTTAGCGGCAGCGAATCGCGATGAATCCATTTTGATAAACCCCCTCCTGATCAGAAGCACTCTTGCTTCGAGTATCAAGGATATTTGCGATATCAGAACGCAACTTATGAGTTTGATGATGAGATATTTGAAAGTAGAGATGAGAATTGATACCATGAGTCACGACATTTACACCTTTGATAGCGATTAGAGCAGAGCGCAGCCCTTAGATATTTCGTTTAGATGATTAATATATTTGATGATTTTCAGGGACTATTCATTCATAAGCCACCTCGTTGATATGGGCTCCTTATTCTCTCTCATCCCTAGTTCTGTCCCGAGACTAGCGAGGTCCTGTATATAATTTATAACAGCTAATGTGTTGTGATATTGGGTATGGTGTCAAGTTGTTAAATTCTTGGTGTTTGGGAATTTCCCCTTTTTTTTTCAGCAGCTGCATAGCTCTCTCACTTACTATAATTTATAACAGCATACCCATTCCCACAAAGCACAATCGCTAGATTTGCTGCAAGTTACATCTTCCAGATCATATGTATATTCCATTACCATCCATCTTGTTGATATCTTCCTTCATACTTTAACAAAAAAATCTCATCGCGGGTTCCCCCGGTGAGCTGGTGAACTGAAATGCGATATGGGCGATGGGGAGTTGCTGACATGTGGTGAGACGGAATCACTCGCAAGTTCAGACGCATCAATCAGGCCTGTATCATCAAGCTCATATACACCGATACCATGGTCCCCTTCTGGGTGAACGTAGGGAGGGGCAGGAGACATGGTGCTGCTCGGAGGGACGGAGTTTGGCGGGCCTCCCCAAAGCTCCTTTGGACCTTCCTGTGAGTGTTCGCCTGTTACCCGGTTTCGTCGGCGGAGGAAGAACCAGACAGCGGTAGCGATAAGAGCAAGTCCAGCAATGCCTCCTACAACACCACCGGCGATGGCGCCAACGGGTGTGCCCCCCGAAGAGCCAGAGCCTTCAGAGGTGTTGTCGTTATTAGTTGTATTAGTGTTGTTAGATGCTTGAATGGCAAGGTCTACAGTTCTATTAGCTTCCGATCCATACATAAGATGATATTGTTCTTCAAGGATCGCCACATACAGTTCTTAGTGAAGGTGTCCTTAATCTCGTTCGAGTCCCAAGTAACACCAGATAGTGCCCTATTCACTTGTTAATTCTTATCCATATGTAGGAAAACCAGTGGCGGGACTCACGAGTCTTCATTATAAGCCTTTCGAACAACCTCTGGAGTTTCATACTCGCCAAGATCAGGGATGTACTCATCCTTCCACTGTAACGTATTCAGATCGAAGATACCGATGGTATTCTCCCAAGGATCTGAGCTCTTCCAAGCAGCTGTCGAGTTGAGTGCATCAAGACCACCAAAGGATATCATCTGTCGTTTGCCAGCCAAACCACATGCGTGGAAATGGCGCTTTGGTGTCTCGTCCAGCTTAACTCGGAACCATTTAAAAAGCGGCAAAGACAAAATCCAGATGTCAGACGAGATTGTGTCGCCTGACTCTTTGCCTCCATACATAAATCTAGAAGAGAGGGATCAAGTCAGCCCGCATGTTCCTATCACACTCTCCGGATCCATAAACTCACATCTCGTATGTGCCCTGCTTGCTCTGTACCCCAACCGCACAGAAGTCGTCTCTTTGCGAAGGAGCAAAAGTCGTGGTTTGACTTCGCCACCTATTGCCGACAGGGTCAAAAAAGGCCAACTTGTCGAACGATCGCATGGTTTGGTTCGCTCGAATAGTGCCTCCCAGCAGCGCAACAAGAGAGTGGTCCACGAATCCTGGAAGACAGACCAAAGAACCCGATCGATGTGTGCTCCCTGGAATGTCGAGATCAGCGGTAGATTTGGTGAATAACTTCCTCGTCGTGTTGAACATGATCATCCCCTCCTGCGATTGCTTCGTCTCAAAATCGTACATGCCCGTCCCGTTATAAGCAACACCACCGAAATTATATCCCACATCGTCGCAGGTCGTCGAGGCTCCGTGGCCGCTCGTATTGTAGACAACGTCGCCAGTGTATGAGTTCCATGACCCTGCGCCGTTGGAAGCGGTATCGACCGTCCAAACTGCTCCTCCATCGCCTTTCGAATATGTCCGCTCGCGAGTCAGTTCGCCGCCCCATCTGTATAAAGTCTTCTCTCCGACCCAGAGACTTGGCCATCTGACGGTCCTCTGCCCTGGTTTAAATCCGATCCTCTGTAGTGTGATGTCGCGTGGGTACCAACGTTGGCTGATGCTGAAATATTTCATCGAACTGCCGTCTATTAAAAGTCAGAATTATGTTTGCGCCGCACCCGTCCTGGGATTCGTCCGAGGCCGGAAGGGAGCGGAAGAAGCGGAAGCAAGGGAACTCACCTCCATCAGAGTCAACCGTAGACTCGTAGCCAGTATCATATTGCCGTTCGCCGGATTGCAGATAGCCTGACTTCTCCCCGCCTTCGATGTAGAAATAATCGCCCTTCACCGCAACTAGAGAATAAATTAGAATGCTGCCACAATTTATTTCCTTGCTTTCGCGGATGTATAATCTTCGCCGGGGAGGGTTCCAAATACCGGTCCCGTATGCACGTCGTTGGTAAAGCGTATCATCTGCTCTGGGTTCCTGCGCAGTGGCACCGCTCAAAGAGGAGACAAGGCATGGTAGCAGAAGAAGGAATTGGATCGGCGTCATCGTGGCGGTTCTGCCAGTCGTTGTCGCTGTCGTCGTACGAGGGAGGACAGTGCGTGCTGGTCGTGCCGCTCCTCGACCGCGTCTATCACAAAGCGATCTCCACGCTCCGCACCAAAGAACAAGAAAAAGACAACAGAGGAAAAGCAAGCTTCGACGAAGGATTCATGAGAGATGGCATTTGATGGACTGGCAGGGGGCGGCCGGCCCCCACAGTCGCATAAGACCACGACAAATGCCAAGAATAAGTTAATCTGGGCAAGGCGCAGAGGTAACACCCGCTGCGGACCAGGCCAAGGCTGGGAGTAATTTCTCGAGTGCCGTCAGCGCGCAGTTGTAACCGTTTTTAGCATGTTAGCATGTGAAGCACTTGCAGTAGTGGCCCGTTAGCCCAGTATTTGCTTTTGATGATCATGGGTTTCATGTATATTAACTGCCAGGAAGTCAAGTCAAGGAGGCAATGGAACGGCAGTCTGTTTCTTTCTTGGGCCTCTTTGCTACTTAGATCCCAGCGCTCCAAGAGGACTGCTTCAAACTTCCTGCGTACACGTCAACCCAATCGTCGCAACGGCTTTTACAAGAGTGAGTGGATGTCCAATGGGACTTTGGTGGTTTTATTGTGGTCCCCGCGCGCTCCGTCCCTGTTGTTTTTGTGGAAACTTGCTTGAGGACGGCGAACGTGATTTGCGAGAGTTGGTCTTGATCCGGCTGAGCTTCCTGATCTGATTCTTGGGGCTTCCACATCGTCTACCAATCACCGTGGAGTGGTTGATTTGGGGGCCGCTCTCTGCCTATCAAAAGCCCTTTTGAGATGCCCAACTCCCCGCTTTCTCGCAACATTGTAGCTAAATCAGGGAAAACGTCCAACAACCAAGTAGCTTACCGAGATGAGGATAAGTCAGTGACTAAGGCTTGTCCCCTTGCTCAGTCTAGTGTTAACAATAATAACCCGATCTGTCCTTGCCATTGGATAAAAGTAATAAATCGATCAAGTTTGTAGCGTAATCAATGTGAGAATGGAAGACAGGGATTTGTTTACGCCCAGCCACGCTCGGTCTTCCGCTCAACCAACAAACAAGACCCAACGCCACATTGCTCACGTTGTCTCTCTTGTCCTGATGTCCTGCCAATCAATATGTGGCTGAGCTACGGGCAAGCATGTTGGATAGACGGGATGACCTCTCGCCGGCCCCCTGGCGCACAGTCATTTTCTCGACTCTTTTCCATTGACTCATTGATGACTCTGTGTGAAATTACGGCAGCCTAGGACACTGGCTACAGCACAGTGGCTTAGGCTGCCGCCGAGAGCTAGGCACCGAGCAAATGAGTTTTGCACTTGCGCAAAACGCCCTTGGTTTCTCAAGTCCTATGTTTACACCACTCCGTTCCCGCCCAGCAAATGTATTATTATGGCCACATCAATTATTTATCCATTCGAATTCCTAAACAGCCCCAAGTGAATCAAACTTTATCAACATAACCTTACCTCTTACCAAAACCAAAAAAAAATGACACAATCTACAATAATGACTTCACAAACGCGAGAAGATATCAGGAGAATGACACACGCTTTGACGGACCAAAGGGTGATCCAACAACTTTCAGAGTCCGGGAGGCTAGCGAAGCTCAAGAGGGAGGAGCTGAAAGAACGCCGACGAAGAAACAGTCGCATAGCCCTCGATGAACCCAAGTCTGAGTGGGATGTGTTCGATATACGGACAAATGATACAACCTTGAGAATCATACCAAATATCCGACCCACGACATGGCATGGCCAGCATCCACTACACCCAACCGGACAAGACAATATCAGGTCATGTCTATCATAACCCCTGAGCAAAACAAGATGCCCTTTCCGACCTCCCTCCTTGACCCCGAGGCTTCAATACAAGCAGGGTTTCTATAATATAGTCTATGGCTGTTGCATCATTAATACATCTTCATTAATAAAGGCACATCTCAGAACTCCCTGCTCTCTCCAATGTCGCAAACGTCGAAAATGCCCTGCTCGGCAATTCCACTACGCCTGAGGGCATCCTTCAACAACCTGGGTGGATCAAGAACGTCCTCCAACGTCAACGCCCACGTGCCCCAGTGAATACCCATCGCACGTTGACACTTGGTGTCTTTGAAGATCTCAACTGCATCATACGGGTTGCCGTGAACAGCGGAAAATGCCATCCGAGGCGAATACGCTCCAATCGGGATCAAGCCAAGGTCGAATGGCCCACGGAGCTTGCCGATCTGCTCAAACTGAGGGTTATGAGGGAGGTGGCTGAAGTCGGCATCGTAGCCGGCACCATCTGGGTTTTCCTTGATGCCACGATATCCTGTATCTCCAGCAAACCAAACCGACTTACCGCCGGAGGTGATGGCGAATGAGGACCACAAGGTCTTGTTCTCGTCAAAGAGTGACCTCGCTGTGGCATGCTGTGCGGGCAAACACGAGACCTTAGCAGCAATGTCCCCGTCGTCTGTGTGGACGGTGAGCTCGGCATCCTCCCACCAGTCAAACTCTGTAACGTTTTTGAGCCCGCGATGGCGGAACCACGCTTCGAGGCCTAGTGGAACAAGAAAGTGCGCGTTAGGGTGGTGGTCTTTGAGCGCTTGGACGGTCTTGATGGAAAGATGGTCATAATGGCTGTGGCTGATGACAACAATATCTACAAGAGGGATATCCTTGGCGGTGCACGGCGCTGGAGTGTATCGTTTTGGTCCCATGAATGGTAGCGGAGAGCACCGCTCCTCAAATACGGGATCGTATAGCACACGCAGCCCAGAAGGGAACTCGACATAATAACAAGCGTGACCCAACCAGATGGCACGAAGCTTGCTTGAGCTTTCATGACCAGACGGCCACTGCGGCTTCACAACTCGTATCCCGGGATTGGATGTATTTGGGAACTTCCGCTTGCCAGTGAGTGCAGGCCTTCAGGATCAGTTAGTTGTGAGACATGGGAGAACATAGGAATGTGCGGGTAGATGATGTCTTACCAGAGCATGGCCCGTGCGACAATGAACGGGTTGATATCATGAGAGAAGGACGGGTAAGGGTTCTTGAACCGAACTATTTTGCCATTCCTGGTTACATGATGCGGATTGGAGATGGCATCTTGGGGGATGTTTCGCCTGGGCGTCTTGGAGACGACGGAGGCGGAGGCTGTCGCGGACCCCGACAATGCCGAGCCAACCCTGCGGCCAACGGGAACGGGAAGCTGGACAAAACGCGACATCGGGCAGGGGGCGATTGACGATGGGCAACGGAAATCGACAAAGGAGCGTACTGAGTGAATGAGCGACCGTAATGTGCACACCGATGGACAAACCCCAACGTGGCCGTCAGAGAGAAAAATTGGACGAGATCCGAAGGTCAATCCCCGAGACCCAATTGGCCGAAGCTGATTGGTCGGAATTATCGGTCTTATCGGAGAAGCTGCTTCCAATTGGTCCGAATTGCTTCGAAGCTCCATAAATCTATTATTAGACTGCTCCAGGTTATTGATTTATTTTGTACTTTTCGGTTTATCAGCGTCATACATTTGAGAGCCATCATATTCGTAGTCAAGGCCGAGGGCGATGGATAGATGGATGTAAAAAATCTAAATATCTTATGTAGCATTCATTTGATTGAAATTTAACTAGTCATGCTATGCACATTAATGAACCACTCTTTTTATTTGATGGCGGTCGGAAGGTTGGTTGTAGGGTAGGTCAGGCGAATTGGGTCGGACGGGTGTTTTATCATTCAAGCAATTGGCCACCAATCTAAGATGTTGTGCGCGTATTTGAAATTTAGAGATTACTACTGCTAGACTAGACTCTTAAATCAGAGAGTAATCCCTACGGTTACTTTCCCCCTCTATGCGGCTGTGAATGCATGTGGTGAACAGATATCTTCTTCACAATACCTGTCGGAAGCTGCATCGGTACACGCAATGATATGTCTGAGCTTGTCATTTCTTTCTCGCTGGGGCCGCGTGGTTGCTGTTTCGCAAATATAAAACGAGAACCAACAGTACCAGGGGTAATAAAGAGGCAATCTCGCCGACAGCTAATGTGTGAATTGTTAGCCCTCCAGGAAACAATACATCAGCAGTGCCAAAGGCAAGTAGAGGCAAACGTACCCATGCGCCAACTGAACCAAGGTCCAGGAAGTCTGAGCTCTCCCTCCTCATTATGGGGAAAATCGAGCGTGTTGACGGTGAATAGGCTGGTGAGAAATGACAAAGGGGTCTATTGGCACAAGACGTTTGGTTAGTGATGGAGTCTTCACTATCATAAACTATATGACGTACAAATATGACAGTGACAATCGTAAACGGAAGGATGATGATGTTCATAACACGAGAGGATTCCGCTTCTTTGAGTGAAGCTTGCGCTTGCATAGCTTGAATGATATTGCTCAACTGAAAATCATCGATTAGCATAAACACGACATTAAAGACTGATCATCAAAGTTGACTTACTCCTTGAAGAGTTGTGGAGGCATCCTCATCCATTTGCTTTACTCTCTCCAACATTGCCGCCAGACCGCAGTCTCGGATAAATGTTTCGCGGAGGGCATCCCTTACGGCCTTCTCCTCCCTGGTGAGCCCGTCTGCTGCGGTGCTATCCTTACCAGGCCAAAAGATCTCAGAAAACTCCTCCACTACTTTGAGCTGGGTTTCAAAGACTTGTCGGAGGAGGCGGAGCTCATCGCGTAGGTCCTTGACCCGCCACGTTGATTCCGCGGCTTTTTGAACAGTCTGGTCAACGGCTTTGGCACTCCAGTTGGTGTTGGTAAACGTCTTGAAGAACCCGGCTTCTTGATCTGTCTGTACAGCAAGTTAGCTTTCCTTTCATCGTGATATCTGTGCAATTTTCCCTACCTCGTAGGCTATCTCTCCTTGGAATATGTCGAGCACATGTTCACCAAGACCAGCCCATTTGAATTCATCAAGAAATTTGACAGCTTCAAACACGATACGTTTGATGAGATCTTGAGGGCTGTGTAGAATATCCAGATTGCCTTGACGAATTGTCTCAAGGAGAGTGTCTGCGGTCATACCGTTCTTTCGAGAGGGTATTGCGGTGAGAATGGTGTCTTTCAAGGAATCAGTATAGGAAAAACGAAGCCATTTTTGATGTAAAAAAGGAGGAAACATACTATCATCAAGCTTCCACAGCCACAACTGCCGCACCATGAGCCATTTGGGCGAAGAATCTTGGCGGATTCTTTCGGCATTAGGCGCACTGGCGCCCCTTCTGCCTTTCCTCGTTTGTGGCACTTGATCGAGGGTTTCGATCCGAGCTTGGGGAAAAGTTGGCTTTCTGAGAGGTGCCTGTCCAGGCCATTGCTGATTCTGCTCGAGCGTTGGTTTCTGGACACGGGTCAATAGCTGCCTCACTTGGACAACCTTTGAGATCCCCTTGACGATTCGAGCGCCAAAGCTGTCCTTCTTTTCATGCATTTTCTTGTCAAGTTTTTGCTTTTTTTGCTGCATCTGCTGTTTACGTTCGTGCTGTGCGCGCTTGTCCCGCTCTTGTCGCTGTTCTTTCTGATCTTGTGCAAGACGCTTCTCATGACGTTTCCGCTCCTCGCTTCGTTTCTGAGACCACCGGTAAATCACTTGGTTCTGCTCAGTTCGAAGATTTGATTCACTTTCTTCGGGACTGAATGAGGTCTGGTCAAGTGTTTGCGCGCGTTGGACGCCGTGCATCCCCGTGAAGGGAGAGTAGGCTTGGTTGAGTCTCTTGATTCTTCTGCACTGCGTAGAAGTCTGGCCATCGCGGAGGTGGTCCTGATCTGATATCTCAATATCGATGAACGGTATCTAATTTTGTATGTGTGAGCTTTGAATCGCAGTATGGAGAGAATCAGGTTCGGGGCGGCTTACCACTACTGACAACATGCGCCCAGGACGTGCGAACCAGTCAGTATTGCTCCATGTATGAACGCTGTCTGGCTCTGACAGAGTTTCGGAATCATCATCGATGGGCCTTGCTAAGTTGTGACGCCTTTGATACTCAATATCAAATCCTTTGGTCGCCTATATCATACAGTAAGCCAAAGAGTACGGTGGCAGGAAAGACTACAAACGTACATGTACATGAGGGATTCGAACTCTTGAATGGAGGATGTTAGTCTCGCGGACCCTGATACTATTTTCGAAAAACCTCCAGACCCTCCTGTCAACGTCATCGGTATTGCGGTATTTGGCATTGTGTATAATGAAATCCTACGGGAATTAGTGGTCAACAAGAAAATAGAGATTATAGAAGAAGTCACGCTAGTCGCATGCTTACTTTCACCCATGTCATCTAGTAGATATGTTAGCCCTGCATTTCATTTTTCCTAAAGCCTTTTGGCACGTCAGGCACTCACATTATTGGACGGGAAGTTCGTCCATCTCCAGGACCTTTTACCGACACTCTCTTCCAGGTATTTCAAAGCATCGGACTCATTCTCCACATCAGAATCACCACATCCCATGGCCAAGACTACCTCGGATTTCTCATCTTGACTCAAATCATCCCAGATCCGACTGGCAAATTTTGTCTTACTATCGGCGAGGAATCGTGGGCCACCATCGACGTCCTCAATTGTGCCTCTATTATCAGCTTCAGGGTACAGAACCTGGGATACCTTCATATCCGTTCGTACCCAGGACATGGATGTGCTTCCATCTGGATTTGGATCCAGACCCGGCCACTGATATCTGAAGTAAACTGGGAACTCGCTGCAGATCTTTCTCGTTTCTTCGGGACAGGGAGCTGGCTCATTGGGAATGTTGCCTGTCCGCTTCCGAGTCACGCCGCTTCTTTTCAGCCTTGAGAACTCCCTGAGGACGAAGTCGTGATCTTCCTTGGACAGAGGTGTACGGTCCTCATAGAACAAATCCTGCGGCGTTTGCCAGTTCAGATTGCGGCTATCCAGGTCGGCTCCACACTCTAAAAGCATTCTTATCAAACCATGATCTCCTATTTTGCAGGCATCATGTAACGGGGAGTCCCCTAGCTCATTTGGTGTGATATAAGTATTTGTATCTTGTTTGCTCCGCTCGGTTTCATGAAGGGTGGGATGACCTTCGAAGAAGAAGACGAAAAAGACGCAACTTACCAAACTCGTTCTTGGTATTGACTTCAGCCCCTGCATCGAAAAGCAGACTGATGCACTTTTTGGATTCTTCATCCAAGGTGACGGTTGAGAGAAGATGAAGCGGCGTATAGAAATCATTGTTGAGCGCGTCAACATATGCCCCTCTGAGCAGCAGAGCCTGCAAGAGCTGAACATTGACACTATCGGATCGAGCCTTTTCACACAACTCGCCCTCGGCCCCTTCCGACTCGGTACAGTTCTTGGCGACCCGGTGGAGTGGAGTATTTCCCTCTTTGTCTCCAATGTTAATGTACTGCGAGGCGGCGAAATAAGGGCTCTCCATCATCTCGGTGACAATCTCTAGATTGCCCCGGATAACAGCCTCGAAGAGTGCCGTGCGGCGCGAGATCCCAAATTGGCCATCAAGCGCAGTGTCGGGTTGGCCGATGAGATATTTTGCATTCTCTTGGAGGTTGCGGCAAATAGATATGAAGAGCACAGAGTATTTGCCCAGCATCTCTCTCTCGGTGGGTTCCTCTATCCTTTGCACCGCCTCCTCATCTAGCTCTCGGCTCAAGTTGACCAACTGCCTCGGGTGGACCTTGTTCTCTTTTTCCTGGATGACTTTTTGAATGCCTCCATCATTACCACGCGTGGCTGCTCGCCAAAGCGCATCTTCCGCCAGGGACTTGAAGGAGGGAGGCGAGGCTGCTTCCTGTCCAGGAGCGAGACGGCTGGATTGCGCTCCCATCGCGATACTCAAGTCGCAACATATATGTGCGCTCTTTGGCCCGTCTAGCGGCTTGACAAGAATGTGAGTTATAACAAGGCTCGCTGCTCAAGTAGAGCAAATTGCAAAAGTGCGAATTAATCAAAACATGGATCATGGGATGGAGTAAGCATACAGGGTTCTTTGTTAAGCTGTGGATTCTTTGCAGCCATCACCAACCAATGGGGAGTGCATGGCACCACATCCCGGTCAGGAGCTGAACTCGCCTGACCGTCTTGCTTGCTTTTGCGCAGAAATGCTACCCTATTTCAGTAGCTGTTGACCACGCTGAGTTGCAACCATGACTGGAAAGGCAGAAATATGACCAATCCCTCAAAATAATGCGTGAGCCTGAGCCATTTACGAGCATTGTAGGTGGTGTGAGATTTCTATCACCTTTGGGATTTGTTTGAGTTTCCAGGCTCAGCCTGTCATTACTGATCATAGCCTCATCTCTTACATATACGAGAAAGCAGGCATGGTTTGCCTTTGATCTCATAAACGAATGAAAGCACGTTATATAGGCACGAGCTTTGATATGTTCTGCACTGACCAGGTAAAGCGCCTCTTTAGGCTGGAGCCTTACACTTTCACATGGACTAGTCAACGATGTCAGCTTACAAAAAGTCAGAAGCAATGGGCTGATTCCTGAAATTATAAATACTAGTCATGATTCATCTTGATTCGGAGCTGAATTAAATGGAGTGATGAAACAAACCCTGTTGAAGCAGACCTCAGAGAGCGCCTTCATTGCCGCACAGTCTTGGAGTTGACGAATATGATATTTCCACAACTATATTCAATAGCGAGACTGAACTTCAAGTCTTAGTTTGAGAGTTATTTGAAAATTAGCCAAGTATAGCATGGGGTTCCAACTCATCATAAAGGTAAATGAATCGTCCGCGTTTCTAAGCTACAGAAAATCGACCTTGCCAACAGTTTGCTCTAGTTTCATCAGCGTTCTGTTGCTCCCCAGGTACATGTTAAAAACTGAGAAATTTCCGATGGGAGGGGGTAGGAAACTAACGAACGACATAGATTTCTTCATGTGTTCGCCATCCGGCACATCATCACCTCTACATGACGGTTCCTCAGGACCCCACACATGTTAGTGTGCTTCAGCACCCCGAACTACTCTTTCAAGCTTGTCGCAAGTTTTTTCTGGAAGGCCCCAGCGCCAGCTTCAAATGCGTTAGTTTGTTTTTGCGTTCAGCGAGCGCAGCAATGATTCCACTGTGGTCGATCGGTCTGGCGAACCTGTTTGGCTTGATGATGACGGATATTGCCCGTCTTGGTAGTCATGCGAGGTATTTTGGTAGAATATGCCGATGGCCTGGACCTAACACCATTCCTGCATCTCGCTGCCATTGTTAGGGGCAAGAAACAGCAGGACAGCATCAGGACCTGTGGATGAATGACGGCCAGAGCAACATTTTCAGCGAGTTTCAGTTGGGTTGATAACCTTGAATGATCAGGAGCTCTGGAGAAAATCCGTGGGAAGTGTTTCGCCGCCCGGGGCACAGCCAAGCAGCTGCCTTGGACTATCATCCGCTCGATTATTTCATTTGAGTAACTGGGAATAGTTTTTCCAAAAAAAGCTGGCACTGGGCGTTTGTATGTATTCCCCATGTCCTCAATCATCCCCTCCCATTATGGATCCGGGGAGATCTTGACATTGGTCCATCATTATGTATCCTCGAAGATCATGGACTGACTGTGAATTGTTGCTGGGGGATTGCGCGTCAACGCACAAGGGTGCTATTATTCCATACCCTTACGCATAGTAGCCAAACTGGGAGAAGACAGGGATAGATGAGGGGAATTACATCCTAGAACGGTTGGTGCGGTTAGCATAAGGGATTACCCAAGGACAACCAACGGTTAAGCATAGTCTGACCATCAGAAGTTGCTCGTGCTGTTTTCTCAGTGAATGCAGTTGTCTCACATCTAGTCAGCGCAGCACCGGCAATTGGGTGGAAAAGATGGTCGTTTTGGCCAAGCAAATTTGAAGATCGCGGAGATTGGAATCCTGGCGGACAGAAGAGGGTCGTAATATTTTAGCCTGTCCTTGTAAAGTTTCACGAGGTTGATGACATTTTGACCAGGCTAGGAATGCCAGCAGCGATCCTGGAAATAAGCACGATAATTCGGTAAATTGGGGCTGCTTACTCTGACCAAGATGCCGGAATCCGTGCTCGACCATTGATAAAGAGGCCATGGCCCTAGAGAGACCATTTCATTTCCATCCTCATCATCTAATACCTACTCGACTCGACACAATGGCAAAGAAATCAATCCCATCAGCGCCTGCGCCCGGCATCAAAGTGGTCGCCCTGCACCCCATTGACCAACGCAAGCCGGTTGGGGAGTTACGGACCATCGTTTTCTTTGTCATCAGGAGCACCTTGGACCAACAACTCTTGCGCGACTCACTCGATAAGCTCATCCGGAACCATCTTCCCGTCCTGGGCGCGCGTCTGCACGAATCCCCAAAAGAAGGCGGATTGGACGAGTTCCATTACCCAGAGACGTATCCTGACGATGCCACCCTTTTTGGATGGTCGGAAAAGTTCATTGAATCGACCCTGGACGCGACCAAACTCATCCCGGACACTTCAGCATCCAATGGGTCTGTGGTCTGGGGCCTTTCTATGGAGGATATCGAGGCGGCTTGGGCCCCATCTGACTGGAGTTTTCAGCGCAAGGATGACAAACCAGACACACCTCTGCTCTTGGTCCATTTCACAGGCTATCATGATGCTTCGGTCCTCACACTGAATATTCCGCATTGCGTTTCTGACCAGAAGGGTCTTGCGAGCATGGTGCAGGCATGGCTCGCCGTCGCTCAGGGGTTAGAGCCGCCCCCTTTCATAACGCTGGAGCCTGGTGCCCTCGACGGACCTGACCTGCCGCAAAGTGAGCTTCGTCAAAAAGGGAAATATCGATTGAAGTCAAAAGGGGAGTATATTCGGTCGATTGTCGGACTCTTGCCCGACGTAATCCGGAACCGAGAGGAGACTGGCCGATTGATGTTCTTGCCCGTATCGCTCGTCACGCGTCTGCGAGACCGTTGCAACGATGAACTAACGTCCAAGCACGGTTCAGACCACCCAGTTCTAACGAATGGTGATGTTATTTCAAGTACTCTTGCCAAAGTAAGTAGCCAGACACTTCATTCTGAAAGATCCTGTTGCAAACACAAGGTTTCTAATAAACTCGCTTTACCCAGCTCGCCCACCTAAGCCGAAACAAGAAAACGAAGACGTTTGTTTTAGGAGAAACTGTTAACGGTATAAGTTGAACTTAATTCCAGGCCAAGTACACGTTGCTAACTGGCCATTTCTATTATAGCTCGCGGACGGCACCCAGCTCTGCCTGAAGGCAAACACTATCTGCACAACTGTCCCGCGTATGCCTGCGCGCGTTTCAAATTTAATAAAGATACACCTCTCTCAGAGATAGCACTCAAACATCGGTTATCAGTCAACGAGACTGCCCAGACTGCTAGCATCGAACGCAGCTTCGCTGTTACTAAGAAGGTGTTTGACGGAGGATATGGATTTCCCATGGGCGAAGCAGGAGATCTAAGTTTTCATGTCACTAACTGGTCAAGTGCGTGGCATGGTATTGATTTCTCCCACGTGAGAAAGGATTCATCAGCGACAAATGTGACAGATGAGGGCAATGGAGCACCCGATGGTATTTCTAATGCAGCGCTTCCCATGCTGGTTCTTGGGAGTTCCACACAACGGGACTCAAGTATTCATAGATGTAAGTGCTTTCGAGAATTCTTCTTCTCAAGTAAGCTTAGACTGACGTGTTCTGGATAGTGAGTGCACCTATTTTGTGTAAAGCCGACGGGGGATACTGGGTGGCCTTTACCACGTCAACGAAGAACATGTTACTCGTGGATGAATTACTCCAAAAAGACCCTTTCCTGGATACTCTATAGCACAATCTGGTTTGGTTTCAGGTTAATTATATCTGCATTGCTGGATCAGGGTTTCTGAAGGGAGTTCAGTGCTCAGAATCCCTGTTGAGATGGTTGGGAACTTGTTAATTGGCCACGGGTGAATAATGTCCAACTGGGGATGACCATTAGCGTTTAAGGGTGTTTTATACCAAAACAGTATATTTTATTTCAAGGACTCATAGAGACGAAGCTTTCTGTATCTGTAAGATCGCGCTACGGAATTTTACAGCTAACATTCTTGCTCTCTAAAATGCCTGTTCATCCTCGAATGATCCCCGATAAATGTGTACTCCGCGCCCACTACCTATCACTATATTTTATATACTTCTAGGCTCACGTCGTTTGACTGCCTCCATTTCTCGCTTAAATAGCCTATAGCTAATCTTGGAACTAGTCTATGGTCCCGAATACTAGTACCCTCGTTGAGCCATTTGAAGTCGTATTCCCTAGGATCGGATACAGCCGCGTAATTCTTATCAGGGTATGAGACCTCAGCAATATTTTTATTCCCGTGGTATTCTCTTTTAAAAAATGTACAATCTGTGAAACTATACGGCTTCGATGTGTTGTCGTAGGTCTCGAGCTTTCATGTAGACTTAGGCTTCAAGAAAACGATAGAGAAAATATGCGGGCTAACCAAAGAGCCGTAATGAAATATCTTGGGTACGAAAAGAAGACTTGGTATTCAAGTCAGTACACGTTAAAAAAGAATATAAGCTCTGTAAAATAGTTGGGAATACGTTGAATTTACTTTACCTGGAAATTTAGAGTATGACCGACCCCTGGCGAGCAGCCCACCTTTCCCAGCAAAATTGATACTAAAAAAAAAAACCGGCTGGCCCCTTTTTGGAGCCAAGACTTGTCATTATCGGATCATTCGAATGACGAAAGGCAAACTAAGAAATGCACTTCTCAAGTTCCAAGCTCCGGTGTTCGTGGGATACACGGCCGCTCGGTGCGGGAACGGCGCGGTAACCGCGGACGCCGTTTCGCCAAGCGTGAGATAGTGTCTCGTATTCAGATCAGCGGCCATTATTGGGTATTCATCAAGGCCATCATGTTTCGAATGGTCATTCCTTTGGCTGCCTCCATCCACTAGGTCCATGCCATAAGACTTGGAACGAAGATTTAATGCGCTCCTTTAGCACGGCACTGCCCGTTCCATTCACTTACCTCTTTACAAACACATTCGTTTAGGCTACACTCTCTTCAACTACTTTATATTGTTATCAAATTTCACTTCTTCTACGTTCTACCCATTTTGGCGAATCTTCTGTCTTAGCCTCTCTGCTAGTCCCTCATTCAATATGCTTGCTAAAGCATTTTATACAGCTGTAGCTGTATTTACTGCTTCAGTGGCATCTCAAACGTTCACTAGCTGCAACCCGTTGGAGAAGAGTATGATGAACACCTATCCTGCGTCTAGGCAACTATTAACGATAAAACCTAGCTTGTCCTGCTCACCCTGCCCTGGGAGCCAGTTCGATCAAATGCGATTTCACAAAAGGCAAATGCGACGCTTTCAACCATAATCCTGGAACCACTATCAACTATAGTGACAAGGGTGCCCTCTTCTCCATCGAAAACGACAAGCAGGCTCCCACCATCGCCAGTAAGAAGTACATCTTCTTCGGCCGTGTTGATGTGGAGTTGATGGCAAGTCCCGGCCAAGGCGTGGTTACTTCCGTCGTTCTTCAGTCTGGTGATCTCGATGAGATTGACTGGGAATGGGTTGGTGGGCGCAATGACGAGGTGCAAACGAACTACTTCGGCAAGGGTGACACGACCACTTACGATCGAGGGGCTAAGCATCCCGTCACTGCGCCCCTCACAACATTCCACACCTACAGCATCGAGTGGACATCTAAGAAGGTCGACTGGATCATTGATAACCAGGTGGTCCGTACCCTCAACTACGCGGACGCAAAGGGTGGCTCTCGCTTCCCACAGACGCCGATGGAGATCAAGCTCGGTACTTGGGTTGCTGGCTTACAAGGCAACAGCGAAGGAACGGTCGAATGGGCCGGTGGCTACACAGATTTCACCAAGGCGCCTTTCCAAGGATGGTACAAGTCAATTTCCGTCGTCGATTACGCGGGCGGAGATGCTCCCCCAAAGGACAGCATCAAGGAGTACCTCTACGGTGACAAGAGTGGCTCGTGGGAGAGCATCAAGGTCGTTAAGGGTGAATCCAGCAACGATTCCAAGGATGACGACAAGGTCAGCTCAACGACGCTTCAGGCTGTTCCATCAGCCAGCAGTACCGCTTCTGCTTCTGGTACGAAGACCACTGGGGCATCTAACCCCGCCATCACACACTCGCCCAACAATGGAACTTCCACCACCCCTAGCACGCTGCCCATTTCTGGTGCAAACTCCAACATCATTTCGCTCTTTGGGTCCATTTTCACTGTCGTCGCTGCTGCGATGATCATCCCTGTTTTCTAAATTTGCCAGATGGTCACAATAGTCTCCGTCAATGTTTGGTTTTTCTTTGTGCTTGGACATAGTTTCCTCTACATCTATGTTTGCAGATTGTATAAATTAGTCCACTAGCTACCTGACTCTTTCGTAGTAAAAAGTCAGAAAGCTAGCGATGTTCTCTAAATGCGGAGAATCCAGATAGATTTGCTTCCTAGCATAAAGTTTTTGCCCAAAAATGAGGAGATCAATTGTGTTTTAAACTGAGAGGAGGCAACAAAATAGATACCGTTCAAATAAAATATTCAATTTCTCAATGCTGATATATCGCGATTGTATGGGGCTATGTCCAGAACAAAGTCTCTGGCTCGTATGAACGGCCGGGAAGTCAGCTTATCTGTGCTCTCATTGTGTTTGGAAGCGCGCGTCTTCTTCCTACATCATCTCACTTATATTCTATGGGATGGGAATATTAAATGCTCTGCTTGCTTATCTCATCATACCTCAATAGCTCAACAGTTTCATCGTACTTGTTACTATTAGGACATTAGCAACGACCTACAAAGGAACCGACTAGTCATGGATCAAAGGCACGGCGGCCACCATGGCGGCCAAGCCATGCTGGGGAATTTCAAGTATCAGGGAAATTGAATCGACTGGGGGAAAGTGTTGCGTGAGTTGCAGAGCTAATTGCGGAAGATCTCCGACTAAGGTGACTCGTCTTTCTGCTTGTTTGTCGATCCTTATCAGCTTGCTAAATTAAATGGCAAAGGGCATTCCTCCATGAGCCTTTGGTGTCGTACAGACACAGCGATATCGTTCGGAATTCCGTCCTGTATGTGGCTCTGAGTCACGCATCGGATATTGATAAGCCAAAAAGCCCCGTGTGTGTCATGAGCCCAGGCCTCTATTTCCCCATCCCCATCGACGGATCGAACCATACGCAGAAGCCAATAGGAGCTCAGAATGATAAACAATCTAACGTATTGCTCCTCTTGACAAGGAGCCTGAGCCGAGATCCGATAGGCACCCGATGCATGGAACGTAGCCCATGCATGTGTTGAGTTCAGATATTATGTCACTCCGCATAGCAGAAGGGAAAATAGGTCTGTCTGGAACAGCAGTTTGCTGCACAGTGAGCGCCATGACCTGGCCTGAAATTAATGCCGCGTGCCACCAAATTTGCTATACGAAGAAGTGATATGTGACGGCTGCTTTCCATGGCTTGTATTGGACCGACGGCTGCATGCTGTACCTGCATATGCGGGTGCTGTTTGTGGCGGCCCTCGGGTGTCTCACAGAGACACACGGACCTTCTCAAGACACGGACGATGATCCAGTTACAATCTATGACCTCGTCTCGACCCCAGCAGTTGGACGTGCTCGGGGGATTCGCGATTGGGTGCTGTTACCAAGATGCCTCCACTCGGCAGTCGCTCGAGCATTTGGGTTGTCGTCCTCGGCAATAAAAGCTGCCATGGCGCTAGGCCAAGGTAATTATTGCTGTTGGCTGACCCCTTTGGCGTTTGTGCGTCTTGTCATTTATTACGTAGGAGTCAAAGCTCACTGTGTCAGCTACTGCAAGGGCTTTTTGGGCTTGGCACCGGCTGATGATGATCATGTTCTAGGCCGATCGGTCTGTACCTACGCAGTGAGTGCTGTTGCACAGGCTTTGGAGGATTTCCTATCTTCCTTTTAGATCCTGCGCCAAGGTCGTTATGCATTTGATTCATCTCCGCTCATTACATCTGCACAGCATACGGGATACTATTCTGGCATATATCCACCGCCAGCCCCCTTTATCCAGCTTCATTAGCACACACATCTTCCGCCCCATTGAGTGATCCACGGGAACCGTTCCTTTCACAGGCTCCCCTTCATCCGTTCGGAATACGCTCCCTTGTCTCTTGTGTAGTTCTCTGACCTAATATCTTCCTCTCGTTCGCTATCCGGAGGAATCCCGTTACACTCGTTTTGAAGTCATGATTTGGGATTTCATCATCGTTGGAGGGGGCCTTGCTGGCTCTGTTATCTCCAACAGACTGCATGGTACCTTGCCTCAAGCTAACATCTTAGTGGTCGAGGCAGGCTTGAATGCAAATAATGATCAAAGCATTCTGTACCCCAATGGGACTGGGTCTCTCTCTCCCTATATCTGGTACATTGAAACTCCACCGCAGCCGTTTCTAAACGGCCGTAAACTTGGCATGGGCCAAGGGACTGGCCTTGGTGGAGGCACCGTTGTGAATGGTGGTAAGTCTTGACTTTTCCATCATCGTGAAAAATATCGCTGACAAGGGCTCACTTTCTAGCTATCTGGACTCGCGGTGACCACGAGGATTACGACATCTGGGGCGAGACAGTTGGAGATGACCGATGGAGCTATGAGGGCCTGCTTCCTTACATGAAAGCTTCTGAACAGTTTCGTTCGCCTGACCGAAACCCTGGCCAGCATGGCTTCAATGGCCCTGTGCATGCCCAAACCGTTACATCAACAGGTCGCAAATACCCTCTTCGCGAGCCTGTACTGGGGTCATGGCAGGAAATTGGTTACACTCCTGCCCCTAACTTTGATGGAAACAGCGGGAGCCCTATCGGCATTGCCGACGTTTGTGAAAACAGAAATGACGGCAGACGGCAGATTGCCTCAGTGGTCTATCCTCTTGATGGCATCACAGTTCTCACGGAGACCTTTGTGCAGAATATCCTGATCAATGGAACTGGCGATCTCGTTGTTGCTGAGGGTATCAAACTTTCCAACGGCACCGACATCAAAGCAAAGCATGTCGTACTCTCTGCTGGGGCACTGCGCACTCCTCAGCTTCTGATGCTTTCAGGTGTTGGTCCCCAGGATGAACTTCAGAAGTACAACATTCCAGTCAAGGTGCTCTCTCCCGACGTTGGGAAGAACTTGATTGACCACTCTATCATCGACACCAACTGGAAGATCAAGAATCCATCTCAGGGATGGGCTCCAGGCTCAAACAACCCTCTTTTTCAGCAGCCTGAGTTCTCTCTTGGACAGGCTCAAGACTTCATGGTATGCGATACAGTCCCCCGCGTGGGTCTCATTGCTGCTATCGCCGCCGACGAGGGTGCTGAGCCCGACGAATCTTCTCACCCTCTTCTGAGGAAAGACGACCGGACGTTCCTTGAGCTGAACTTGAAGTATGGATACTCCAAGGATGGTAGTAGCCTCAACTTCCAGTCCTACATGATGCTCAGTCAAACACGTGGCACCGTAACTCTTGGATCCACTAACGCGAAGGACTTCCCGATTGTTGACCCTAAGTACTTCAGCACCGAGGTCGAGAGATATGTTCACCGTCAGGGTCTACGTGCGATTTTTCGTCTCGCGGGGACTGATAACACCACTCTGGGCCGTGATATTCTTGCAGGGGAGGTTGTACCGGCATCTCAAGTTCCTCTTCGGGGGGATATCACCGACGCCGAGCTTGATCAGAGACTCAAGGCTGGAATTCGGTATGTTTGATTTTTTAGTGCAAAACTTTACATCATCCCATCCGGATATCAAGCTTTAGTCAGCTAACATTGGCAATTTTTTTTCTAGGGCTGGTCTTCATTTTCTGGGTACAGCCTCTATGGGTAAGGTCGTCGACACCAACCTGAAGGTAAATGGTGTCAAGGGACTCTTTGTTGCTGATGCGTCTATTGTCCCTGTTCCCATTGCCGCTCATACTCAGGTCGTCGTCTATGCTCTTGCCGAGCAGGCAGCTGAAATCATTGCTGAACAAGTTGTGAACAGCGATGATGGTGATGATGACAACGATGATGATAATGGCATTGATGCTGGGCCGGGAAGCGGAAATAAAACCCCTGAGCCAGGGAGGCCCAAGTGTCGAAAGAGAAAATCCCAAGGGCGAAAGTCATAGCATCAAGGATAGCGACGATATCAACTAGTTTTATTTGCTCTTGTAATGACAGAGGCAGAAATAACACAATTCCTGTGCAGAAACGCTATGTGGCATGCCATCATATGATGGAGACCATGATGCATATCAGGAAAGTTTGGACACATCAGTGCTATCTCTAGTCCCAAGGTGGAAGCGAACTATGTTGAATATGGACATTTGCGTAACGGGAAGAGTCCGAGCATAGTAACACTTTCCTTTTATCGCCCGCAGACGGTCGCTTTAGTTGTATGTCTGATAGTACTAGTCAATGCTTCTCCTGTGAAACCAATCATTCCTTATCGGAGTCTGAATGTAGATGAGTTCAATATAATAATAAAACGAGTTAGAGTAAGATCTTCAGGTTTTGCCTGTGGCGTTCCTCATATTATTATTTACCTTTCTTGACCGAACGTATTTTGGTAATGCGAGGATAGGAAGCATGGAAGCGGACCTGTGGCTGGGCGTTTATCATCTCCACGTACGCGGCTACTTCTACTACAAGATATCATTCCCTGTACTGACATGTCTACTTCGCCGAGCATGAAGAAGTCAAAACTTCATTCTACCGATTCATGGTCTAGAGCAAAGCGCTGGCGATATTAATTAAAGTTAGAGTCGTTCGAACATGGTCGCTTAACTCAGTTGGTTAGAGTGCCGTACTAATATATCTACCCGATATCCTAGTAATGCGGACGTCGCCAGTTCGATCCTGGTAGTGACCATCTATTTTTGCCTTCCTTTCCTGCTAAGATGACTCGCTGACAATGCCCGATTTTTTGGGGGGAACAACGGTCGATCCTTTGACTGTTCCCCCTCATCAATTAACGTACATCTTGCTTGGTATTTAGTAGTGCACACGTCTCTGCAGATAAGGTTAGAATTGTCCATGTGTGGATGGTGCTGGATGTAGGATGGGTTTGAAATGTACACGAAGACAACAGCTTCTGGCTGCTAATTATCTATATCGATACTGTTTGGAATCTTCAGCCGGACTTTCAAGTTCTAGGATATGTCTGCTATCCGCTTCTTGAAACCTCATCAGGACATATCCTTCTGCTTCATGCACCTGTCGTGGCGCATCCACCTCGTGAGGCGTCCAAGGAGGACTTTCACGAGCGACAGATCCCGCGCTGCTGCAATCGGTTGTTGCAATCTGTACAATTTCCTTCTGCTTCATAGCTTCATCAGTCGAGTCCTCTGGTCGGCTCACCTCGACCTCCTGTGGTGAGTTTCTCTTTGCCTGCTGGAGGGAACGCCGCCAAAGAAGGGCAATGCCTACCACCAAGCAAAGTCCCGCGACTCCTACACCCGCACCTATTCCAGCCTTGGCCGGAGTTGAGAGCCCGGATGTAGCTGCATCTGAGTCTTCTGATCCAGCGGACTGTTTCGGGTCCGAGGTTTGTTCACCTCCAGGCCTAGGAGAGGTTGGTGTACTCGAACTTTCGGTATTTTCGGAAGAGGTGCTCGATATTACTGTAGGATAATCGGATGATTGCCACCTGACCTCGGCGCCATACGCGTAGATCACTTGATCTGCACCACTGGTGGTAATGATCTTTGCCTTTGCTTCCCCCAGAGTCGTCGTTGTATAGATAAACTCCACAGTTTTGGCAATCTTTCGAGTACAGCGATCTGTGGCCATAAAGTCATACTCTAGATCACGTATACAATCATAGGTGCTAATTCCACGCCATCAGTTATCAAACTAGACTGATTCTACCACATAAATGAGAAGATTTGTATAAGACCTACCCTTGTGAGCCGTCATCAGGGCAGCAAGTGGCTATCGTCTCTTTAGCTCCCGTTGAAGCACATGCCACCGTGTGCTTCCTCGGGCATCCAGCAGGTGACATGAAAGCGCCCTCTTCGGGGCTCCATTCTCTAGGGAAGCACTTGGCCGTATATGTGGGTGCGCCCAAGTGAAAGAAGCTGCAGGGGGTAGGTTTGGTGCCTTGAAAACAAGTTTCCTCTGGAGCGTCGACCAAGTAGATCTCCTTTACACATGACATTACTGCCATGTAAGTGAAGGGCAAGAGAGTGGTCAGCGACGGCACAGCGGTAAATGCTGTAGTGGACGCCATTTGAAGCAACTAAATTGTGAGATATGATATTGATGAGGTTGGAGGTCAGACTTCCAAATGTTGCGTGCGATCACCAGGCCTTTATTGCCATTCTTTCAGCAGGAGGTGGAGCCTGTAGGAAGGATGCTACCATGACGCATTGGACGGTAGCAAGGGAAATGGGAGTGACTTGGGGTGGTCGTCTCTCCAAGCCTTCGTATCAATATTACAGTAAAGCTCACCCATTTTGAACGGCAATATATCGAGCAAAACGGATGGATTTCTCGAGGTACCACATATTGATCTCAAGTTCGAATCAAAGCTCGCCTTCTGCCTTTAGGCATTTCTCAGCGGCCACTATTCTGATTTGGGTTATGAGACCTCTTCGGTAAGTGAAGTCTCTCACATGTTGGTAAAGTAGAGGCGATTGGCTCGTCTATTTCGTGTTGCCTGGAAGCTCAGGGGCGAGGCTTTCAGCTCTTTAGCAAGGATTCAGTCGCATAGTCTCAACCCGTCTCGTTAATACAATCATGTGGTTAAATCCTAAAATGTGACTCTGACACAATATATGCGCCTTGATGGAGAGAGAGCTGAAAGAAATGCCCCACCGATGGGCATGACCAAGCGTTTCAGGCCCGTGTACAGCCTTAATTGTTCACAGGGCAAGGAAGGTGGAGTTCAGGGACCCTGGCGTTAGGCAGACTCGATGAATGTGGTGCATCGAGCCCTTACGAAAGAGGCACTGGCGGGCGAGCCAAGAACGAGAATACATCTTAGCCTGTTAATAGGATGCGTTCCTGATCGCTCATGACAACAATGACCGAAGAGCGTATAGCTGAAGTCCTTCACTCGCTTCCCTTCCGGACTGCCCAAGTGTCCGTTGGTATAGATGATAGAATGGTGGTTAAAATATGTAGGGAGAGTAGGCCCCAGAATTGGCGTTCGAAACTCATAGGGTATCAATGAAGAACCTCGCCCAGTCTCTGGGTTTGACTAGGGAGATGGCAGAGACAGCAAGGCACCTAGAATTCCAACGCACTTTTCAACCATTCGGCGTATGGAAATTGATTATATAAATATAGCCAGTGGTCTATTCTGTAGTATCAAGGAGGCATTAGGTCTGTATGAGCACCTTCCAGCTTTAAATTTCCAGGCGAGAGTGATGCAGGACTCTAACTGGATTTTGATGCGTTGAACTCGTCAATTACGCTTCGAGGCTTCGAGAATTTCCCGAGAGGTTTATACTCGAGGTCGTTAAAGCCAAATCCCTTGGGCCCTCCGATCTCGATCCCCCTCGCCGTCGAGGTCCATTTGTCCGAGGCTGTAATGCCAATGACGACAACGGGAAGACCGTAGCGATATTCCTGAGTGCCCAAAGCCTCACCATTCTGTGCATCGATCACGCAGACGAGATCGGGTACAACGGCGAGAAACTGCACAGCGTTTTTAGTTGTCAGATATCATGAAATAGGATTGCGCAGCGGTCATCACAATACTCGGCTTGTGGTTGAGTGAGACATACCTCTTCTTTTCCATCGGCATCTATCTTTTTGGCATATATATTCTCGTTCTTGAAGGGAATAATGACGCGTTCCTTTGCTGGAGCTGACACAATGCCGTTGTCATCCTGCGAAGCGGCGAGTTCGATAATAGCCTCACCGTAAGTATGCCCCATCTTAACAATTCTTTCCACACCGATGATTTTGCCCTTGGCAAGGACTCGAGCTGACTCCGACCCGCCGACCTCGGCTATGATGGACTCGGCCACGGTGTCAATCGTGTTGGCGCATCTTGATAAGGTTACTGCGCGCCCGATTCTCCAGGAGAGCGACATGGTGTTCTCTACCACCCACTTCTTCGTATTCTTGCCGCTAACTGGCCCTTTGGCACATCCTACATGGGAGCCCATTTGAGAAAGAGCGGCACGGAGAGCACGCTCTGCATCCAGCTCTGTAGGTGCGTGAGTCATGAGCTGGGTGATGTTAGTTTAGAATTTGATCCTCATGAATATACACTCTTACAATGATTCGTCCGTTTCCATCTGAGATGCATGTTGGCACCATCATCGCTTTCTTCTCGAAGACGACCGGAGTCGTTTGCCAAGACACAGGATATGCTCTTCCCATCCAGTCGCCGTCGATTGCTGGAATATCTAAGGCTGACGAAGCGCCAATAATCAAGCCTTGTAACCCGTTGCCTCCACCGATTTCTAGGGGAATAACGGCGTCGGGCTTCGTTTTCAGAAACTTGTAGAGCTCTCTCTGAGATTCGAGGATTCTTTTGTTGGTTAGTTTTTCAATCGATATGGAATAGGACATAGCAGAAACTGGAACTCACTCGTCTCCGTAAGGCTTTTCTATGGACACCTGTGGAGATCCTTTTCCACCTCCGCAAGCGATAATATCGTCATCGTTGAGATCCTGCGGAGATATTACTCGTAATTTTGCTCCCCCGCGCAGGAGCTCTCTCAAACGAAGAAAATGTTGGTATGGGCTACCGCCACCTCCTGTTCCAAGGATATAGCATCCGATTGTGATGAATTCCAAATCAGTCTCGGACAAGAGCCACTGTCGATTGATAACACTGGGCTTGTAGGACATGACATCTTCTTTAGTCAATACTAAAGAACGAGAAGTTGATGGCAAATCTTTAGAGTTCTCCCTATTGGTAGTCTTTTGTTCAATATGATTTCGACCGTCGGCGAAACCATCAACTTTGGCATCGGCCGTTGCAGAAATGTCTTCAAAGTCTGTACGGGAATAATCAAAATCACCAACGGCTTTGATGATAATTCGAGACTTGTTCGCGATATACTATCCCAAGACGTTAGCGAATCGATCACAAAACTTGAAGTCCACGACAACCTCAGTACCTGAAGTGGGAAAGTCTCGATCTCAGCAATGACGACAGATTCTCTCAGCGCCCCATTCGCAACAACTTTGTCCGTTGCTCTTTGGGACAGTTCTGATAAGATATCTTGCTGAGTTCTCGATTCGGTGCTTTCCACGGAATCGATCACTCCACTAACCCGCGCAGTTGCAGCACCAATTGCATTCGCAACGCCTGACCACTTTGGCTTGACCACACGGCTGGCACCCACGAGACTGTCTGGGGCGATGACTGCACCTCCGCCGACTAAGACAATCGGGATGTCTTCAGGCGAGGTCTTCATCGTATCCACGATCTGTTCAAGCATAGACTTGACCTTTCTTTGGACCTCTGGTAGGTTCTGCTCCAGGCTACGTCCTTCTAATTTCGTTCGATCCCCAATTTGAATATCAGGACTCCCCAGTACGGTATAATCTGTAGCGGTTGAGATATCACCTCCAAAGACGAGTGCCTTGCTTTGGATTTGATAACCCACACTCTCAGGGCCAACAGTCAACTTTCCAGACTTATCTCGCCCGATGATCGACCCTCCTCCAAGCCCTATGCTTCTAACATCGGGGTACGAGAAGTTGGTTCGAACGCCTGCAATTTCACTGTAAGCAGCTGCCTGTCGTGGGAAGCCATTCTTCAACAGCAGGCCAACGTCCGTAGTTGTGCCGCCAATATCGACTACCATCATCAATTCGTTCTTATGGTCCTGCATCAGGAAAGCAGCACCGCGCATGCTGTTGGTCGGTCCGCTCGAGAAAGTCCGGATGGGCACTCGGGCGGCAGCACTAGCTGGCAGGATTGTCCCATCGTTCTGCGTAACAAAGACTGGACACTTCAGGTTCAGCCGAGAGACAGCCTCCTGGAACGAGTGGATAGTGCGGCGAGCAAAGGGAAGAATCGACGCGTTGAGGACCGCAGCATTCTCTCTTTCTAGGAAGCCAATATTTGCCACTTCCTTTGAACAAACAACGTTGGCCTCTGGATAAATGCTCCGGATGATCTCGGCGGCTGTTTCTTCTTGCTTGTATATCAAATCGATCGGGCTGAAGACGCCAACAACGACGATGCTTCTGATGCCTAAGGATTTGATTTCAATGCATTGACGTCGAACCTCATCTTCGTCCAACTCCGAAATCAAATTGCCATCAATCTCCAGACCTCCATTCACCAGGCCCCTGTATGCACACACAATGCTTCGGAGCCTGGGAGGCCAGTCGATCCCGATAGGAATGTCCTTGGAAAATGGACCACACAGTCGTATGACGGCGACTTTCGCTAACCGCGATTGGTCCATTTCAACCACAGCGTTGATGAAATGAGTTGTGCCAATAGTCACACTGGCCACATCCTCCGGATTAATGTGAGAGTCCTGGAACATCTCTTTGATAGCGTTGATGATTCCATCGCTTGGGTTGCTCGTCGTGCTCGCCTTTTTCCAGGCCACAATGCCTCTATCAGGTTCGGAAGATTTTGAGAGATCTAAAACCACTCCGTCTGTATTGGTTCTGGTGACCGTATTAGTGTTTTAATGCCCTGATCAAGTAGATTCCATTGTCTTACCCTCCAACATCGACGCCGATCCTAAGCTTGCGTGTACTCATTGTGCTTCGTCGCTAGATTCTGTTTCTCTGACTCTGTACTCATCAAGGTATCATGGAATTCAATATCCGCCATAGGTCGCAAGTCCAACGGAGAAACCAAAGACTACTCCTCGGCATGCAGAAATACCTGCCGAAGTCGGACTTGTTGAACCGTGCTCCAGACGTGGTAGGATCGGCCGTTATGGACTCTATCCCGATGATAGCTATTTAGATCCTTGAAACCCCGCTTCTCCAGCATGTGTAGATAAGACATTTGCGGCTAATTGGCATTGGAGACGGATGAGTGGAACCACGATGCGACGTTGTCCCCATTCAAAGCTGTTGGGTCGGGACTTCTCCGACAAATCTTACGGTAGGGTAAATTATTCTGGAGGATTCATCGGCCTGACACCGACCCCTAGCGTCGCTCTACAAGTCCCAAGCATTCGGGAGAGATAAAGACGGAACCAGACTTGAAATGCGGAGCATTTAAAGTACGTATAGCCAACTGATAACGAACGACAGGGAAGGCTAAATCCTCTTCGGTGAGAGGAGATTTATATCACGTACTGTTCCGGCCGTCATCTTACACTTTCACTCCGCATCTCCTTGATGCATGAGCTTCCATTATTGACCTAGACGCCAACAAGGGCTAGCAAATATGGCTACTGCTACTGCACGTAAAGTCAGAGACGCAGCTATCCTCAAAGCTGACTCGTCTCGTAATGAAGAGACAACAGCATGGTGCAATCGCGATTTAGTTCCTCTTCCTCCGTCCAGGAGAACATGGGGATGGTTTAACTTTTTTGGTGCACAGTCTCTGTATGTTGCCATCTACTTGCTCGTTGACTTCGAAAATTATACTGAACTGAACATACACAAAGTGGCGCCTTGAATGTGGCAACCTGGCAAACGCCCAATACCTTCCTAACCCAAGGCCTTTCTGTAGGCCAGGCCATGGCTATCATCGTGGTGTCTAGATTCATAGTATCTCTTTTTGCTTGCATCATCGCATGGTGTGGTTTGACTTGGCACATTGGTTTTACCATTCAGAATCGATTCACTTGGGGAATGCGAGGCGCATATATTCCCCTGCTTCAGCGTTGTCTATTGAACTTCATTTGGAACGCGATCCAGTGTAAGACAATCTTCACCTTTCTCCGATCATTTCATATTCAAGCTGACTTAACCTTTCTAAGGCTGGAATGGTGGGAAGCTCGTTACGTAGGTCTCAAGCGTTTCAGTCGCTCTTGTTTTGGGATTCAGCTGACCGATGAACATTAGTGTTTGTTTAACAGCACTATGGCCATCTTTCAAACAGATTAAGAACACTCTGCCCGACAACGTGCCGACAACAACGTCTGAAATGGTGGGCTTCACAGTCTTCTGGCTTATTTCCGTCCCTTTCTTGTTCATTAGACCAGAGAGATTCAAAAAGCCATTCTTCATCTCCAGCGTCGGCTGTGGTGTTGCGATGTTGGCTATGATGATATGGTCTCTGGCTGTCGCAAAGGGAGTCGGTCCGGTCTTCTATAAAGGTGAAAACGTTTCCTCGACATCGAGATGGAGCGTGTCCTGGTTGATGATGGCTGGTTTAAACCAAGCGATTGGCCAGAAAGTTGCAGGAATGGCTAATGAGAGCGACTTCTCCCGTTATTCGAAAGATCACATGGCTTTTGTCGTTGGAACCGTCTCTGTTCAATGGATTGTTGGCATTTTTGTTTCGTTGGGCGGTCTTGTTACCACAGCCGCATGCCAAATCATTTACGGGAAGATCTGGTGGAACCCGCCCGATCTCATGATGGTGATGATGGATGGTAAGCTCAAACTCCTAAGCTTTCGTCTTGTCAAATTTTGACATTTGAATATTAGACGGAAATGGCTCGTCCGGAGCACGCGCTGGAGTGTTCTTTCTCGCCCTTGCTTTCACGTTCGCCATTCTCTTCCAGAACGTGTGTGGCAATGCCGTTGCTGGAGGCATTGATTTGGCCGGCGTCTTCCCCAGGTACATCGATATTCGCCGCGGCGCCATCATCACATTCCTCGCAACTTGGATTATCCAACCATGGCAGCTCATCAATCGGGCTGCCACATTTGTAACCGTTCTAAGCTCTTTCTCCGTCTTCTTGGCCCCTCTGCTGGGTGTCATGATATGCGATTACTTCTTCATCCGCCATCAAAAGGTCCGTCTCAATCACCTATACCACACTGAGAATTCCGATTATTGGTTCACTCATGGTGTGAACTGGAGAGTTATCCCTTGTTGGATAGCTGGCTGGGCGCCTACGATTGGTGGTCTGATTGTAACTGTTGGGGGCATGACTTCCGCACCGGATGCCCTCTTTCAGTTGTACTACACCGCATTTTTCACCGGCCTCTCCATCTCGTTCACGCTTTTCTATGCTGTCAATCTGATGTTTCCCGTTAAGGGGGCCGGGGAGTTTGATCCATACGACGACTGGGCAACATTCACTCTTGGGGAGGCCGCTAAGTTAAACATTATTCCCAACGACAATGCCGAAGAATTACCCCATATCCGCTTGGGGGCCTCTGGATATGATCCAAACTCTCAGCAAAGTCGGCAAGAGCTAGGTTTGAAATCATGATTTGCGGACTTGGGGAGCCCTTAATAGCTCCAACCGTAGAAAATGACGGCATTCGAGAAGAAGTTGATAGCACACAATCACGACTTTAGTTGATTTCTGCAATAGTAAATGATATCTTACGAATTACAGGCTGGGGAAAGCCCTAGTACTTGGCCTCTCTGCTAGTAATGAGATGACAACAGGAAATTTATTCCTATCACGAATGAGTTCCATGGAAAATAATGGCCCTTGCTAAAGCTACGTCGGATGAACCTTACAGTATCTCAGCAAAGCTACTCTCAGATGCTCTTTAGCGTGATCTTGATTGAGCACGACTATACTGGCCCCATCAAGTTGGGTAGAAGTAGACAATTCTGACTTAGTGGCCATGCATACTTTGGGACCCCCAAACCACCTGATGGACAACCTAAAGCATTTGTATATAATCGAGCACAATTTTAGAGAACACTATATTCCCTTTAAGCCTGAAATAAATGCATCGTCGATACTGACTTGGCCCAACCGCTTAAGAAGTTATTCACAGTAGATTAGTGTAGGAAGAATGCCATCTAGTATAAATAGGAAATGTTTGATTCCATCGAGTGCGCTTTAAATAAAAATCATTTCCCTTTTATATTAATTTAAATGCTAGCTTTTATGATGGGACTAAGTCATTGATGTTTTGATTTTGATTGCTATTATTACTTTCCTTCGTTAATCATCAACTTCTTCTCCCAACGATAACTTGATATAAGTCTGGCAGCCACGATGACATTTAATAGCTGCATCTATAACTGACGCCACAAGGATACATGAAACTGAATATAGAAAACAAGATAAAGAATTTGCCTCCCGCGTGGACGGCTTGCTTATATTATTAACTGAACAATCTAGTCCACGGTAATATATATTTGCTGTAGGTTTAGGGTAGCCAGAGCAGCTCAACATTAACCATTTCATCGATCGTGAATGAAATACGCCAATCAATCAGCAGTGACTGGAACAGCCTAGTTCTCAGCAACTAAGCGGAATCACTATAGTGGATCAAATTGAAACTTTACCTGTTCGTTCTGGCTGCTTCGTGTGGTATGTTTCTCTCTCAGAAATGTCTGCACGGTAAAGACGGCACTCCATTTCGCCGTGTTGGTGGGGTAGACGCATAAACTCATTGACGTAAGATTTAAGTACGGCTAATTATACGCGTGTTGCAAACCGATGGCGTAATTCTCTCTTCAAAAGTCGTGCTTGTCCGTGTAGCGACTTTTATGCGGCCGGACAGAGCTAACTCCATACTTGAGGCTATAAAAGCTTGTAGATAGAGCGGTTGAAAACTCTTACCCCAAGTAGCAATTTTCAGAGACACACGAAGGGAACGCAGGATTCTGGCGAAGATGTCTGCAGCCGCCGTTGCAACCAACTTACCACCACCCGGCCAGCCCGATATCCAATATGCACCCAGCTTTGAAAAGTGGCAAGCTCGCGCGTCATCGCGAGTGAAGAATGAAAAACTGACCAAAACTCTCCCCGATGGTTTTCCAACCGAGCTGAAGGGCAATCTAGTTTGGGATGGCAACTCCGTAGCCGAATCGTATGATTGGGTTTACCGGCTATCGACTGAAGAGCTCAAGGAAATCGATACTGCTGTGGCTCACTTTAAAAGTAAGTTGGGAACAACCAGGGAACCACGAAAGGCCATCGTCAAGTCTATCCTTTCTAACAATAAATAGCACTGGGCAAGCCGCTAGCCGAGATCTCTGCAGAGACCTTCCCACTTCCCAACCTGCATGCAAAGCTTCGCGGGCTCTCTGATGAGCTACACTCTGGACATGGCTTCTTTGTCATCCGTGGAGTTGAGGTGGACAAGCATACCCGCGAGGAAAATGTTATAATCTATACGGGGCTGTCCGCGCATATCGCCGCTCAACGTGGTCGTCAGGACCAGTGGTTTGACGGCAAACCTGCCGACGTGGTTCTTACCCACGTGAAAGATCTTAGTCAATCAAACATCTCAAAGAGCATTGGAAGCCCTGCGTATACGACGGACAAGCAGGTATTTCACACGGATTCTGGTGCTATTGTAGCACTCTTTGCATTGGAATCGGCAGTTGAAGGAGGAGCAAGTAAACTGGCGAGTACATGGCGGGTCTATAATGAAATCGCCCGTACGCGTCCAGATCTCATTCATACCCTCTCGCAAGACTGGGATGTCGAAGTGTAAGTTCTCTATCCTATGTAACTCATATTTATGCGATTTTCGTTGCTAATGCGTTTATGAAAGGTTTGACAACCCCAACAAGAAGTATACAACCAGGCCATTGCTCTACCATCAAAAGGCAATAGGGTCGACTCCGGAGCGAGTCATCCTGCAGTATGCACGCCGATATTTTGTTGGATACGGGGCATTGCAACGCAGCAGCGATATTCCGCCCATTACCGAAGCACAAGCGGAGGCTTTAGACACACTGCACTTCCTTGGTGATAAGTTCTCGATCTCAACCGACTTTCAAAAGGGCGACATCCAATACATCAATAACACCGCCATCTTCCATGCCAGAGATGCCTTCGTTGACTCTGCTGACAAGCAGTAAGTAATGATTTCTTTGATTGTTGCCCAAGAAACTAGGCATCGAGATTGTTGCTAATGTAGGTCCTTGGTTGATTAGAAGACATCTCGTCAGATTCTGGCTCCGTGATCCAGAGAATGCTTGGGAAACGCCGGCACAACTACAGGCGCGTTGGGCTGAACTTTATGATGGAGTGACCTCCGAGAAACAGGTTTTCCCTCTGGAGCCTTATATACGAACCGCTGGTCACCAAAGGAAATAAATTGCAAAATAGTTTTTATGCCAAGAGATTGATATCACATTTTGAAAAGCAAGAAGATTTAATGTGCCATCTTGGTAGAACAGTCTAGCCCTTTCGTACCGCCACTGGGGTTTAATTCCATGCCACCCATTGCTCTAAATTGCAAGATACATGACTGGAGTTGATCCAGCGACTCCTTCGCCGTAAAACTGAGAAGGTTCCTTGCCATGGCGTTCCAAGTGAGGCAGTTAGGAGTCTTCAAAAGTCTTGAAAAGGAGCCCCTTCAATAAGAGCGTGACCCTTTTACACACTATAGTAAATGTACGGGACCCAATTTGCTGTATCTAGCCACTGAGCCTCTTCTTCTTGAACAGGAATAACATCTCTTGACAATCTCTGGAACTCATTAGCTCCTACAATTTCATTTCGTGCATCAATCTGTTCATCCGTGTCAAATGGAATTTGGCTGATCTCCTCATCTGTGTGCGGTCTTGTACGTTTCCTAGCCAACGATCCCGCAGCTTGATAGGAATGAACCTTTTAGTATACTGACCTATGAGGATCTAGTCCACGCATAACAAAGGTTCTTGGGATCAAATGCCTAGCTTGGGATGCGACCCCTGCTAGAAACGTGGAGATAAGGTACATTAGTGACGTGTATGCTTCTTTCACCTCCCTCTTTTGGTACGTGGGGAGTTCGTCATCATCCTTGGCTGGCTGTCATACCGACTCTTGGCTTCGAGTTGTCATCAACAGTCTGGTTGTACAGGGAGATCCGCCCCCTCACTACCTTTTCTCTCTCATTTCTTTCGGCTCACGCACGTTTTCGATTCCAAGGAAGCCATTGTCACCATCATGTATGGAATCGTTCGACTAGCATCGCGCCTCCCTGCGCTGCTCTCTCTACTTATCGTAGCTGGAGGAGTCTCTGACGCGCAAACCATTCCCACTGCCGAGATCGTCAGCAGCAAATCTCATATCCTCCCGGGCCCTTTACGCGTTACCGAATTGACCTTTCGCGTGCCATTGGACTACGATGATCCGGAGGGGGAGACCATTACTCTCTTCGGCCGCTCCGTCACTAGCCATAGCGTTCCTATCGTGTCTGATGATGGGGATCAAGAAGCGCTCCCCTACATGGTTTATTTGGAGGGTGGCCCGGGATTCGGAGCTCCGGAACCACAGAATGCTCCATTGACGAGCACCGCTCTGGAGCGCGGGTATCAGGTCCTCTACCTCGACCACCGAGGTACTGGTCATAGTACTCCAGTGTCCACCAGAATGTTGGACACGCTGAGCGGTGGCGAGGATGCTCAGGTCAAGTATCTGCGTCTTATGCGTCAGGACAACACTGTCCGCGATTGTGAGGCTGTCCGTAAGGCCTTGACGAAAGGCTTGTCGGACAACCAGGCCAAATGGTCCATCTTCGGTCAGTCTTATGGTGGATTCGTTAGCATTAGCTACCTCTCTCTCCACCCGGAGGGTTTACGGGAAGTCTTTTTAACCGGTGGTCTGGCACCGGTTGGCAAATCAGCGCAGCAAGTTTACGAATCCCTTTACCCGCGAGTCATGAAGCGCAACGAGGCCTACTACAAGAAATTTCCCGAGGACATTCAGAATGTCCGCCAGATCGCAAGCCATATCCAGCAGCAGGGCGGCAATGTTGCTCTACCGGCCGGTGGAAGCCTCACGGTACCGCGCCTAATGACCATTGGCATCGACTTCGGTGGCTCTGGTGGCTTTGATTCTGTACACTCAACGATTATGAATTTGAAGCTTTCCCTGGATCAGTTCGGCTTCCTTTCTCGGGCGTCCCTCACCCCAATGGAGAGGTTTACTACTTTCGACGACAATATCATCTATGCCATCCTTCACGAGGCTATCTACTGCGATGGACCCAACGACGTTTCGAACTGGGCTTCCGATCGGGTTGCTAGACAACTCAACCTCTTCTCGTGGCTTTCCTCGAATGCCTCCATCTCATCCAATTCTAGCGAGCCACTTCAGTTCGCTGGCGAGAACATCTTCCCTTTCTTCTTTGATACTTACCCAGAGCTGATTCCACTTAAGGGAGTCGCCAATAAGCTTGCGGCCGTGAATGACTGGACTCATATATATGACCAGGAGCAGCTTGCGAAGAATGAGGTCCCTGTTTACGCCGCTACATATATCAACGACCTATACGTCGACTATGAATATGCTAAGAATACTGCAAACCTCATCAAGGGTGTAAAGACGTGGGAGACCAATGCAGTTATCCATTCAGGACTGAGAACAAATACACAGGAAGTCCTGGCGGCGCTATTTAACCTTCGCGATAATGTTTTCGATTGAGTAAGGAGCAGGTGATGAAGCCTGATACCCCCCTGAACAGAGAGGTGTAGTCGCCTGTTTTAGCTGGGATAGAATAATGTATCTATTTCTCATCTGTAGCCAACGAGCGGCCTGTCCTAGTGGCGAAGGAGTCTCCGGAGTGAAGGTTTCCTTAGCCTTTGTGGCTTACAAAGAGCTCATTACTTGGGCGTTGACGGGGCCTAAGCAAACCCACTTGTGGGTTTCCGCCTTGGCTTTGGGCTTTCGAAGCTTCTTAACAGTTCGTATTGATTGTATTAAGGTGTCTTCGTATAAGTGAGAGAGTTTAAGTGCAAAGTTACAGTAAGGTGTCAGCGTATGTTAATCTTTATGTTTAGCTTCCACATCGTAGGCCAATTCCTTCTTTATCATATAATACCTAGTAGAGGCCCCGGCTCCTCCGTTTGCGATTTATGATCTTTGCATGTCAAGTTCTCGCTTATCTCCAGCAAGAAAACCTCACACAGAAAACCTCTCCCATCATCAATGTCTCTCCCATAAAGTATACAGCTCCCAGAAATAGTCGCTGCCACCAAAACTATCACGGCTCGTGTCACCCACACAGTCACAAAAATGGTAAATCGACCTCGTCGCTATAACTCAACTTCCACCGTTAACCTTCCTTTAGATATTTGTGCGAGATTACGCTCGCGAATGCGCTGATGCTGCATGGTTTACGGCCGTCGGAACCTTGGTGTGTGCTATCGGAATCTGGGCGGGTTTTGTTTTACTGGCTTGTGTGTCCTTCCGGAGGATGAGAAGGAAGGATCGTGCCACCGCGAGGAACTATGGAATGAGCTGAGTGCCATTCAACCGCATGCTCGAAAGGACAGGCGTACTTTAGAGCTGAAAGGGATCAGGGCTTCATAGAATATAGGTCTTTGATGGAGTCTTTTTGGTTAGAATAATGTGATGTCGGCAGGCTCTGGAGTCCGTCCTAGCCGATAGGTTCGCTTATCAGCTCCTAGACTGATGGACAGGTCTTCTTTGGTTATCCCAACTCGTGCAGCCAACCGAAACATGCCGACTCTTTCCATCATGCACCGATTTTCACCTTGTCGTGCACTTTGAGTGACGATAAGCCCTACTACAGACACGATGGAGCCTTCATTTGTAAGACCAGCATAGAGTGGCAATGCAAAGATATCCCCCGTTGTCATTGGTACCACCCTAAACGAAATAGTTTCTCCCCCCTTCGAGTTCAATTTGTGCCCAAATAGGTTGTACTCATGGCCTTCTTCGAAGCCGCAGAATGAGACGTTAGCCGAGTGCAACCCTTGCGGCATTTCACTGGCGTCGATGTCTGGGAACGCCTCCGCCAAGCATGGGTTCATGTCCATCTCCAGCAGGTATATGGGCTCCTGTGTCTCGCTGAGCATATATCTTCCATACTTTGTGACCACCAATATTCCTCCGCCGTTTTCTGCTTTGGAGGTGCTGCATAAAAGTCTCGCCTTGACAAGTGACCCCTTTAAGAGAATACTTCCGTGGATACGGAGCTGATCCTGAGCCTCGTTGGTCCGTCTCTCCGTCGTGATATCTACTACATGAGCCAACGGCATGGTCTCTTGGAGTGGTACTTTGGCGCTCTCTAGATCTATGTTCAGCATCATCTCCATTTCCGTCTCCCAGGCAATAGGTCCACGCATGGACATCCACGACCAAGAGGGTGTTTGGACTTCAGGTAAGCGGCAGCGCCCTCTGTCGCGGCTATTCCATCCAAGATAGAAGAGAATTCGTGATTTCCACAACCCAGCATGGTATTTATCGCCCGTCTGAAGCTCGATCGTCCTGACGGCACCGCTGAGCGCGATGAGCTTGTCCGACGGGAAAGTAAAGTCACACGACTGATACTTGTTTACTATACTGCTCCAGATACGCACTCGTCTAATCGAATTTTGCTCATGCCGACTTGAGATGCCTCGTCCTCCCGCCAGCTCCGTGTCAAAGAAGCTGAGATTCTCTAATCTGTTTGAGAGACCGACTCCGCCGCAGGGGAATCCTTCACAAGCACGATTGAAGCGACATTCAAAGAAGATTTGGTTGTGCGAGAAGTAAAGAACACGTTTAGGCAGTAAGCGCTCCTGCAACGCCCAACCTCTCTTGAAGAGCGGGGAGCAGTCTTCAAGGTGCTCCCCCCAGTAGTTGTTGCTGTGCATCAGGTGTGCTCTGTTAGGCTGGCGCAGTATCAGCGGGGAGATACCATTCGTTTGCCGGTCGCGGAACAGGCCGCCCTGTGAGTCTGAAGAGGCGGCAGCAGCAACGGCTAGCTTGCAGTTTGAGTAGATCTCGGCCATCTCCAGCGATTCTCGCGCCCAGTCGCTCTTAGAATCTTGAAGGATGCATAATGCGTCGATCCATAGCCAGCGAATGCCGAGACTCCTGGCCACCGTGATGAGATCTCGATGGGTTCTTGTCAGAGCCGCGACGGGCATTCCATTGGTGAAGCTGTCCTGTGTGCTGGCTGTCAGGCGGAGCTGAGTTGATGCTCCCCAGCAGTAGCTCAGCGCAATGTACTCTACCGGTGCCATGGATGTACCACGGGTTATCACCAACTTCCATGTATCGGAACTATCGCTTCCAATATCTATGAGGCGCGTGGGCAAGAAGTTGGGTTCGCAAGGCCCCCGTTTGTGACAAATCTCATGGAAAGTGCAACACGTCTGTATCCATTCATTGGCAAGACCCAGAACTGTGCCATCCGAAGTATTCGTCGTGCGTGGAATATATTCAGGCTCCAGCATCTTAAATTGAATAGGCTCTGGGGAAAAAGTCAGATTTGGAAGTTCAGAAGTCTCCTGGCAGGGACAAACTATCTTACTGAGCATTTCGAAACAGACGAAGACGTTGCCGTTGCTCTTGGTCAAGCAAGAAATGCCAGCTGAGCATTCGAGGGAGAGAGCTATAATCGATCCCGGACCCATCAGATATTTTCAGATTCTGTACGGATGAAGGCAGTTCGACTGTTCATGTTCCTTCTGTGCGACGCAACAAACAAAGCAGCCTTGTTTCACGGCGGCTGCAAAACTTTCCGCACTTGAGCCATGCGAGTCGTCTAATATCGCAGGGCTTTCGACAACGTCTTTGGATAAATGCTCGATGGATGATATATTATCGCCCACCATTCTCTGGCAGTGACGGCAAAGGAAACCATTCACGTAAGCTACGTCCAGCTCCAGTCGAGGGTCGGTGTCTGAAGCACAGCGCCGGACGAGATCCGCATAGCGCTCACTACTTGGCATCGAGTGCTTTTCTTCCCAGCCCCAGGGGAGAGATTCCAGTGGCAGATGATTCATGTCAGGCTGGTATGTGGTATCAATGGCGGTTATTGCTGTTGAGCATCCATTGAAGAAGAGGGGTCTTAGCGTGATAGGCGCTCGCCTCCTCAACCAGACACAGGTTGTCCACCCTATCTGACGCGGGCTAGAATAGCTCATCCAGGAAGGAAGCACTCCTCTGGAGCGTGGCGGATCAAACGGTCTGGTCTGGATGGGATGCCATCTGTGGCCCGACAGAGTATCTTCAACTGCTGCGTCAGACATTGCTTCATGCGCAACAAGGCGTGAGACCTTCTCAAAGTCTGGGGTAATGATCAGATTGAAAAGGATCTGCTAACACAGGAGAAAAGGAAAACAACAGTCGGACAACCAATCATTGAAGGACGTAGGCGCTGAGTTGTGGGTGTGGCGCAGGTGTTTTTTCAGCTGGCACTGCCACGGTGGTGAGCCTGTTTTGGGCGTCCAGGCAAGATTCATTACTACGAGGCAGACTCTAATACTTGATGTCAATGGATAGTGATGCATGAGGGGACAATGTTTTCATTAAAGTTGACAACATTGGAGCAATGGAACAAATCAAGGATGTGTTTGATATGTCTGATGTGAAGAAGGAGACGAAACCCCAGCATTATACGGCATACCTATTCAGGAGAGGCCCAAAGGATGTTCCTCGATTGACAGGATAGTTCGGATGCGAGGTTCGAAATCCCTCCACAGTGGTCAGCCTTCTGAATCCACAGGCAGAAGAAGCTCAAGTAGCGGGTTGAGACAGAGCCACCTTCATTAGCATTCCGTCAACCGGTTTAGCTGTAATCTGAATGGTCTAGGTTGAGAGAAGCGGTAGTCAGCGCGACTGCACTCTCCACGTCCATAACTGAAGCTAGTAGTTTAGAGAAACTCACTGGATATAGCTCGGACTTGACCTTGTACTGGCCATTATCACCAACCTCCGGCCGACCTGTTGAATCCAGGTCCAGCTCGCCCAGCCCAACTTTGGTGAAATCGTACCTGTTAGCTAGCATGGCGATGGCGATACGCGCCTCGATGTTAGCGAGCTCCTGGCCGATGCAATTCCTGGGGCCCCTTTCAAAGGGTCTCCAAGCGCTCTGCGGGAATGCACCCGGCGCGGTCGTAAAGATTGACTCCTCGGAGGTGGGCGAGTCCCCGGTATGTCTCTGCCCGCCTTGTGCCAGCCAGCGCTCCGGCCAGAAGTCGTCGGCTGTATCTCCGAACACGGCGCGGTCACGGTGGATTAAGGAGTGGTTTAGATAGATCCAGGCACCATCGAGACAATAGTCGCTGTGGGATGTGGCGACGACGCACGTACTTTCAGACTTGGGCATGGTCATGCGGACTGTACCAGCTGGCGGATGCAATCTAAGGCACTCTCGTATGACGGCCGATATGTAACTCATTTGGTGCATAATGTGCTCCCCGCCTGGAGACAGGAGTTTGGAGCGGACGATGCCTGGATTGTGTGCATCGGGACCGAGCAGCGCCGTGACTTCGGCCTGTACAGCCTTGAGGGCTCGGGGGGTGCGAGATAGCTCGTATATCGCCCAATCAATAAGGATACTTGTGGTGTCATGACCTGCAAAGAGAAAGGTTTTGAGCTGGTCACACGTCTCATCAAGAACAGCAGGCGATAAGTGATCAATATCTTGCAAGCTCAGAGCGAGGATCGTCCGAGATGATTGACCGTGTTGGGAACCAGACTTTAGCTCGGCGAATTTAGCACGGACGATAGCCTGCAGTCTGTCGGTGATGAGTTTCCCAAGGCGACGGCGAGTCATATACACAGAGGGTGTCAGCCACCATGGCAGATGAAAGTTGTCATTAGCATGCGCTTTATTTTGAAAGTCAGCCCACGCTAGTAGAGACGAAACAGGTGATTGACTAGATACTTACTCTGAATGAGCTCGTTGAAGATACGGATGAAGTCTCCTAGTCGAGAAGATTCAGGTTCCTGCGCCTCTAGATCGACATCCATAGCAACGGCACCTATGATGTCAAAGGTCAGGCTCGTAGTTAGGTCAGTCAACCTAAATACGTCGTCTGCTTCAGCATGCTGATCCAGTCGCTTCAAGAATAGCATGCTCTTGTCGATGATACACGGAAGAAGCGTCATCAGGTGGTTTGGAGAGAAGCCTGGGTTGAATCTTCTGCGGATTGCCTTCCAGCTTTCGTTCTACGGATGACTTGTCAGCTCATCCAAAACACAGCGCGAGGCAGAAACTGTTCATGATGTCATTTCTATAACGTCCCAGATAGATGGATTATACCTGATGATTGAGCATTGACAAGGGGCCAATCAGAGCGCCGACGCTTGGATTTGGAGGCGATTTAGGTACACTATATTGGAAGTCCTTGGATGGTCTCGAGATTTGCTCGGCAACTGTATGGTCAGCGACGACTGCCATGGGATAGCTAATGGGCCGCAAGTCAACCAAGAAGATGGGAGGGGATCCAAGATCCTTGTGCATCTCAGCAATGATTGCATCTTTTGCCGGTTATTAGTAGGAGGTCGGTGTTGAAGCGGGAATATATTACCTGGATGACGGTCTAGGGCTCCGTGCTTAGTATATTTGGCAAAGAGTTGAAGATGGCCCCAGAGAAGCGATGTCGGCAACTGAGGGAGATGGGCGAATTGTTTGTGCCTCTTCTCGACGAGCTTGGTGTATAAGAATATCGATATTGTGAGTATCGATGCTGCGAGTAACGCTTGGACTGGATGGTCTATGAAGGAAGACATGATGTTGTACTACATTCAAAAAGATGGGCTGCTCTGTGCTGTCCTGTTGGAGGCGGAAATTGCCCAGAGGTAGGACATGTGTATGGAGCAGGTAGAATGTGGAGGATAAGGCGGACCGCTCAAAGTACATATGAAACTAAGATTGACTTGTGAGCCAGAAGTGCTGCTCCTCAAGACATGTCCGCTAAAGGCATTCAGTCCGAAGGCTTGCATCAGATAGGTAGGTTTGGGGGTATCTGGATGGTAAACGTAACGTACTTCGCGAATGGCTTGCAACCTTTGTTTTACATTATTGGAAAACAGTGGGTCAATTCAATTCTCAATTCATGATGGAGGGCAGGCAATTACAGGGTTGCTCGTCGATGAATGCCAGATTGGTCTTTGTTCTCGTTGCTTTGTGTGCGGGGAGAGTTGGGTCGGCTGACGTATTTTTCTTGGCCCATGGATCACATCTATCCAATCTTATTGCGGTCCGACCTATTTTGCTGGTGGGAGGCGAAGGGCTCATGCTGCCATACTATAGTGACCTTCTTACTCTGGCATTTGGTTCTGTACGAAGCTGGGGAGGGCTGATGTCACAGTCTCATGCATAAGTGTGCTTCCATGAGCCACACCAGGAACCAAAGTACAACTGACCATCACACCCAAAAGGCAACTCATCTCTGATCTCGGGTCTCAGGTCTCAAGCGACTTCTGAAGTGTGATTGTTCGAAACCTCGTCCTATTTTTACCGACTATTGCCTACACAGTCCAAGATGTTGGAAATCAGTGAAACTATTCTATCGCCGGTAGAACAAGAATTTAAACCAAATTGACAGCTGCATTTTCAAGTAACTCAACTACGAATCCAATCTAATCTGATAATAAGAATTACACAAAGTAATCCCTCACACAGAATTGAATCTTCTACACATCTTCTGACCACCCATACGGCTAGCCTGCTGAGCTGGGTCTGTTGTTGATCAGCCCTCCCTTGGGAACCCCCATACAAGCGACCAGTCCCTACAAGCCTTGAATACATCTTAGAGTACAAATGGTAAAGCCCACCACAACAATGTTTTGTACTCCTTGAAATGCCTATACAGCCTCAGTGATCCATGCTTGATGACGATTTTCTATGGTACAGCTTCAAAGAAGGCGGTCGAACCATGCCACGACTTGTTCGGGATGCTCCTGGAACCAGCTGTATGCATCCCAGCGGCGGTCGGTGCCTGTAATCCAGTACAAGCTCTTGTCCTCAACCGGCATGGCGTCGTACACGGACTGCACATCACTGGGCAGTGTGTTGAAGTCGTCGTGAACTTGGTAGACAAAAGTAGGGATCTGAACCAGGCTGGCACTTGGGACGAGCTCATAGTCCTCAAAGCGGAAATTAGTAGCGTTGTGGAGCGAGTCGTCGACAGCTGGCATGTAGTCAAGTGAGATACCGAGAAGCTCCAAGACCCTAGATAGGCGGACTCTGACAGTCAGAGGCTGGGCAAATACCTGGGCCTTCACGCCCTCGAATGCCTCGGGGTGGAGTCTGTATGCATGAAGGTTCGAGTTGGCGCCGACACATTTGCTGAAAAGGCCAATCTTCATGTTCTTGGTGTCTTCGCGGCTGTGGACGTAGTTCAGCGCTGCGACCATGTCTTGTGACTCCAGCAAGCCCAAGGTATGAGCATATGTGGAATCGCTGTCGCCGTGATTGCGGTACTCATAAGCTAGGACGTTGTATCCAGCGTTAAGAAGAATCTCGTAGTCGGGGATAAAGTTGACCGCCCAGTAGCTTCCAGGCGCACGAGCCTCCTCCTCTGTATACCCGCGGATTCCACCTCGGTTGAACCATCGAGGATGGTTGGCGATGATGAGCTTATCCGAGCCCTCCTTGGGGAAGAACCAGCCGGCAGATGTCACGCCGTCCTCCGAGATGAAGGTCACATTCTCATATTGAAGGCCAACTTCCTCCGGCCTGTGGAGGGGGTAGTCAAAGTTCTGAGTTCCAAGGAACCCGTCACCAACGCCGTTGATGATGGCTTGGATGACGGCCTCGGGAGGTGGTGTTGCGGGAGGAATAGGCGGATAGGTTCCTGTCTCTTGGTCCCGAGGTGTTCCTGTTTCCTGACCACTGACAATAGCCAGCGGTATGAGGAGTAGCGAGGAGTAAAGGGATTGGGAAAACCGCATTTTGGTTGCTCAAGGCGTCGTCTGGTGTATAAATGGAAATCTTTTGGAGTGAGATTGCTGTGAGTGATGTTTGAAGTAATGGACGGTGAGATGAGTAGTCCCCGTAGGTCTTTCAAGCCTTTATTTATACATGACCCAGAGCGATGATGCGTTTCTCTTCAGCTAGAACCGCCGTCACGGCACCTTGCCAGCTGACGTGGCCTGGTGTATCTACAGACCTATACGTCCATCTCTTTGACGGATTTCATGTCGTAACACTTCCTAGGTTACCGCCGACTTTTCATCTATTCCTAGCTAGTTGGCCACTCCTACCCTAGCCCACTAGGCTGTGCATCTGAGCATCGTAACCCTAGTTGGTTTTGGCGCCGTTCATGGGCCAATGGCTACGTGCTAGTACAAGATATGAACATGGTCTTAGCTTTACAGGCTTCAGTGACGGTGGGTTAGTTTTAGCTTTGCATGAAAACGTGTTTACCCATTCCGAGGCATGGTAGCATGAACAAGATATTCTCCCAGTCTTCAAACATAACAATATGTCAACTCCAAGGGTGCTATCTTTCGCTAGATTACGGAGCGGTTAGCATGACCAAGAGCCGAACATTTTTTTTTTATAAAAAAAAAAAAAAAAAAACGAGTAGACAATATATTATGTTATGATGAGTGGCTAAGCTACATCGAAGCTTGCTTTCTCGTACCCCTCAGCCCGCCGTAAAGATAGACTTAGGAGCCGGCATATCGACCAGGTTTAATCTTACTTTCCCTTCTGGTGCGAGACTGAGAGAGTGGCCGTTCTCCAGACGTGGCATATACAAATTTGGGATAAGAACGGACATAATTGCGCGATGTTATCCCGCTTCAAGCGAGCAGCCCACCTTTTACTCATAGTAGCAATAGATAATCCCGCTTGGTTTTAAAGTCCGAAGCGCCATCCCATCTCAAGGCAGATGTGCGAACCTTGCTCCTATCAGGGTTCCCATGGCAAACCTAATTAGGTTTTGAGCCATTAGTAATCCCAATTTAAGCCAAAAGCCCACATTTTACTCATAGTAGCACTGGATAATCCCGCTGGGTTTTAAACTCCGAAGCGTCATCCTAGCTGTAGTCAGACAACGGAAACCTGCTCTCATGACACACTTAATTGAGAATTAGTTATGTTGGGGGAGAACTCACTCTTAGCTTTGGAGACAATGTTTTGTCGGGAATGATGCATGAAACCTGTCTCCTGGGGCAATCGTAGGCAGGTAGCTATCCATACCAATTAATCTAAGTTGAAGAAGCATAATTAACTCTCCAGTAGTACGATATTATCCTTTATGGGATTTCAAATGGCATGTAGAGCTTTCTACCATCTTGATTGATAAATAAAGCCTGAGCGATATGAAGCAAAAGATGCGGTCTGGGTTTGATTCATTAAGCTAATCATGGCGTTTCCTCCCTGGAACAAATCACTAGCAATACTGCTCTTCTCGAGCTTTCTTATAGAGTGACTGATACCCCCTGCTCAAGCAAGTCTTCTAGCAGAAACTAAGAAGCTTGCGCCTTAGTGGAACGCGCTTCAGTTAGTGGCGTTCGCCCCCTCAATATCGTCAAAAGTAGCTTCGATCTCTCCCTATCAATATGTGTACTCGCTCTGGACTACTACTTCTTGAAACGGCCGGCAAGGCTTGTCCCGCCGGCGCCAGGGGTGGGTGTTGATAGGTGCCCTGATAGATCATGCCACTAGGAGAATTCTGCCCGGCACCGTTGGGAGACGGAATAAGAGATTGCTGAACTGGCTGGTTGGGCCACGAATAGGGTTGAAGTTGAGGTGCTCCTGGGGCTTGTAAACTGCTGGGGCTAACTCGGTCACGATCGAGGAGAACGAGGCCGTCGTCCAGCAGACCGACGGCGATGGCAGATGAGAGACGCAGCATCCCAAGGGAGAATCACCTCGCGGTGAGGATTCTTTTGTTGTTCAAGATGTGCAGTGGGAGCAGCCCAACACGGACGAGCAAGGCAGTTGTGTTTGACTCTTGGGGCCCACCTCCAGAGCCCTAGAGAGATCTAGGAGAACAGAGTTGCGAAGAAGCTGATAGTGAAATTGCATCACCTGCTTCAGTTGAACTTCATGCTTCCGAGACGTTGTTCCATATAAGTAGTGCTTTGCGTCCCTTTGACGTGGAATTATGCAAACTACGAAAGCCTGTTTTGACAATTGGCAGCGTCCTAAGAAGCCCCTGGACATACCATCGACTAGAACCAGGCGCTCTAACGCATAGCCTACCATCATGCAAAGAGCGTATATCGTATAGCTGTAAGAGGGCAGGGAACGCATCAAGCCAATCCTCCACCATCTCGGTGGACTGGTCCAACTGGAGCAATGCTATGCCAGTCTCACGTAAGACCGGCTAACCACAGCAGTAGCTGAGGCCAGGGTTAGGGACGCCAACACATTCCCTTAACTAATGCGTTTATTCCCCCGTTAAGACTATTCCAAGAGACTAACATGTTCCTATGTTAATTGATTGCTTTTAAAAAAGTTGAGATACGAGTCATATTTGAGAGAATCATACCAAGTGATCATTTATTCCCAGCTACGACGATGCGGAACTCATATATTAGATTCCTCATTCTAGCCGGCCTTGGTTTGTTCAGCCAGTGGGCTATTATGATCATGAATGGCTCCTTGCGCCTCATGCTCCTGACCGCCTGGACGAGTATTTTCCCCGACGGTATACCTCTCCGAGGAAAATAAACGAGCATCTGGATAGTCGATTTGGCCCTTCGCGTGCTCGTGGCTTTCTTCGGAGCCATTCTCAACGTGGTTGAGTCCCACGAGTTCGGGCCTTATTTGTGTTTAGTTGATCTAATCACCACTATTGTTGTCTTCGGCATGGTGTTCTTAGTCGAGGATCAGTGTGATAGGGGGAAGGGCGCGCTGCGATAGTGAGATTTCCCTTCTCTTACGTATCATCTCGGATTCACATTGTTACTAACGTAGCATTTTCCGAATTTCCTAGTCCCACTTGTTGGCAGATGTTGCTTTATTTCTTCGGTGCTGCCTCAATCGTACTCATCTACATGCGGCTGTATCTCAAAGACCGACTCTCCCCACGTCTCGAAGTGCCGCATGACCAGGCACGAGCCTTGCCGTTCACAGCACTATGGTGTTCAGTACTCTCTCTTCCCCTCCTTGTTCCTGTTGCCCTCGGAGCCAGCCTATCACAGATTTATATTGGCATAGTAGTCTGGTTGTTCAGTCCAGCGACGGTCGGACGATTCTAGGACCTACTAAGCAGCCTCATGTCGAAGAGCAATGATATTCGCTCGTCGGCAAAGGAAGCGGCTCAGCCTATCGCTATCGCTTACGGCATCGTGGGAATATTCAGTGCGGTAGTCCATTTCTGTATTGTCGTGTTTACTTTTGTGTCTTCTGACCTTACGTGGAGTGACATCTACTGGCCGATCCGCGGAGTACGGAGCGGTCCAAGTCTCATGACCGATGGTGCCCTGATATTCATACAATCCGGTTACCACTCCCTGTCAATATGTGTGCTCGCTCTGGGTTACTACTTCTTGAAGACCGAGAACTTGTCTGCCACCAGCTCGCTCCTTGGCAGTTTACATGGCTGGAGGGCCCTGTTGGCGCATACAGCACTTATAGCTATCTTCGGTCCTGGGGCTGGGTTGGCTTTGTTGCTCGGCAGGAAGGAAATAACAGCAGCTTCTACAATTGCGCTCAGAAAAGGGAACTAGCTAACGAGTTCTCTCTCCTGGTGTTATGCCTCTTCTACCAAGTGCTGCAGATGATGATGTCTAAATAGTAGTAGGCATGCAGCACCATTAGCGAGAACGACATTAAGAAAGAGTGCTTTAAATGAGTAAAGAAATTCCCGTTCACTAAAGTATAACTACGTTAACAAAGGGGCTAAAGAGCGAGCTTAGATGTTGTAGTTCACATTCAAGTGCTTCTTTCAAAACGCCACTAAAGTCTAACAGAAAAGTAATTTCACGGACCGCTCCTATGCCGAGGCAGATCGAAAGCGTTTGCCAAATAAGCTCAAGAGTCCTGTAGCCCCTCCCAGGTCCGTCCCTGACGCGGTCCTTTCTCTTTGGAGATTCAAAGTATTGAGTAAAGCATATCACCCGCGCAAATCAAACAACGAGGTCACAGGACGTTACGCAATGTATGGTTGCATGAACTAGGATACTTGTCTAAGAGTCTTAGATGCGGGGCTACGAGGACAGGTGTATGTGTGTACGTTCGTGTGTTTGAGAGAGACAGTGGGCTTGTATTTGACTGGCCTAGCTATCTATCTCCCTTCCTTCCTTCCTCCTCCCCTCCCCAGTTGTGTGCAACCTCAGCAGCTGTCTTCACGCTTTCCAGCGAAGCAGGCTAGAGGCAACGGCGGTTATGATCGCCACTTTGCAACGAAGCGCACTTTGCCTTGAGGAAAGCCAGCCAACGGCTGTACTTTTCGTTGGCAACAATGCTCTCATCGAACTGCTTCTCTTCGAAGCAGTCGGTTCGACCGAGAATGTGACTTCCTAAGTTGAACAGGCTAACTACCTGTTTTATACCTATGGTCTCAAGAGACCCAACCGCCTTCGCGGCACCTACGAGCTTGTGATCGCTCGTACTGACCTTAGGAAGGACTTTAATATTAAGGTCTTATAGTTGAGTACCCTTTATAATAGGTACTACAGCTACCGGCTTCTGTTTCTTCTTCCCCATTCTATAGGTTATGTACTTTGACCAAGTGTGTTAGCGCCTCTTGTCTTTGCGATAGGAAGCTAACTTCGCTGATGACTGATGTCAAGGTTCAGAGTATGTGTGGTTGCTATCGGGCGAGACGCAGGCTCGGTGGGATGTTTGATGGAGCGATGAAGGCAGCGATGTGCGAAAGTCGATTGATCCGACTGAGTAGCGATGAGTGGTTCTGGCAAGGAGTCGACTGATTTGACTGACGACGAAGGTGGCGATGTGTGGTACTTGGCTTGTCTCAGCGATTTGCGAAATAGGCAGATTGCCGATACTTTCGCAAGTGCAGATGGACTTGAGCTGTGCGGTTCATTCAGGACCAGGCCAGAGATGGCGGTCTTTAAATAGATGAAAAGCAGCATCTTAAGGTTCATAAAAGGAGTCATGCCGACGAAAGAGTCATCACCGGGTATAGCCTTTGAATTTAAACCTTATATACGGCTCGGCAGAGCTATTGTTGGTACTAAACCTCGTATACGGCCGGGCAAAAAGGCTGAAGTTTAATGTGTTGTGATACTGGGTATGGTGTCAAGTTGTTAAATTCTTGGTGTTTGGGAATTTCCCCTTTTTTTTTCAGCAGCTGCATAGCTCTCTCACTTACTACTAAGAGTCTTAGATACATGTACCGTTGCTGGCGGCGGAGAGGCAAACCGGAGGATGGAGACTCGACCAGATTCACTCCCGAGCACCACTTTGTCCAGGTGCACAGCTGAGCGCCACGGTCGATACTGTGATGGGATTCGAATTAACCTATGCCCATCCCACGTGATCCAGGCTCCGTCGGAGCTAAGCCCGTAGCCAGCGAATCTGGATGATACAGAAGCATTGTTCAACGGACTAGGAGGGAAATTCGAAAAGGCGATGACCCCACGGCCAGTCTCGAGGCCTGAATCATTGGGCGTAAAACGAATACTTATACCTAGGTTAACAGGAGGCCCCGACTCAATGTTACATGTATACAGCTGTTGGCCTGTCTCCACGCGCCATAGTTGAATTTGATTCATGTATTGATGCCTTAGTGATAAGCTTATCGCAACGAACTTGGAGTCACTTGAGAATGACCAGCCCCTGCTATCTTCTCCGTGGTTTGACTCAAGAAGGCATTTGCCGGAGTCGCAATGCCAAACCTTCAGCATGCCGCCTCGGCTAGACGCTAGAAACGTTGAGTCCGGTGAAAATGCCATTCCTGATGGCGACAACTGTTCTTCATCTCTCCAATTTCGGGTACAGCACCAATCACTAGTGTTCCAGAGACTGACACCATGATCAGTAGATGTGGCGACGAATCGTCCGTTAGTAGAGAAGTTTGCTTCCATGAACCCGGACTCAGCTTCGAGGACTTTCAGACATTGGCCCGTTTCGACAAGCCATACTCCAGTTATAAATTCAATTTCTTTTTCATCTCTTTTAGACTTGTTGAGCATGTGTATAATCACCAAGCGTGAGTCGGGAGAAAAGTCGCCATGGTGGGGGCTGTGGATTCCGTGGAACGTTTGCACAAGCGCGCCGGTATCAAGGCGCATAACTTGGAGAGATTCAGGTGAATCTTTCGAAGGGCCTGCTAAGATGAGCGACCAGTCCTTTGACACCGCTCTCAAGCGAGGTGTGAGAATCTTTTTGCACTCGCCAGTCATCGCATCCCAGATCCTCGAGCTTGAGAGGTCTGAGGTCGCAATGAGAGCTACGTCAGGTGAAAATCTCGCAAATGTCACCGTAGAACGACTCTCAGTCTGGTTGGAAATGCGATGGCCATGTGAGGTATCAATTCGCCAGATTCGCACCGTACCATCACGGGATGACGAGGCCACCAGAGACGAGTCATAGGAAAAGGCCAAATGGTCAATTTGACTTCCGTGTTCGGTGAGCGCCTGCACACATTTGCCCGTTTCCAAATCTCAGATCCAAAAGTCTTTCTCATTGGCAGCAGCAAACAACACAGAATCATGAGAGAATAACATTAAGGTAGTTGCTCCTGTGTGTTCTAGTTCCCGCACGCACTCTCCACTGTTGGTCTGGAATATCCTGATTTTTCCATCGTTGGGAATAGGATAGGCGAGAAACGCCGAGTCTTGAGAGAAGGCGCCATTGTACCATTTAAAGTTAGGAAAGTGAGGATCGATCATGAGCCTTGCCTTGCCTCCAGCCTCTAGGTTCCAGAGCCGCACCTGTCCGCTGCCATAATCTTCCGATACGGCGAACTTGGCATTAGGCGAGAAGGCGACCCAATAGACTTTATCACTTTTGAGCTCGAACTCACGGCCGGTTTCAGTGGTCGCTGCTTTCAACAACTCGTCAGGGCCGAGACGTAAACGTGATGCAAAGAATGTCGGGGTGAAGAAACCGAAACCATGGATTGCCCCCTTAGTATAATCTTCGAATATGCTGATGCATTCTCCGGTGCTAACACTCCACACGCGGATTGACCTATCATCTGAAGCTGATAACACACGAGTTGAGTCATCCGAGAAGACAGTTATGACGGCTTCGCATTTATGGCCCTCAAGTATCCATATGCATTGGCCTGTGTCCACGTCCCAGATCCTAACAGAATAATCGATAGAAACGGTTGAAACCACCAGTTTTGAGTCATGAGAGGATGATACGAACTTTGTATGGCACTCAAAGGTGTGCAGACTTCGGCCCCAATCCACCCACTTTGGGTGGAAGGACTATCCACTCAGGAATCACCTTCTTGTACACGGTCCGGAGGTAGCTCTTCATGGGTGCGAATATAAGCAAGGATGAGTACAACTGAAGGGGTGTGGTGTCAATGACTAGTGCGTTGGCAAGAACAAAGGAGACCGCGTCATCAAGCATTAGGGACAGTTCCTTGCCATCTCGCGGCTTCATATGCATGGACATCTCGTGTCAGCTCCGGAGCTAACCAAAAGAAGGCGACAGGACGGGCACTTACATCAACCAGCATTTGGAGAGTCTTGATATGACTGATACAACCGTAGGTATCCCCCAAAAGACCAAGGCATTCCAGCCAGTGGAGAAAATGGGTTTCGAAAAATTTGTGAACCAAGCCACCATCAACCAGCATATCGCCTGCATGATGAAGGTGACGCACCCAGTAAGAGCACGAATATTGAACCTCAGGAGGAAGAAAAGCATTTATCGTCCCAGCTTTGATCGAGGAGCGCTCTGTCGCCCAACTTGGGAGGTTGCACATGTTTTGTCTGAGCTCCACATCTAGCAATGCCAAGGCCCTTGATGCTATATCAGCATGAGTTGCCTTCTCATCAATCCAGAAATCAGTCGCTTCCTTGTTCTTCCTATCTGTCAAGAAATCCCTAAAGGATAAATGTAGCATTCTTACTAGCAAATCAGATGAGGTTGGAATACTAAGGACTGAGTGGAGCATCACAAGATGATCGTCAATGTAAGCTTTTGGAACTTGAAGGAGTCGGCTGAGCGATTCTGTGGATAGTGGCGTTTCCAGCATAACAATAGGGCCCACAATCGATTTAAACTTCTGTATGACTTTTCTTTTATCATCGCCATCCATTCCAAGCAACAATTTGCTCAGGATGGGGAGGTATGTAGAGTCGAGCCGGGATTTGGCTCCCGTTTCTCCGTATGCAAGAACGTCCTGGATTTGATCTTCGGGGCTTCCAAACTTAATATCCGCAATAAAGCGACACATAGTCATAGCGAAGATGAAAAGAGGCACAGCCATCTGTACAAGCTGTCGCCTTCTGTCCTGTCCGGGCCAGTCAGACGGCAGGCGACGATAATCAGAAGTGATTAGGCAATTCCAGTCTGTCCTGATCATGTCCAGCCGATAGTCTAGAAAGACGGAGATGTCATGCTCAATCACGGGCTCAAGGAGTTCATGAAGGATCACTGGATGGTAGGATCCGGCCGTCGCTTTCCCAAATGCCCGACGATTCGGTATTTCAGGCCGGCTTGTGATGAAAATCTTCAAATGTGGCACTGTCATGAGGCTGGAATCCGTAAATAAGTTGATGAGCAAATCAATGTCTTGATAACGTTCACACTCGTCGAGAGCGTCGACAATCAATACGATCGGATGGTCAGTTCGGTGCTTTTGCGACCTCATGAGTGGCTCTATGACAAGATTTTTAAGTTGCTGTCCTGGCGCCCTCTTACGAAAATCAGCATCCTTGTCCAAGGCCTGCTTAAGAGCTGTACCAAACTCTGGAATTTTGATGACCATATCAGCGGCAATGGTAGAGAAGAATTTTGACAAGGTGCTGCGTTCAGCCTCGCCGGTCTTGAAGAAGAAGCTTGCTCCGAGCATCTTGTTGTCATCAAGGTGCTGCGCAACAGTCCGCGATATGGTAGATTTACCTGTGCCAGCCATGCCATTGAGCCAAAACACGCGCGGTCCATCAAGATCCTTCACCCAGTCTTGTATTTGCCGCAGTAGATCGACCCGGGTGTTTGGTAAGCATGTCAGCTCGTGGTCTTCTGTGTGAGAACCAAAGCACGCTCCCTCAGCAACAGGCAGTTGGGTCAACACGATATTTTGATCAAGCTCATTGACCATCTGTTGCGTACGGCGTACGCCGGATCTGGTTTTCAAGATCTCAACACTGAGACTGTCAGCGCGGCCTAGTCCAGGAACCTATCAAGCTCACGATGGAAAGTTCCACTTACGTTTGGTCTACTTGCAAAGCAGAATTTATATTCTGGCCACAGTTTCGCAGATCTCCAACTATCCCTTCAATTTCACTTTTTTCAAGCGGCCATTTGAGAGCTCGTAGTCCAAGTCTACTCATTGTCTTCTGGCCTTTTTTGAGAGCCATCTTTTCGTCTACCTTCCTGAGTTGATCCAGAGCGTCTCCAATCGCGGTCTGGAGCTGGTTGGATGTTGCTAGTGTGTCGCCATTTAGACCGCTTAGAAGGCCCTGAACATTCTTCGCGATGCCCGCGAGAGCGATTATTTCTTTCTGCACTCTGTCAATGTCGGCTTTGGCGCGATAGGCCTTCTTGCCGTAATCATAACACTGCGCGGCTGTCTTCGCCGTTAAGTCGACAACGGCGATCAGATTAGCCGCTACGCCAATTCCTTCCATTGCTTGGGTAAATGTTTTGGCTGGAACAATTTTCGGGGTCAGGTGAGGAGATTGGTGACGATGAGAAGGGTGAGGGGAATTATGCCCAATCTTCCAATGCCGGCGAAAATCTGACAGGGTCGAGACACTGTGTGGTTCTCACTATGTACGAAGCATTTCGGGGGCATTAACGTGGCTTCTAGGGAGTGATTTGGTATATCCTCGGCATTTTCGTCAATATTAAGGGGCTGTAACACGAGGAGCTGCAACGTTGATTGGAGGCAGGGACAAGCTGATGACACTGTGGGTGCTGCAGTGCAGCATGCCGATCATACCCTGTTTTCTGCCTTGCGAATGCAGACTCTCTGCACGCCTCAAAGAAGAATAACTGTTCGTTGGTCGGAGGTGCTAAGTGTTTCGTCGACCTCCCACCGAGATAATGAGCAGACGACTTCTAAGAGCAAGTGGTAGACAAACCTGTCTATATTCCAGTCAAAATGGTCAATTAACATGCACTTGTCATTAAATTCCAGCGAACGACTGTTGTCTCTGTGCCAGTGGAGGTAGCCTAACTAGCAAGAGCTGACTTCTCTAAAGTCAGACATTGTTTGGCTTTCCCATCTTCTGGAGTCTAGATCACACCGTTGTCAGTGTTAGAAATGCACAGCCTGCTCCTAATGAAACGGACGTCCTCTAGCCCGGACTCGGGGAGATCTTCTCTTCGGCTAGGCACCATCACAGGGGCCGGAAATCTTGCTTTGGAAATAAGCTAGAGAAATCCAGCCACAAAACTCTTATGTGTGTATCCCGCTTATTATCAACCCCTTATTTCAATTTCCTATTCTGTAGAGTCAAGGTGGAAGTAATCCAGAGGGCACATGGCGATATCATCCCTCTAATTTAATGTCCAGCAGGCCAGTTACGGTTGAATGGAACCAAAGCTCCATTCATCGTTTTGGCAATAGAACGGTCTGATAAAAAGAGACATAACTTAGCAACGTCCTCCAGCGGAACATCATTGATCCCATAGTTGAAACCCGGCATATGCTTCTCGATCAATCCCAACCCTTCCATATCAACTCCTTCAACCAGTGAATCCTGTATGTTTGTTGCTGCCAAACCTCCCAATTGCAGCATAGTACAGGTGATGTTTTTCTCCAGGTAGAAGGCTGCGGTGTTGCGGGTGAGAGCCAGAACCCCATGTTTCGATACCAAATAAGCCAATCCACCATCGATGCCACACACAGAAGCATTTGAGCCCATGTTGATAATGGATCCTCCTGGTGGAGATTGAGCAAGCATTGCATTAACAGCAGCTTTCGTACAAACAAATGCTCCAGTGAGGTTGACTCGCAAGATTCGATCCCACATCTCTTGCGAACACGTCCCGGCTGGATGGAATTTGTCGAGAACAGCGGCGTTGTTGACGAGAACGTCAAGACGCCCAAAGCGCTTGACAATATCCTCGACGAGAGAATCTATCTCCATCTGGGAGGCAACATCAGCCTTTTTGATGATGAACCTTCCGGGGTAACTCTCAGTCCACAGTTTCAATGTAGCATCAAGACGCTCGTCGTGCACATCGCAGATGGTGACATTGTGGCCCTTATCAAGATATGCGGTGGCGATGGTTTTACCCAATCCACCGGCTGCCCCGGTGACCAGGACTGAGAGAGGATGGGATGAATCTGACATGATGTAGGAACAAATTGGCGTTTGATACAGTAGGGCTTTGAATAGAGATGAGTGGTGTAGATGCCGAGACAGTTCACGCAAGCAGGACACGGCCAACTTTATACCTCTCTGGATTTCAAAATAGAACCCATTCCAGCAGTGATCATAAATCTACTCTGCTACCGGACAGTCTCTTCCACTTCTAGACAGCTTGTCCACTCGGAGCCAGTTAACGTGGTAAATGCTGAGGCGAAAATCTACGAATACGACCAAGAAACCGCACTAGTGACGCACATCTCGTCTGTCGTCTAGAAAAGTGGCTTCCAACCCCACATTACCCCTTCCTCGGGCTGCCTTGGTTGGACCTTCAATGACAGGAAGGGTTTCATTAGCCAATTCTTGACTTTGGGAACCCGAAATTGCCACTTCACCCGTTTTTCCTGATTTATCGTCTAGTGAATTGGAGACATCGGCTGTTTATGCTTGAGCGAGGGCCCGGAAACTGACGGATCGAGGAGGTCTAGGAAGTCCAGACTCCTAGCATGTAGTGCTCCGGAAGTAGGGCATTACATTAACCATTTAGGTAAGAAGTCTGAGAAAAGAGCCATGATTAGATCTAAGTATCACTAGACATAATTAAAATCCTTCCAGCCCCAACCCGATTTGAGAAAGTTGGTTGTTGGTAGCCGAAAGTCCTATGCAACTCTCGTATCACTAGCATCAGTCCCGCCATCCCATTTGAAGGCACCTCCGTCATTTTCCTTCCTATTCAAGCATTCCCCAAATATTATTTAAACTCTCTGCAAGGGAAGGGTGTGCCCAAACGGCATCTCGAAGCGCCGTCCACTTGCTGCCTGCTATCATGGCCATCTGCACCACACTCATAATCTCGCCGCCTTCTAGCCCCAAGCACGTGAAGCCCAAGATCTTTTGTGAGTCTGCGTCGATGATAGCCTTCATCATTCCTCTAGACTCATCAGTCTCAAGAGCTCTTGCCACGTAGGCCATCGGCATCCTGGCTACTTGGATCTTCGCGTGCGGATACTTCTCCCTCGCCTCTTTCTCATGTAGACCAACATGAGCAAGCTGCGGGTCCGTGTAAACGACATATGGCAGAATTCTGTCCACGGTTGTCATGGCAGTAGGGTGGGAGTCCTTCTCGAGCAAGTTTCCTTGCAGCAACCGAAAATCGTCGTAGGAGACGTGTGTGAACGCCGGCGGGCCTTTGACATCGCCGAGAGCCCAGACACGCGGGTTGGAAGTTTGCAACGTTTCATTAACCACAATGTGGCCGCGACCAGTAGTCTTTATCCCAGCGGCATCAAGATTCAGGGCCTTAGTATTGGGAACTCGACCAGCGGCGAACAGGATATGAGAGCCAGTCAATTGAGGTGTACCCTCCGGTCCTGAAGCGGTTGCCGAGATAGCTTTGGCAGGATCAGTGCTACCAGTGGCACTAACTTCCGTCAGTGATGTCTTGAGAAGCACCGAAATGCCGTCTTGTTTGAGAATCTTGAGTATCTCATCAGCCACTTCTTTGTCCTCCCGGGGAAGGAGTTGAGAGTTCCGTTGTATGATGGTCACATCGGCACCCAAGCGGCGGAAGAGCTGGCCAAATTCAAGACCAATGTAGCCTCCTCCAACCACAATGAGATGCGAAGGAACAACCCCAAGCTCCTGAATAGAGGTAGAATCAAGGACAGTGCCAGCGGGGAAAGTTTTCGCATTGAAGCCCTCAATATTGGGGGGTGCTGGCCGCTCTCCCGTGCAAATAAAGATCTTGTCGGCAGTTATTGTCTTATCATCGCCGTTGTTGCCGGCAACTTTAATCGTGCTTTCATTTTCAAAGCTTGCGGAACCCGAGATGACGTTAACGCCAGCGTCACGGAGCCTGCGTTCACTGCCAGACCGGAACGAGTCTACAATATCGCGCTTCCGCTGCCTCACTTTTTCCATATTGATACGTACTTCCTCGGGCTTTGAGCTGTTTACGCCATACTCTGGACCTCTTCGTGTCAGATAGGCGACCCGGCCCGAGGCAATCATGGTTTTGGTTGGCGTACAGCCTTCGTTAACACAGCAGCCACCGACGTGAGTACTCTCGATCAGTGCAGTCTTCTTTTGAGCTTTAGCGAATGCCATACTAAGCGGCGTCCCGCCTTGGCCAGAGCCGATGATGACAGCATCATAATGCAAAGACATGGCAAGTCGTGGGTTTGTAAATGCTGGCTTATGGGTTGCGCGAGTGGACAGCGACAGTATTGACCGTTGGAGGCACGTAGGTCGGAAGACAGCTATCATCGGTAGATTACAATAGCATCAATGTTCACCTATTCTCAAGGATTTCAAATCAGCTGGGGAATGGGCCAGCATTTAATATACGAGCATCATGCTGCGGGGAAGCTGACTGGCAGTACGTCAGAGCATTGGCCTTAAGGTTTGAACGAATCAGCTCCCCCAATTGGTGTAGTCAGAATACAGAGTAGATAGACCCGTATCTGTAATGATGGGTAATGACTTACTAACTACACTATCATCACATGAAAGCCATTCCAGACATGTGATCTAAATCAAAATATGGATAGACATTCTCACACCCTTCCAATTCAGCTTAACCTAATTTTCTTTGGATTCATCTAATGAAAATTGTGAAGATAGCGCCATCTTATTCCGTCCCTACAGCTGCGAATTCAAAATATCTGCCAGTTTTGACCATGTCGCAGCAGGATACTCTCCCGTCACCCACATATTCCCTGCATGATCCCTTCCATTGATAATGAGAAGGCAGGTTGAAAAGAATCCTTTCGATGTCTCGATGTTACGCGAGTGGTAATAGACAGGACGGCCCGGCTTCCAAGTGATGTCGTATTGCGCCGACGCAGTTCCAGCCTTCACAACGGCTCGGCTGAAGTCAACCGTTTGGACCAGCTTGGCCGAGCCCCAATTTGATGACGTTGCGAGCAGGCCGTTATAGTCTCCAAACATGGGGAGACGTCCGGTTTCTTTCATTGATGTCGCTATTTCGCTTGCTGTGACTTTCAGTTGTTCTTCGGTGGTTTGGGTCCCGATAGCTGCACGCATTTTCACCGCCAGTTCTCCGATCTTCATCTCCAAGGCCTCTGCTACCGGACAACTGACAACAACACCGGATGGAGCGTTCTGCACGTATGCTTCGTTGTCTTTGAATATCGATTTCGCTCGGCCTCGGGGGTCCACCGCGACAATGAGATTGATGGGCCGCGTTGAACCCGCAGGGAGAGTATGTGCTGCCAGACGCACACTCAGTGCCAGAAGAATATCGCCCTCTGATATAAACGACACGCCATTCTCGTCTGCCAGCTTTCCTCTTGCCTCGTTTCTCGCATTCTCAACCAACGCGTCCATAATCATCTTGGGAACGCACATCATCTGGGAATCATACGTTGTCCACCAGGAATCCCACATGAGCCAAAGGGTCCAACTCAACATCTTCCAGCCCGTGAGCCTCATATGGTCAAGCGCATGTTTTCCTTGAGTTGCTGATTTGTACAACGGAGCCATGCCGTCCTCCACACTCATGAAATCGGCCTTCTCCTCAGGCTTCCCAGCCAGGTGGCATTGCCAAGCGTCAAGAACAGCTTTCAACCCGCTTAAGTCGGATACGATGTGATTGAAATTGATGGAGACGAGCGTCCCGTCCTCGAAGGTCACAACATGTAGGGCAAATTGGGGAAGGTCGGAGTACAAATAATCATCCAGCTTTCTTGGGGCTCCAGGTCCTACGCCAAGGGAGGTGTAAGATCGAGGGCTAGGGAACAGAGCAGGACCTGAGCCAGCAACGGGCAGCTTTGACGCCTCTGGATGCTCAGACATGCGCACATTGAAGTGCTCTTTGGTGAAGTAAAGTGGCGGTCGCTCTGGGGTGAACGGCCGGGGGATATGCACCTCGATTTTGCCGTCGGGCTGACATTAGGTATAGCGGTCAGCTTCGTAGCCCCAATCGAACGTTTCTCATCATCCTCAAAAGCAAACCACAAACCTTCAGGCGGAGCCTTCCTCCTAGCTTTCTCCAACCTTCGCACTGGAAAAGCTCTGACAGGGAATTCCCGAGCATGTCTGCGTCAAGTACGTCGTCGAACCGCAGAGTCCACATCAAGGTATGGCTACGTAGGTAAAACACGTCGTCAAACAAGTGCATTGGGAGCACCTCATCGGTAGGGACTCGCTCTGGAAGCGGCCTCTCCGAGGCAAGCCCAAGCAGTCTAGCGATGTACGACATATTGCGTGAGAGGCGCCCCTTGGCACAGGTGAAAAGTTCAAGGATGCTCCGGGAACACCTCTTTGATGGAATGCAGGTTTTTTTTTATCAAACCGTGTGGTCCGGACTTCACGGAGAGGGGAAATAGGGGAAGCAGGGAGCTAGAAGTCAGGCTAAGAAGGCCTGCAACGACGCTATATTCTGACAGCCAGGCATGTCATCCTACGAGCATTTTATTAGTCTTCGTTCGACATATCCCAGTACGTCATCAATTGGCCCACCAATGCTGCATTTGGCGTTTTGTTGACTCAATTTCCTCAAGCTGTCCCTCCTCATGTGCAGAAATACGACCTTCCCCCAGTTCCCAGTTCCAATAAAGGCTTGTTGAACAGCAAGACCAAATATACAACGGCGAGGTTGAAAGAAGAGATGCGCTACTTGGTCAAACAGGGGTGCTCCAAGCCCGGGGGGCAAGCTCAAAAATCTCCAGATGTAAGATATTTCGACAAAGAAGATATCAGGTTCCAGCTAGGCTCAAATTCGCCTGTCTTTAATTGAGTGTAGCATGTTACTAAAAGACCACGCCCTTCTCTTCGCTAATAGCTCCAATATTGTCTGCAGTTGCTCTTCAAACTGCAATCTCATTGATGACTCTTCTGATGTGGTGCAGTATAGCACACATCGCTTTTGCCAGTTCAAGACAGCATCCAGCATTGGCAGACTGACTCTCGCCATGTTGAGATATTCTATTGTAACGCTAGTCTGGGCTCTCAATTGGCGCAGATTCAAGGAACGAGAAGATTCAAGCCTCGTTACCCAGTATTTCCAGGGAGTAGTTTTCTCTTATTTTCAAGAGTGAATTCTTCGTTGGGACAGTAGCCAAGGGACAAGAGCCAACGTACTACATGATGTGCCGGTTTGACACGGTCAAATAGTGGCACATCGCATAATACCGTTTTGGGATGTCCTTCTGAGAGAATATAGTTGGAATGCAATGGGTTCGTTGCATGGAAGAGCAATGGATAGCAGCCTTCGAGCGTGTCCAAGCTAGGATTCTTGTCACGTTTCAAGTCTAGTATCCCGGCCTCGACCGCGAGGCGTAGCATGATCTTCTCTGGTGGGAAATCTCCCCACGGGTAGTCCGAAGCCCATCTTCTTGCGCTTTGGGCCATCCGGGAGACGTCCACGAGGGCTGCCACAACATGCATGATCTGGGTCCCAGTCTTCCAGTTGGCCCGAAGGACCCACCGCCAAGCATCGTAAATATGCTCTATGCACTGGGAGGCGGAATGCGAATTATTCTGGTTGGCGCTGCAATGTGCCAAATGCAGAGACAAACATCCTACGGCCGCCTGCGCGTCAAACTCATGCTCGGCGCCCAAATCAAGGCAGTCTAACTCCCATGTTTCCTCCATGTCAAGGAAGTCAAACACGCTCCGATGCATGAAAATTATGACTGAATCCGTAGCAAAGGTTTCGTGGCACTTATGATAGCCCCCAAAGCTAACTTGGCCACAGAAACAGAACCTTTGTGGAAGACTGTATGATCGGCGCACCTCGAGCAAACCGCCGCAGCGACTTATTAATCGCCCTTCGATGCGATTACAATTCGCATCCTTCTCAGGTATACTAAAATCGTATTTCAGCGTTTCAGTGAGTCGGGACGAGTCATACTCATGCCAATCTAGCTGTGCAAGACCCAGCGTGGGCACACCTATGCCATGCTGGGCGATGTATAATTTACAGATTTTAAGAATCCGGGCAGACTGAAGCAGGTATCTCTTGTCGACTCGAGTAAGCATATCTCGGAAGAGGTCTTCGAGTTTCTCTGGAAGCTCGTTAATGCGTTGCCTCAACTCAGTCGGTGAATCGCTCGCAGCCAGCCCGTCAAGGAGCGACCGGCAGGCCAAAACAACCCATAGGAATACTCTGGATGCCTTCTCCACCATCTCTCGAATGAGATGTTTCGCACTAGCCGGGTCGGAGTTATATCGGACGTACTCGTAAAGGGGTGATTTCAACTTGCTCTGAATGTACCTTGAAATATCAGGTTGGCTGAGATCTTCTAGTTTGAGTTGCGGACAATTATGAAAAGCTGCAACCAGTTTGTGCTCGGGGCGGCTAGAAACGACAGCCTTGATTTAGAACCAGCGGTTAATGTCTCTATGAGTTCGATTCCTTCCAGAATATTCCCAGAGAATTCGTCAAGTCCATCTATGAACAGGCATATTCTAGACACGCCTGGATGATCACGGATCGATTTGCATAGGCCAATGACCTCGTCGGGCCCGGGGGTTGCAAAGTCCATGCCATCGTGGCCATAAGCTTGCTCCCAAACGCGTGGAAGAAGCTCCTGGCAAAGTGACGGGTGAAAAGCCAAAACTTAGTGCAGAATAGACCGGAATAAGCCATACAAAGAGTTTTGTTCATTTGTGCCAAGCTTCCAGATAAAGAAGTCAGCTGTGGCACACGGTTGGCCTTTAGTCCACGCGGAGAGATATTTGAGTGTCGCTTCGTGGTCACACAGAAGCTTCATCAGCGTCGATTTTCCGCTGCCAGCCTTTCCACACAGCCAGTAGATTCCAGAACCTGTTCGAAACCAGCGAGGTAGCATGTCCCATCTTTTGGGTGTGCTTTTCGTGCTTAGCGCCCATCCCAAGGTTTCTACAGATGGAGAGGTTATGGAATCCTTCCTCATATTCATTTCCTGAAATGACAATCGGCGAATTATCTTCTTCTCGCACCTGCTCTTCAACTCAGTATCAATCACCTCCACGAATGCTTTGCTTCTTAGCGTGCAGCGTCTCGAGTTAAGATTATCTTTTCAGTCAACCAAGTTGGATTTATATCCTCCGACGCCAGGCTTAACGTTATCGAATAGTTTGAAGGGGCAGTGCTCTCCAATCTCTGTAAAAGCGCAGAAAGATCATTCACTCGTATCTGGTAACGTGAAGCATCAGCCACGACCCATTTAGAGCTCCTCCACAAGAGGTTGGCGCTCTGTATCTTTCCCTTCGGGTTCATTCTTTTTTGATAATCGTGATACTTTTCTTGGAAGTTTTCGAGTCTTCTTCGGCTAGGAAGCTCTTCATCCATAGCTATCTTCTGTCGTTGTCGATTGTGCGTTTGAAGTTTGGCGACTCCCGCAAAGCCTCCCTCTAAACCGCTCGGCAATTCAGTATTGGCATCGAGACTCTCACTCCAAGACTCGTGTCTTTGACTTGTAAACTCGAATCTATCGAGCGGGACGAGTCCAGAGCTTTGTTTGAAGCCTCGTCATTGAACATCGATTCTATATCATGGAGCATCGCTCCAACCGCAGTCCTCGTTTCGATATCTCCGAGAGGGCTGCGCTTCTGGTCATGAAGAAGATGAACCCTATCCGCCCATTGAAGTAGCAAAGTCTTTTCGAGTTCTAACTTCTCCAAGGTCAGCCTAAACGACGATGGGGCATCCGGGGGAAGAAATAGTTCAGGGAAACTCTGGATACAGCCTTGGAAGCTGGTGACGAGCTCAGGGAGGGAAATTGATATGACTTCAGACGACTGCAAGGGACCATTTTCCCCATTGCCATCTCGTTCACTTTCGTGTTGTTCCCATCCCAGTTTAGTTGATTCTGACCCAAAGGGATTGGTGCGGACTTTCGGGTGGGCGTCTGTGGAGCTTGGGACCGTGTCCAGAAGTTCTTTGGCATATAATGCGGCAACGGCAGAAGCATATGGCTGCCACAGCTTGTTCTTGTGTGAATCGGCGTAGTCACAGATTCCACGTACCACCAAACAAGGAAATGACCCATCAGTCCTGCGGCCTCTATTTCAAAACATGCCATGCCCAGTTCGTCTCTGAGGCGATCTCTTGTCATTCCGTAACGCATAACTTGATTTCCCGAGGCTATCAGTCCATAGTGAATTACTGGAGCATCTGATTGACGAGGTGTGCGGGACAGTATCCGGGTAGAGTCGCAAGATGAACATGTCGCCTCATGCTGAGGATGATCGTACCGCGATTCGTACAACACATCCTTGCCAGCACCAGGATGTGTATACTGCTTTTTCACGAGTGGATGATGATCATAGATTTGCTGGAGGTAGCCCAAGAGCATAGAGCCACCCCGAGCATGGTTGGAGCGGACTGTTGAAACAGCAGCAAGCAAGATACGTGGTGGCCTATCCAACATGGTGGTCGGCACAAACCTGCCATCCTGCATTGTCTTGCCGAAGTCAAATTGTACAACACCGCCATTATTCAGCCCTGGATGGCTAACGACGACATCCCCAAGCCGAATATCGCTCCCAGCTCCTGGGACACCTCCACCCACACCCACCAGCAGCACAAACTGCAGTTTACTGAAGCTAGAAGCCATCTCGGCGGCCACAATGGCCGCAGATACGGTTCCCGTTCCGCCTCCTGGCAAGCAAGTCATCACAACATTGTGTATGCCAACCCGACCTAATGTGTAGGATCATTGGGGTTCTGCTTGAGGATGGGGTGCCGCTCATCCAAGAGAGCCTGACTGGCAGCCATCTCCACTGGCAGGGCACAGATCCATCCTACGGCGTATTTGTCGCGCGCCATCGCGCTGAGTGTCTCCATGGAATGTGCCAGGGCTCATCTGGAGGTAAACGATGTGCTGATGAATTGAGGGGATCGCTGGTCACATGTGCATATTCAGCTGAGGCGCCCCCAGTACCCTTCGAGGTACCACTATTTACCTTGGCTACCGCCGTATAACTGGCCACAGGGTGTGTTAACCAGCCTCTGTGTGCCTTGAGCCTGCCGATTATGATAGGCGGAAACGGAAATGGCCAGCGTTGACTGAGTGGTAAAAGAGACAAACAGAAGACAATAGAACGTTACAGCTAGGCAATATTCTCAACCTTTAGATTTTAGAGTCAAAAACTCTTCTTTAATTGTAGTCTCGATTTTGAATAAAATCAGCCCCCAGCCCCCGCCTAAGTGTAGTATCAGTATACCTCTTTCATAATGATTGAACCCTAATCTTTCCAGTCGCTAAGTTATAGTGTTAGAGGTTATCACCCCGATATTAGTCGTCTTGGTGCTATAGCCTGTTCTTTTGGTCTGGGAAGACTAATACTAGAAGAACCTGTGAAAGTTACGAAATGGAAAACAAAGGGTGGGAACTGTAAGATCAAAAGAGATGTCAATGGTGTATATTGTCTCCTTCACACTCTTGCCGCCCTCTGCAGTCAAATTTGTTGACGCTAATCCAATCGCTCCCTATAAATAGCTCCCTATAAATAGCATATAAGATGAGATAATGGTCATAAATGACTAGGGGGAGTCTTGTTAGGCAGAGCTATTCCGAGACTTGCTTAAAAGCTAGTGATTAACAATTGCTTTGCAGCTGCCACGATCCAGGATACAGGCTAGGGCACCAGCGTAGCCAACATGTCGTGCAGGTCGCATCCTAGCCGTCAACCCACAAGGACAGGGAGCGATGTCTAGCGAGGGCCAGGCTTCAATTGCAAGGAATCGGAAATTGCTGTAGCCTGAACGCTTGTCTCTCTATGCTCTAGTCCGGCCTTCCGAAGTGCTGGTATCGTTTGTTGGCAAGACTTCTGGCTAGTTATTCCTGACGGACTTGCTTGCATGGCGGATAGGGTACAACTACGCTGAACTTCCAGACAGTACGAAGTGTTGATGAGCTGATACAATACCCTCTGAAATAAACTTCTCATTGCTATCGTCAAATTTGCAAGCTAAAAGGAAGCATATGACGCTTCCCCGATCAAATTTGTGATTCTAGCAGCTTCCGGTCCTGCTGTCGGAGTCAGCCCCGAAAAGGCCAAGGGACGCCGCAGAACACGCGCAGGCTCCGGAGATGGCACAGAAGACTCGGCAGTTTCCCCATCTTAGCTGTCACATTTCGAGACCAAGGCAGAACATGGTTGTGTTCCGGACACCCCGCAAAAAGGAGCACTATCCGGACACGGTCCGATCGACTACCCGATCCACCTCCGGACAGCTCCCACTCGCAACGGTTGATGCACGTCCGTCGTCGAAAACAATCGGAGGTGATGTCAGGGAGTCTTCTAGGCTCGCGTGTTTCCGCTATATGCGCCATAAATTTTGAATTAGCCGAATAATAATGATCCGAGGGAACAGGCCAAAAATACAAAGTGGCCGGAACCGTAGGCCAACAGCGGGGAAAGGATGGCAGACATGTCATTGAAAGCAGATGTCTGCATTTCTAATGTTTATATAATATTGCCCCGCCGGATATCATCACCCAGAATGAGAAACTAATGCAACTCTATCGTAGCTTGCTGCTGGCCAGCCAATAGCTGTCATTCATGCTTGACGTCTGGTGCCGACACCATCCAACATGAGCTCCACGTAGTACTACCCCAAACAAGGATGTGTTCCGTCGTCTTGAAGGAGAGCAATATTAATAAGTAGCAACCACCGATCAATCAACTCACCCTTCTCCTCTTCCAATAATAACTCTCACGGGTACAAAAAAAGAAAACCATGGCTACACCGGCTCTGACACCCAAAGATTTTCAAAACGCCTTCCACTGGGCTGAGACCCAGCAGAATGGCACCATCCCGAGCTTTGAAACCCGATCCAATGACCCGTACAAGTACCAGCCCGGATTCAACAACCACTTTGAGTCGGAAGCCGTGCCTGGAACGATCCCTAAGGGTCAGAACAGCCCGAGGGCAATCCGGTTCGGTCTTTATGCCGAGCAAATCACGGCCACGGCATTTGTTGCGCCTCGCCACCTGAACAAGAAGGCGTGGCTATATCGTGCTAGACCAGCTGTGGCTCACCAGGGATTTGTATGTGCCTTTTTCGTCCTACGGACTGTAGGACTATACTTAGTGATAACAGGCTAATAATTGAGAAAAAGACCGATTTGGAGGACAACAAGGACACGGAATCAACATTTCTCCCCATCAACCCACGTGTCCACATCTCTCCGACACAGTTGGCTTGGAAACCTCACCCAGTCCCTGAAGGTGATGTTGACTTCGTCGACGGTCTGAAGACCGTGGCTGGCTCAGGCGATCCTACCCTCCGTGAAGGCTTAGCAACTCACATCTACCTCTGCAACAAGTCCATGTCCAACAAGGCCTTTGTCAACTCAGATGGCGACTTCCTCATCGTTCCCCAGCAGGGCGCCCTCGACATCCAAACCGAGTTCGGCTTCCTCTACGTCCAGCCAGGTGAGATCTGCGTCATACAGCGCGGCCAGCGTTTCAAGGTCAAGATAGACGGGCCAACCCGCGGCTACATCCTGGAGATCTGGGGTTCCAACTGGGAGCTCCCCGAGCTTGGACCGCTGGGCGCCAACGGCCTGGCGAACCCTCGTGACTTCCTCCATCCCGTCGCAGCGTACCAGGTCACGCGGGACGATCCGTGGAGCATCACGTACAAGCTGGGCGGCAAGTTCTTCGCGAGCACCCAGAACCACAGCCCGTTTGACGTGATCGCCTGGCACGGGAACTACGTGCCCTTCAAGTACGATCTGACCAAGTTCGTCAACGTTGGCTCCATCTCCGTCGATCACATTGACCCTTCCATTTTCTGCGTCTTGTCGGCTAAGTCTCGCGATCCGGCTGCCCCTCTGGCCGACTTCCTGATCTTCTCGCCCCGATGGGACGTCGCGTCTCACACCTACCGGCCTCCGTACTACCACCGCAACGCAGCCTCGGAGCTCATGGGCCTGATCTATGGAGAGTACGGCGGGCGGTCTGACGAGTTCCAGCCGGGCAGCATCTCCTACGAGTGCGGGCACGTGCCGCACGGCGTCGCGTACGAGCAGTTCGCCGCGGCGTCCAAGGAGGATCCGCCAGCGATGCAGATCTCGCCGGGGTCGATCGCGTTCATGTTTGAGAGCTGCCGCCCGTTCACCATCACGGACTGGGCGTGGAACTCCAAGGAGAGGCACGAGCACGACCCCAAGATGTGGGATGACCTGGTTGATAACTTTTCCAAGTTCCAGGTGGAGGTTGACGAGATTCTGGCCAAGGCAGGCAAGGCCTAAATTGATTTACCTTGTCTGATGACTGGGCCGGGTGAAAGGATGTATATAACTTGGTATGAAGTAGTGAATAGGATCAAGTCAAACTTACAACCAGCAGTAGTACATCGCAATCCTTTGACCGTAGATGATGGGCAATGAGTTCCCACAAACTCATATTAATAACAATCTCCGAGTAGGTTCATAGATGGAAAATATGTCACCATTAGAGTCATCGCTGTCTTCCGTGCATTCTTTTGATGCTAGGTTGTGAGACCAAAAAGAAACCTCAGGCATTTGAAGCCAAAAATGTGGTTTCGCCCGGGCTCGAACCGGGGACCGTCTCGGCGCAATCGGATGATTGTTAGCGAGAAATCATGACCAACTAGACCACGAAACCTAGTGTTGTGATTGGTTGAGTGTGGCAAGGTTAAGATAATCCATGAGGCACACGGTTTTTGGAACTCAAATTTAGTGGCCGACCAATCTCCAATTTCCACATACCCTAAACCCCTCTGACAACGCAGAGGCAACAAGTGTTCACGCCGGATCAAGGCATATATTATATGTACGAGGGACGTGCGGGCGGGAAAGTCTTCATACATTGGACCTGCATGGGACACAAGCGCCATCAGCATGAAGTTGAATGCAAATACATCTAAATCAAAACGTTGCTTGGGGTATCTGGAATTATCCTCTTGCCCAACCTCCCAAAATATCCAACCCACGCTACCGTAAACGCCGAGGCAGCGATATTCCGTGTTCCAATCCATGTTATTCTTTTGGTTTCCTCCCATATTTGTCGTACAATCGGTCCCCGCTTGCCTCCACCTCTGCCATGGTGATGTACTTCTCGAACAGCTGCATGTTCGCCTCAATCTTTGCCTTGTCGGGGCCTTTGTCCTGTGTAGAATCGGATGCTCCCGATGCCGGTTGCTCGCTGGCTGTCTCGTTCTGCCCTCTTCGTGGCTCTCGATGCTGGGAGCTATTGAGGCTGTCGATATCGGGAGGGGCATCGTCGGTGGTTTGCAGCGGCAATTGCGTCATCATCTTCGCTGGAGGCCCTCGAACCAGGCGGAGACGGAGCAGAGGGGCAGGGCTTGTGGTGTCGTAGATGCGTTGTTGGTGGTAGATCGTAGAGGACGAGAGCAATTGACCAGAGCAAAGTCGAAGTAGGTGAGAGCCGGCAGAATGAGCAGCGATGACGAACCTCGCGCTTATGCCCAATTGCGGTATTCGCGGTCTCACATCATCGTCACTGCGCCCCACGTTGAGCGCAGGCAGCCGGCAATGGGGAAGTCTGGCAAAAGAAAAGCCTGTCGGCAGGCATCTCTGTTGCCGCGTAAAGACAGGTTGCATGCATGAAGTTGACCTGTGTCTGTCTCTGCTCTGTGCGGCATCGTGCCCACCAGCTGGCTTCTGCCTCGTCCGTTGCAACAGCCCCATGCGAACCACCGCAAGGCAAGGCAAGGCAACCGCGTGCTCATTTCCCTTCTATTATGATCCTCTCCGGGCCAGCCACTCGTCCATCATCCTACTAACCGTGCGGTGCAGGTCCCAGTCCCTGCCGCGGATGTTCCTGAACTCGGCGATGCGGCAGATGGCCCAGTACTCGTCGGGCACGCGACTCTCGAGATGCGCCGCGTTGGACCCGACAATCTCGACGAGCAGGTCGGAAAATACCTCGACGTCGTCGCACGCCCTCGCCCCCCGCAGCCGCCGCGACTCCGACACCGCCCACCCGAGTACGACGAGGAACAGCAGCAGCGGCCGCACCGCCTCGACGACCGTGAAGCCCGCCC